ATCTGAATCACTGTCTCGTTTCCACGTGCCTCGTGGCATCTCCTCGTCCTCGTCCCGACCAGGAATAGCGAACTGACGAGAACTCACCCGGCGGGGGACCGCTTCCGCCCTCTGCCGACTCCAGATGGCCCCCAAGATGAGCCAAAATCAAGAAAACGACCGTTACCCGACCCACTATCCCCAGTTTCTTTCCAAGTCGGGTCGGGGGGGGTAACATTTCCCGGATCCTGGTACGTTGAGATGCCGTGACCAGGTGTAGAAAGTTGATTACACACGATTACATATACAATCTTTGCTGGACGCTGTCACGCAAAAAACGACTAGCGGCATCCGTGTTCAGTAGGATCCTTGGCTATCAGATACTGAAAGACACGCAAGCCGAACCGAACCACCTTAGGTAACAGCTTGGCGGAATCATCCATCGACTTGCCCGGCTTGTTGTTTTTATTCCATTTCCAAGCAAGCAATCTCATCACAGTTGCCCAACATGAAGGACCTCACTATTGACAACATCACGGAGAATGTGCATTTTATCAATGCCCAATGTTCTGACCGACGGCTAAAGTTTATACTCGAAAGGCTGGTCTCACACGCCCATGACCTTGTTCGTGAGACCCGGCTCAGCACAGAGGAGTGGATGGAGGCCATCCAATTCCTGACGCAGGTTGGCCAGACATGCACAGAAACTCGACAGGTAAATCCCCCCACCCCCTTGGTAACACAACAGCCACTTGCATCGTGCGACCACCAATTGGCATGTCACTAACGAGTAAAAGGAATTCATTCTGCTCTCGGACATTCTGGGAATCTCCCTGCTTGTAGACGCAATTGATCATCCCAAGCCACCAGGCGCCTCCGAAGGGACCGTCCTCGGCCCATTCCACACACACGAGGCGCAAAATATTGAGCACGGTGGAGGAATTGCCAGTGACCCAGAGGGGGAACCGCTGCTTGTCCTGTGCACTGTCCGTGACTCCGCAGGAAAAGCCCTAGAAAATGTCACGATCGATGTGTGGGAAACGGACTCCAAGGGCTTCTACGATGTGCAGTATGCCAACCACGACGGCCCCGATGGCCGGGCTATTTTGACGAGCGACAAGGACGGCATATTTTGGTTCAAAGCCATTGTGCCAGTGCCTTACCCGATCCCCAGTGATGGCCCCGTGGGGAAATTACTTGCTAAGCTCGGCCGGCATTGCTATCGGCCGAGCCACATGCACTTCATGTTTAACCACCCGATCTACGATCCTCTCATCACGTAAGTGGCATATTCCGTTTGATTCCCTTCAATAATGAGCCTAACTTAAGCATCGCAGCGCGCTCTATCTGAAGAATGATCCTTACGAAACCTCGGATGCTGTGTTTGGTGTCAAGAACACTCTCGTGGTGGAATTAGGCCGAGTTGAAGATGAGGCAATTGCTTCCAAGTATGGTGTCAAAGTTGGAAGTGCTCTCATGACGTACGACTTTGTGTTGGTTACGAAAGAAGAAGCGCTGAATCTGCGTTACAAGAATGCAGCAGCTGCTATGAAGGCTCAGGGAAAGAAGATGGATTACCTCAACGGTCTACCCGTACCTGAAGTTGATTGAGTAGAATATATAGCTGTATCATTTCAGTTAATTGAGTATCAATTGTCTAACATACCATCCTACCTTGATCCAATTCCACGAAATACCCAGAGAAGTCTCCGTCCATGTGCATACAGTAATTAGTTTTTTGTTCAAATAATGAATCATCTAGCAGGACTAGTCAACTGACGATAAAATTTGGACAATCACTATACAATATCTTTGACACCGATATCCTTACACATTATCATGGCTTGTTCAAGTAAATATTTGACGGGCGCTATTGATTCATTTAATTCATATTATATCTACCGCTGTTATCGTATTCATTGTGTTGAGTTGTCGGGCTCTGGCAGCTTCCATTGCTGTTGAACTTTATTCTCTTTCTCTTACGTATCTACCGCAGTTATAAAGTTTCTCATAATTCGAAGATGTTCTTGATTTCTTGGTTGGACAACTTATTCTCCAACGCTAGCTGGAGCTGAATGCGAGACTTGGAAGGGTTCAAGAATCCAGCATTGATGCCCCATTCCTGGCCCTCGACGTAGCCCCAGGCCGTACGGCGACTGGCAACAACAGGGATCCCAGTCTTGTTGACAACCGCCTCGAGGCTCTTGAGGGCCACTGATGGCCAGTATCCTGCACCTAGACCGGCCAGAACAATCCCCTTGGCTCCGCTATCGACGGCTGCCTGGAAGATTTCAGGGCTGACCTCTTGGTGACCGTACAAAACATCTACCTTGGGCATGGGTGTCTGGAAAGGACGGGAGGTGATATTGAAGTAGCGGTGGCCCAGAGGTCGCGAAGGAGGGTAGAAGAATAGAGGATTGATATCCTCAAAGACCCCCAAGAAGCCCTGCTCTTCGGCTTTGAAGGTATCGACGGCGTTGGCATTGGTCTTCACGGTGAAGCGAGCAGACGCGATCCGGTCGTTGAGAACAATCATCGTCCCTCTACCCTTGGCGTTCTTGTTGACGGCTAATTTCACAGCAGAAAGGAGATTAATCGGACCATCTGCGCTTAGGGCTGTAGCGGGACGCATAGAACCGACCACAACGACGGGTTTCTCGCTCGCGATGGTGAGGTCAAGGAAGAAGGCAGACTCCTCCAGAGTGTCTGTGCCGTGAGTGACAACCGCACCTTGCATGAAGGGGTTATCGAGATCTTTTTGAATTTGCTGGGTCAAGTTGGTCAGAATGGTCGAGTTGATGTCACCGCTATCAACGTTGACGATCTGGATGCCCTTGACATTAGAGACGTTGCATAGCTGGGGTACAGCCTCGATCAAGGTTCTAATTCCCAAGGCACCGGACTGGTATCCTGTAGTTTGGTCTGCTGAACCAGCTGAGCCGGCAATAGTACCTCCTGTAGCATAGATTGTGATGTTTGGTAGGCTGGCATTAAAGCACTCAAAACCCTCCACTGCTCGAGGAACAATGTGGGGTAGTTGGATAAGAGGAGAGGCTAGGGTACAGGGAAGAAAGACCACGAGAGTGATGAGATTTCGAACTAAAGAAGACATGATGCTTCTCTAAAATAATAAGATGATAAAATTTATAGGTTTGCGTGTGTTGAGAGTTCAGTGAGGGGTAAGAACGAATGAAACATGAGAATAATTATGATGAAGGCTGAAGAGGGACCCCGGATATTTATGTCAAGCCAAGCCAGGGAAGCCTTGTTTGCTGGGAAGTCAAGACCGAGGCCGTTATCATTGGATAACGTAATGAGAAGGTCTGGGGGTTTGAGATTCCTTTTCGACTAAGCTGGGACCTTGACCGGCATGTATCCCCGTAAGGCGGGGTTCTGGGGCTAGAACCTGGTTCGAGTTCTGAACAGAGCCGATCAACACTCCTAAGTCTGTCACTGTACTAAATTAGACGTGGTTTAATTAGTGAAAACTGGAATTATGAGAAAACAGGTAGGTTGAATAGGCTAGATATCACCAACGCCCACTTCTTCTGGATATTGGATTGTCATTAGCTAGTAAGGATTTGCTCATCATCGTCAAGTTATTGTAGCAAAAGGATATTGCCATAGCAAGTAGAAATCGATAACATAAGGGTGAAGATTAGGTGAAAGAATTCCTCATTATTGATATTACCCAACCACGATTATGTCTAAGGTATCGCGGAAGGGAAAGACGATGGCCGAATTCTGGGGGTGGGGACTGGTGGCGTATACGTTGATGAATGGCGAGTCAACAACCATGTTATTGGTCCGTGTCTGTTAAACTACCCTGCTTAAGGTATTAGTTCAAATCAATCCCGGCGGATAATGCATCTCGAGCCGAACTTTGTCTAATTGATCAATCTCTAAGAGCTAATAAGCGGCATTTCTCCCTAACAATCATAGAGTGTGTGTGGGTACTTGGAGGTATATCTCGGCCCACGACGCAAGTGAGCCGAGAGTCCCCATCCCTGGTCTCGAGTTATTAGCTATGTGTCACCTATCTTGTGCCCCCCTGACTCATTGAAGCATTTGTTCAACATCCAGTATCTGATATCACAGATTTAGATCATCATTTACATCTGAGCTGAGTCTGGAACGTCAATATCTCTACGCTATGTCCAGGCTCTTGTTCTGCTAGGTCAAGACGTGGTGGGTCCAGGTCACAACGCGCGTTGCATCCACCTTTCCAGGTCTCTCTCACTGTTAAGCCAGTCTTTGTGAGCTATATATCTTAACTCTTAACGGTGGAAGATTAGATAAGGTTCATAGCTACCGCTTCTCTCACTTATTGGATCATCTAAAGTAGAATATACATTTCACTCGCTGGTGTATAATAGCATCGCAACAGGCCAGCAAACTAATATCAGGGGTGGTCGGAATAAACAGTAGGGATTTCTAGATAATATATTGGATTTGATAATTGATTTTCCCGTCTAACTGATTATCGCTCCCCGTTCCTACTGATTGGTTCCTTTTTCACTCGCGCGGTGGGCTCACCGACAAATCGAGGCTGTCCACGGAATTTCCGTGGCAGTGGTCAATGACTGGATATGTACCGGAGAAAGAGCATGCGGCGCTCAAGTCGTAATTTCTGAGCTAAAAGTTCGATTTTAGTTCCGGAAGGAGAATCAATATAATATTTTAACATCTTCGAGTTCAACTTGCGACTAGGTATATGGTGACACCTCCTGATCCAGCCATGTTGTCAACGCCGCTGTCAACGCTGCTGTCAACGCAAAAGGACTACTTACGGGGCCAAGCAGGGGTGTATTGTCTCCATGGTCATTCTGAGACATTTGATTAAGTTGCTCCGAGCTGACAAATCGCGGAGGAAATGAAACCACCGCACATTCCATGTGGGATAGTTGTCAATATGCTTCCGGAAATCTCGGAAACACCAGAATATAACTATCAACTGTTTAGCCTCAGACAAGTTGGTAGTGTGCAAAATATCCCTTTATTTCTAAACACACCAATCAAACATGTCTCTCCCAATCAATAGGGGTATCTTCGTTGGAGATAATGACGAGATTTCTATCCGAGATCTTGGAGACGCCTACAAACCTGTTGGAAGTCAAGCTCTTATAAAGGTTAAATACTCGGCTATTAACCCAGCAGATCTCAAACATTCCTCCATTGGTTTGAGTGGTTCTATTACTGGTTATGACTGGGTTGGAACTGTGGTAGAGATTGGGAACTCTTCCTCCTTCACAGTTGGGCAACAATTGTTTGGGGGCGTTGTTCCTGCAAGCAAGCGACCACTACATACTGGCGCGCATCAGAATTATCTCATTATTGATGAGTGAGTAGCCTTGATACCGGAAGCTATGCTACATATGCTACTACGACTAACGTTAACAGAACTACGGCAACATGGCCGGTTCCCAAAGGAATGAGTGAAGAAGTTGCCGCAACTCTCCCCGTCGCTGTAGAGAGTGCTGCCGATTTAATCTTCAACATTAATGGATTTGGTCTTCCCGCGGCCGGGATTGACGGCCAAGATGCATCTGGCATTCCAATCCTCATTTGGGGAGGTGCCTCTGGTGTTGGAGCTGCGGCAATCCAGGTCGCGAAAGCCGCAGGGTTTAAACCCATTTTTGTCACTGCGTCGCCCAAGAACCACGAACGACTGTTGAAAGCTGGAGCTTCAAGGGCTTTTGACTACAACAGCCCTACAGTTGTCGAAGAGATCAGAAATGCTGTGGCGGAAAGTGGCAAGAGGCTCACGGTTGCGATTGAGACTGTGTGCAATGGAACAACACTGTTCGGGAAACCCTTCGAAAAAAACAATACTCCGGATCTTGCGAAAGCCTGCATGTCTGATAACGTACAGGCAGAGGATATGCGGCTCGCGGCTGTCCTCCCAGTCCCTCACGACCCAGACTGGAAGGGAGGTTATGCCCTCCGTCCGCCCGGGAACTTCAATTGGCTTGGTTCTGCTCAGGACCCTGCGTTCCCAGTCAGGACTAAGAATTTTATGGACTGGTTTGTCGTAAATCATGAACTGGTATGGAAGCCCATACTCCGGACTCCTATTGTTGAAGGAGTTGAGAAGGCTATTGAAGAGATTAGACGTGTAGCTCGAGGTGGCGCGTCGATGGAAAAGGTTCTGATTGCGCGTCCCCTATGAACGGTCTTATGCTTGAGCTGATCTCATTACGGGCTAAATAAGTACTAGGACGGTTTCGCTACCTGCCCTCAGAAAATCTCTCGAGGAGGTTGGAAACTCCTTTGTCATGTTTCTCCGATGTCAGATAAATCCAGTGTCAGAGAAGCAAATCATTCGACGGGCCCATCCAATTTTGCCCCAATTCTATGTTTGATACGTGCCAAGGTCTATTTATAGTGGGAAGAAAATTACTGGTATTGCGTATTGGATGAGGCTACTTATAAGCATGATTCTTTGCACTCAATTTGAAATTTATGCCGAAGAAATCAACACATAAGTTCGCTCTTAAGGCCAATCCAAGGTTTCTCTTAGATGAAAGATCGACAACCCCCGGATACATAAGTGATACACACATGAATGTGATTGTTGCCCAGCTATCCTTCGTCTCTACCCAGTTTTCGTAGCCCCATCCTTGGATTTGTCTTTTGGCTCGTTGACTTGCATGTAGCCTTCTTCTAGTTCCTCCGCCGAGAACTTGGCTCTCCGCAATTTGAAAATGTAATAGCACTGCAAGAAATTGAAGATACTGGGGACAAATTAGTCAGAAGTTTGCCTTTACGCTTTAGATACTGGTCTAACCAGACGGTAAGTACTCACATCGCACAGACACCCATACAACCACAAGCAATTGCGATATTCTCAAGAATTGTGACTGTGTTCCCGGCGATATCCTTAAGGCCGCCCCATAGACTGCGCGTATCGATGATCTCATACTTATCATCCAATTCACGAAATACAAACATAACAATGAGCGCGGAAAGCCAGAGTGGGGTTGATATCGCTATTAGAATATAATACCACCTGGGAGGTAGAGGACTATTGCGCGCTCGGGGACCTATCCAAGGGCCGAGGATAAGTAGGATGTGAAGACCGCCCTATGAGAAGAACATAAGCCACAGCATTATCACGGCGGCGGTGACGGATCAGACTAACCACAGCTATATTGTATGCAGCGGCAATCAACATCTTTTCTCCTGGTTTCTTCGAGAGGATGCCTCCCGCCAAGCCCAGGTTGATCACGGAAACGATCCATCTCCCAACGGCCAAGTTGAAGAGCTTATCGTAAATAGATTTTACTGGACCGTCGATGGGCTTCTCATCAGATGGTGTGACGGCTACTTGAGGTTGTGGAGGATGCATCGTGTCGAGTCTGATGTGAGCTCAGATGGCGCATCTAGAGGTTTGGGTGTGGACGGCGCAAATTAAAAATGTAAAATGAGGGGTGGAAGCCTACTTAGATAGCAAATTTTAACATAATTTCAGCCTCAACACGCGTATTTCGTATCATGAGTCACTCCAAATCCTGATGAAACCCTGATTGACAAGGATCAGCCCCCTGCATACTACCGATATCCAGTAGCATATTGTGCCTAAGCCTATTAATAAGTTCAGAAAAAAGGATGACGGTATACCTCTATAGAAGATATACTGCAATTAATATATATTATTTAAATCTTGTGAAGTGAACAGCACGTAATTAATAATCTATACACTGAGTCATAATCCCAAAAGAAAAAACCTTCAATAGATGCAATGATGACCAATGATATCATGTGTATACTTGAATTCACGTTCAAGTGACCCGCAAGAGATTTTTCTAGGAGACGAAGATAGTGATAAAACATTCGGTTCATGATGAAGCCAGGAACTGCGTTGCTAAAACTGACGCAGAGTAGCACTTCAGCCCCCTGTCTTATTAATGGTTGGCGCTCCCATTGTGACTCCTTCCTACCTGATTTACTTGGGTTGATCATTTAATTCTGTCCTGAACCGAATCTTACGCAAGCATGTTGCGCTGTTGTTCAGCGAGGAGTAAATAGACATGTTGGCTGCACTCCTACTAAATATAGCCGCCCGCATTATACCGTCGACCCTGGCAACAGGAAGCATTGGGTTGCCTGAATGGCCTGCCATTGGTTCTGGCTCTCTTTGTCGCTCGCTTCTCACAGTTCGCTTCTATGGGCTCCTAGCCGGAGGTAGGATTGGTCCGTGTTTTCGACATTACCTCGCCTTTATTACCGCCCGAGCGCAATGCTTTGGCAGTGCATGATCTTCAATTGGTGAATAGAGCAGTCTGATGGTCCAGTAAATATAAACTTAATGTGTCTGTAGTCTTTGGAGACATAGGATTGTGGAAGTACAATGTGCAAGCCTTTGCTACAGAGGTGGCAATGCAACATGGCATAGCACGATCTCCAAAATGCAGTCTCCAACGGGAGGCGGGAAGGTTGGAGACAGGGCTATCTATCACCTGTATCTGGGTTCTAGGCTGCCTTGAAAAGGGCAAGGTCACCCAGTCCGACAGGCTCACCCACAGAAATGGCCTCGTGCATGATTCATGCGTTGACGCGGAAGGCCTCAGCCTCGGCGGGATCAGTCCACGCCAGCCGGAAGGGCATAGTACCTTCCCGTTTGCCATTCAATAAATCTCCAACTATTCTGACTCTCGTCTTAGCACCTTCCGGGGAAACGCGGGGTCGGAAGCATCCTGTGGTCGGTCGGAGGAGGGTGGAGAGGCAGGATGGTGCACGTTCCGTCGGCCACGCATCGGCCGGTGACCTGGCTGTGGCCGAAATGGCAGCAGAAACACGCCAGATGCTCCCATCCGATTTGACAGCTGACTTTCATTAAATTGAAGTGGGGTCGCTCGCCTGGAATCTGTGCATGAGGCGGATGAGATGGGGGATTCAGTGATAACGGTACCCGGTGTAGATGGATGCCATTTAGACAAATATACAGGTGGCTGCTCTGAATTGGTGCTTCGTCCTTCTCGTTCATTAATCCAGATCTCAAGTATTTGGTTTCACCAATCACCTTCCTCTTTTGAATTCAGCGGCCACTTCTCCTGACAACGTATCTACTTCAATATTGAAGATGGCTGCTGCTGCAACGGCAACCGCCAGAACAAATGGGATCGCCTCCCACATCAATGGGATCACCTCCCATACAAATGGGATCACCGCCCACACAAATGGGACTGTGGTAGCTACCCCTCCAAAGCCTAGAGTGGTTGAAAACTTCCGGCCATTGCGTGTCATTATCATTGGTGCTGGCTTTTCCGGCATCTACTGCGGTGTACGCATCCCAGAGAAGCTACGCAACATTGACTTGACCATATACGAGAAAAACGCCGGTATTGGAGGTACTTGGTACGAAAATCGTTACCCAGGATGTGCCTGTGATATTCCATGTAAGTCTGAAGTCACTCGTCACAGATGCTTTGCAACGAACTGATCGCTTCTGGAAGCTCATTCGTACCAATACACATTCGCACCCAATCCCAACTGGAGTGACTGGTATGCTCCGGCAGCAGAGATTCGCCAGTATCTCGAGTCCACCGCAAAAAGGTACTCTGTAGAGAGGTTTATCAAAACCTCACACAAAGTGGAAGATGCGACTTGGGACTCACAGGCTTCAAAATGGTGAGCTTAAAATATTCAATGTTCCCCGGGCCTACCACTAACACTTTGGGTCGCGCTTCAGGCATGTGACAGTCAATAATCTTACCACCGGAGAGGTTATTCATGACACGGCGGACATTGTCATTAGTGCGAGAGGTACGCTGAATGAGATGGCATGGCCAAATATCCCCGGAGTGCGCGAGATGAAGATCCCAGTTATGCACTCTGCAGCATGGGATGACAGGTAAGGCTATACGTATATGCCGCTAAAGGATGAGTCGTTCTTGAGTCAATCAACTAACAAGACACCTTCAGCGTCAATTTCGAAAACAAGAAGATTGGCGTAATTGGCGGCGGAAGTAGCGGAATCCAAATCATCCCCGTCTTGCAACGCCTACCCGGCGTGAAGCTTGACTGCTTTATCAGAAGCAAGACCTGGATCTCCAAACCCTTGGGAGAATCTGCTATGGCCCTTCTTGGCACCCAGAGCACTCAATGTAAGTAACTTTCCTAGAAGATGTCGAAGCAGGCACTGATTTCCTTTCCGGCAGTCACCCAGGAGGAAAAGGATCGGTTCGCCAATGATCCAGAATATTACCTGAAATACCGAACAACAATTGAGCGAGACGGAAACTCTATTCACAGTGTCACGATGAAGGATTCGCCAATGCAGGGCCATGTCCGAGATGCCTTCACGCAACTCATGAAGGAGAGATTGGCCAAAAAGCCTGAGATTTTTGAGACTCTTCTTCCCAGCTTCGGCGTCACCTGCCGAAGACTCACGCCTGGCTTGGGGTACCTTGAAGCCCTGGTCCAGGACAATGTCGACTTCATTAACACGCCAATCGAGAAGGCGACCCCAACAGGACTGGTGCTCAAGAACGGAGAGACGAGGGAATTGGACATTCTTGTTTGTGCCACAGGTTTCCAGACCTCTGCACCGCCCCCATTCACTGTCACTGGGAGGAACAACGTGACGATGCAGGAAAAGTTCGAGCCGTTCCCCGAGACTTACCTCTCTCTCGCCACGGATGGATTCCCCAACTACTTTATGATGATGGGCCCTAATGCTGCCATTGGCACGGGACCACTCACGACCATGATGGAGAAGACGGGAGACTACATCGTCAAGTGCATTCGCAAGCTCCAAAAGGAGAACATTTCGAGCATGGAGCCCAAGGCCGCTCGGGTGAAAGACTTCTCTCAGATTATTGAGAAGTACTTCGACAAGACCGTCTACCTTGATGAGTGCAATAGCTGGTATAAGAAGAAGACGAGCAAGGGTGACCGGATCACTGGTATTTGGCCGGGCAGCGCCCTGCATGCCCTGGAGACTCTCCGCTCTCCCCGCTGGGAAGATTTCGACTACACGTTCGAGGAGGATAAGGACGGGGGTAGCGGCAACCGGTTGGCTTGGTTGGGCGACGGCTGGTCTGCTCCCCAGGTGGATGAGGATGCGGGAGATTTGGCATATTTCATCCAGCCGGGCTTGCTGGATATTCCTACTGAGCCTCTTCCTGAAAACAGCCCAACCTTTAGGAAGCTGGCGTTTTCTCACTAGGTTAGACATTTAAGTAGATTTGCTGAAATATATTGATTTACATGAAACCAAATTGGACTCTGAAACTATAATGATCGCGGCTGAATAAGAAATTGACCTTACCAACATCGACATTTTACTTTGTTATCGTCCTTAAAGCATCGTTTGAAAATCCACCACAAACACCTGCTTCAATGACTTTCTTAGGAGCTAAACACTCCGCGACGAGCTCCACTGCTTTGATGAGAATTCTCAAATAGCCCAGATACAGGGCTCTATCTTAGAGTGGTAATGACATCGTAAACTACATGTACCCAAGGCCCATGGCAACACTTGACCAACGCTGCTGCATTTAGCAGCTGCGAGATCTACGGATCTATAGATCTACCCTAGCATCTTCCCCAGCTTGCGTCCTCCTAATCAGCTCCCGGATCAGATCCCGCTCGATCGGGCGTGGGTTGTAGTAAGGGTTGCTGACAGCAATGTCAGCAGCCTTGTCAACATCCTCCGCCTTGAAACCAAAGTGATCCAACCCGCGCTGCACTTTGAGACGCGTAAGAAGCACGTTAAGCCCATGGATCGCATCGCCATTGCTCTCTGGAAGCACCTCGGCGAGCTTTCCCATCACTTCCGGGATACGCGGCGCATTGTATGCAAGAGCATGGGGGAGCACAATCGTGTGCGTCTCTGCGTGGGGCAATCCAAAGCTCCCGCCAAGAGTATGGCAGAGCTTATGGTGAATCGACATGCCGACTGAACCGAGACATAAACCGCACAGCCAGGCTCCGTACTGAGCAGAAGTGCGCGCAGCTACATCTGATGGGGAATCCACGATGATAGGGAGAGCTCCGGCGAGGGCCTTGACACCCTCGAGGGCGAGCAGGGAGATGATGGGGTTGGCATTCTGCGCGTACAGTGCCTCGACTAGCGGAAAGACGGTGTTACGGACGGAAATACGGTTATGTGTAACGGACAGTGAACGTACCGGAATGTGCAATGGCATTTATCCCACTCGTGGCGCTCATGCCGGGTGGGAGGCTCAGTGTCAGATCGACATCGTAAATCACTGTCCCCGGAAGGATCTTGGGGTCGCTGCGCGTCTTCTTGAGCCCGTCGACCGACTCGCCCAAGATTGGAGTCATCTCAGACCCGGCGTAGGTCGTGGGGATGCAGATGTGGGGGAGCCCAGTGCGAATGCTGATGGCCTTGCCAAGCCCAATGGTGCTGCCGCCACCAATGGAGATGATTGAGTCGGCGTTGACTGATTTGGTGAAGGCTAGAGCGGTGTCTGTGACGCTTGTCGGGGTGTGCATGGTGGCTTCAGTGAAGAGATTGCCAACACCGCCCAGGATGGCCTTGACCTTCTCGCCATGCTGGATTTGTTGAGGCGTCGTCAGGATGAGGGGAGTTTTCAACCCCTGCCGGGCCAGCTCGTCAGGGAGCGTTTGGATCTTCCCCTGGCCAAACACGACTCTGCTGGGGGCAACATTGTAGATGAAGTTCAGGGGGGCAGCCATTTCTGATGCTGAGTTGGTTGTGTGTGGAAGATGAGCTATGGCAGTGTGAGCCGTTTACAACCCGCATCAATTCAGGTTATACATATTGACTTGCCTCCAATACTGCTGGCTCAGAAGGTTAGTGGAGCCGATCTGTTCGGTTCGCGTGCAGCTTCTGGTTATTTCCCCTCGTTCATCTCCCACTCTGAGCCGTCGGAAGCTGTACCCCATCGGAAGCCGCACCGGATAACGTACTCCTCGTCAGGCCCCGCCAGCCACAGTGGGCAGCTTTGAGTCTTGACCGTGTGGAGTTTGGGGCCTGGACTTAGTGATCTCAGCTCGTGTTACAGGCTTGCATGGGGCATTGACACAGGGCGAGAGAAATGAGGAGAAGGGTGACGATGGTGGGCGGGCTCGGTGGAGAGGAGAAGCCAGCACAGCGTCCCAAGAAGAGAAGAACATACATACATCCGACTCCATCTCTCCGCACTCAGAATCTTTCTCTCCACACGGAACCCCAGACGGATGCTTTGAATAACCCACTCACATGGCATCCATATCCAATCCCCGTGCAAATCAACCGCCACTAGCTTCAGCTCCAGATCGTGCGTGAACCTGGAGTTGGACGCCCCCTGGTCCCTACATAGCCCTCGTCGCGGTTAGATTTAGTCGGCGCTTTTTCTCCTGCCATCATATCGCATCACATCATCTTCCTCTCCACTCATGTTGCCGTATCAACGCAATGCCTCGAGCAAAAGTAGACCCTCGCTTCCGCCGGCGAGTCGCCCACGCCTGCGAGAGCTGCAAGAAGCGCAAGGCCAAATGCGACGGCATCTTGCCCTGCGACCAGTGTAAGACGCGCTGTGTGGAAGACTCGTGTCGGTACTCCCGAGACCCTCGCCCGACATCGCGGGACGGGAGCGAAAAGACGGTAGACAGCGGAGGTCGTGCGCGAGGGCAAGTCAGAGTTGATCTGGGTGAGCCCAGAGGCAATTCGTCGTCAATTCGGCTTCGACACAAACAACAACTCGATGTTCCCGTCTCGGGCTCGGCCGCATCCTCGGCTGAGTCGCAGATGCTCAAAGACAGCAAAGGGAAATTCAGTATGTCGTAGTCCATGCTCACATAGTCCACACTTTCTCTTTGGATCCGGCAGTCTTGCTGACGCATTCGACACAGTATATGCTGGCGAATCGGCCTCTCTCTCCTTCATGGAGACAGTCAAGCACGCCGTGCAGATCGCGGTCGGGCCATGTGCCTTTACGAACGATCCCGGCCGAAGCTCAATGGTCGAGAATAGCCCCAAGATCCGCTTCGACACGGCCAAGAAGCCATCACTGGACATCTGCACCGCGCAAAGTCTTGCAAGCCAGTTCTTCCTTGCCGTGAGCGGGGCGATGGATCTTTTCGACCCTCCGTGGCTCAAAGACCAGGTGCAAGCCCATATAGAGCAGCCAGGTGAGACCCCCAAGTCCACATGTGCCATCATCTACCTGGCTCTTGGAATTGGGGCGCAGGGCAGGGCGCAGGGCGAAGTGGACGATGAGCTGGCTGAGGAGTGCTTCGCGTATGGTCGCCAACTCACAATGTTCCACCTGTTGGACGATCCTGGCCTGCCTACCATCCAGGCCATCTTACAGATGACATATTTCATGATTGCTTCATGCCAATACAACGCTGCCTTTATCAACTTGGGAATAGCCGTCCGAGCAGCATACACACTGGGCATCCACCTCCACGAAACCAACACAGCCTTTGGGGGCGACGAGGGCTTATCTAGAGAACGTGCGTGGAAGTCATTGCGGGTCTGTGATTTGTTCTTGGCTGCCTCCTTGGGGAGACCGCCGGCGACGTCCGAGTCTGTCTCCAACATTGCTATGACACCAATTAAATCACTGCCCGACTACGAGAGTCCCGGCGTTGCTGGCCAAGTCTTCTCTGCCATGTTCCGGATCTGCAACGTCTTTGAGAGGATACTGGTCGAGGTGTATGCGGAAAAGGCCGTCAGCCTCGAGTTGGCCAAAAGCATCTCGCGGCAGCACCGGCAATGGACAGAGGAGCTGCCCCAAATGCTCATGGTAGATGGCTTGGAGCATGCCGACTCAAACGGCTCTGGCCTGTCGCCCCGCAGTTTTGGGCTGGAGCTCAAGCACGGCTCCAGCCTTGTGACGATGGCGTATTACTATTCTATTGTGCTGCTCACAAGGCCGTTTTTGACCTTTCAAGTTTACCACGCGTCAAGCAAGGAACTCAATGATGATAGCTCTACGGCCAGGGCATCTATTGCGACCTACGCCGATGCTTGTGTTAATTCGGCTATCAAAGGCATCGACATTGCATACGAGTATGTCTTTGAGCTGAACACTCCCAAGCGGCAGCCTCATGTCATCAACAGTGTCTTCATATCAGTTCTATGTCTTGGACTGGCATGTCTAGACTCGTCAATTCGTCACAAATGGCCAACGGATGACGCCATGGATCGGGCTATCAAGATTCTGGCTCATCTGGGGAAGCATAGTACTCAAGCCTCTCGATATGCCACCATTTGCGGCCAATTAAAAGAAGCAGCCTTCATATACACCACCAGAAGGGCTGATACGTTACTTGAAGAGAACAACCAGAAGACACGGACTATATTTGGCGATATACGAGCGCCATCGAAGAATCACGACGTTGGTGAAGACACGATCGAAAGTATCACCTCTCCTCAACGGTCCAGCTGGAGCCTGCCGACAGACGAGGGCATCGGCCACCCGATGACACCTCACTCGTTTGACTTCAGCACAATGCAAGACGAGTTCATGCTACCCACATCAGGTGTTTTGCCTGCACAGATTCTTTCTCATGGCTACGAGCATTTTGACACAGACGTGGGTGCGGCACATCATTCTCTGATGGATAATATTGATTCGTCTGGTTATTTGCTTGAACATAGTGTTCCGTTATTCCCCGTAACGAGCTATGTTTCACCCGAGTCTTATTTTGCTCAAGGGAATCTTGGAGAGAGATCTCTTTAGTCCGCAAGGATGTAGCAGCAATGTCGATATGAATGTTTGAATGTAAATTTTAAAATGATACCCTTTCACAACGATGAAACACTTTACCCCAATTCTTAGAATACTTCCTAGGTCAATTAGGGACCAGAATTGGAAAATTACTCTATATATCAATTACTAGTTCCAGGGAATCGAGTGAGTCTTTTTTTTTTATCTCCAATCAAAGGACTAGGTCCTGGCTCCAAGAATACGTGATTGGCCATTGTAATAAGTAAACGGTAGTTACCGGGAGAGGTGATAGATTAACCTCGGATATAGGTTCTATACCTAGTGTACAGTATATCCATTTTTCGTCTCGAGATGTGCATGTGCTCATGTATTTGACGTAGGATAAAACCAAGTTGTTAACTTATCAAAACACGTCCTGGTGACTAGCTTTCCGGATGGCATATTGCTCGTGTATGGTGATAAGCTAAGAAAACACATTTTTGCATTCCAAAATTTAAGCAGACAGCTTTATTCATTGTAAATTGTCACTAGGTATTTACGGAATGACACCTCTTCAGAGATGAGACTTTGCGTCACTCTTCTTGCCTGGCAACTCGCCAGGATCGGAAGACAAGACCCAGGAGTCTTTGTGGTAAGATTGGGGCCAAATTCCATTCTTTCCGGGTGCAAGAATTCCCTTGGGATCCAACGAGTTCTTAATCTGTTCGTTGAGCTTCATCTGGGCGTTGTCGTTGAAGTTGTAGGTGTTGGCAATCTGGTCCATCACAGCCAGATGTGTCCTGTATTCGCCCCAGCCATACTTGGCACAGTCATCAATGAGTGTACGGATCAGCCACAGTGCCCTTCTCTTAGATTCGGGGTCCTCGCGGTTGAAGACGATGCAGACAATGTGATCTGTATGTAGTTAGCAAATCAACTTTCCTAAGCCTACTTTTTGTTTTCAGCAGTAGATAAGGCTTGAACGTACGCATCTCTCTCATTCCCACCACAAAGTCGCAGATAGCTTCCAACCCAGCTTCCTCGCAGCGCTTCCTGGTGATCTGATACTGCAAAACAGCGTCGTCGCCAGTAATCTTGGAGATGGGCGAGAAGAAGAGATGAGCACCATTGGGAAGCCAGTCAATCCATCGCAGTTCATCATAAGTCGGGATACCCTGCAAAGTCTGGGCTCTAGTGCGAAGAATGCTGTTCTCTTCTGGGCGGTCTTCTGGGAAGTAGAACTTGGCTCCGGGGATTTTGGAGAAACTCTCCTTGATTACCGACCAAAGAACGTTACGGATGGGCTCCGGTCCCTATCCATTGCACGCCGGATTAGAATCAGGTAGAGATAGGACTGGCAGGACTGACTTACATAGAGGGCGCCATAGAAGTTCCAACGTCCAAGATCCAGGTCTTTGGCAATCTTATCTAGCTGCGCATCGCTAAGGGCCGCATCCGAATCTGTATAATATGATTTCGGATGGTGAACAGCGGCATCCATGGAGAGAGACCTCAAGGTCGGCACATTTTGCAGAACCATTTGCTATTGAAACTTGTCAGTAGATCGCCGGCTTCAGCGTTTCTTTTCAGCAATGCTTACGACTCGGAGTGGTCGGATGATTTCGATGACTTCATGCAAGTCTTCATCCCGAGGGAATGTGATCATGTATGCTTGGTAGCCACCGGGGTTTGGCATCAACTATGTGCTCTTCCGTCAGCTCAATTCCAGGCCACACTTGCGGTTGGGATAGTTCTCACCCAGATTCCCATTTTGACAACGATTCCAAGACTGCTCTGTGTGAAAATTCCATCGTTATACGGACCAAAGCCATAATTGAATAACTGCCAGGCTCGGTTACCAGGCTGCTCGTCTGGCCTCAGTCCGTCCCGATGCCCAGCTGTCCTATCTGGCATGGCTCCCATACCCGTTCGGATCAACTCTCCATTAGGTAGAACCACCTCCAATCCGCAGTGCATCATCCAATGATCTGGAGAGTTTCATGAGCAAAAAGTCCAAGGTCAGAATAACAAGATGTTGCTCACCGCCATAGGGACTGTATCCAACTCCTCTCTCAACGGCGTTGCCGATGATGGAACCACCTCCCAGATCCGGGACCTAGCAACCATCTGGATCAGCATAGCTTCAAAAAAAGCATGAAAACATTTCATCAATACTTACATCAAGCCAAACCTTTTCCCGAAGGTTGTTCTTCTCCAGGTATTGGTGCATATCATAATAGGTCACACCAGGCTCCACCAATGCGTATGCTCCGTCGGTGTTGACCTCAAGAACACGGTTCATGTTCTTGCCGAGGTTCAGTCCAATACTACCGGGGACTCTAGGTGCGGCGCCTCCATAGCCGGTGTTGCGGCCAATGGAGAACGGCCACACAGGGATGTCAAACTCGTTGCAAAGACGCATCATTGCCTGAACTTCGGGCACATTTCTTGGGGCCACCGTGGCAGAGCTGGTAAAATAGCTGCGGTCAAACAAATGGTGCATATCGTGTGTTTTGTTGGGCTCCATGTAGTTGCCGTCAACGAGCTGGTCTTCGCGCTCCACGACGAAGACATTTTCCGAGCCAGTGATCTCACGAGCCCTCTTGATGAAGTTCCGGAAGTGCTCGCTGCTTGTGTTGGGTGGAAGGACCAATGGGTCTCCTGGTGCCTTTGCCGCGGCGGCGTTTGTGTTGTTGGGCACCTTCAGGGCACTGCCCTCGAGGACCGGGACCGTGTTCTTGGTTGAAGACATTGGGTCGGGTGGTAATCCTTGGAAGTCTTGTTTAATATTTTTATAGTGATGGATCCTGAAGAGAAGATAAGTTCATTCAATCATGAGGATTGGAGATAAGAGAACAAAATGTCTCCAGGGAGATATCTTACGGTGGTTTATATCGATCGCCCGGCGTTGATGAAACATCCAACCGGATCATGCATACACAACTGTCGACTATTTTCCCCTCACGAGAAGCAAGGATGAGTGACGCGGAATCTACAGGGACGATGGATCGTGGGGAAGACGGGGAAAGGGGCCGGATGGGCCCTCAAATGAGGGGGTACCACATCCGTGAGACCTCGAGCCTCCACGGGCATCATGCGTGATGACTTTCCCGTCACGATGCAGGAGGACTTACAGGCCGTGGTGGTCCAGAACGACATCCGCCCGGCATCCGCCTCCATCCGCCCTGCATCCGAAAAGTGCTTCCGTGTACCTGAATTGACACACACTCTTAAGGCACGTACCCCAACTTAGGTATCTTGGGGTAATAATCAACTAAGACTTGGCCGTTCTTTCTGCCCTTGGTTTCTGCTGTGCTCAAGATATTTCCTTCATCTTCACTCAATCCAACTCGAAATGGCAGGATCTGAAACCACTCGACGCTCCAAGGCAGCAGTTCTCACTCCAGACGGGTCTGGTGTGCAGATTTGGACGAGAGAAGTCCCACCACCTGCGCGTGCGTGCATACTCATAAAGGTCCTTAGAGCAGGGGTCTGTGGGACAGATGCACATCTCGCTAAGGGTGACCAACCCTTTCCTGACCCTGTTGTGCTTGGGCATGAAGGCCTAGGGCAAATCATCGAGCTCGGCGAGGGCGTGGCAACAGACCATGCCGGCCATCCCATCGCTGTTGGAGACATTGTCTACTGGAACCCAATCAGACCTTGCAACGCGTGCTACGACTGTACCATCAGCGAAGACTTTACGGCTTGCACCAACGGCACGTTCTGGTCGCCTGCGGACCGGGCCGAGGTATGGGCAAGCTATACGGAACTAGCTACGTTGCTGCCCAACAATTCATTCTACCGCATCGATCCAAACGTCCCTTTGGATGCCTTCATTGCGTTAGGTTGCGCCCTCCCCACCATCCTGCAGGCTTTAGACCACCTAGGCGGGATACCCTCAGGGAGCACGGTGCTTGTGCAGGGGGCTGGGCCTGTTGGTCTGGCCGCCATTATGATGGCCAAGCTAGCCAACGCCAGGGACATTATCTGTATCGAGGGTGTTGATTCGAGGCTCCAGCGAGCCCAAGAATTCGGGGCTACGCTGCTGGTAGACTTCCGGAAACCGGAGCTTTCCTCGCGGCAAGCCCGCCAAAGCTTTATCAACAGCTCCATAGGCCCCAGGGGGGTTGGCGTAGCCATTGAATGCAGCGGGAATGCAGCCGCCTTCGATGAGGGGATTTCGCTCCTGGGCCGGTCCGGCAAGTATCTCCTTGTCGGCACATGGGCGGGGAACAGCACTGTTCCTTTCTGCCCCTTTGACGTGGTGCAAAAGGCCCTTACAGTAGTGGGCTCAACTTTTGCGTCCCCAAAGCATTACTACCGTGCTGCCAGACTTGTGGAAACAAACCATGAGGTGTTCCCATTGGCTCAATGCGTCACGCATAAGTATACTCTTGATGAGACCATAGAGGCCTTGAGAGCGGTTGGCGCCGGGGAGGTGGTCAAGGCTGTCGTGATACCGTGAGTATAACACAGGCAATTAATTATTCTCATTGATAAATGCAGTACATGTTTGGCAGCACATAGCAAATAATTATAAGAAAATGAGATTCAACCAGAATTTGCAGCCGAAACTGTTCGTAATTGTTGGCTTCACGTGAAGTCGATGGTGAGGAAAAGCTCGATCCTTCAAATGTAACATCCACAATGCGTGCTATTCGAAGCTTAATCAACTTAATATTTATCCCGGTTCGTGGTAAGATTCAAAATTGTCCTGATCGAGTATTAATCCCGGTGCTGATAGATCCGTTCATATACTAAAATTAGTCAATTACACCTCCGTTTCAAATCGAGCACGGAATCAGCTGATTTTGTCGAGATTTTTCTGTTCTGCTACGATAACATCCGCTCTCTCCCGAGCATCCGATCCTGCCACCTCCTGCACAGAAACTTCTCATTCTGGCACAAAAGGAGTATGGCTGCCACATGGGATCCAGCAAACCTATTTCAAATCAGCTACGAGATCGACAATGACTTCACTCTAATCTCCTGCGTGGGCGAGGATGAGACCAGACTCAGCCGTCCGCGGTGTAGATACTCGGTCCCCGAGATCTGGTATCCGGAAATTCGGTCTCAGCTTGCCAGATTCGCTACCCAAGACCCAAAATGTATATCAGCGCAGGAATTGATCGATCTCGCAAGGATTTGTCTTTGTGAGGAAACCCACCAGTACCAGGCGGAGCTCGTTGCACAGCGTTGGCTTGACGTGGTTGCCACCGCAGCTGAGCATCATGACCAGCTGCTCAGGAAGAGCAAGGAACAAGCATCAATTGCTACACATCTCAGCCAATTGGTACCTAACGGCGCAGAAGAGGAGCTGAGGGAGCATAAAATCAAGTACACGTCTGTACTTCTTGAGAACTATGAACAGCGCCGACAAATAGAAGAATTAGAGACGGAGCTATCAACAACCAGCACTTCGTTGGAGACTGTGAAGCAGGAAAACCAGGACCTCAGGGCTGAGGTAGAAGAAGCCTCCAAAAGGAAGGCATATACATCCAAATACAATGATATGCTTCGGAAGCAGCTGGAAGCCGCCACAAAGCGAGCGCAAGGCTTGGATGCCAAAGTGTCTTATATCGAAGGGGTGCACGGCAGTACTAAGACCCAAGCGGACAGGCTCCAGGAAGAGAACTCCTCCCTGAAAGCTGAAATAGCACGTCTGAAACATAAAGAAGGTGTTTTGTCAGATAAACACGAGCAAGCCCTCTCCGAGCTCTCAGCGCAGCGAGCTACGACTATAGCGCTTACCAATCAAGTGCAGTACTTGAAAACTTCAGAACGATTTCTGCGAGAGAGTATTTCTGCTTGTTGGTTTCATAATATTTACACGTGGGTTCTCCAACTTTTCGGTTTTTCAAGCCCTGTCCTGTCTAAAATACAGAGCGAGGAGAAGGCACAACTCTGGGTGTGATTCCCGCTGTATAATGTTTCCTTCAGGTTTTCTCTCCTCGTCATACTCTTAAAATCACACTCTGTAGAATTCGATCACCTATTCCATGCATAGTCATGAAGAATTATAATTTGTTACAATGGAGGATAGACCAAAAACATAAACATAGAGAACGCAATCAAGGATTCACTTTTCTGCCATAAGTTTCAATCAAGTTCTACCACTATATACTCTCTGAGCATTGAACCACAAATAAGTGAAAGTAGACAGCCAGGGGCGAATGACAAGGACGGGATTATGCGACAAAACATGCTGTATCGCACTTCACTTCAAGCTACCGAGCTAGGTCTTTATTTCACCCTTTTTCTACCCTTTCATCTGCAACGATCAGTCCATCGTTCCCCTTCAATATACTAATATCAAGACTCATAAAGAGAGATCTAGCGACATCTTATTGAAATATTGCTACCATTCAGGGTCAATGATGGGTGCTCTAGCCAACATCTTCTTGTTCACAGAGCCCCAATTGCCCCCTTATTTTTATCATAGAAAGAGATTTTCTTTTTATAGAGCAGTTCTTATGCTCTTATAAATTAACCTGTGACGCTGACGTACATTGACGAAATAGATCGCGAGTCTTCGAATCAGGTTTGAATGTTCATTGTTCGGGAGAGCCTCCACCAACATCGCTCGCTACCAATCACGCTGAGCAGAGACCTCTCCTATTTCGCTCCCCTTTCAATAGTGCCCTTTCCCTTGGATTACATAGTAGATGCACACACACCCTACGTGGTCTATTCCAGTGTGTAATAATCAAATCCGCAAATGGCGGGTGGGCGGGTCTATTACTAAATTTCCAGTCGTTAAGTTCGATCACAGAATCCAGGGGCGGGATTTTCCTTCGACCGCAATGTCCCGGTCGTCGTCTTTGGAGCGGAAGAAGGGTGACGTGGACAACTCAAGTGGACAAATCAATGTCTGGGTCCGTCTGGGTCCGTCTGGCTGATTAATGCTGCGCGTGCCGGGCTGGCCACAAGGCTCATATGCAAAGATGATTCATTGACTACTACCGAGATGCATTCCGCTTACTCTCCAAAAGCAAGTCAACAACAACCAGCCAACCTCGACTCTTGACGACTGCCGAGTGGGGGAAGCAGAGTCGGCCGCTAGCGTGAAAAGACATTCATCATTGCCCTGTCTCATTTTACTCCCTCCACCCAGCCCACGCCCCCCCTTGCCTCCTCTTTCCACAAGTCAGGCACCTCTGCATCTCCGCCCGTCGCCTCCTGATGACGACTCATACCTCCATCCCGGTTGTCCATATCTCATGGGCAACTACTCCGTACCTACGTAATAACCTCCCTTCCCCTCTCCCCTCCCTTCCCCCGCTTCATCTGGACCCAACACCTACCCCAAACCAAAGTAACGAGAATCGTTAGTCTTAAGCCCCATTGAGCAAAATCTGTGAATTTATTGCAATTATGCCTTCCTATATTCTTTGTTATAGCCTTCATTAGCCCGTCGTCATCATATAGCTATGCGTGTATCCATAGAGCAAGACGGTCGCTCTGGCAGATAGCAGGATTCTGGCATACTACAAAGCAGAATGGACCTTTGTTAGCCATCTCCTCATAGATGCCATTGCTTGCCCTACGTGGCAGTACATGCTCTCCTCCACTTATCAGCCGCTGGCAAGACGGGGCAGGGAAAAGCTGGAAATAAACACAAACCCAGCAGGAAACATTGCTGGAGCTCGACCAAATCCTCGGCAAGCTAGAGCACCTACTAGTGATGATAAATTATTCCGTCAGCACCCAATCGGAAGGCAGGAGGATGCTTTCCAATCCATGCATAAGCTCAACAAAAAAAATCCCATGCCCATCTCCTGAGGAACATAAATCTCATTTTTCGGTTAACAAGATATTTTGATGGTATTCATATCTAAGCAGGGGACCGACCAAAGCCGGAATTTATATGCATGCGTTTCTACAGTAGCCATTTGCTATGGCGGAATGGCTTGGCACCTGGCGTAGCTCAGGGGCAGATGAGCTTCGATGTGATAGAATCCTTAATCAAGAGCAGTCTCGTATCTGGAGCCACGTCATGCAACAATCAGTATAAGTAATTCATGAAAAATTGGGTATTGACTTTTTTCTGCTTGTGACAATCAATGTTGAAAAACAGATATACCAGTTCGTCTATTTGTTCTCGTGGTAGCCCCTCCCGGCTCGCAAATCCTCCAGCCAGCTGAACAATTGCAAGGGAGCGTATCTTCACCGTTTTTCTACAAAAAAATCAGGGTTATCCTTCCTTGGGCGGAGCTTATCGCTGTGCGGGCCGTAATCCCGAGGTCAAGAACATGAGAGAACTTCATCCGTGCTCGTGGGAAACAATCCCCGATCTACATACACCGCAAGTCCCACCCCAAGATACCCCCAGACGGTTCTTTCACGGTGTCAGGTACCGGCATGACCCTGAAGAGATATGACGTTATTGCAGTTGCCGGACATACTTTCAGGGTTCAGGCCAAAATGCAGGGTCCGGGTGTGGCCATAGGACTAAACCCCCTTTCTCGTTCATTTGCCATTGAAGCGAGCTACATTGCCAAGTCCAGGAACCTTGGAAAGTCCCCGGGCGGTCAAAGTCAAACTCTCATACATAAAATTTTGTTGTGTCATTTTTTTGCCGAAGCTAAGAGAGGCAGTCCAGGCTCTTCATGAAGCTCATATACCACCCGGTGGCCCAGGCCCATCAATGGCTTGCCAATCACTTTACCATACAAGAGGAAGAGCATTGCATAAGACGTTGGATCAGATTTTCCCCGCTAGCTCCATGGAAATTGTTCTTTGCTATCAACCGTGCGAACCGCTGGCTCCTTCAAAGTCCCCAAAACGAAAGCCACAAAGTAGGTACTTACATCTAAACAATTACAAGAATGAGCATCACCGTCTTGCACATAGAATCCAAGTTGTAAAAAAAATTCAATCACCTACAGCTACAAAATATTATAGAAGATAGAGTAAAACAATAAAAGAAAGAAAGAAAGAACGAAAGGGGGAAATAGCTCGCAGATGCGTTTCAAGACAACATATGTTTTAGCCATGGCGGGTTGAAAATTCCATCTGGTATGCCCGTTTTGGTAATTAATGTGATGTAGATTGATCGTATTCTCGCTCTATAGACTGGGGCAAGTAAAAAGAAATGAAAATAAACATACATGCTCAAAGAATAGCCGCTCTATCTAAGTAGCCGGAATGCTGAAAAACAAATCAAAAGATAAACAGATCCCTGACCGACCGGCGGGCCTTTCGCCCTCGGCCTTTTTCTCGTCGCATCTTTTTAACTCATATACTCATTAAGCAATTGCTCGACATAAGAAATCGTGGGAGACTTCACCTCCCTGTCATCGGGTACCAAGAGCCCTGTCTATGGATTTTGCCTGCCTGATATAATCAGAGATTATCTGAGCCGTCAGCAAGGCTTCGGTGTATGGCGTCGAGAATTTCCTGCTCTGAGAACATGGGGCCGTGGCCATCACTTGTCGCGCGCTGTTGCAGATACCGGCTCACGCTCGTGATATCGATGAGTCCACGCTTGAACAAGCCATGTGCGACAATATAATCCCAAGCAGCACCAGCAGCATACAAACTCTGGCCTTTAGGCTCTGCGGCCCGGTGGGAGCCGGATTTGTCCTTGTGTCCTGGCAAGACGTTGCTGGACGAGGAACTCTGGCTGAAATTCATGGGCGGGCCTGTAACGAGCGAGTCGGCGGAGCTGTCAACGCTCCGCCGGTTGGTGCTTCTCGCCTTGAGGATCTGGTTCTCCGTCGTCATCTTCTGGAGGTCTTTGCGCAGCCTCTCGTTCTCCTCCGACGCCTTCTCTTGCGAAGTTTTGAGACGCTCGAGCGACGCTTCTAGATCTTTGACGTGTTTCTCCTTCCTCTCTCTGAATGCACGCTGGCTGCGAGTGGAAGGTCAGCGATGAATTATTACAAAAGAAAAGGCATGCGATCCCACATACGCTGCTCGGTTCTGGGCCTTCCTCTTGGTCTGCACATCCTCGTCGCTGGTCCCTCGCCCGTGATTTGGCTCATCTGACTCTGATCTGCGTCCCATGCCCATCATGTCGCCCATCATTGGCAGGTTACCATCCATAAAGATTCCATTTCTAGGTCCCATGGAGACAGGCATGGATGGCGAATGCGCGTGGACGACAGATCCGGCAATGGAAGGGAAAGGGCCAGCCTGAGGCTGGCCGTAATGATACGCAGGGAAATTATCGTCCATACTGTCATAGAGTTCCTGTGGAAAAGATGTAAGTCAAATATTCCTAGCATCCCGCCCATACTCGAGCACGAGCTACTGACAGTTGCGGCATCCAGCCCAAGCATTTCGGGCGATTTGGGTGACAGAGGGCTTGGGGAATTAATCGAAGATTCATTGTAGTCCTCCGAAGTCGTGGATTGAGTAGCCGTGGTCGGCATCGATGTCGGGGCCACCGACACATATGAATCCTGATGGGCCGACGGCCCACCAGGGAAGGGATACTGGTTGGAAAAATACATGGCGGTGATGGTGATGGCTTGCTCAATGGGTATTCTCGTGATGCCGTCGCCTACACGTTGAAGGTTGATCTTCCTGATCCAGCGACTTTCGCCAAAGGCTAGCGAGACCAGTTGGCCAGAACAGCGGCAATTAGTGCTCTGGACAACAAAGGTGGGCAAATTGGTCCAAGAGATCGATAATTCATGAATACGATGCGAGAATGATGGGTATTTAAAAGGCCGCCAAACCTCATCTCCATCTGCCCTTACCAATTCATCCATAACGCCTGTCTAAGACGGTGGAGTACATGATGAGCTTCCGGAGAGCAAGGAGGAGGTTAGCGGCAAGACATGGTCAAATCTGTTAGCCGTCTTGTGTCGTGTTGAGCCCTGTATCTGTTCCCTTCTTGCATGTGCGCTTACTGCTATCTTCACCCCCACATCCCTTGTCCTAGGTCTTGTAAAGGCTACACTATTCTCAATTCAACTCAGCCTTGAGGGGAATTCGGCCCTCTTATCTCATGGACACTCCGGAGGAGCTCTTGACGTCCTGAAACGGACGTGCTGGGAGGCAAGTTGGGAAAGGCACCTCTGAAAGTCAGTGCTCCGAACAAGCAAAATGCCTGGACAAGAAGGCGGCCTACTCGATCGGTACCACTCTACCGGGGACGACACACGGGCGATCGATCTTGAAACAGAAACGGATGGCCGGTAGTGTTGCTGACATTGTGCGTCCCACCAGCAAGGACCTTCTCAGCCGCATCTTCCCCATCACCAATTGAGCAATGGCCCAAATAAATGATTTTCCAGATCTGGGGTTCCTCCGTCGGCATTCCCGTCTGCAAGTGCATCATCTGCAGCGGGATGGCCGCCACTGCATTAATGTGCTGTCCCTCTCAACAGCTTTAGGTCGCAAGCTCCGTCCTCGCAGTAGTTTGGGGAGGGGGTTGATTCCAACGGCTCTCTTTAGGGTTAAACCACCGCCATCGCGGCAGTGGAGAGGTGCCTAAGTGCCCTAATGGAGCAGGGTGTGTCTGAGGGTGTGATCACTGCTGATCGATCTTCCAACGGTCTCTAAGCTAGGATCACGACCCGTTATCCCACTCTATCCGGGACTAAACGACGGCGGCGGTGGGATAGACACTCGTCTGTGCTTGCCTCTACGTTCCCCAAGTTAATAATACCTCGGCTGCTGAACGAAGATGCAGCGGTGACAGTAACGTTATCCCGACGAGGCCGTCTTGCAGCGCTCAAAGACCTCCACCGCCCAATCAACTGGCTACCGACCCATTAGAACTCAATTTCCTCAAACAGAAGTAATCTTTGTTGTCTTTTTTTCTCTCTCTAGCACAGGAAGCTTGGCACCTCATGGTAAAGCTTGAAGGGATATCTCCCCCGCCGCTTATTACGTAGAGCTCTCTCAGTTCATTTATGGTCATAAGACATACGGCATTTGCCGACACGGCACTCCGCAGGCGCGCCCTAAAATGATTCTCAGCCAGTGGGGAAGACATCCGGGCGCCGTTTGTGAGCTTGTCATAGTAGGTCAATCACATTTTGGAGCGTTTTCATTTTCAACACTGGACCTTCACTTAATTCGCGCCGCGAGTGGACCAATCTGCCTGTAGTCTATTGTCAAATGCTTCTTGGACGGTCGCTATAACCCCTCTTCTTTGAGGCTTTTTCCATCGCTTGGTTTAAGTTTTCTCCTGGACTCATACCTGTGACTTTAGGGCCCTGAGATACCGGCGTATCAGGACGTTGGATCTCGGCCACATGGGAACTAAAATGACTTGTCACTATGCATTTAGGTGTGGCAAAAGGGTGCCTGCACTGATTCACCAGTTCCAACACCAGCTCGACCCGATAACCGAGAGTGGTGGATCCAAGATTGCCCAACTACTCTCATAAAGGCGCCAACCCTGCCACTGACAACGCGGGGTTCGTGCGGACTTGATGGGACCCTTTATCTAGGTCACCAAGAGAGATAGCGGCAAGATGTGTGGCAGAAGACCCTTCTTGCTTCCAGCCTCTTGTCTCCCTTCCCAGAAGGTCACTGGCGCATGGGCATATAGGGTCCCTTGTTATTAGATGATGGCCAGGCCACAGCCAGCCAACCAAGAGCTTGACCGTAGACCACAAATTGCAGGGCATCATACATTCTTGTTGACGTCTCAGGAGCTCGGCATTTGGCGAAGCACTGCCATTGATAGGACATCAATGGTTCCACTACACCCTACAACCCACCGATACCCATTGATCTTCGATGGTCGTAGTTATCACAGGTCCCTGCATAATATATACTACACATACGGTCTGGTTACATCTGCTGCCAAGAAGCCTACACGGCAGCCCCATTCTCATGATGACTTCAGTTCACCTCATCCACCCTGAGCGCCTTGGGTGGCTCAGAAAACGTCAATAAAAGAATTCTAGGAATCATTGTCGCCCTTGAAAGATGTGAAGTGAAAAAACACGACTGCTAGTGGACATGAAACGTACAACTCGAAGATCCAGAAGCCATTCCTCTCGGGGTAGTGGCATGACTCGTCCATGATTGAGCATTCAGTTGCGAGCACTCTAATCTATTTAGCTGGAAACCTTGGAGTTTCCCAAAGGTGGTAGGCCACAAGTGCAAAAGAGACGCCCGTTTCACGCGCTAGCTGGAGGATAAGAGCCCAGATCCCGTTGCGACCATCCAGCCGTGACATTACTTCGCTTAGGGCAGTCATTTGAGGGGCAGTCTAGAGGCCACGACAATACAGCATTATGGGCTTGATGGTGACACGTGGAGGCGTGCTGAGGCAAGCTCTCATGAATGCGCCATTCGGTTCTACGCGGGATTAAGGCACCTGGGTCCATTACAATTCGGGAATGCGTTGGGAAACGGCCTCTGGGATGGTCGCTTAACGGGATATTCCAGCGGCCGCCAAGTGGACTCAACAGAGACTGGGAACAGCTCGCTGAAAAGTGGCCGCCGGAGCTATTGCCCCTGGTGCGTAATTCACTCCGTAATCTGCAGGGCATTTCGCCTAATGCAGGCCAAGGCGTGTAGGGGCAGCTGCCGAGGCCTTGATTCGGGCGGTAGATATTTTGGCTTCGTCTGCGCCCGCATCAAGAGACATCAGACGAGGAAGACGATCGCGCCAACTAGCCCTCAATGTCCTAGGTATCTCAAATACCCCATTTGGCGTGTTTGGATATTGAGCGAGCGGCCGACCGGTAAACATGCAGCTAGTTAGCTTACTGGGGATAGTGACATGCCAACCTCCAGCTGAGAGCTTCATTGCCCCGTCACGCACGCATGATCCTTCGTGGCACAATAACTTCTCTACTGCACTATCCACAAGATGTTTTCTCATACGAAAATAAAAATTACATGCCTATTAATAGATAGCCGAGGTCGACAGGTATACCGGAATTCTCGCAATGAAAATTCTTTCACGCGGGTTAGTGAATGAAGGTTGTAAAATGGAATACAGACATAACCTGGAGTTTCCCGTCGTAAATACTATCTTCCTCACCAGATACACGCCGTAAGTAGTCTGCATCGATTCTTCATTCCATACCGCGCCCTGAGATTGATTCTCCTCTTCTAAGTCCAAGTGCAAACCTTCTTGCCAAAGTGTTCTGTGACCAGGTGAAATGGAGCCTTATGAAGTGCAGGGTTATCTTTAGCACTTAGTTTGAGTCTATATTATATAGTTATAAAATCGCATTGCACACGGTAATTCACGTTGTCCTGTTTTCGTCATTTCTCTCTATAATGCTTGATGATACCTCGCCACCCAAGTGTATAATACCAAGCTCCCAGAAATGAAAGCCTTCAGCAAAAAGAAGCTGTAAGTGAATTGATCACGAACAATGAAGTATATTGTATTGCAGTTTCTGTAAGATAGTGAGTTCAATGGAATCTGAAGGCATGCATTACCCAGACACCTGTATACTGCTCCAACCTTCCATTTCTTTGTCCTCATGCGACCACGTTTTTGGCAGTTACATAGAATGATCCTATTTTAATTTTTTTGGTAAATTAGATGTAGATGTCTATTTCTAGGGCATTAAACTGGCATCTGCTAAAAGGCACGTTATCCGTGAGAGTTGACTATATCAAGAGGCAGCGTGGGCTTGTTACACAGAGTCATGCATAGGCAGGTCACAACAACTCGCTTGACTTTGTACAAGGTTATCCTTCCTTTCTATGATGAATACAGGCAAAAGAAATCTAGAGCAGCGAAAAAAATAAGCAAGCATGCCCAGTTGGGCTTACAATTTGCTCAAGGATCCAAAAGCTCGACGAGCAAAAAGTAAAGCTCGACGTGGGCCTGATTCGAACAGACGCTCCCGAAGGAACAAGATTTCTAGTCTTGCGCATTAGACCACTCTGCCACCACGCCTGGTGCTTGTTGGCTGGTTCCCAATTACGTTACATGAAACATGCACCCCACCTCGCAGGGACGAATTTGCCTGTACTGGGCACCATCAAATAAACCTCAGTTTGGTGAAGACATGGAGTAAGAAGGTTGCCTCGTTTCCGTTTCCAAGGATAATGGCCCTATTATATTATAATCTATGTATCGGCCTAGATGTCGCTCAAACGCAATGCCAATTAAACAATACGTAAACATGATTCGCGCCTCATTACGGTTGTAGTTTTAGACCCAAGCCAGTATCCCCATACCTCTCCCTGTTCACACGACTCGGAGAGAGCGTGTTCCCTGGCAGCTCGACAATGTGGTCCTGCGTCGCAAGCTCCTGTGCCGGCTGCTGCTGATACCACGCGCCCAGGTGCCCTCGCTCCCCGGAGGACAGCTCGCTCGGCGCCTGGCCGTACGACTGGTGCGTCCGACCACCCTCGCTGTACAACGTGGTCCTCCATTGATCCTGCATCGTGGACATTGGCGGCGACGGCGAGGCCAGATAGTGCGGTACGGGGTCGTACTGCTCCGAGGGCGCGTACGGGGACAGGTGCGGCGAGACGACCTTCTGGTAGGAGGGGGAACCCAGATGATGCGAGCGCCCGTCGTAGGAAGACGCAGGCTGCGACGGGCCCATGAGGCCCATCGCAGTGCTCGAGTACCGGCCGTCGTTGTTATTGTCTCGGCGTCGCTTCCAGAACCAGAGGAGGGCCGCGATCAGGGCGACACCAGCGATGACGCCGATGGCGATGCCGACCTTTGCGCCCGTGGACAGCCCACCGCCGGCATCTGCCCCCTCGGGGAGGAAGTTCTTCTGGTTCTCGCGCTTGTCGCTCAGCCTGGCGGCGTAGAGCTTGTCGGCCGGGCACCCGTTGAGCGCGCACGGGTTGTCGGAGCAGCACCCCATAAAGGGGACACTGATGGCGGCGCACGCCCACCACTGGACGCTCGGGTCGGTGCTCACGCAGTCCTGCGCCGCGATGCTGTTGTACGAGTACTTGTCGAAGGTGGAGTTGCGGAGGTTCTTGTCGGGGCACAGCCCGTCGCTGGTCTTGCACGGGTCGAGGTCGCAGCAGCCGACGAACTTGACATCCTTTTGGTCGCAGACGTAGAACGAGCCGCCCTGCTTGCAGTCGGCGCCCAGCACCTTGATCGGATTGGTCGCGGGGCCAACCATCTTTTCCAGCCGGGGTTGGGGGTTGGGTTTCGGTTGGAATGTCAGCAGCAGCAGTCGTCGTCGATTGATGTGGTCTGGTCCCGTGGCTTGCTGTTCCTCGCTCTCATCTACCGTGACACATGCCAAACGTACGTTTTGCAGAGTAACGGTCGGCAAGGAAAATTCGTTGCGAGGAACAGGATCCTCCAAGGGGAGAGGCTGGCTGGCTGGGAGGGATCATAAGCGATCGACTGCATATCAAGCCGGGACAAGACGCCACCAGCGGCCGTCCAGCCCCAAATGCTTGGCCTACCTGCTGAGAACACAACTTTGTACAAGGGTATTTACATAAATCTGACGCGGGCTAGTAGTGTAGTGTTGATTGGTTCTAGGCCGAGGGGAGGTGAGCAAATAATCAAGCCTGGTTGATGGCGCTCTCAGCTGCAGTGGAGCTGGGCTGATCCTACGTTTGCAGAATACGACCCAATTCATATTAGGACCTCGCATCGACCATGGAATCTCTCGAGGCCACGTTTGGGCGCCGGGAATGGGCCAGCAGGCGGCACCAGCCAGGGCAAATTTTCCCCATGGCTACCCGAGTTCGCTACGGTTATGGGCCGCCAAAACGGCAAACGGGGGGGCAGAGAGGTTATTAGGACACTAGCAGCCCTAGCAGCACCTCCATGGAGCAGGGCTGGGCCCTTCTTATGCTGACTCTGGGCTCAGTGCATGCATAACCAGTGAGAAAACGGTCTCGTGGTGGCTCAGGTGCGGGGTTGCTCTGGCACCATCTCGAATGGGAGCAGGGTGAGGCAAAGCTACTTCCAACCACCCTCCTTCTGTGGCCACAGGCGTCAGTAGCGGCGCAGTAAGATGCTACCCATCGGATCGAATTTTGTCATTCTTTTGCGAGGTGAAATGTGGCTAGAGCCACCGGCGTGCGCGAGATGGAACCGGCTGTTGCGAAAAGACGATGCTACCCTAAACCCTAGCATGAGGGTTTTCAATTGACGGTCTGCCATCGTCGAATCTCATGGCATAGATCAATCAGGGGACAGGTATTCTAATGAAATTGAGGATATCATCGCTAAATCCTCATAAAGGTTTTGAATCGCATATGAAAGCAGTGAACGAACCCTCTTCAGATTTTCGATCCTGGGAAGAATTCTGAGGAGGAATATGGCAAAAGGAAATGAACCTGAGGACTGCCCCGTACTGGAATCGAACCAGTGATCTTATCATTACTAGTGATACGCTTTACCACTGAGCCAACGGGGCTTCACATCCTAGGGGGATGGTTGACGTGTTGCGGGTGGAATTCTGTCAAGTACGCTTGCCTTCGAGGACGCGTCGAAGACTCACTCCAAAGTGAGTTTCGCGTCAGCTTGGTTTCTTCACGTTGTCGCGTCAGCTATCTGGCATTGAAATTTCCAAACCATGGAGAAAATCAAGCGGAAATCAATGTCCGCGGGTGCTTGGGAAGAGAGGTTGTAATAGCGGGATTACTGTCAGACCGTGACGCGACTGGGCAACACTATAGAGCACGTCGATCATGTGGTCTGACGTTCTCTGATAGCCCTCGAATGAGTCGTACATAACAAATTAAAAAGTAGATCATGGACTCAGGTCCGTATATTCATTGCACTTGACTAAAATTTCCCTACATCAATGTCAACATGACGTTTGGGCTCCATCTGCCTTCACCGCTGCGAACAACCATCCATCACTAGGCTTCCTTCCATACGTCGCTGTATCAGATCACAACAGGGACACACTCTCTCGACGCCTACTTCTCCCCTTTCTTCTCGAGAAACGCCTCCAAAGCATCGGGCGCGGCAGCCTTGATGGCCGACTCAGGCTCCCAGGTGGGTCTTGAGAAGCCAACCCACTCGACCTGGATGAAGCGCTCTCCTTTGGGGTCGGTCTTGACGCCCTTGAGGGCATAGATGGTGAAGAGGCCCTCATCCTGGGGGTTGACAGGTCGTCCTCCCTGGGCCTTCCAGTACTGGACGAGAGCCCTCTTGGCGTCGCGGTGGATGTTGACCTCAGGCTCCCAGCTGGTTTCGTCGGTGCCCTGCCAGCGGACCTCGAGCAGGATCTTGTCGTCCTCCCACTTGTGGTTGACAATGTCCTCGAAAAGCCACTTCTTCAGGCTCTTGCCGATGCTGACGGGCCCCGTGGCGGGCTTGGTCGCGTTCTTGGCCGCATTGGGCTTCCTGCCCGGCCTGCCGCGGCCAGGCGTGTTTTTGCGTGTTTTGGTGACCCCAGCCGAAGACGAGTTGGTGCTGGCCGCCGCCGCAGGCTCCTTGCGCTGCTTCGTTCGGAGTGATTTCCGCACTGGCATGGCGGCTGGAGCTTGGTGAATTTTTGGTTTTCTGCTGCGAAAATGATGAATTTGATGGATGCGACGCGTGTTTGCAATGGCGAGGCTGTGGGATGTAGAGAGAAACAGAGAGAGAGATGGAGGAGGTGAGGTGAGAAGAGAGTGAGTGAGTGGAGGGGAAGGAATAAACAACCGGCAGCAGCCCAACACACATTGACACACAGTATGTATTATTGTCTGTAGGTCTGTTAGTCAGGCTGCGGCAGCACCTCACCCTCCACCACACGCACGCGGCCGTCCAGAGCAGCGAACGCAGCCTGACTTCTCACCCGCTGCCTCCCTTTCGTTTCCGCCTCTTCGTCTCTTCATTAGCGGCTGCGTGAATCAGCATCGAGCATGTGCATCCTGGCATATGGCGCGCAGGTTTTTATCTCAAGACCGTATGGATAGCACTGCTATTCGCCTCGCCTGCCCGCTGGCTCGATTGATTGATCGATCGCACTGGCTGACTCCTATCTCTGATGCACGTCCCCTGTTCCCTGAGACATTTCTTCCCTAGTGAACTGGTGTGTTGGATGTTTTTCCTGAGCGCAGCCGCCCGACCTGAGGCACAACTGAGCTGACTCTATGCCCTGGGAAACAGCTATGAAGAAAATCGCGATTGAAAACAGGAATGGAATGAGAGAGAAATACACTCATTCTAATTCCACCCACGAGAATCAGGCGTATGTCAATTTGCTTAGTCGGGGTCCAGACCCAGCGCAGAATGCAAGAGCAAACCTCGCCTCTGATAAATGATATTTGATATCTTCTTGTCGGACAACCTTTCAGGGGACTGTGCGTCATGAAACGGCAGTGCGAGAGCCTCTGTTGGGATTATTTCCAGAGCCAAGGGCCTGCACCTGAATGCTTATGGCACCGCACTGGATCGAAATCGATCGGAAACTGGCTGTCGCAGCCTGCCTGTATGTGCACCTTGCTTTCCGCTAGAGGACTTGCGATTAATTATAGGCTGTCATCCACGTCTGAGGATCAAGTTCTGCGCTGGAGGCACCGAGCACCGTAACAAAGTCCAGTGTCGCGATGTGATTGACGAGGGACGGCTCACAACCGGTATCGCACGCCATTTATTTCGGGTCGATTTCCGTTTATGTAAATTGCGAATCAGCGATCAACCGAGCTTAATAATGATAAAAATCCACCTTGATGTGTTTGCTCTGGTCCGGGAATATAAAGGACATTTTCTCCTCCGACAACCATCCGCCTGGCCAAGACGTGCGCAGGAAGCTCTGGCGCGAGACATGTAAAATGTCAGTCAGGCCGTCCGAGAAAAGGGTTCATGTCCCTGCGAACGACTCCGATCGGAAGGATGAGGAATTCCCGATTGATAATGGTCTCGGAGCGGCGCCGATTATCGCAGCGCCACGAGTCAATGAGTCCGAAGCCAGCGAACACGTCGACGGCGGCTTTTTGGCCTGGCTGCAGGTAGCAGGGTGTTGTTTTCTCTACTGGAACAGCTTGTAAGTGCCACATGCGCTCTCTGTTGATATCCTTGCCCTTATTATATGGTCTCACACTTAGTCGACTAGGGGGCTCATCAACGCATTCGGCGCTTTCCAGACCTTCTATGAGACCCAGCTTCTCCGAGAGGCGTCAGCCTCAGCAATCTCCTGGATTGGTTCGATACAGATGTTTCTCCTCTTGGCAACTGGACCCATCATTGGCCCATTGTATGATGCAGGCCATTGCAGACTCTTGCTGTACATCGGCGCATTCCTCGTCGTCTTCGGCTTCATGATGACCAGTCTCTGCACCGCGTACTGGCAAGTCATACTAGCCCACGCCATCTGCGTCGGCCTCGGGGCTGGCTTCTTGACCATCCCGGCCATTGCAATCGTCCCTGCGTACTTCCAGACCAGGCGCGCCCAGGCGATGACCACGGCCAGTATCGGAAGCTGCCTCGGCGGGACGATCTATCCGCTCATCTTCCAAGAATTGCAGCCTCGCATCGGATTTTCCTGGACTGTCCGCATACTGGGCTTTCTTACGTGTGCCATGTGCTGCTTCTCCTTGGCCGTTCTGCGCCCCCGCCACCGCGGCCAGCGTCAATTGCAGGGTGTCCGGTCCCTCGTAGATCGCACGGCATTTAGGAGCGCACCCTACTGCCTGTACTCGGTCGGGGTCTTCTTCAGCAACCTTGCCTGGTTTGTGCCGGTGTTTTACATCCAGACGTATGCGCTCTCCCATGGATTGGAAGCGCAGCCCGTAGCCTTGTATCTGGTTGCCATCATGAACGCTGCGTCGATTCCTGGCCGGATCTTGTTGGGAATCCTGTCTGATATACTGGGGCCCGTCAACACCTTCGTCTTCATCACGGCCTCCACCACGATTGTGGTCTTTTCCTGGCCCGCGGTGAGCACAGGGGCGGGGAACATTTCTTTCTCCGTGTTTTACGGCTTCTTCTCAGGGAGCCTGGTAGCTGTGGCTCCCGTTGTGTTGACGTCGTTTACAAAGGACATGAAGGTGCTGGGGACGCGCCTTGGAATGGTGGCATTCCTCAAGAGTATGGCTTCTTTGATCGGTTCCCCCATCGCTGGTGCTATTCTGGGAGAGTCGCGCAATTATCTCGGCCTTCAACTCTTCCCCGGGATTTCCTTTACGATCACGGCGGCGTTTATGGTGGCGTTGCGCTCAGTGCTTGCAAAGACGGAATCGAAAACGAAGATATGACTGTTATACATAGATGTTCTCACTATTTAAATTACGTTCCTATTGACAATTGGACTTATTAAAGAGTTGTTTAAGCATTGCCGCTCGAGCAATGATGAAGCGCACCATTCTGTCCACTTTCAAGACACGATTTTCAAAGAAACACTTCATGCTTGCTCATGCGTGCTTGATCATTATGGCCGAACATTGAAAACAGCACACCCTAACCCATCTTCCTGGGAGGAATCTTGCTTTGAAACATGCGATCAATCTCATAGTAGGACTTCCCTTTGAGCTCCGGAACGAAAAAGAAACTCCAGATGGTTGCAAGCGTACACAGGCCTCCGAAGATAAACCCGACCTTGCCCTTGAGATTAGCCTCGTCCGGGTTGACAAGGTAGGGAATGACAATGTTCATCACCATTCCCACAACAGCCTGTGTTGCCGTTGCGAGAGCCATCGTGGGCGCCTTCAGCGTCGTGCTGCTCGTTTCACCGAGAATGGCAAACGCCATCGCACCGATGGTGGCAAAGTATGCAAAGGCATAGAGAACAGTGCAGGCGGCCTGGACCCATTGCGCGCCGCTCGTGGGGATGACATCCATGATGCCAATGAGCAAGAGGAGGACGTCGAGAGTGACCATGCCGGTCAGGAATATCTTGCGACGCCCAAATGAGTTGACAAAGAACCAGCTGCAGAAGTTACCCAACACACCGCAGGCCGTGACTCCAACGCCAAGGTTGAAGCTCTGCGCATCGCTCACACCCGCCAGTTGGAAAAAGTAGGTCGAGTATCCAAGCACAAAAACGATACCGGAAAAATGCTGGCAAACGAAAACCCCGATGCTGATCACGGTCCGGATCAGATCGACTCCTTTGAAACACTGAATCATGGATGGCGTCTCCGACTGGAACGCAGCCTCCTCTGCAATGGTGCGCTCAAGGCCGGCCACTTTGGCGTCTATGTCGGCACTGTCCCCATACAACTTCCGCAGGGACTTTTTAGCCTCCTCTATCTTTCCTCGTCGGACAAGATACCAGGGTGTCTCGGGAGTGAACGGAAGCCCAAGCCCGAGAATGACAACGAAAAACAGCTGGACGGCAAAGGGCCCGCGGTAAGCCCACCTGTCCTCTCTTTCCCCGAAGCCCTTCACGACGCCATTGGATATAAGCTGACCAATGGCGATACCCAAGTTTACACCGGCAGTCGAAATACCTCGGAGGACGGTAGGGGCAATCTCAGAGGTTGCCAGAGGACTCAAGGTCAGATAAAAGCCCAGGCCAAAGCCGAGGATGAGCTTTGAGACAACAAAGGCGGCATTCGTGGTCGAAAATACCTCTCCAAAGATGGCGCCAGTTGTGATAAGTAGACCGACTAGCAATGAGGCTTTTCGTCCGATCCTATCACAAACCCAGGAGCAGAGGAAGCCACCGAAGAAGAACTGGCCCACGCTGCTGACACTGTTGAAGGCTGTCTGCCAATTCGCGGGAAGAATCGCTTCGCCATTGCTGATGTAACTGGGGAACATACATTAGAAGCAGTGCTTTGATAGCCTAGACAGAGCCACGGCTTACCCAAAATCGCGGCGGAAGGCGGCCACGGATATCATAGCCCCGTTGATCTGAGCATCGAAACCCCTATCCCGGTGTGTTAGTCCAGCCAAAGAGAACAGTTGATGGTGACGAACCATGCAATGCCGGCAGTCGCCCAGTAGAATGACCAGAACAGAATCCATGGATGCTGGCGTAAGACGACTTTGAGCGTGAGGTCGCGGTCCTGGGCCAGCTGCTCGTCTTCATTTGGCAGTGCTCCTTTCTCATCGATGTGCTCAACATCATGTTCATCGGTTTGATCTTTGGGTGCCATTTCTTGCAAGCTGTCTTCTCAACCGGTGAAGAGTAGGGATTGTAGAAGCCAGCACTGATCGAGAAGTTGGCGGAACCAGCCTCTGCTCTATATACTGTTTTCTGCCACACAGGATGACTCTTGATGGTACCATTGACGAATACATCGCGAGTCCCACCGACTAATCCGGTTACTGCCAGCAATGTCGAGTCAGGCGACCCAACGAATCTGCCGTAGTGGTTTGGGGTAAACATGGGGTGTTGCCGGATCCTCACACCCGCCAGAAGGGATAAGCGGCATTCCCCGAGGAGCCCTCATGTGTGGAGACGTTTGTTCATTAAGAGCGCAATTCCGCGATATAAGGCCATAGGTAGAGACGCAGCCCCCCTCCAGCTGTGACACGAAACCACACTTTTGATTCCCTCTTGACTAAGACGCATGGCGACCCCAGAAGAGCAACCCGCCGCACTGGATACCGATGATATCCCCCGCATTCCCCGGAAGCGACCTGCTGGTCGGGGGAGAGCGTTTTACCCCCGGAAGAGGGCCATTACAGCTTGCCAGGTCTGCCGAGCACGCAAGACCAAATGCGACAACCTGAAGCCGGCATGCTCATACTGCCTGAAAGCCGGAGTTACATGCGTGCAGTCCCCTGTCGACTTGTCGTCGTTCGACCCTGCGAGCTTGAAAATCCTCGAGCGACTGGATGAATTGGAAAATGCAATCCAAGAGGGCTTCCAAAACATCCCCCGCGAGAAGCACGATGATGAGAACGTACCGTCAACTCCCGGAGATCAGTGGGCAGAGTCCTCCGACAACGACGATGTTTCGCTAAGAAGCATTTTGCCGGAGAAAATTGAAAGCCTGTTGCAGTGGTCAATCTTCCAGGACCAACCGATTTCGAATCCACCAGCACATGGCCCCTCGGACCTGGCACCGACACCTCCCAGTAGCCTGGGGGACGTTCTTGACATCCAGCCGAGTGGAATAAACGCACTGCTCGACAGTTTCTTCCTCAATGTGCACTGCAAGAATCCAATATTTGTGGAGAAACGCACGCGGAAGCTCGTTTTAAACAAGCTCTCGGAAGGCATCGACTGGTCCCCGGAGTCATGCCTGGCCCTCCTGGTCTGTGCCTTGGGGAGGATAGCCACCCCTTTCCGACCGAACCCCGAAACTGGGCCCAATACAGTGCCATTCACGGAGTCGTACGTCTTTTTCCAGGCTGGTCAGAAGAGGCTCGGCAGTCTCCTTTGCCAGCCGAGCCTCATCGGACCCCAGTGCCTGCTTCTATCGGGCATCTACATGATGCATGTATACCAGCCAATCTACGCCTGGAGGCTCTTTTCCCAGGCCCTTGCTGCATGCCAACACCTCCTCATACTGGCCAGGGCGGCCCACAGCGCCTGCACGACGGGCACACCCGGAACTCCTGTGGGCTCAATGGACGTTGCAGGACTTGAAACGCAGCAGCAGGCCCTATACTGGTCGGCGTGGAAGTCAGAAAGGGAGCTTCGTTCTGAGCTCCTCTTGCCTGATTTCAACCCCTCTGCTTCAACCCTGAATCTGTACCCTTCCTTTTTCCCTACACCCCCCGTGTCAGCTGAGGTCATCGGAGACACGAGCGTTGACCACGAGAGGGCATCATGGTTATTCTATCTGTCTGAGATATCCCTACGGCGTCTCTTTAGCCGCGTCTCTCATGAGATCATGGACTTGCACCGTAGCTCAGGCTCCAACGCGAAATTTCTCGAAGAGTTGCGATATCTTGTCCCCGAGTATGAGGCTCAGGCCCAACAATGGGTCGAAAGTCTACCCCCGGAGCTGTCACTGGAACTGCCTTCTGAAAGAGATGGCGTGTGCGTCTTCGTCCTCCGCGGACATCTTGTAAACTTTTACGAAGCACTCTACTGGCCATTTCTGATGGCCCGTCTCACGGCTGCTTCCATCTCCAGCCCTGATTTGGCCAGAGCTGTGGATGAGCTAGCGAAGAAGGGCATTGAGGCTCATGTCCGCAGGATCTACGTCAACTTACCGGGATTCATGCATCGTCACCACGGGACCTGGTTCATGATCCGCACATGCATGAGGAGCGCTGTGATCCTTCTTGGCGCAGCAAAGCTAAAGTACGCTCTACCGCAGTGCTGGGGCGACGCTGTTTGGCAGGTCTGGCGGCTTGTCTCCGAATGGGAAGGGGAGATATCGGATCTCAGGGAGTGGAACCGCTTCTTGAGGCAGTCCCTGGAACTGCATGGCATATCCGTTGCCTGAACTAGACAACTATGTATTATTGTGAGCTGGGAGGCTTTATAATAAAAATGTATTACTAGCGATATGATATGGGAACGCTGAACATCACTTATTGAACTTGAGATCACCAGTCTTCTCGTATTGTGCATGAATACCACGGATTTCGCTGCTATGCAGAGTGTACAGTATCGGTAGTCCTAAAATTGGAAGATTATTCTCGTTATACGGCCACGCGGCACTTCACGGTCTACCCCCGTATTATGCGGCTAATTAAGAACCATGCGTTGGGGCCATTAATTCCAGAGAGGGAAGAGGTGTGGGCGTCGGGGAGTGTCGCTTCTAAGGGTGGCCGCGTGAGCTCTCCACTCTAGAATGATGCTTGAATGCTATGACCTCACATTTTTGGGGCCTTAAAAAGGCATTGCGTTCAAATCTTTTGATTACGAGCCATATAAGGTTATTTAAACCTAGGAGACCCGATTGCTCTCGCCTGGTGCGGCTCTTGATGCTAAGCAGCTCATGACTTCCATCCCTATTGCCCGGCCCACACACCTCAATCCATCATGGCGTCGACAGTTCATACCAATCCCCCATGCGTGATGCTCCGCGTGGATGGGGACAAAGTAAAGGACCCACAGGGAAATGTCGTTATTCTCAAGGGCGCCGGCTTGGGTGGCTTCCTGAACATGGAGAACTTCATCACGGGATATGCCGGCCACGAGCATGAGCACCGGGAGCAGATGGCCGAAGTATTGGGCGAGGCGGATGCCCAGTTTTTCTTTGATCGATTCCTTCACCATTTCTTCACAGACGCCGATGCGCAGTACTTCCAGTCCTTGGGACTGAACTGTATTCGGATCCCAATCAACTACCGCCACTTCATGGATGATATGAAGCCCGACGTGATCAAGGAGGAAGGATTCCGGTTAGTGGATCGATGCGTGGAGATTTGTGCTCGGCACAATCTCTATGTCATTCTTGATCTTCATGCTGCCCCTGGAGGCCAGAATCAAGATTGGCACAGCGACTCGGGCATCGCTCGAGCCCAGTTCTGGGAGTTCAAGGATCACCAAGACCGCGCGATCCAGCTGTGGGAAGCACTGGCCAAACACTACGTGGGGAACCCCGTCATTGCGGGATACAACCCGCTGAACGAGCCAGCAGACCCTCACAAGACTGCATCTGGGTTTTACGGCGCTCGTCTGGTCGAATGGTACGCTCGTGCTGAGAGGGCCATTCGTGCCATAGATCCCGACCACATCCTCTGGGTCGACGGGAACACATACTCGATGGATTTCAGAGCATTCCCAGAGCAGCCGCTGCCGAATACTGTCTATGCCTGCCATGATTACAGCATGATGGGGTTCCCATTCGGCGAACAATACGAAGGGACGCAGGAGCAAAAGGACAAACTCCGAGCCAGCTTTGAGCGCAAAGTCGAATTCATGAGGCAGAAGAACGTACCTATCTGGAATGGAGAATTTGGTCCAGTCTACCAAGATGAGCGCAAGGAAGGGGACAGTGCGAGAGAGACAAACAAAAAGCGGTTTGCTCTTCTCGAGGAACAACTCGCAATCTACCGCGAAACCGGTGTTCACTGGTCCATCTGGCTCTATAAAGACATTGGATATCAGGCCATGACATATGTAGACCCCGAGTCTCCGTACATGAAGCTCATCCAGCCATTCGTGGATAAGAAGAAGAGTCTTGGTCTCGATTTCTGGGGTGTAGCAAACAAGGACCAGGTCCAGCCGATCTACGAGCCCTTTTTGGAGTCGCTCAAATCCATGGTCGACCCCAAGTTCCATAACGCCCGATATCCCAAGATATGGACGTTTGAGAGACATTTTGAGCGCGTCATCCGAGAATGCCTTCTTAGCGAATATGTTAGTCGCGAGCTTGCAGAACTCTTTCGTGGGAAGACTAGAGACGAGCTCGAGGAGCTGGCATCAAGTTTTGCTTTGGACAACTGTAAAATGCGGGACGAGCTGAATGAAATACTAAGAAGAGATGCCGGGAAAACTTAAAATTGAAGAGAAAGTCAATTATTATCATAAATAGAAAATATCATATTTGATCAGCAATAGCTCTGCCTGGTGATTGAAATTCGAGATGCAACAAGGATGGATCGATTAATTGCTAATTACGCTCACCATCTCACCTCCTCAGTTTCCCAGTATGTTGGCGGCTCATCATATGCAGAATTGATTTGTTCCTGGGAAGGAAGAGGGACAATCATCATGTAGAGTACATCCTTGGTGGAATCAACCCTGTCCCTCGACTGCGGATCGGGGGTATCAAGGCCAGCAATTTTAATTCGCTCTTCTTCGTTATGGACCATTTGAACTCTGCTTCTCACTCTCATATCACGCTGAGGAGCGGGGAATCTGGTTCCCTGCTTTAAGACGTTAGCGATTGTTGAGTGAGCTGGAAGTTCATAATGCTCAAACCTACCTGACCTGTCAACCTGTCATGAGCCATTTCTTGCAGTGAATTCCTAGAGACGCTGGAGAAATTCCTTGGATCTCCCAAAAAGCTTTGAAATTTGACCTGGCTTGCTACAGCCTTGGTTAGCTGTGAGTCCGGGTGGTTCATCGCAAATTCGGCCTGTGCCCTTCGGTCTCCGTAGTCCTGGATAAACTGCTTTGCCCGCTCGAACTTGGTTGATTTGTCTGGATCTTGTACTGAGCTGGCTTTTGGGAAAATTAGAGGAGCCGCGAGCGGCATTGATGCATCTCCCATTTGGCCGTGGTCGACACTGAAGTTCCAGCGCGATTGGTTTGTTGCTTGGGAATGGGCTTGGTAAATATTTGTAGTTTCACTGTAATGATCAGGAGCTGTATACCTCATAACGAGGCAGACAAGTCCCATAGGCATAAAGTACTCCAAGTTCATTTGTGATAAGAAATCATTCGTGCGCTGGCGGCTTTGCAATGAGGCTGCAGTTTGCGCAGCCGCCCCAATCGTCAGGGAGACGACGGTGGCCGTGATACTGGGAACCAGACCTGCCGCTCCAGCTGCAACAGTAACAACTTTGATGGCATTCGAGTAGCGTAGGGACTCGTTATAGAATTCGTGAAACTGCATGAACGCGTCTTCACTGATGCCACAAGGCGCAAGACAAGGTGCATATGCAGGCACGAATCCTCTCTGTCTTGATTCAGGCCGTCGCTGTGGAATTATGACGGCGAATGGCAAAAGGGCTGGCGTCTGGCGTACGAGTGGTCGATGGACTGCGAGGAATGCCTCGACCAGAGCGGAAATACGTGCAGGATCTTTACCCACGCCTTTTGGTATAACAGCGCGGGATGGACCTGATTCTACTGATGGTCTCTTCTCCAAACAGTCAAGATCCTTGTGAAGCTTGTCGGTCGACTTGGTGCATCTTAGTGAGATTCTGTTGGCTTCTTGATACATCTCCTCGTTCCCAGCATTCGTCTGCCGGGAATTGGAGGGACTAATTGTCCCAAATACTGATATCGAGTCGCCTGCGGATGCATTTTTTGCAGCTTTCTTGTTCTTTTGGTGTTTTATCGCTTCGGCGGCGAGGCCGATACCGCCCGTAAAGATCTGATTCAAGGCCATGATACACTTGTAAAGATTAAATCTTCCACCGGGAAAACTGAGTATTTCTGATCCAGATAGATTGGTATAATGAAAAAGAAAGACAATTATATAGAGAGAAGACCTCATTTTATCACATCGCGCCGTTGCTGGCTCTACCCAAGAGCTCCGACGGTCTACTATCGGTATTCACCTTTCGTCTGGCTGCCTCCTCGTTCTCGTTTATTTTTCTTCTTCCAGTGGGGCATCATCATTGATGCTATGCTGAATTGGTGGTAACAGGTGGCTTGTGTTCGGCACCAGCATCCGCTCCTTTGACTCCCTGCCGATCAGCTCGTAAGCGGCGGCTGTTTGGACCTTTCATGGGTCAGTCTCCGGAAATTCGGCACTGAATGAGCACTAGCAGTGATAAAACGCCACTGTATCTCGCTCGTTCTCGTTCATTCTCACCAGTGAATCCTCTTCCACCACCATCGCTCCCTCGCGTACTGGGATCTTCAAATCATTTCCATCACCCTCCTACCTTGAAAACATGCCGACAACTAATTTCGGCACCTCGGAGGGCCGCAACGAGCCGGCGCGTAAGCGGCACGCCAAGCTATTTCACAGAAAGACGAGGACAGGGTGTCAGCGATGTAGAGTCCGCCGCGTCAAAGTATGAGCCCTGATGCGGACGAGATCCATCGCGGTTCACCTTCGCTAATGTACGCATGGAATATAGTGTGACGAAGGAAAACCAATCTGCTCCAATTGTAAGCGGCTGGATTTGGTGTGCGAGTACGCCCAAGTCGCCGCCGCCCCGAGAGATGCTCCGGGAGAAAAAAAGAAACAGTCTGGACCGGAGAGCATAGAATCAGAATCTCGTCGAAAGCTGGAACTGGAGTTATTCTATCATTACAGCACTGAGACAGGAAAGAGTATAGCCATTGGCGAAAACACTCAGGACATCTGGGGCCCCATCATGTGCCACGCGGCCCTTCGATCTGACGCTGTGCTGAATTGCGTTTGCCTCTTATCAACTCTACACAAGGCCCATAAAGCAAAGATTGCTGGAACTGAGGAGGCCATTGACGTTGAGAAATGCACATCTACCTATCTTCATCTAGCTCTTAACGCGCACCACAAAGACCTCGGCCATCTAACAGCGGATAATATTGATTATGCGTGCCTTGCATCCAGCGCATTTCGAGTTTACGATTTTCACCGACTCCAGAACCGAGCGTTGAAGCCATATGCACCTCCAGTAGACTGGCTGCGTATGACGGGAGCTACCCATGTTGTGTTCCTCCAAGCCATGGAGCTGGCCAGGGAGAACCCAGAATCAATTGGTTGGAAAATGACATCTGGCGCATTCTATGTCGTGGAGGAGAGGCAAAAACTGCACCATTCAGAAGAGTTAATTCATTTATTGAATTATAGAAAACCACTGGAGCCCTGGTCAGACGAGACTCATCTGGTGTACAGCACAGCAATAAGTGTGGTGGGTGCCATCTGGAGATTCAGAAACGCTCAGGAGCTGTGCCCGGAGATGCACCTCAGATTACTCATCCTGCCCATGCTTCTCGACGATGAATTTATAGCTTTTGTGGAGGAGCGGCGTCCGAGAGCCCTGGCGATCCTGGTGTATTATTTCGTCATGTTACGGTGGTTGAGCAACATGTGGTACATTGGTGATTCTGGGCACCGAGAAGCGTGGGCAATCCTCCAAGAACTGCCAACAGAATGGCAGGGGTTGCTCAAGGAGCCTATCGAAATGCTGGAGAGCTCACTAAATCCAGGGTCCCATAGCCTATATATTTCATAATGAAGATACAGTGATGCTGAACTTTGAGATTGTGGCCGCGGGTTCCGTCTTGGAAACATGAGGCGTTTTCGTTCTCGTTCAAGATGGACTAGATCTTGGTTGATGCAAAGCCTTCAGCTAGAACTACCTAAATTTGTACAGTAATAAGGAACACTAAGCAGGTCTCATGTATTTGGCTTATGCGGACTGGGCCGAGCCACCTTCGTCACTGTTTGTGAGCCTCCGCTCGTTCAACTTCCGCCTAAACGAGCACCAATCAGGGCCTCCATCGCAGCTAGCAACAAACCCACCCCTTTTGCATCCCTGGTTCTGAGAACATGTCAAAATGCTTGTAAGTTCTGGATAGTTTTTCTTATAAATAAGGCTTGGGTATTCTATTCTACTACCGATATTATCACACCAAAAATATTACTGACACTTGCTTTGCTATCTTTGCATCTTGACCAAAACGAATCCCTTCGCGACAGTATGAAGTCACAACAAGCACTTAGATTGTTCGGATTGTTCAACGTTTGCGTTGTAAGTCACAGCCATGGTTGAGTGCAATTTTGGGAAGTCGGAACCCCTAACAAAACCTAGGCATCTGCTGCTCAACCTAGTACCAACCTGAAAAACACAACGACAGACCCAATGTTTCAACTCAGCTCAGACGATGACTTCCATTTTGAACTTCTCCGTGTGTTGTCCTTGGCCCCATACGAAGGTGCGGATATCGGTGAAGTTCTTGTGGCGGCCAAGAAGATTGATGCTGGCAATTTCGAGAGCTTTCACGATGCCTTCTTTGACCTTGCCACCCACGTCGACGAGACTGCGAGGAATATTGATAAAGGCAAACATCCAGTCTCCGCAAGAAACGCCTTGTTTCGGGCTTCCAGCTACTACCGATCCGCTGATTTCTTTTTGCACGGTAACTGGAGTGATCCACGCATCAATTCTCTCTGGGACAAGCAGCTGAACGCATTTGATACTGCTATGGCTCTTCTCCCTGTCCCAGGAAAACGCGTGAACCTGCAAGCCAAGGATGGCAACTTTACAGTTCCTGCAATTTTCTTCGGGACTGGGTTGACTGGCCCTCGGCCAACCATCCTTATGTGCAACGGCTACGACGGTTCCCAGGAGGAGATGTATCATTTAGTCGGAAAGGCTGCTCTGGAACGCGGAATCAACGTCATCACCTACGAGGGGCCAGGACAGCCAACAGTCCGGCGCGGTCAGAACATTGGCTTCATTCCGGAATGGGAGAGAGTCGTTTCCCCGGTTGTCGATTTCGCAATCCAGCATCCAGAGGTAGATTCTGACGCCATTGGATTGATGGGGTACTCCTTTGGGGGTTATCTTGCGCCGAGAGCGGCAGCCTTTGATAAACGCATTGCTGCTGTATTTGCTGTCGATGGGGTATATGACTTTGGGAAGTCTCTGCTCGACATGTTTCCTCAAGAATTGAAAGACGTCTTTTATTCAGGTGACGCAGATGACTTCAACTCGATTATAGAGGCGGCAGTCGCCGAGCCCTCCACTGATACTGTCATGCGCTGGGGCGTACAGCAAGGCATGTGGTCTTTCAACGTCAGAACACCATTTGAATGGTTGACCAAGGCATTGGCGTACAACCTGACGGATGTGGCAGATACGATCCAGCAACCGATATTCATTGCCGATGCGCAGCTGGACAAGTTCTTCCCTGGTCAAGCAAAGATGCTGGCTGATGCTGTTGGTCCCAACGCGCTGCATCGCTACTTTACCGCAGATGAGGGTGCGGGAGAGCACTGCTCGATCGGTGCATCTGTTCTGCAGAACCAGGTAATGCTCGACTGGTTTGAAGGTGTGCTAAGCAACGCTAGCGAGAAAGATTGTTAATGAGAACTATTTGCTCTCCCATTGTCGAGTTACACAGGAATCTGATGAGACGGTGCCTGTACAGGTGTTATATGTGTTATCTCACGGGATACTTAAAGTTTTGAAGATGGTAGTGTATGCAAAAGAGGATGCTGTGATACGAGAGCGTCACTACTTTATTGAATTGACTATTGGCTCGTTTCAGTTTTAATATCATAGATCATTACACTTCAAACCCAGTTATGTCTGTGATAATCCAAGTCCCTAAGCTCCTTCACCTTGGGACAAACCTCAATTCTATCTCGTCAATCATCGTAAGAAAGTAATCCTTCCAACTGTCTGCCCACTGCTCATATTGAAACGGCATGTTTTCATCTTCCACGAAACCAATGTCGAACTCCATAACAATTCTCAGCACAATCTGTTTAAGCTCTTCTATTGCAAGAGCCCTTCCACCACAAGCGTGAGGTCCATGGCCAAAAGGAATCCATGCTCGACGATCCTTGACGAGTTCGCCCTCCTTCCCATATCCCTCATCACCTGGACTCATCCATCGTTCCGGTAGGAACTCATGGGGCCTAGGGAAGTATTCCTCGTTGAACATCATGACGTACTGTCCAATCCAGACTTGGGTCCCCCCTGAGATGAAGCTTCCACTCTTCAGTGTGATGCCCCCTTCTGGCACAATGACAGGGCTACCCACGGTGACGGGACCAAACATGCGCAGCGCCTCCCTCACCACACAATCCAAGTACTTGAGCTTTCGGATAGTTTCCACCGGGGCAGATCCTTCGCCGTGAAATGCCTCATTTAACTCTTGCCTGATGGATGATTGGACATGAGGCTGGGAAGCGAGAACAGCAAGAGTCCGTGTTAGTGTGGTGCTTACGGAATGTGCCCCAACTGTCATGATAAAGAGAATGTGTTGCTTGAGGTCACTCGGCCTCATTTCGATACCAGTTGATGCATCAGGAACTTCCAGATGGGCGAAGATGTCGTTGGGCTGTGCCGTGAGAGACTTGCGTGCAGCTAGTACTTGGTCACCATATTCGGCGAATTTTCGTCCTGCAGCCGGCTGGGGTAAGTACCGGCAAATCTGTTGCAGATGCGGTAAATTGCCCAACACCTTGACCGCAAAGGTTGTTAGGGCTGAGATGACATGGCAAATATTATTGGTTGTGACATACCGGGATGATGGGAATGAAGCCATGAACTCCATCGATAAGTGAACGGTCGCCAACACCATCTTGAAGTTTGGTATCTTGAGAGAAGGCTATGTCCGAGATTCTACATCGTATGAGCTTTAGAAAACATTCAACTCTATACAAAGTATTTTTAGACTTACACATCGAATGTAAAGGCGTCCAAGAATTTGCCACACTCGACGGGATTTCCAGCTTTCTCGTGTAAGAGACGAACAGCTTTGTCAGCATGGCTTTGTATTCGTTGTATATAGTTGGAAAGCTTGTCTTTATTGAAAGCCTTCACCCTAAGATTACATCCTCAATAAGGGACAGCAGGTACTGGGGTGAGCAAAGAAAAAACCTACCACATGCGCCTCCAAGCGCTATGTAATTTATTGTCTCTCAGTGTCACAAGGTTCTCCCCGCCAGAGATGTTGAAAACTGGGGCGAAGGTTCCTCTCTTGTAGTCTCTTCCATAGAGTCTGTCAATAGCATCAACACTGTTGACAGACAGCTCGTTGGGGCCAATTCGGATGATGTCACTTTGGAACTGATCATGTAACGCTTTGCGTGTTTTTGAGGCCCTACCAAGCCGTCCTTCGTTGGCATTCCAAAATCCTGAAATTGCAGCAATCTTGGGACCAGGAAACTTGGCGAGCGGTGAGAAGAAGAGCCGCTTGTTGATGGTGAGAATGACAGAAGTGAGAAGGAAACTGGCGTTGATGGCTGTAAAATTGGAGATTACATCAACGGTTGGGAGGCCTTCTTTCCATAGATAAGAGTAAAGAATCAAGTTGGCCAGAATGTAAGGAACAAGATAGAGCTCTAGAAAAACCTCTGGTAGCGGGGAAACAACGAAGTGCACCGCCGTTGCCACCACAATTGCGATCAAAGTAGGCGAGCCCAGCATCATTGGACAGGTACGAAATGTGCAAATTGTCGGTTATGGATAGAGAAGATGCGTGATAAATGGGAGAACAAGTAACGGTAGGACGAGAAGAACTCCGTGATGACCTGGCACCCCAATTATATACCACACTATTTATGTCAAAATGATGGGCATAGTCTCATGACCACCCCTCTTTGTGGAGGATAAGCGGCATAACTCTTTAGGAAGAATAAGCTGCGGGGATCTTTGGGACAAATAAGCGGTAGGTACATTGATTTGACTCGTATCACTGCACCTCTCATGCATCGTATCTACTTAGAAGCTACGGTAGTGTGAGCTACAGAGGAAGAATAAATCGCAGGACGAAAGCGGATGAAGTTACGAAGTCCCACCATTTGGCTAAGAAGAAAGCATGGAGTATCTAATGGTCGAAGCATGGGAGTACCGATCGAAATATAGAACCGGTCGAAGTATGGGAGTACTGGTCGAAGCATAGTACCGGTTGAGCACGCAATAGTCGGAGGATTATTTACTAGTCCCACCGAGGCGTCCATCCAACTGCAGCATTAGGAAATGACAATGCAACTCTTACATGGAGTGACAAGATGGCAAGACAGCTCATCGGCCCCGAAGCGCGAGAGACACGCGGCTCCCACGCCTCTGTTAAACCGTAGGAGTTTACGCTACCTCATAATCTGCCTCACGCTGATCCCTTTATGTACTTCTGCTTCTGTTTAGCGTTCTCATCGGAATTAGATTGACCTATCAATAAGATCATGAAGCCAGGTGATGAATCGTGGCAAGGTGGGCTTCAAAAGAACCATGGCTACGTGCTGCGGCCTTCTGTTGTGGTAACACAATATAACAATCAGCTGACCGGTTTGACAAAAGTACGCTGACACGCAGTTGCCGAAAGTTGTATATGAGTTGCAAACGTGCATATCTTGTGCAACGAGTAACCTGCATCCGACTGTTTGCCGTGGTGAAGCCAACAGGCTGTGACATCGGCCATCGTCCTTAATCTAGATATTGGCTCTATGCAACAGGGAGTGAATATTCCGTGAGCAACACGACACCAAGATGCTTCCTTCTGTCGTACAGGATGGCTGAGACTTAAGGCCGTGAGTCTGGAAACGCCAACCAGTGTGATAGCGATGGTTACACAGTGACGTCGACGCTCCGTTTAGCGGAATGACGGAATTTGCTGTGCCTCACTCAATGATCACCTGGAGATACCAACACTCTCCTAAAGTGTGATTGATAAGCAGCTTGACGCTCTCATTGAACTACGCCACGTCGATCGTCACCCTACTGGGATCTGCGACCTCCCTCCTCCTAGATCACTTCCCGGCGGTCCACTGAAGTCGCGACCGCACAACGGGAGGCCTGTGCCTCGATCTTAGATACGAAACGATGCTATTCTGCGGGCGTGCGGATATAGTTGTAAATTATACTGCATGCGGTTATGAAATCTCCAGGAGACGAGCTTCAACGGAGGACGAGTCCCAAGTCGAGAAGATAAGCTGCTTGTTTTCTGCCCGCGAATGTAAATATCAGCTTGGTTCATTTCACGCTTCCAGAATCATCGCATTTTCTCGGTATGCAACTCTACCCTTGATGAACCCAATCAGTAGAGATAAGGCCGTCTTCGCTAGATTGATGACTAGCGACTATGGTGTGTATGATGCTTACCCGTGATGTAGCACATGTGCAAACATACCATACTGCCGGTATATCCTCAGCGATTGTATCCAACAGAATCCCATGCTTTATTGACCAGCATGGACCGTCCATGAGTGTAGACACCGGTTGTTCTGCGAGTCTTGTTAAAACAGCCACCTCTTCTGCTGTACTGTCACTTCGGTCATGAGAATGAAGAATGGCGATGGCCTGCGGCACAAACTTAGTTCTGGGCCCCGGATATTTCGTTATTAGAAGCAAGCTGAGAATATCATCTCCGGATGATCGACGCCGATTGTGAGACCAAGTAGCCAACTATGCCCGCGGGGATGGGCCAAAACTTGCAAATGCGCAGGGATATAGTAAGCGTCAACAATTTCGGTAAGCAATTTACTATATGCCCTCTTAATATTTAGCTCTTGGTTGACCTAAGAATGCTCCGGTGGTGCTAATGCACATGTCTATTTCAGAGAGTTATGATGCGTTGCATGCCACTCGTACTGCTTCTTCAAGTAGCTTTGTGTCAACCATTTGTCTCTGGGCACCTTCGGAGAACGGCCTCAAGGCGACTCTAAGAGTATACCAGACATATCTCGCTGATGAACCATCTGTTGAAATCCCGAATCTGGCTTGGGCTCTTCGTGACAGACGAAGTCTACAGCCATATCGATCTGCAATCACAGCCAACTCAATGGACGAGCTCGCGTGCAACATCACCTACCCATGAAGAAAGATATCGTGAGCATTGGTATCAAGGTGTTATAGGTGCCGAAGTCTGGTACTGAGCATGGAACTTTAGGGTCTTCACAGGCCAGGGCACCCAGTATCTCACATGGGAGCTGAGCTAATCGAACAATTTCCTATTGTTCGGGATACAATCAATAATCTAGAAGGAGTCCTCACCAAGCCTCCTCTTGGCGGTCGCCCACAACGGTCTTTACTGGAAAAGATTTCGGCTGACGGCAAATAAATAGTTTTAATCTACTGATCTCTATTTCAATTCATGCCCTATGCACCACGTGTCAGTGACACCTTGATAACAACTCACGTCCTCAAGTGAGACGAACGGTGTTTCTAGAGTAAAGAGACCAGATACCCTAGCTCTCCATGCTCCCAAATATCGTCGTCTGACGAGTGAGGCTTGGATCTGCGGAGGGTCTCAGCTTGCGATCAGCCAAAAATAGAATGACACCCTATCAAAAGCATGTAAACAAAATTACTAGAAGGAGTTGTGCTATGCGAAATGTTATTCATCAAGGTATATCGGTGGCCAGACATTGATACAGCGATCTTGTGCGGTTACTTCTCTAGAAATGAGACAGTTCAGACTCTGAAACCAATTGCTGGGTGTCATACCCTATTTTTGATATGTTGATGCGAGATGAAAGGATGGTAGGTTTGCATATCGGCCGGCAACGAGTAAGCAGCACACTCTCGGCGACTACTCGATCAAGCATGTGGAGAGCGATGTAGCCATCCCTACCTCCGCGCACCTCCGGATAAAAAGGCGTAGCAAGGTAACAACTCGTATAACTTGGCACTATGTCACCTGCCGTATATAACCTGGATGGATGTTTCCTACAATTCTCGTGACCAAGCCTAAAGCGAAGGAGCCTAGTTTTTTACATAGTCTAGGCCTGGTTCGAAGACATTGTCACGCGTAGCACACTGATACTGGCATCTGGTAGCTAAAATAGGAACAACAGTAACGTCCTAGATAGAATGCCAAAAGAATTGAACAAATTGATCATCCAGAATCCAGTGTAAGTAAGAACCCATGCTGATCATACTCGTTCCGGGGAGGAGTTCCCACACAGTACGCTGAATCCAGCATTAGCCGGCTCAGGGGTTGCATGATGATCTGCTCATCGTTCTCCACATCCAGAATTGTATATCTACCTGATCAAGGCCCGTAAACAAGCAAGGCGTAGTCTATTCCAAAAGATACCACCGCGGAAGATCAATCCAATCATTCGGTAGGATAAACACCCAAAAGGCCCGCGCCGGCTACACCTGTACCTTCAATCAGTAAAGATGTTACCATACCTCTCAGTGCTGGCTACGATCTGCGTGTCTACCTTGGCTGCCACACCGTCATCATGGAGTCCGGACGTTCAGCAGTTATTCAGCGACTCCATGAAATGGCTGGACATGAACTACGACAGCAACGACGGATATCTCTATGACCTCAATACGCAGGAGGCTCTGCGCCATGAAACTCGTAGCTCCGCCTGGTACGCTCTTGGTCTGTTGGCAAGGAACGAAAACAATGACGTCGCGGAAGCTGAGAAAATTATTGGAAACGTCATCGGGGGCCAGTTCAAAAACACAACACAGCAATGGTATGGGACGTACCAGAAGTATCCAGAGGAACCTGAGGTCGGCTCGCCGCTCTACTCGGCCAGAATTTACAGCTCATGGGACCCAAACTGGCGCGGATTTGTTGGAACAACCTTTATCATCATTCTCGAGGAGTACTCCGAGCTTCTTTCTGCGGAGACTCAGCAGCTCATTCTCGATTCGCTCGTTCACACAGCGATAGGGGACTCGTACAGAAACGGGGGGCAAAATGGCGATAATCTCTACCCGTCATATAGCAATCCGGTGATTCTTCCCTTTGAGAAAGGTCAGCTTCCAAAAGAAACAAGCGGCTAACCAGTTCAGGCTATCATGAGGGCGTTCGTGTCGGGATGGGTTGGTCGCAAGACGAATGATCAGAACATGACCTCTGCAGGTGAAACGTACGCCAAAGACATCATCGCGCTCTTTAACAAGACGAATACATTGTCCGAGTTCAACAGTGCCACATACACGGGAGTCTCTGTATTTGGCCTTACGCTCTGGAGCTCATATCTTCCAGAAGATTCTGCCATGTCACAGATGGGACCTGTGATGCTCCAGAAAACCTGGGATTCACTCAGTCAGCTTTGGCACCCGACTATGAAGAACTTGGCTGGGCCGTGGGATCGCACCTATGGATACGACATGAATCGATACGTTAGCGTCATGGCCCTATGGTTTTGGGCATATTTGGGAAAGAATGCATCTTCTCTTATCAACCAGGTCAGTCCGTGTTTTTCTCTACTCAGAAGCCTGACAATGATGTAAAAATGTTGACAAGTAAACATGGAAGCCCCATCTGATGAGCCACTCGCCTGATTATGCTTGGGGACCACTTGTTGCAGTACTGGCAGACACGCAAGCCAGGCACTTGCCAGATAACTTCTTTGACCAGTTCAAGACGTTCGATAAAGAGCGCACATTCACTGCTCAAGCTTATTACCCACCCAATGATCTCGAGATAAGAAACATCACAACCTGGATGTCTGAAAAGCTGACCATCGGAGGCATGTCCTATAACCAAACCGGGGTTGGCGGCCCAACTGGCACCACCAACCCTGTGGTAGTGCAGTGGATAACCAACGATGAAGTAGCATTCCTAACCGTATGTGCATTTCATCCCGTTGCATTCGTGTACTAACCAGGCCTCTAGCTACGCCCTTCGGAGAAAGCCCTGCAGGCTGAAGTGTCGCCAGGAAAGGTGGTGCTTTCTTACCCCAGTGGAAATGCTGACAGCAAATTCCAACTGATTGCAACTACCTTCAAGGGGAGGAAAACGTTGGCTGGCGTCAAACACATGCAAGGGATTTTGATGACACCGTCTGGAAACATCAACATGGCGTATGTCACAAAGTTTGCAGGTGACAATGGTGGAGAATTAAGCCCATCCAATACCTTTGAATATTGGAGTTTTACATGGACTATGCCCGCAGGCTTCACGGGAGTACCTCAGTTGACTCTTGAATTTAAGCTTTCATGATACGAGACCTCGTTTTTCTAGGAGGTTGCTCGCACGTTCGGGATGGAACTGGATTACGCGTAGAGTTAGCCGGTTTCATTCATCATAGCATTCCAGAAAGTCGTGGATAGGATCGATCACACTAATACTTGACACATACGCAAATGAGCTTGAGCATGCGTTTGCCTTCATGCTTTGACCATTCATTTTCGCCAACGAAAGTAGGAAGTTGTATCAAATTCTGCCGACTTCTATTTCCATAGTTAGATATATCTATAGTCTATTCCCATACTCATATGCGTCTATGGCTTCTATAATTATCTCTATATCCTCACACCGCTCTCAAGTCAATTCGTTACGGCCTCATTAGACTTTGGTAGTTTTATGAAGGAAAGCAATGCAAGACAAACTCCGATGAGCAGTGCCACCCCAAAATACGGCAAGCCAATCCAACCACCTCCATGACGTAGCCCAAACGAGTAGAGTCCCGCAAGGGCTGGATCCGAGTATACGCGAGCCAGTACTTCCACCATGCCGATGAGACTGAAGAGCCGGGATCGATGCTTGGCGTCGGCATACAGGCTCATCAGACTTTTCAGGAGGCTGGCGTATCCCGAGCCGAGCACCAACACGACCAGGCCGAACATAAAACCAACAAGGTTCGTTGCCAAACCGACCACGATAAGCCCAATAAGAAGAAAGAAGAACGAACCCCGAAGTAAGGCAACATCTCTCAGTTTCTCGTCCTTGACCCGGAATATTGCTGGCGTCGTTGCTGATGTTAAGAGGTGAGACAAAAAAGGAAGAATAACGAATGCCTGGATGATGTGCCCAACGCCAAATGTTGACTGGATGTAACCCGTACTTGCCAGCTTGATGTGGTATCGTTTCGAGACATACTGGGACATGAATGTTTGCGTAGCCAACGCCACCGGCATCGAGAGAAAAGTGAGTAAGAAGAACATGAATAGAGAAGGTGGTATTGGAAGAGATATCATCTTTAGTAATTTGGATGTCGTCTTCCGGTTCACCGGATCCTCGTCATCCGAGTCTGATTCTTGTGCGTCATGCGAGGGGGAGTGTGGCGGTTTCGGCGGGTTGGGAACAGCGTATATTGCCACACTCCCAAAGATGAGCAACGACACCCCAATCCACTGGCAAATCCAGGGCGACGCTCGCTCCATAAGGAGAGCACATAGAGTTGGGGAGAGCAACGATCCTGCCATCGCCGCCACGTGGAGTCGCAAAAAGGCCACGGCTCTAGGCACAGGTCAGTGGGAATTCGTCAGGCTCTGAAGGTATGTTGCAAACTTGCCTGTCCTCATCAGTCGTCGCATCAGTGGCTATGCTGAAAACCATTCCAACGATGATTGCGTTGCCGCCGCCCACAATATTAAAAATTCCTCCAAGCCATATGAGCTTGATGGGCAAATGGTGAAACCAGAGGACGACGATATCCCAACAAACCTCGAGGGCCATTCCAGTCAGGGCAAGGGTAAGAATTGGCTTGCGGCCGACTCTTTAAAAGCCAGATTAGCGAACATGCCTTAGATGGACAGGGGATTGATTACGGCTTACCGGTCGGCCGCAGCACCCCAGGGAAATGCTGCAAGAAAACCTGCCAAGGCTCCGATGGCAGAATTGATGCTCAGAATGAAGGCCAGGCGGCTCTGGATCCATTCTTCCTTGCAAAGACTCTCATCGATTGGCTCGAGAGGTGACATGGACATGTCATAGTATTCATGACAGATTCTGTCCTCCAGCAGACGCAAGAGAGGAATCTGGGTGAAGCCATTAGTCCAGCTTGCGAAAAACAGGATGATGCAAAGCATCGGTATGATGACGTTTTGGCCTCTCGCCTCACGACTTGGACCATGGACAGCATCGCCGAGTCGAGGGTTTGTTGATGGCGAGTGGGAACGCTGGCCCAGCAAGGGGCTGCGCTCAGTGTCCCCCGCCATCGATGCAGCGTATAACGTGGGAGAGCTGCTAAGAAAGAAACGGAATTTAAAGGAATGAATTGTGACAAGTGCTGTGGTGAGCTGGTGAGACTGGGAAACAGATTATTCGTTGACCTTTCCGCCAGCGTGAGGAGGAACGGCCAACGCCAAAAGCAGGATTAATTAAATAATTTGAAGGGAGTGAATGACGGAATCTTAGGAGCGGCGAGCTTCTGTATTGGGAAGACCCTTTGCATATCGCTTAGATAACTCTGCCGGGCGACACGTTGCCACGCCCAAGAACGCGTCTTATCAGGGTTCCAGATCCGGATCCCACCCAATCACACCCGGTGACACGTCTGTGCTGCGTAAATCCGCTGGCATGAGACGGGCGTCGTACCCAAGTATCATTCACGCGCCCTCACGTTCACGAGAAGCCAGGTAATTCACTGCGTAATGGCAATCGTGCTTTGGTGCGAACGCCAGCGAAAGCTCATGAAATGTTTACATAATTGGCGGGTTCAGAAAACAAATGACATGCAGAAGGGCAATGGGTCCACTGTTGAAAATCTCACAAGGAATTGAAATTATCTCCACAATCTCAGTCTCCAGTGGGTGAACATTGTAGCGGCAAAGCCCCCAGAAGCTCTAAAATACATCTGCTTGTCCATCTCTTTGATGAGACAAGTTCTTTATGACTACTGCAGTTGATGTGCGCCTCGTGTGCCCCGGATCAGGCGCCCGCCTAGAAAACCTAACTCTTGTTTTATTTTGGAATATTCTGAGTAGTTTTTATGAGTAAATAAAAACTTTGAACGCACATTGCGCCCGCCAGAACACTGGCGGGGGAATACACAGTAATCATTCAGCAGAGTTTGGCTGGTGCTATAGGGTAGCCACAGGACATGCAAGAAGCCGAAGTAGCCGAAGTAACCGAAGCTAATTCCTGTGACGTTGTTCAAGGGCAAAGCTTTCCCTCCGCACTCTGATGTCGGTTAACATATGAGTAGATGGGCATGGCATGTCGAGTAACTTACCAAAGATGCCTACTCACATCGAAAAGCCTCCTCCACGGATCACGCGTGCAAAGCGTGCCTGTCGTGAATGCAATGTACGTCGAGTGCGTTGCGACGTGACTGAGCGCTATCCGTGCTCCAATTGCGAAAAGGGATCGGTGTCCTGCGAAATCTTTGCTTCGCGAAGGGGACGGTAAGTGAATGATGCCGACAGAGATCTATTTCCAAGAATTGTCACTTACACGGAGTCGGCAAGTTACCCTCGCAAGCCCCGAAAGGCAAACGGCCAAGCGTCGCCGGCAACATCAGCGGGGGCTTTACTGACACCTTCGGCTGCGGGAAAGTCAGTTATAGTTGCAGCAGGGGCTACGGAAGAGCATCACCAGAGAAATATTCGACAACCTGAAGCTAGGGTAGCTCAGAGTCAGGCTCTGACACCACCAGATGTTCCAGCATCCTCGGTCTCTATCACGTCCCCCGAGGCGACTGTCTTCTATGGAGAGTCGAATTTCATCACGTTGATGCCCGGACCCCCTCAACAAGAGGTTAATGAATGCTCTTCCAACAACGACGCTGGCCAAGGGCGTCGCAGACATCTTGAACCTCCTTTGAACGTCGTCTTGCCTCGTGCAGAAGTAAACAGCAACAACGGCAACACTCCACCGTCTTCGTATAATGCCGCCGAAGACATACCTGCCAGCACCTTGAGGCTTCTTCGTGAGGAACAAGTGTTGGAGTTTCCAGATCAAAAGGACTATATCCCAGCGCTAGAAGCTTACTTCACCTGGTTCCACCCATGTTTCCCCATTCTAGATCGGCGTCTTACCGCGCAACATTTAGCAAATGGGACACTCTCTCCTCTCCTACTGAATGCGATGTTGTTTATTGGCAGCACATATTGCACGGATGAAATTATCTCGAATATCGGATTCCAAGATCGTGCGGAAGCGAAGGCCAGGTTCTATACCAAGACTCGCCTACTGTATAGTGCCGACTGGGAACAAGATAAGATCACACTGATACAGTCTGTGTTTTTAATGAGCTTTTGGAGAGGAGGTCCGACTGATATAAGAGACGTGAGATACTGGCTAGGGGTTGTCATCTCTCTGGCTGAGTCTCAAGGCCTTCATCGCTCGTGAGTGATGACCAATTCAAGCTCCTCTAACTTTGCCAAGTTTATTCCTCGTAGCTAACTTTCCATGTCACAGAACTAAATTTACAGCCAAGGCCCACAACCCCACGCGGTTACGTCGGAGGATCTGGTGGTCTATCTATGTTGGTTCCATTTTCATCATGCTTCCTCCATCAACATACTAACGTAACCAGGTTCGCGAAAGACAAGCCGCCGCGTCACTGGGGCTACCGAGCAGGATCAGAGACGAAGACTGCGACACAGAACCTCTTCTTGACTCAGACCTGAGCTCTGAAGTTGTAGACCCGGAAGGGTTTCCCTTTGGATCCTGCCAGCCGAACCATATGGTCTATGTGATCAAGATGGTTGAAATTGCGAAATTACGTACGTTGAATGTCGACAAATGCAGATTTTGAAGTGGAAATTAACTTTACCTAGTTGGTCGTGTGATTGATTTATATTTTCTTCCGGGACGATCTTCTCCCCAACAATACGATGTGCAGGTTCTGGATAACGCGCTGCATTCATGGTTTGATAGTTTGCCTGAAGATGTAAAGAACGGCGTTGACTCTGACAATGCACCCATTTGGACCTGTCTCTTACACCTGGCATACTAGTAAGTAAATTGAAATCCCAGTTATAGAGTAGGTTACAACTGACAACTGGAATTGAAGCCATCTTCGAATTCTAATTCACCGGAACAGCTTCATGCGGCAGAGAGATGCCGTTGACAGCGCCGAAATGGCGTACCATGCCGCGACTCGCATCAGCCGAATTGCTGAAGATTTGCTCACCCGCGGGGCACTTCGGTTTGGCCAAATGCACTTGTATGGATTCATGGTATACCCGTCGAGATTCTGTAACTAATGACCGTTTCTGCTAGGATCACTAGTCTCTTCGCCGCCCTCTGCATTCATGTTATCAGTATTAGAAGGGGAACGGGAGTCGCCCGGCGAATAGCCGAAAACCGAGCCCAGGCTTGTCTCTTGGGCTTGCAGGAGATTCAAAAATATTGGAGGATCAACAACAACGTCCTTGACGTTTTCATGCAGTTTGTCGATAATTCCATCATGAAGCAGCTAAGAGGAACAAGCGATGAGATGACTGAGCCGACAGGCATTCATCAGCAAGTGAGCCAGACTGCCTTGGAACAGCCAGAATCTTCTTCAGCAGCAAATCGGATACAGAACGATATTTTTGAAGATCCCCATCTTTTCATGTGGAATGGGTATTGGGAAGGGAACGAGTCTACGGGAGATCTCGGGGCCTTTCTGACCGAGTATAACGATTTTGAGATGGATGTGCTAGAGAAACCTCTCTGAATGATGAAGTAATTCCAAAGAAAGATAAATTATAACCACCTCGGTGTCTCCTATGAAGGGACTTTTAAACTATCGACTTCTTATAACCGAATCGGCAACTCTGCAAAAGTCTCTCCTCTATTAAGAATGATGAAGCTAGGAAACTTAGCAGCGTACGAGTTTTAAGCCCAGATTTTACAAAGCAGGGAGGGAACGCAATACGTAGGCTTCCAATCTAAACATAATGTAAGAAATGTTCGTTACATTTATTTTATTCGTAACATGGAGTCTTTTCTATAAATTCCAACCTTTAAAACACTCGCACGAGGACGAACTTGATCATTGCCGTAGAAAGTCTTCATTGAACCCCAATTCTTTTAGAATTTTTGAATTGTGCTCACCAACTTCCGGTACCGCATCCATCTTGACTTCATCGACAGTTGTAACACCGGGCGGTAACAAGGCAGGCAGTTTTCCTACTGGGCTATGAACCTCTGTCCAACGGCCTCTTGCCTTCAACTGTGGGTGTTCCCATAGTCCTTTCATATCATTCATCTTGGCATTCGCAATCCCTGCTTCATCCAAGAGGGCTAGAACTTCCTCGGGACTGTATTTGGAAAAGATATCGCAGATGGTTTTCTTAAGAGCCTCACGATTTTCGGACCGAAGCGAATTAGTCGAAAACCTCTCGTCAACGGCAAGCTTGGGGTCTCCCAGTGCCACGGAGCAAAGCTTCTCCCACTCGCGCTCATTTTGTAAGCCAAGTATCACAGTGCCGCCCTGGCCGGTCTCGAATGGGCCGTATGGGTAGATGGCTGCGTGTGAAGCCCCCATCCGTTTTGGAGGCTCGGCACCTTTGTACGTGTAGTACATGGGGAAAGACATCCATTCTGCCATGCTCTCGAGCATGGATATGTCTATTTGTTTCCCCTTGCCGGTTACTCCACGGTGGATCAGAGCAGCCAAGACATTCTGCTGGGCGTACATGCCGGCTGCGATGTCTGCGATTGAAATGCCAACCTTAGCAGGATCCGCGTCTGTTCCGGTGACAGATAAGAGACCCGCCTCGCTTTGTACCAGAAGGTCATACGCCTTCTTCTTTCTATACGGCCCCGTGGGACCGTACCCCGATATATTGCACACGATGAGGCGAGGATTGACCTTGTGCAGGTTCTCAAATGAGAGACCAAGCCTGTCTGCAGCCCCAGGGGCGAGATTCTGGACAAAGACGTCGGCAGTCTTGAGCAAGGATTCCAGAACCTTGGCGGCCTTGGGGTCCTTGACATCAAGTGCCAGGCTTTCCTTCGACCTGTTTGTCCAAACAAAGTGCGAGGCGAGGCCGTCAACCCGAGTATCGTAATTACGTGCAAAGTCGCCCACGACTGGTCTTTCCACCTTTATCACGCGGGCACCGAGATCGGCCAGTTGCCGCGTGCAGAATGGCGCAGCAATCGCTTGCTCGAGGCTCACAACTGTGATTCCGTCGAGCGGGAGGCTGTTCTTTCTGCTTTCTTTATCTGAAGAATAAAAACGGCGCACAGGAGCGGAGGGCCTGGGCGATTTGAACGAGATCTTCTCCAGGCCACTGCATTGTTTTGGATGCCGGAAAAGTGTTGGTGGAAGAGCCCGCCCTAGCCTTTTGGCAATGAACGAAGCCGGCGGCATGGTGAACGGTCGAAATGAATCTGATACGTCTCTTATTGAACTGAACAATGAGTGTATGAATTGAATTGACTAATAGCCAGCTCGTTGCCGTCCCAGAAACACTTCTCACGGGAAGGGAAACAATGTGACTTATCGCCTCTGGTGCCAGGTCCGATCGGAGAGCGGTTGGACATTGCCGTGATGTGGGGAGAAGCCGTTTACTTGGTGTTCTCCTCATTTGCCAGATGAAGAAGCCGAGTTACCGAACCTCTCCTCTTGCTAAGTAACCGAGACTGCGGAGCGACATCATGTCACCGCATGATTGATTATATATCATCAGTCTCAGCCCGAAGCTTTTGTTAGTTTGCCGGCTCTGTATGTTTTAATTTAATAGTTGAATCGTTCATCTGGGGCACGAAAATGTATTCATTCAGGCTCACACGATGCGTAGCCCCTTCAATGGTGGCTGGAGCACGGCTCATCTCCAGAGGTGCAAACAGGAGCGCAGCCCGCACATTCTCTAGCACCTCTTCTCGCCATATCATGGACACTACAGGATTCACTGAAAACCAGCTCATGGTTCGTGAGTCGGTCAGCCAGGTCTGCTCCAATTTCCCCAATACCTACTGGCAGGATCTCGACCAAACCGAGACCGACCCCAAGGATTTCCATGCCGCACTGGCCAAGGATGGATGGCTGGGCGTGGCATTACCCGAGGAATTTGGCGGATCTGGCCTGGGCATTTCGGAAGCTACCATGATGATGCAAACCATCACCGAGTCGGGCGCGGGCATGGCGGGCGCCCAGGCCATCCACGCCAACATCTACGCGACACAACCACTCGCCAAGTTTGGCTCAGAAGAGATGCTCAAGTCGATACCCGACATCGTATCCGGTAAGACACGAGTGTGCTTTGGCGTGACGGAACCCAACGCCGGGCTCAACACGCTTAGTCTGTCCACGGCTGCCAAGGACGTCGGTGATGGCTACAGCATCACGGGTCAAAAGATCTGGATTACCTGTGCTCAGGTGGCTTCCAAGATGATCCTGTTAGCTCGTACCACTCCGCTCGAGGAGGTCAAGAAGCCCAGCGAGGGCTTATCGCTCCTCTTTATCGATCTGGATCGTACGAAGCCTGGGTTGGATATGCGGAAGATTAAGAAGATGGGAGGCCGAGCCGTGGATGCCAACGAGGTCTTCTTCGACAACTACGTGATTCCAAAGAGCACCCTTATCGGCTCCGAAGGCCAGGGCTTCAAAATCGTGCTTCACGGAATGAATGCGGAGAGATGCTTACTGGCTGGCGAGGCCTTGGGTCTGGGATATGCGGCACTGGCCAAGGCAGCAGGGTACGCAAAGGAACGCGTCGTCTTCAACAGACCTATTGGCATGAACCAAGGAATCGCCCATCCCCTTGCCGACGCTTACATGCGATTGGAGGCGGCCAAGTTGGCCACATACCACGCCGCCAGACTCTATGACAACAGCAAAACCGGCGGTGCGGCTAGCCCGCATGCGATCGGGGTTGCCTGCAACAGCGCGAAATATCTTGCCGCTGAAGCAGCATTTACTGCTTGTGAGCGGGCTGTTCTTACCCATGGCGGTATGGGGTATGCGATGGAATACGACGTGGAGCGGTGGTTCAGGGAGTGTCTTGTGCCTCGCATCGCTCCAGTAAGTCGAGAGATGATTCTCAACTTTATTTCAGAAAGGGTACTGGACCTCCCACGAAGCTATTGATTTCAGATAGGAGCTCCAAATTTCAAAATTAAAGAGTAAAATAGAATAGACAATGCCATGGATTTATACAAATACAAGTACAAGCATTCGTTCAACTATGTTAGGAACTAGAGATGGCTAATCATGTTCCCTGCTGATAGAAAGCATAAGACATGTGTATAAATATTGCTGTATCTTCATCTGGATGTTCCTGTTAAGCCTTGTTGTGTGTATTGAGTGAAATGCTCCAATAAGAGAGACCATGTTCAGTTTAGGTGTATGCTTCAATCCTATCACGCAGGCAAAGATATCATGGAAAATATTTCAAATCAAGCTATATTGTATATTTCAACTAATTAATGCAGCATTACTATAAGGGATTGTAAGGGGTGACTTTGGAAAGAAGGACCAATACACCTTTGTAGATAGAAATGTTGGATTTGTAGAAGCGGAAAGTGCAGCCAGGCATGAAATCGAATAGGTAATATCAAGTTCATTTTCGGAACTTGAATCAGTTCCTTAACAGTCAATACCAGGAGCTATTTAACCCAGAAGCTTTCCAAGACCGCCGAGGCCAAGACCAGTAAGTAAGTTCTGGATAGTGTTGACAAGAGTGGAAGTCGCGTTGCTTAGTCCCAAAACATAGATGCCGAGTCTGGCGTTGAATTTCGAAACTGCATCGGCGAAAGCAGCAACAGGGGTGATGAAGGGTTTGATGGTGTTTTGGATGGCGGTGATCTGGCCCTGGACCAAGTTGAACACGGCGGGTGTGAGGTCGGTAGCAGTGAGGCTGGCAACAATCCTGAGTTGGTTGACAGCGGCAACGGCACCCTGGACCGCGGCTGCAAGATTGTTGATTTGTGCTTGTGTGAGTCCAGAGGCAGCTGCGGTGATATTACCAGTCGAATCAAGGGTTGAGCCGACAATGGTAGCGATGGAGCCTTGGAGGGCCTTGAGAATGGCATCGAGATTGGCCCTGATAAGGACTTGAACTTGAGCATCAACATTTCCGGTGATTCCATTGAGTGCCGATTCTAGTTTAAATGTTTAGTACCTGAAAGTTTTTATTCAGCTGCAGATCTGCTTACGGATCGCGCCAACGCTGGTGTTGATGGTATTCGTCACCGAGTTGAGTGAAGTGACAACGGCTGAAACTGGGTCGTTCTGTCGCTCTTCAAGTAGAAGAGCTGGCTCGTCTTTCCCAACAAGAGCTGCAGGTGCAGCTAGGGCAAGAGAGGCAAAGTAGAGAACTCGTGAGAACTTCATATTGATTATTGGGGATTGATCAAGGTAGTTATGATAGACTAGTCAGTTGATATTGTCTTTGTTGTTATAATTCTTTCCTTATGAGTCGAGGTATCTGTCTCTTATATAGTTTTTCAACTCAAAAGAAGGCCTGTAATTCTGCGTATCCTATAACTTCCTAGATTAAGGTCTTTCCATGCCTCCTCTGTTGGGCCGATGGTAGCGCGGATGGCATGATCGGCCTAGAAACTCACATTCAACTCCGTGATGCCATGTCTCACGGGAGAACATTCCTAAGATGTTCCAGATATTTCAGTCGTATGTTCAAAACGCCTTTCCTGAACCAGGCGAGGGATGGGAAACTAGACTCAGACAGGAATGCAACAGCACCTGTAATACTTTAAGCTATGGGCTAAGGGTGGTTCAGCCCGTCCCGTTGTCATTGCAAAAGACCAATGGGAAGTATTCCTGACACGGCGCCTAGAAGTTCGCTGCCCATCTAAACCTCCTGATCAGGCCATGAATCGGAGCATCAAAAGTTATCCCCGTTCCAAAACAAACGTAAAATTCTTCGTGTCCTCTGGTCGGGGAGCGGCCGCCTCAGCGCCATGTGATGGGCCACCAATACGGGTAGCGTTCGTAACGGTAACCTACCGTAATCTTTGGCGTGTTGGTCTGGAATCTTCATTGCACATTACGAAGCCGGTCCTTAGAATTATAGTTCGGATGAATATCGGGATGAAGCTGCTTCGAGGCCCTGTCTACTAAACCTTGACTGGATTCGAGATTCTACAGGACTGGCCGATCCAACCCGTTACATTTTGATGAATTCTAGATAAGTATTGCGCAATCCACGGGTAGAAAAGCATGTCTCTAATGATGAGACTTGAAGAAATCTTCCGATAGGGTGTATATGAAACATTGATAAGACCCAGTGTCTAGCTAAACTGGCTCCGAAAGCATGGTGCCACGATGTGTGAAGTTTAGTGGCGAATAATATAGGGGCAATATTGACCCGATTCGACGACGATATAATGGCAGCTTTCCCAATTTGTTCAAATGATCTACCTAAATTCGAGTGTTTAACTAAACATATGAGTTTTACTGAAGCAGCTAATTGAGTGGATAAACCTTGCCAAGGGCGGTCGAGAGCACTGAGACCAAATTCTATCACACGTGAGCCTCGAGGCATTCCAGTCTACATCGAAGCATAGTAGTAGCGGATCTGATGATAATCTCCGACCCCAAGAGCGGATGGTTGTGAGTGTCGCTGTGTGGCTATTTGAAGGTTTATTCATCTATATTCTAGCTGTTTCTCTCCCCGTGGGTAGCTTTACAGTACCTAACCAGAGTGGTCTTGCTCAAAGACTAGCTAGCCATCGTTCAAGTATTTAATTGCCCGTCGAGCCACGTCGAAAAGCATTCCAAGGTCCGGTAACTTATCAATTGATATGTAGCCAGGTCTAGAAGGCGATCTAATTTCGTTCCCGTAACGTTAAAGGAACTCTTAGTCCGTCACTGTGCTTGAAGAAATCGGTCCAATTCTCTAGGTCTCGGAGAATAAATGTTTTAGTTGCCACACTCAACAGCGTAACGGTTATCCTATCAACGTCTCATACCCTCCGTCCATCATGACATCCATCCAGTATAAGTCCTGCTGTTCCTCGTCCAGCCTGCGCCAGGTCTGTTTGCCAGCTGTATCATCATCCTCACCGGCTTTGCAGCCAGTATATTTTCAAAGTAGGAGAGCCGGGATACAATGTCCCTTCTTGCCTGTAGAATGTCTGTCATGCTTGGTGATGATTGGAAAATAGGGCTAGACGCGATGCTTTCTACAGACACTCTATCTGGACTAGCTACTGTACCGTAGGAGCGGCTAAGTGAAAGCTCACTGCAAATTGCTACAAGAAGAAGCGGTTGGATGGATCGACTGCGAGAGGATACTGGGATGCCTTGCACCAAATGAAGAATATGAAGTGCTAAGCATGTCAGCCACGTATCCGTGAGACAGTGATCGCTCGTGCTGGAGGACGAATTGGTCTCATTTTCGAGTTGGAAGACCTGATCTTGGGTGCCAGAAGATGTGGAGAATGTTAGGAGATCCGGGAAGTTTCTGAAAAGCTGGAGGAGCCCCATACATCGATACGCTTCTGCAATCTTTAGGAGATGAGCCGCTGGTGTCACATCATCGCCTGAGTCGATAACAGTAGCTTCCCTTGGCAAGACAATAGCGCAAAGATGTGCTTGAAGCATTGTAGCCTCCTGAATGGCAGCCTCGGCCGTATCGATATCATTTCTTGATGCATACCTGCGAGAGCGGATCCTCTTTCGCTCTCTCCTTACTAAGGCTCCAACTCGGGAAACTAGCTCTTGTATTTCTATTCCCACACCCGTCTGCGGGTGAGGGACCCGTGGTTCATATCGATCGACTGCGGCGGTGGGCTCCGCCGCTTGTGGTTGGAAAATCGTGGTCTCAGGTCGGGCCAGATCCAGGTCAGTGACAAATGACAGCAAGAGCTTCCAGTACACCAGAGAGTTATAGAAGAAAAAATGCTTCTGTTTTTCGGCCAACGAAACACTGTCATGATGCTGATCCATTTGTTCAATAGCCTTGGCCAAAATATCATATTCTCTTTGGCCGAGGTGCCCTGGATCGTGCCAAGAGCGGCTCATGCCCAACATAACGACTGCAAGAAGAGATATCTTATCTGTCAGCCCAGCCTCGCTCTCTCTGACCAAGCTCTCCTCAGCTTTATCGCGGAGCTGGCGGCCGGTCAAGGACATATTTGGCGAAACCTCTGACAAGCAAGCGGCGGCCATACTCTGCGTAATGTAGTAAAGAGGTTGAGATTGAGACCATACATTAGAGATCTCTGACCTGTAGGGGTTCATCGGGCTATCGTAACACGACATCAGGCCACAAACCTCCTTGAAGTAGTACTCAACCAAGACGGATGATTGGTCCCGGAGAGGCTTTGGTATCGGCGTCTGGTCGTAAGAGTATGTGGGTGTCTGCCGTTGCCGTGATGTTTGAATTTGAAGACGGTCAGTGCCTCCATGCGCCAGCGGTGAAAAAATATCCGTCCACAGACCATCACGAGAGCTTTCCCAGGGTTTGCTTCGCGATACCACCGTGGATTCATTGTCCTGGAAAGAGTTCGGTTCCTCGGAAGAAGGCGCGAATGAGAAGGGCGAATCAACGGCACGATGGCCATATAAATCCAGGCTTCCGGTATCAAAAATGTCATCAAGCTGTTCCAAGAACCCGAGAGGTGGCGAGTCCTCTTGTAAAATCGGCGTCTCAACCTCATGGCTGACGCTCAAGCTCAAGGAACTCTCTGAAGTACAGTGCTTGTCCTGGCTCATTCTAGATGATCGGGCCCATTTCAGAGGTTTCTGGTACCCCGGGCAGGTGATTCCAAGCCGCTCACAGCGAGAACAGCTCGGTCTAGCCTCATCGCACTTGAGCTGCCGCCAACATGAAATCATTAGCAGAGGCAACTGAACTGGAAAAGATCTTGCTTACTCGCTTGGACTTGCAGACGGCACATCCGTTACGTGACCTTGATACGCTCTTCCGCATAATGTGTAGTAGGTTGCGGATTGAAATTAATCGAACCAGCAGTTGCAAGTGGAGCGTTCGTTATCAACTAGCTTCTCGTAATTGCTTTGATCCGACAAAACTGATAGCGGCAATTTGATAAACCCCTCCCGAAGCCTTTCCTTTGCTTAACACTGCCTTTTCCAGTTTAGCCTCGACCTGCTGCGAGTCAAGTGTGACCCCCCGCAAAACTCCACAGATTGTGCCATGTTTGGTGGGAACTCAACTCGACCCTGTTATCAGCACTCTTACATTGATCGGATGACCTCGTCAACTACTTAAATGGACGGCCAATCTCCTCATCCACAATTCATGCCCCGGTTACTTCCTCATCTGTGTCCTAAAGCATTGTACCAAACATCATGGCATCCCAAAACGGACAGCAGGAGGGTCACCTCCAAAAACGCTTCTCCAAAATCACAATGGTTGGCATGTCTTTTGCCATTTTAAAGTATGATTCATGCATTCTCTCTAGATACTCGGCTGGTTTGCTCACGGAGTCTCTTTCTCTTCATCTAGCACATGGATTTCTTTAGCCGGTTCAATTGGTCTTATTATGCCGTCCGGCGGATCAGTCTCCTTCGTATACGGGTTTTTATTCTGCATCGTGTGCTCTCTATGTCTAGCTGCCAGTCTGGGTGAGCTGGCATCTCGCTGGCCGACCGCCGGCGGACAGTACCATTATGCATATGCCTTGGCCTCCGAGAAGTGGAGGAACAGTATGGTAGGTCATCACACTTGTTGTTTTTATCTCCCAGTTTCAATTACTGAAAGCCCCCGTGTGCAGAGCTTCTTAGTTGGATAGATCAATATAGCAAGCTGGCTGACACTGAATACGACTGCTGCATACTTTGGAGGTAATGAGTGCCGTCGTTCAACATGTTTGGGGGGAGTTGAAGCTAACATGAGTAGCTCGTTTCCTGGCCGCCGCGGCTGTTGCTGGCTCTCACTATACCTATGAAATCACCCAATGGGGTACTTATCTGATGTTTGTTGCGGTATCAATCATCGGTGTTCTTCTGAACCTCTTCGCATATCCAATCCTGAACCGGTGGAACGAGGGTGCTTGTAAGTCCACCGCTCTACTCCTTCCACCATCCTTGTCGTTGTGTCTAATGAAACGATCTTTACATAGTGTACTGGTCTGTAATTAGCGTTGTCGTGATCAGTATTGTGCTGCTCGCCACTTCGCCCAAGACGGATGCAACATTCGTTTTCACCAACTTCTCGAACACGACAGGATGGAGCGATGGAACAGCCTGGATGCTTGGACTGCTCCAATCCGCCCTCTCTTTCGTTGGGTTAGTACGCTCGACCATTGTTGGTACTTTTCAGGGAAGCTAATTCATAAATAGCTTTGATGCCGTTGCTCATATGACAGAGGAAATGCCCCATCCCACGAAGGATGCTCCCCAGGCCATGGTTGCTTCTATCATGGTTGGCGGTGTAACGTGAGTCCAGCCCATCCCGTAAAAACATCCATTATTGTCCCTCCCACTCACAACAAGGACTAGCGGTATTTTCTTTATCCTGGTTATGTTATTCTGCGCTGTCGATATCGATGGGCTTCTCGCTTCAGCAACGCAGAGCCCCCTGACCGAAATGATCCAACAGGCAACAGGCAGCTATGTAGCTTCAACAGTCTTAACCGTCGCCGTTGCTCTGTGCTTCGTAAATGGTGCCAATGGCTGTGTGACTTCTGGTAGTCGGCTTATTTGGGCCATGGCGCGAGACAACGGGACTCCCTTTTCTCGATAGTAAGCCCTCCAGACTATTTCATGCCTAGAAATTCAACTGACCCATTGTATCAGCCTTTCTCATCTGCACCCAAAGCTTAATGTCCCTGTGCGAGCCATTCTCGTCCAAGCAGTTTTTAATCTTCTTTTTGGTCTGATCTACCTGGGTAAGTAATGTCAACCTTCCAATTTTGAAGACGTCAAGACTCTAATTCCCTTAAAGGTCCCGAGGTTGCATTCAACGCGTACATCTCAAGTTGCACGCTCTTCTTGAACCTGTCATACGCAGCTCCTGTCATTATACTTCTGATCAGGGGCCGAAAGATAATCATGAACGAGCCCCCCGAGTTTTCTCTTGGCCGAATCTGGGGGTATATACTAAATTATACCTCTGCCATCTACGTGGTAGTCACCTCAGTTGTAAGCTCTTTCGTTCGCCGTTCTGTCGTCGACTTCAAACACGGTGTTGTGAGTCAAATTTCTGATTTCATAAACCATAGTTCTTCTGTTTCCCACCTGCAATCCCGGTTGATGCCGGTTCTATGAGTAAGTTCTCACCGTTCCGTTGTCAGCCCAGAGTCAAAGCCTTCCACTAACGCTGTCTTAGACTACGTGGTTGCTGTTGTTGGGATCTTCATTATCTTCGTCACCGGCCTCTGGGTTTTCAAGAGAAACGCATACCAAGGGCCGAATATTGAGTTGATTCTAGGAGAGGCACTGCCGGTGATTCATGCAGACATGGCAGATCCTCACTCCAAGACCTCTGAAGACACTCATCAAAAGAGTTCGGACTAGTACCACCATCACATAGTTGGGTTGCTTTGGAATTTTCACATTTCCAAGGCATATATTCAGTCTTAAATTTTCCTAGATATGTCACGTCCGATAGGACAATCTATATATCCTTAATTGATCATTGTCACTCTTCATTTAGTTTCTTTAATGCTATAAGTGGTATTTTTATCGTGTTACGAGGCTTAGGTCCTCTTATTAACATTGCATATTCTCGGTCCTTTGACACAAGGGTCCATGAAAACAAATTCACAGAACGCATCGAGGTGCCTAATCATTACAGAATGTAACTTTCTCCCAAAAATGCAAAATATCGTCCATTGTGAGTCAAAGTGTCCATGATAAACTTTCTCGCACAATTTCACACGGTCATTCGTAGCCCCTTCTGTTGTTGAACATACATTATGATATGGATTTTTTTTGACTACCTACTTCACAGTCTAGTTGAAATATCAACCTTATCATACCCATAGTGCCAATCCTTGCCAGCCATGTCCTGTCTGATCTTGTAGTTCTTCTCAGCAACTTCAACCGCGCGCATGTCAACACCAACAAGTCGCATTCCCTCCTCGCTGTCGCTAAAGCTTCCAGGCACCGTCCCCACGATTGGAAGCGTGACCTGGCTGCACCCGAAGAAACCCTCCTCCGCCGGGCCTGCCACGTTGCAGTAGATCACTGCAGCAGTATTCTCGAAAGCGCGAGTGACCAGAGCATTTTGCACGAATAATCTCTCACAGTCAGGATTGTACTCCAGTCCGTCGGGGGTCATATCGCCAGACGTCCAGTAAGATGGGATGATTATGATTTTGGCACCGTCGAGGACCAGCTGCCGAAATGCTTCTGGGAAAGCAAGATCCCAGCAGACAAGGATGCCAACCCGACCAAGCGGCGTATCAATGACTTGGTGGGGGTTATGGGACGAGCCGGCGCCGCTCAGCTTGGCAAACTCAACTGAGGATGTCAGATAACGACGTTCAGGGATCCAGATGTTCGTCTTGGTGTAAGTTCCCAAGAGCTTGCCATTATGATCTATAAAATGGGACTTGTTGAGTACAGCTGGCGCAGTCGTGTCCTGGGAGTCTGACGCGAAAGATTTCGACACTATAGTGCCAGCGCAGATGTTAATGTGAAGCTCTGCTGCCAGTGCCTGATACCGCTGCTGGTAGTCCAGAGCGTCCTCGGGGGACAATGCAAACGAAGGGTCCTCGGGCACCCAATCTGTCAGATGGTACTCGGGGACGATAGCAAGGGCTGCTCCGGAGGCTGCCGCCTGCCGAATCTTGTCAGCGGCGTATGCGAAATTATGCTCCGGGTCGAGACGCTATTGATCAAAAACATTAGAATTCCATGCCAAGCAGAGGACAGCAGGGACTGTGACGTGGTGGTGTGTACCTTGGGCTTGAACTGGATAAGAGCGACCTCAAATCGTGGCGACGCCATTTCGTCCAGGGTTGTATTCGAAGCACAGTCGAATTCAAGCGTAGATAAGGAAGCGGACCATGTTTCTCAAGGTTATTTTCCGGTGGTCCGTTGAAATCTTTAAGCCACACAGAAAAGCTGAATGATGAACTGTTTGCCGTTGCTCCCGTTGTAGCTTTGATACCCTTTTCTTAATGTTACCGCTTTGGGAAAGGTTTGCGGGCAAAAATGGGCATTACGTCAGCGATAAGGATCGGTCCTTATCTGTTGAGCTTGATTGGGTAAAGCGCAAATGTTGGCTCTGTTCACCTCTGCTTTTTGGCTGTTGTCTTTTGTACTGAAGTTGCGATGAATTCAACATCTTGGGGCAATCGTCCAATGGTTAGATGGAAATGTACTATATTCTATTTGTCTCCTGTCTTTATTTTCTAGATATTTGATCAAGTCAATTAACAAGTTGCCTACAGCGCTCGACAGAACGTCACGGTTAAGAGCTGGTGTTGATGACCGAAAATGAGAGTGGTAGGCAAAGTGATAATTACCTACCTATTCAACATTATTATGTTTTTTTTTTAAAAAAAGGGGGGGGAAAGAACAACGCATGAGAAAGAAGAAAGGTTTACCCTTGACCTTCATTCTTTTGGGGGAACTGTTACTAGGTAGCATCGTGTGAATCAGCTCGTGCGGATCAAGTGTGTTGTCTTGTACTTTTACAGCTTCGTAACTAAGAAAACCGATTGTCTTCCCAACTCTAATAAAGTGTGGTTGTAATGTAGTTGCCTGTGAAAAGCGCCGCTTTTGAAACGGCCTAGGGTAGCAAAGGACTGAACCACGCTGCTGTGTGCAAAATCAAAAGTGAAGGTATCTGAGCACGTTCTCACAATGCTCTCACCTCCATGCGTGATTCTCCAGACCACGTAAACAAACACAATCTCTTGCAATCCAAGTCTTTTCATTCTCTTCACTGATTTTTGGCAGATTATTCTGCTTCCCAACACATTCTTTCACAGCCACGGGCCGCTGTTCCTCTTTATCTGCCTAGAAAACTGCAGTCGTCATGCCCTACGAGCTCAGAGGTACGAACGAGCAGAGGGAGGCACGGAAGATCGAAACTCGGCTCAACTTCGACTGGCTTGGAAAGAGCTGGATCCCCTCCGACATTCTCGAAATCGAAGAAGCCAACATCTCTCCCATCATCAACATCGACGCAAGACTCACTGTGCTTCTCCACTTGAGAGACATCACGAAGACCGCCAAGGCCAGCAGCATGAGACTTTCCTATCTTTGGAGTCCTGAAGGTCCTCTCCGTGAGGCTTATGAAGAAGAGAACTCTTTGACAAGCGAAGAATTCTGGAGGATTGCGAGACAAAACCTGGCGGAGAGTGAAGCTCGCGCCAACTCCTCTTCCTTGAGCCTGGCATCGACCAACGACACGAATGACAGCACTGCTAACAAACCGGCCCATTGGAAGCGACGCATTATCAAGCTACGATCATCTAAAACTGTGCACGAGCAAGCGCAACCAGTCGAGGCGCCGAACCCAACTCCCAACCCCATCGACCCAGACCCAGCAACGATCTCCCCGGGCTATCTCATCGAAAATGAGACGAGCACTCAACTCAGGCAACGCCTCGGCGCGCTGGCGTCCAAACTCGACATTGTGAAGTCTCACAAAGAATACCTGGATGCCAGAATCGCGAGTTTGAAGCAGGCAGTCGAGAACCTCGATGACTTTCGAGGCGAACTGGGAGCAACTTTCGACACCTACCAGGCTCGCTTTTCGACTCAATTCTCTCACGGCAGCGCCATCGGCATCAACGAAGTGACGGAAGTGGCGGGCTGTCTCGATACGAACGAAACAAGCGACTTGGCAGAATTCTTCCGGGATGACTGTGCGCAGTTCAAACGGAAACTGGAAGCACATCGCGCAGTGTACAAGTGTAGTATCGACGAAGCGTACCGTAATTTGGCCGAGGTCATGAAGGAGTCGGAGAAGCTCAACGTGTATAACAATCTTCTGAAGGATATTTGTCAGTTGAAGGAGAACATGGAACGCAACCCCGGTGCTTGGAAGATGTGAAGAGGCCACGACCACAGGCTTGGCAGACGACTGGAAGGTTCAAATTGGAATGAGACGTGTGAAGATCCGGGCGGGTGCGATAAATTTGGCCTTAACTTGTGTTGCAATAGTAGATTAATGGTAATTCTGAAATTTGGTAAATCGTCCGCATAGTTTGGCTCAGTGTTCTCGTGGTGCAGCAAAGCGATCATCAAATCACCTTCTCATTTCAGTCTCATTCAAGAGCCACAGAGCGCGTACCACGCTGCAGGCAATTGTATTAATCAAACCATACATTGGTTCATGGGGCCCCTGACCATTCGTTGCATGGTACCTGAAAGAGTCCCCTCTACGTGTAGCCGTGATCGCGAGATCTGAAGGTACCTCATCGCCTCTTGAACCATTCACATTCTACAATTTCCCCTGGACCGTTTCACGTTGAGAACAGTATTACATGGCAGGGGAGCCTAGGATCACAGGACTCACCAAATTTGGTAGCACGGCTTTGTGGAAAACTTGTTAATTATTACCAACTCACAAGACGAGAATCCAAACAATAGGCGTCATTAGGTTCTCCTCAATCCGCTTCGGCCGGAGAATATGCCTTGGAAGCTCGACTTTAAAAGTTATGACTGTATCAAAGGGTTGATGCGCGGAGGTTAGAACTGCATCACGTTTTCTAATGTCACAGTCGTGTCCCTGCCGTGATATGCTGTACGCGGTGAAACGATTTACCAGCAAGTACACAAAACAACCCAGCGCAGGCTGGATACGGTCATCATCGCGTCGGTGTGTTTGTTCCACGAGAGGCAGCTATATCTAACACCAACTGGCAGCCAATCCTGTTCAAATTCTCTCCCAGATTCCGGGACCCGGCGACTCTTCAACACTGTTTCTAACTCCTTCTGAAAGCGCTGAAGCGTGCGGTCACCATGCACTACTATCCAATCTTCTTGCTCTCTGCCACTCTCGCTGGTATGAACGCTGCGACAACCCGAGACCAAAACCCGCTCGGCGAGGAGTGGACGATCGAGTCGATGAAGCGAGTTTGCAATGATAACGACACAAGTTGCACTTGGACGTTCCGCGTCAACACCCACACCGAGGGAATCAAGCCCACCCCCGTGGAATACATCGTCGAATCTACGAACAACACGACCGCGTCCCGCTCGATTGGTGGTCCATCAAAGTTTGGAATATTCACCGTCACAAGTACATGGAGGGACTACTTTGGGCTGGAAGGTGCATGGACAACGTTGAGTGTCATCGACTACGGCAGGAAGCTGTTGGTGTACCCTGCCTACACAGATAAGCAGGTTAAAGGGGGTGAAGTTGTCAAGCCTGATCAGGTCTATGTTCCAGAGAACGTCCCAGCTTAGAATAATGGCGTTTATTCAGTCGCTTTTCACACTGGCCAATGGATCTGTAATAGAAAGCACGTTGAACAGGGCAGCCATTGTTGAGAAATAGTCAAAGTTGAAGTAAGGATTGAACATGAGCTCCACGTAATTTCTTGAGGGCCTTCATCAACGTACTGTGGTTACAAGGAGGCAGGCGACGTATGAGCTACAACCTTTGATTTCCCACTTGGAGCTGATACGAACTTCCCATTTGGGTACTCGGATATGGCAGACAATAATACTCAGCAATATAAGCTCACGCGACACAACTGGAGAATCCGCGCGTTCCCAGTTCGGAGTGTCCCCGGTCACTCGTAATCACGGCGCAGAGCAAGCGACCCCTCAAGGCTTCACAATATCTTTATTTCTTTCAATCATTAAGCGAATAGCTACATTGTCCAGACATTATGAATTACCAATCGTATTCTTCATGTACAAAGCGCGATAGCCCACCCCGACGAGTTACGACTAACGGCTACTGATGAGTATATACAAGCTTGCGCGCAGTCCCTCCTCATCCTCACAGGGCAGCAGCGGCAGCAACCAAGCCGGCCACGGCCACGGCGGCGATCCTCATGCCGGTTTCCTTGGGAGCTGCGCCGCCCTGGGTTGACGAAGATGCAGCGCCAGCAGTTGATGCGGATGTCGAGGTGGCCGTTGTGAAGGTTGAGGAGTTGGCGGGTGTAGTAGCGGAGGATTCGCTGGATGAAGTGGTGGACGCATCATCATCTTCGGTGCTGCTTGAGGTGGGAGTTGCGGAACCCTTCGACTTGCTGGCGGTCTTGCTTGCGCTCTTTGTCTGCGTGGCGGTTGCAGTTGCGGAGGCAGAGTTGGGCACGGCGCTGTAGGTGGCCCAGAGATCGGCGCAGGAGGAGACGTAGCCATAGGCCTTGGCGTCGGGGCACTGGCTGAAGAGGGTTGAGATGCTCTGCTCGTGGGAAGAGTACCAGGCTAGGACGGTCGAGCCGTACTCTCGGATGTCGCTCTGGACCTCGGAGGGCCAAGCAATGTTGCACACATCTCCAGTTGCCTCGGGGCGTCGGAGGTTGGTGTTGGTTGCGACAGCGTCGAGGAGCGCTGTCGGGACCGTGGGGATGCCCTCAACGTACTCATCAAGCGCGGCGGAGCATGAAGCCTCGGCCTTGTCGATGGTGGTGGTTGTCTTGCCGGCGACCAAAGAAGCCGTGGCAGAGAAGAGCACAAGCAGAGAAGAAGGATGCATTTTGGTAGATTAGGTGAACCTGGATATAAGATAAACGAAGGACTGAGATTGCACTGGTGGTAAGTAAAGAGCGACTGGCGAAACCGGGAAACATCACGGCACGGCGCCAGATGGGGAAAACGAGCATATTATATATAATTGCCTCTTTCTGCCCTCATCGTTGCCGCTGCCGGTCCCTTGTCAGCTCCTCTGAGCAAACCCTCATCTCACCACTGGCATCAGTCGTCCAAAGCGCCGGGACCAGGGCAAACGCCACTGACGGAGCTCTGGGGGTGGGGAGAAAGTGGGAGAAAGTCTGGGCACTTAGTCTTGATCGAGCAGAGCGGCGCCCCTGGACGGCAAATTTGAAACGCCGTCCGCGAATGTGAGTGGCCATGTTGCGATCCTGCAGGCACAACGCAATTTCATTTTAACATGGTCCACAATCACATTCTCTCTTCATGACAGCCCATCGACCCATAATAACCATTCGGCCTGTTCCGTACTGGGATCACGCGCTCTGTTGTTCGGTAATTGATGCCCATAATCACCGGGTCTTGGCCCTGACCTAGTAACGAGTTGAGCCAGAACAGATAGGCGAGGCCGCTCGTTCAATTGCACGGACATTTGCAGTCGGGACTCACTGAAGATCCTTCCAATTTATTATCATTAGCCCTAATTTACACTGGATCATCAGCCTTGCCCTCGGCTTAATATAGCCATCGAAATGATGAACACCCCTGCCTGTCTTCCCTTTTTGTTCAATTGGATCCCAGTCAACAACCCTTTTTGAGCGTAAACACTTGGGCTCCTGTGCCCGGTATATCGCTGCCAAAGTACGAGCCGGCTGTTGCAAAGTACAGCGTCCCGCGGTCTCTTGCGGTCTGGCCAAATACAGCAGATGACGCCTGGCTGATTTCCGACGACCCATACTCCCAGCTGGCAACTATCTCGGTCTTCCCTGTCTCCGTGACCTTTTCGATTCCATTGATCCCCATGCCAGTAGCCAAAAAGCCCGTGTGGTCGCTCCGCAGCGCAAAGTCGTCAAATGTCGACCCGTTGACACCGGTCGTAATGACCTCGGCGGGTTTCCCGACGGCAAGACCCTCTTTGTCGATGGCAAGCCGCCCATACAGGCGCTGGTCGGTATTTGTAAAGTACACGAACCCATCGAGGGCGTGAACCCCGTTTATCCCGATGGAGAGAGTTGGCGACGGCACAGTGGCGAACAGCGGATCCATGCTCACAGTTTTGATTGATCCCGTCCGTGTGTCTAGGCGAAGTAGGGAACCGGCGTGGCAGTCGGCGATCAGAAGATGATGCGGAGCACCAGGAACCGAGGTCAGGCCGTTGAGCCAACCCGCTGAAGGGAAGGGGAAAACCTCTGCCTTCGGTCCAGACTTTGTAAGCGTGATGAGGTGAACTGCGTTGGTTCCATTAACCACTTGTCCTGTGTTCCATATAAAATTACTGGCCGTAACAGCAACAGTGTCTGAGGTTGGAGATGCAAGTCCAAAGATGGCAGAAGAGTATGGTGACAGCGAAGTCACAAAGTAAGGAGTAGCTCCAGAGGCGCCATGGAGAGGATTGATGCCGAAAAGCTCTCCTGTATACGAGTTGGGGATAATCAGTGTGCTATTCGGGAGGATGGCGATGTTTTCGATCCTCCAGTCTTGTGAAAGCTGTGTCAGTAAGGTTGGTTTGACAGCTTCACCAACAACAAGAGAAGGGAGCGACAGCAAAGCAGTCGTCAGGGTCAGTGCAGACCACATATTTCCAGATATATTTTCGGGGAGGCAACGAAAGGGATACTGTGCTACTCAAATATCAGGTTAGGTTTGAGGAGTGTTATCCGCATTTGATGGATACTACAAGAGTCACAAAGAGGTGATGATGGACCTTTAAATACTGATCCGGGTTGCAATTGCCGGTAACATGGCCCATTCCCCTCCGCTATGATTACTTTAAACGAGCACCAGGAAAAAATAGTGCAATTCCATTCTAAACAGTCCTGTCGTCACAGCTCGGTCAAGAGCCGTACCGTTCAACACTCCAGATGCAGTCTAGTTACTCCAAGATGGTGATCTGACAGTCGCCTAAGCCAAAGAAAGCACCCAGTATCAATTTAAAATATTACACAATTGGCTAATTCTTTCATTATAGCATGGTAGTATAGCTCCATACGATATTTGTGTGGCCGGTCGTGATTGATGGCATCGTTCAAGCCCTACGATCTAAGTTAGAGTAGAGTCAATGATGCAACCCTCGCTTGCACGGTCATGGCGCTGTAATCAATCCTAAATCCACCGACTCACCAATTCATGCAAAGCAATGTCAGCGTTTGGGGGCCAACATTCCAGTCTTGATTGGCTGTGTCGTTCGCTCTCCCGAAACAAGTCTAGTTTGATGTGGCCCTGGGTAGAGCGGCATCCTTTCTGGGTGTCAGCATCCTCGATTCATGCGTATTCTACAGACATAGGCTTTGGATAATACCTTGACGATTTCCATCCTATGAATACTATTGATCGTTTAGATAACCCAATCCGACAGTCCCGCAGCCAGAGTGTACCGACTAGCGTTCCCTAACCTTTGATGAACCACATACAAACATTCTAGTTCATGGAGACGACTCAAGATGGCCTCCACTCTGGCGAGCCCTGCAAGCCACGGCCAAACGCCAAGCGGAGATTCCGGCCAAAGACAAAGACGGGCTGCCAGACGTGCAGGTGAGCTAGTTCGGGGCCGAAGCTGGGCGGGCGTGCGGCGAACCTTGGCTTGACGGCGATGGTGAACTATCATTTGATTTGAGAGGCTGACATTGGAGCAGGGTCAGGAGAGTGAAGTGCGATGAGGCAAAGCCGTCCTGCAACCGCTGCCTGTCCACGGGCCGCGTTTGCGATGGATACACATCCATATTCCAAGTTGTAACCGTCGGACCATCGCCACCAGCGATCACGGCTCAGAGCTCCCCGCCAGCATCTCTGTCCATATACCAGCCAGGAGCGTCCACTGTTTCCGTGGACGAGATCAACAGTCTAGCACACAGCTTCACTGCCAAATACAATCATCGCAACATCGGCTATCACACCGAGGCCCGCACTATACCCACCAAGCTATCGGATCCAGCCATCCGACACGCTCTTATTTCTCTCCAATCTCTACACCATGAGTTTGATGCGCGGCAACAGCGCTACAGCCATGACGACGGGAATGGCGGGCTCGTCCGTATCCATCACGGCTTAGACGCCTACAACACCTCAGTCACAAGCCTCGCGTCCCGCCTAGGAACCAGCCCAACCCACGAGTCCGTTTGCGCGGCGCTGTTGTGTTGCCAAATGTTCATCAGCATAGAGACGATGCTCGGCAACTACACTGCTGGCATGAGGCACTTCATATACGGGCTCCGTATCATGCATCAGTATCGTGCACGTCCCACGGTAAATCTCAATGGCCAGCTGGAACCGTGCAACAACGTGCCTCTTCCTGCTTTGGACTGTTTCCTGATCAAACTGTTCGCTTCGGGCCGCCCTGATGCCAAGCCGATGCCAATCAACAGGGCATCCGACACTAACACAGGCCTTTTCGATATCTCATTACAAGAACAGTCTCGCGGTGAGCTAGCCGCGCTCTCGTCGCAGGTATTGGAGTTCTTGGACCAGGTCTCCCGTATGCAGACATCTCGCCAGGTCTCAGACTTGGAAGTCTCCAAGTCCCACATCCTCGCCCGCCTCGAATCCTGGGACTGGATGTATACCCAATCACTGAGAACCCTTCTAGTTGCCCACCAGATGCCTGTGGGGTTGAAATTTGGCGCGATATTTACATTGCTGCTGCATGGCGTCTTGAAGGTTGTGGTGAGTTTGGCCATGAGCAGCTCGCCGGCAGACCTGGACAGAGTAGACACGGATTTCCAGAATCTCACAAACATTTCGAATGCCGCGACGGAGGCGAAGAAAGCCGCGGCTGGTAGGGTCATATGACCGAGCCAACCATCTCCCTATTGTCGTCAGCGGTGTGGTGTTGGGGCAGGATTCATAGACAAACTAGACGCACAACACTTGAATTGATAATCGACATTAAGACCCTTTTTTTCCCTACGAGATGCATCTCGAGATTCGCAAATAATCTCCGCTTTTCCCTACCGATTGAGCACTGAGCTGGACATCGGGCATTTTTGCACCCAATTGCGGTGTCTGTCTGGGGGGTCGCGCCCCTTTATTATTATGCGGGGTCCAGCAGCAAGGATGGAAATATTTTCCGTCTGCTTGCCAATTGTCATCGTCATTTGATTCCGTAAGCACGAGATCACCTGGGATCGAACGTGTCGCGTGCCCAAAGGAAGGCAGCCTCGTATACAGTGAGTCTGTGGGATTGCTGAACGAACAATACACCAGCCGGTTCACATTTGCCCGTCCTTCTCCCAGTTCACTTCTCGCCTCCCTCCGCATATCAAGTGTGCGGCACGCGACATCGTGGAGCGCTACCTCACCGCCCCCAATGCAACACATCGCTGCTGTGCTGTCCACTCATCCATGGTGCTAACCTGGCCAATTGTCCTCTAGTCCAATCTGATCCCTCTCGCCGTCCGCTCCAGCTGGCGAGTCGCGTGTGTAGCCGTACGGCGCTGGACCCAGCACTGCACCGCCGCGTCGCATCGTCGCGTTGCATTCGCCCATCATGACCACTGATCGCCCCACGGGAGAACTGGGAAACCTGACAATTGAAGAGGAGCGCAAGCTCCAGCAGGCATGGGCGCATATTCTGCGCCTCTGCGACACCTCGCACGCCAGCAATGATGTCGGTGCCTGGGGCGAGACCCCTCATCGGAGCGACGGATTTCAGCAGCACCTGGCGAGCGTCCCGTCTGAACTGTTCAGAAACAGTCTTTGGAGGATCATCCTGCTGGACCATCCCGACTCCCTTCTGCTCCGCTTCCTTCGGGCCCGTAAGTGGGACGTGGAAAAGGCCATTGAGATGATGGTCTCAGATATGAACTGGCGTGAGGAAGCCAAGATTGACGAGCACATCATTGCAGGCGGGGAATCCGTCGCGTTGAACCAGGCGCTCTCGGAGGATGACAAGGGATTTCTGCATCAGTATCGATGCGGAAAGAGCTACGTAAGAGGAGTTGACAAGCAACATCGGCCAGTCTACGTCGTCAAAGCCAGGCTACATGACCCGAGCATGCAGACAACTAAGGCCTTGCAGAAGTACATCCTACACAATATCGAGAGCATTAGGATTCTGGTGAAGCACCCCAAGGACAAAGCATGTTTGTTCTTCGATATGACGGGTTTCGGCCTGAAGAACATGGATTTCGAGATTGCTAAGTTCTTAACGCACGTCTTCGAAGCCAGATACCCGGAGACGCTCGGCGCCATCATCATCCATAATTCTCCTTTTGTTTTCTGGGGTACGTTCTGGTCCGAGACTTTATCTGATTTGGGTTCGCTCTTTCTGACATGAAGCTAGGAGTATGGAAAATCGTCAAGGGTTGGCTGGACCCCGTCGTAGCAGCCAAGGTCACATTCACCCGCAACGATTCCGAGTTGCAGGAGCACATCGATAAGGACAACCTACAGACCGCGTATGGTGGCAATGATGAGTGGGAGTACAATTACATCGAGCCCAGTCACGGAGATGACCCTCTTCTCGGGAAGGAGGACGAAAAGGCCGCGATTCAGGAGGATCACGACGACCTGGCGAACCAATTTGAAACCCACACCATAGAATGGCTGGCTCTCCACCCCGATACACCTGAGGCGAAGAGTATATCTGCAAAGCGAGATGAGTTGGCTGAGAAGCTGCGTGCAAACTACTGGAGGCTCGATCCCTACATCAGGGCCACGACTTATTATCATAGAGCGGGAGTTATAGGCAGGACTGGAGAAGTGGATTTCATGGGCGCAAAACAATGAATACAGACGTGGCAACTCGCCAGATATTTCCCCATCATAACAGTGACATCCAGCGAATTGTTTCTATCTCCCAAGGTCTCCATTTTTCCACTCCGTTGTTATCGAGTGGCTCATCACGGGATAACACTTCAGCACCCACATTACTATTGGCTGTTGACCCCTAGATTACGCTAGATGATCATCGCAGATCAACGTGGCAGTCGGATCCTGGAGGTGAGAGAATTTTCAAAAATGAGGCAATTGCTTGGCAAGCTAAGCAGGGTTGATCTCTGAAAATCATTCAACATGTTCCAAATCGGCGACGCACTAGGAAACGTGGTGAAAGATGAACACTCTCGGATCATCCGGCCGTGAAGAGAAAAAGCTTAGCCATCTCAATATTGATGCTACCCTATACCAAACATTCTTGCTAGGGCTGAGCGCAGGATATGGGCTTTAATATTTGCAGTGTTTTATGCGTGCCCTCGGAAGCGGCAGCTATGTCCAAATATTTCAGATGGATCCTTCCAGCATGGAACATAACTCTTCATATCACAAGAATCATATTGATTATTTTGTTGTCGTTGAGACCTTGTTGGGGCCTTGTCCACCATCTGCCGACGCGCCCGAAGACATCGCCAAGAACATGAATATCCAAGCGAATATACACAGTTGCCTCACAATTAATGTAGCATGTCGCCATTGAGTTATGACTACCCGCCAGAGATTTGCAATAGCGCAACAGATATGCAGGTACCACGGCACAATGGGGTAAGCTCGCAATACTCGTGTGCATCACAAGGAGTCTGGAGCTGCTGATTGGATGGAACCAACACGACAATCGTTGCCCAAAGCGCCAAAGTAGCTGGTTAAAAAGTGGATTGGCTTGGCCTGGCCTGGCAGGTCATGTCCAGGGATCCCTCCCAATCCTCCTGGTGATGGTCTCTTCTCCTGTCTCCATCTCCTTGCCCTACATGCAGCTGTTGTTGTCCTGGACTGGAGGACAACCTGGACAGGAGAGGCCGGAGGGCATTTGCGTCCAACAGAGGACCCAACGGCCAGCCAACACGTCTCGAAATTGAATTGATGCATCCGGCTGCGTGCTGCCAACAGACTCGCTTTGCACTGCCATTGCTAGCGCTTGATCTGCTCGTCGTGACCCAATTATCTCAGGGGGTGGCACCCAGGATGTGACCTTGGCGGCAAGCAGACAGCTCACCACCAGCCGCCAAGAGCATGCTTCCACCCGCCATTACGAGCCAGAAATCGCTCGGCCCCTGCTTTTCTTCTGCCCGGCTAATTAGTGCCTGTGTGAAACAGGCACCAAGATCCACCCTACCGAACTTCCCTGCTGGTGGCGTCTGTTCATCTCCTTCTACGCACCATGGCCCCTGGCCCAATAGATGCACGTTGGCTGTATGAGTGCCCGTATTCATGTAGGTGGTCCAGCACACCAATATTAAAGGTTGGTGACGCTCTCACCCGCTGGATCGACCTTCTCTGCCTTCTTCCTCATTCTACCAGTTTTCAGCTTGTCATTCCTTCTCAAGCTTACAGTCGTTCCCTTGATACGCCGATCGTTATTATCGAAATCGCTCCCTTGATCTTTGACCATTCTTTCTCAGCAACAGTCCCGGTGACTCCTTACGCTCAATTAAACCCGAATTCGTTTGCCCAATATGCGTTTCGCTACCTTCGCCCTCTCCACACTTGTGGCCAACGCCGCCGCCGGTGTTATTGCCCCTCGGGGTGACGTTGACTACTCTGGCGTCGACTGGACCAAGGTTGATTACTCCGGTGTTGACTGGTCCAAGGTCGACTACACCGGCGGTAACAAGGACAAGAACAACAAGCCGAACCAGCCCGAGCCCGTTCAGAAGGTCGCCGAGTCCTCAGTTGCCCCTGCCCCGACCTCAGTCGCCGTCCCAACCACAGTCGCTCCTGTTGTTGCCGCTGCCGTTCCCACCACGACTCTCGTTACCAAGGTCGCCACCTCTGCTGCCGCAGTTGCTACCCAGACCAGCACACCATCCCAGCCTTCGACCGGCAACCTCTCCGACGACCAGCAGAAGGCCCTCGATGCCCACAATGCCGCCCGCGCCGCTGTCGGCAACTCCCCCCTGACCTGGGACGACTCCCTCTCCACCGATGCCCAGTCGTGGGCCAACACCATTGCCACGCTGTCCTCCCTCACCCACTCCAGCGGCTCCGGACAGGGCGAGAACCTGTACATGCAGTCCGACAACGGCTCTCCCTTCCTGAACGCCATCAACTCCTTCCTCTCCGAGAAGAGCCTTTACAGCGGACAGGTCATTGATAGCAGCAACTTCGGTAGCTTCGGACACTACAGTAAGTTTTTAGGGAAAATCTGAATGAATGGACAGGTAGCTAACCAGCAATCAACTACAGCCCAAGCTGTGTGGAAGTCCACCACCAAGGTTGGCATGGCTGTTGCCAAGGCCGCCGACGGATCTAACTTCGTTGTTGTCCGCTACTCTCCCGCCGGTAACTTGTAAGTCCAGATTCCTTGAAATCCTTTTAGATTATCCGGGACATATCAACGACTAACATTTCATGCGCAGCATCGGCCAGACGCCCTACTAAACATCCGACTGTTTCGCACGACATTATAGTTAGGTCGGTGTGGGAGACTGGGACATTCTGACATTCTTATGCAACACGTGGTTACTTCGCCATCAGACCAATATCATTGTTTAATGAGCTTAATTCAATATATTTAGCTACTTGCTGCAACATGCACAGCGACACGAGTGAACGTGAGACAATACAGGTGACTGGGGTAATGACTGTAGGCCTTGTAAATATCGTAGGCTTTGTAAATATTTAATAACCTGGAAATGAGAGAGAATGAGAATGCAGCGAAAGAGCTTCTTTTATATAGTCGGAAAGTCTGACGTTGAGTGTAGTCAATGTCCCCATCGTTGCCAGCATCACCCTGGAAGGACGCGCAAGGGTGTGTCTCAAAGTCAAACCTTAAAACTTAGGCCCGATCGTGTAGGTCCAGCACTGACAGCTATTAGAGATTAAAATACCTTGAAGTCGGTTTTACTGAATGATTACTCGAATTACAATACTTCAAGTCATTCGGTTGTCCACATGCGTTGGGGGTTGCTTTTGACAGATAACACGGTTATTCATCTTCAACAAGTCATATTTCAACACCTTCTCGCTCAACTCTGTTTCTTAATTTGTATCATCTCTATTATTGATCAAGGCGGGTAGTATATCTCTAGATAGCCTTGGAATGTCATCCTCTAGGAATCCGTTGACTCAAGTTATTACATGTTGCCTATTGCCACAAGCTCCGTGGACCTATGGCTTGGATGAACTGTGTTGGCGAGGCACGGAATTGTGTTGATTTTCACCCCCTTTTATACCATTCTCTACCCAGGATGCTGAGTTGTTTGCGGGGAGAAATCGATAACTCACTGCAATCATCCCAAGCAGGATACTGCTATGCGGTACGCTCCCCCACGTCGAGCCTACAGCAGGTCCTTTAATCAACCGCTTCTTTCTCGGCTTGCGTTTGCTTTATTCTTTGAAATGACAAGAAACCATAATACCATACTGTCAAGTTATTTTGACCGTCATCTTAACATGCCGTTTGGAATGGCTTCTGACCGAGCCGGCTTTAAAGCATTCGGTCACTGCCACTTCTCAGGTCGGGAATGTATTGCCATCAACGATTCTTTCTGTCCCCCCGGCTTTCCACGGAGAAGACTTGGCGTACGAGAGAAGGGTCAAAGAAGTCGAACCGTCAAGTAAGCTCCAGATATTGAATGTTTCCAGGCCGAAAGGTGGCGATTCTTCACCGGTCTGGATGGATTCTGTTTATTTGCATACTTTAAAATATTCTCTAAAAACCTCACCATTCCCGAAATAGCGAATTTACATAAGACTTTCAACCAACAAGTATTGTCTAATCCTTTTTCTATAATGTCGGTGGTAGAGAACGCGTTATTTACGTAAGACTCTCAACCAACAATTGTCTTACCAACGTGATTTCGCAAGGCGCAGCAAGCTGGATGGAATATACCTAGCCAGAGGAGAGCAAAAGTACCCTCGCAAGGCTTTTAATGCCCTTGCCTGAATTTGATGGTCTGCACTACTGAGCAAGCCAACAAAACCCATAAAAGGGTGCTATCCTCTGAACGTCGGGCTGGTATCCTTACCCAAGCCACATTGACCTACCAAACTCACCTATCCAACCCCCTTCATCTACTCTAATCTCACTTGGTAACCCCGGAGATGAATTCCCTCTCTCAGGAGCAGCTGGACCAGCTGATGCAGCAAGCCAAATCGTTTTCAAAAGTCACAAGGTCAATGTATGATGAAGAAGTCAAGAAGGGCATTGCAGAGGGAATGGGTGACAATTCCCTTGACCAGACACTGTGGAGCGCCATCCATTCCGCAACCAAGCGCACCGCCAACTTGGACATTCCCTTTGCTGGGCTTGAAGTAACGCTCCATGACCTGTGGTACGTGTGTATTCAAGCAACAAAGAATATACACAGTTCCAACCTCAAGCAGGATCAAATTCTCCGCTATCTTATGAGCGCCAAGGCAATGGGACCTCTTCGACGCACAACGCCAAGCTCGGAACCTGGCAATGCTTCCACGACTAAGAGAGGAGAGATAATCACCTTCTCTGATGGCCACAGATTCTGGTCTGATTTGCCATTCTTTGGTCAAGACCTTATAGACGAGTTCGCCAATTCCTATTATCAGAGGAAACATTACGATGAGTCCCAACGCGCGAACTTTGCAGCATTTATCGGACGGCTCCTTTCAGTTGCTATCTATGACGGTCCTGCTCTCTGTACACTCTCGCTTTTCCAGCAAGCGTTGGAGACGCCTCGACCGTTGGTATCGGTGGTCGGGGACAAGGAGAGTGGTGATAGAGTGTTGCCCGTACAAGACTTGCTTCATGCCCTCCGGCAATTGGCCCATTACTCGCAAAATAGCATTGTCATCTTAGCCAATATTCCTGGAGCTGCTACTGACACGCCCAATGTTGTCTATGATGGCTTCCCGCAAATGTCTGGCCTTGGCGAATTGGCAAAACAGGCTGGTACAATTACTTCCCCATCTGGTTATAGTGCTGAACGTTTTGAATTCTGGATCCAGCGGCTTCAGCAACTCTCGCAGTGTGAGGTTGAAAGTATCGCAGATGATGCAAAGGAATGTTTAACTGTATTGGAGATTGCACAGGATGATATCGGTCCTCTCACCGAGTAGGTGAAGGAAGAAAACGAGATGTAACAAGCCTGCTAAATAGACACTTATATGTTATATATGCGCTGTATCCTCCAGTCTTAGGCTAAGGCCGACCCTTGTAAAACGTACTTGTGCGCCTGTGCTAATTGTTCAGAATTAAGACTACTAAGAGACTACTTTCTATTACCCGGGCTTATTAACTTGTGGGGCAGTTTGCAACTGAAGAGTATTGGGCAATGAACATCTTGAATTAAGGCAAGATGGATATTATATACCTGCCTACTGAGTTAGATAGAGATAACTCCTCCTGAAACTTTCTAGTCTAGCCCTTCTATAAATCTCTCACACATTACATTTAAAGGATAGAAAATAAAGTCATTGGGGGCTAACTGTTCCAGCAACCCTGTCCCGTCGATATAGGCTGAAAAAGCTTCTTTCGCTTATTCCTAAGGGAGATTAAAAAATAGCTGCTGTGAGCGAGTGTTCCCGGACGGTTTACGCGTGCTATTTTTGCTGAAAATGCAGATTGAAAATTGTCGAATCGTGCCGGGGTTGGGTTCGAGGGTAGTTCACCTATGCCTTAAAACACCAGTAACGTTTAATGGGCGACATGATGTAGCCGTAAGTTGAAGAATAACATTAATTTTCACTGTTCTTAGCTGGTGTGCCACGCACTAATACACGCTTTTAGGATTGTGCTCGGTCTCCATTATCACGTCCCTAACCACTAAAATGCCATCCGGGGATCCGTCTGCGTGTCGCATATCCTGTAGTTCGAGATCTGTATTCGATCTTCCGGAAGTACCCTGATCTGACTCGTCGCCGTCAAGCCTGGTGAAAGGCCGTTCGTCCGTTTTGTTTGATCTGACATAGGTTGTCGAGCCGCCGTAATTTTTGTCTATCCCCCATGCACCACTGGCCTGCCGTCGTTGCTCTGGCTTTGAGCTGCCTTTCGTATTGACACTCTTATCAGCGGTTGAGCCGAATCTGCCATATGTGATCTTATTGATGATTGGTTTGAGGAAGGGGAGACAGGCTGGATGAACTTGGAAGTTAGCCAAGACGATGGATAAGTGGTCTGCGTGGATCAACCCGAGCTTACCGCATAGAATGGCGACATTGCCTTCGACAATTGTCCACGTTCCAACACTGGCAAAGTTCCAAGTGATGTCCACATTTGTCAGATCAAGATTGATGACCTGTATTAATCGTACCAGGGAAACAATCGTAACACTGCGCCCATATTAGCAACGATCAAACCTGCAACACGATTTGCTGCTTCTTCTGTTTTGGCCCACGTACAAAATACCAACAACGAAAACACCTCCCAAAGCCAGCTTTTGTTGGACTGGTAATTGCAAGGACCAGATGTAAGGAATCGGCAGAATGATCATGACGATATCCGTCACGATGTTGGGAATAGCATTCCCAATAAAGAAAGGTAACGAGTCGACGCCGCAATGGTATTCGGAGGGCAGGAGGGGGTTGTATGGGTTGAATCGCTCCCAAAACGCGCGGGTCGGTATGCACTGAAGAAACGTTGCGACGAGCTAAGGCAAACAAAGCAGACAAGTTAGCAACATTCGAGTTTACTTTCTCAGGGGATGATGTTCACTCACCAGACTGAAAGCCCAACCAGAAGTTGTCGCGACGAGAATCCAAATAATTATCTTGACCGATCTTTTGATGCTAAAGGACCTCCAGTAAAAGGCAAGAATGGCAAGCTTGACAAGAAGTAGCGTCAAGGTGTAGCAGATTTCGCCAATGAACAGCCCTATTGCCCAGGCATATGTACCTTCTGGGCTCGCTACCCAGACATGCTGGCCAACTCCTCGACTTACAGCTTCTAGAATGTTAGCGGAAACCAACGTGTCAAAAAAGGGACCGCACTGACCATACCCTGCCACGCCGGAGACGTGGACGACTGCCGGAATCTATGATGCTTTTGTTAAGATCCTGTCGTAGCAGAGTACTGAAAAGGCCACCCACCAAAGCGGCGACAACAAGCCAGTCATCATACCATAGATTAAGGCCCTTGATTTTCCGACTAATAATGCGAAGCAAGACGGCGAACACGGCGAGAATCCAGGTGGCGACCGATGCCCCGATGACCATTGGCCTCTTGTCGGCCGTAAGATCGACATCGTCGGGCGGTGATGGGAGACCTGGCATGTTGGCTCAGCCTTATCGAGAGTCGCGGCTTCGAAATATTCAGTCATATGCGATGTGATAGCAAAGGGAGAAATCGACAAAGGGCACGGAACAGGGAGAAGATCTTGTCAGCCCTCGAACGAGGCTGCGGGCCGCACTCGACGCTAATCAAAAGTCAATCGCAATCGAGAAGGTGAAAAGGGAATCTCGAGTCAAGCGTGCCCCAGTATAATGTTTGAATGTGACTGATTCCCGCCTCATTTTGCTGAAGGGACCCAGCTTCCTGGACGAAAGGAAGCTGGTAGATCCCTCTGGGCTTAGTTCCATGAACTATTGAAATCAAAGGGGCGGTTGGGGCGGGTAGTTAAGCGTGGCTACCGATTAGCTAACAATATAAATAGTCTTAAGCCATCTTGGAACCATGTCCCTGGAAGTGGAAAACCAGCTCAGCGCGGATCCGGGATGCAGACAGGAAGAGAGAGCATCTTCCACGTCTCACCATCACACGAGGAGCTAATATATGTCCTAGCGTAAGAAAACCAACGTGTAGTGGCGAGAGCTGTTACTGTAGTGCGACGCTAACAGGGTTGAATCGCTTTGAGAACCCCATCGGACCCCCTTTGTCGTCCTTCTTATCCGAGTTTCGTCTTCCGCTTACGCACTAATGCTTGAACACCAGCAAGGTACGCTTCATGTCGGGCATGTTCGGCATTACGGGCCCGGGTCAGTGGTCCTGCTGAATCATTATGGGCGGCTTCTCAGGGATAAGGCTGGATCGTTGCCCGTCTGTTTGCAATCCGAATGGCCTGATCCAGGTCCCAGGTCCACTTCCACCTGTGCCCAGGAGTTGAGCCCCAAAAAACCTCTCCACCAAGGGCAGAGTTACTGGTATCCGATAGGATCATCTTGGGTCAGGAGAACCAGAGCAGGAGAACGAGAGGAGAGAGCCCTGTAGCACACGCCCGTTCCATGACTAGCGTGAAGCGCCAACTTGGTGATCCAGTAGGGACGAGGGGCTTGCCCCTTCTTCTGACAAAGATCTTAGGTATTGGGTTTGTAGTTCGCATGATGCATTGGGAGCCCCGTTTTTTAAATGAAATAATTGCCTCTCTTTTGATACGGTGTTGGCTTGGTGCCACCCGAGAGGTGAGTACTTATGTAGGCCACTAGGTCTGCCTTCTCTGTTCTACCCGAACACGGTAAAAACATTGCCTTGATCACGTCACAAAACCCTTATTTGCACACCATGTCTCCCTCCGCCGAAAGACCCACCATTATCGCGTGTCCAGGTGCTTTTCATGATGCATCATATATGAACAGCTTTGTCAAGAGCCTGAAGGCTGCGGGATTCGAAGCTGAGGCCCATGGCCTGACAACCCCAGGTCATCCCGAGAATGGTGTCGCCGACGACGAGAAGATGATGAGAGATGCATTCTTGCCGCACATCGAGGCCGGTAAGGATGTTGTGCTGCTCGTCCACTCTTATGCCGGCTTTCCCGGATGTGGGGCGGTCTCGGGCTATGATAAAAAGGGCCGTGAAGCTCGTGGTGAGAAGGGCGGTCTTCTGGGCGTCGTCTATATTGCTGCCTTCGTTCCCCAAGAAGCAGACAGCACTGTTAGTGCCATGCTCGGAGGTGGATGGGCACCGTGGCATGTCCCTAGAGTAAGTATTTCCACCTTCTCTGGAGAAACTTGAAGGGTTTTTGGCGGTCGTGATACTGATGTGCCTGTAACCAGCTTGAGGAGGGTGTTGTCGGAACACAAAACGAGGTTGAAACCTTTTACAGCGATTGTGACCCTGCTGAAGTAGCTGAGATCCTGAAAACCGTCAAACCACACTCGCTCAAGGCATTTAGCGAACCACCCTCAGCCTTGGGCATCAAGGAGGCGGGCTATAATGGTCGTCGTGCCTACATTAGGTGTCTTCAGGACCAGGCTCTGCCACTGCCTGCACAAGATGCTTTCGTTCAGAACTCTGGCGTTGAATGGATAGTAAAGTCCATGGATACGTCGCACAGCCCATTCTTGGCGGTGCCCGAGGAGACAGTGAAATTGCTGGCGGGCATTATTGAGGAGTTCAAGGCGTGAAATTGAAGCTAGCGTAGAGAATATTCAATGCCTCTCTCTTACTATCGCATAAATCATATTCTTAGTTAATACTGCGGCATCAGCGCGGGTCTCAGTTGTGGCTACTCAACCCTCAACGTACTCACTAGTGAGTACATTTATTATTATTTTGGGACACTGGAGCTGGTGAAGATCTGGTGTATCGCTGTCGGGATCGATCCAATCAACTCTGGTGCATGGATGGTGATCTGACTAGGGATGCATAAGACTAGAAATCCTCTTACGTAGGATGTACGTGTTTCATATCCGTGCACTGCCCGCAAACCCCTCTTTTCGTTTCCCCATCTTCCACTGATGATAACCGTGTTCTTGCATCGCCTATGATATCTGTGGCGGCTCTAAATGCTGCTGTGAAAATGGGCTCCTATCATCTGCCCGTCTGGGGTCACATGTAGGTAACATTCATTCATTTCACATGGACCGATGGCGGGCTAACAGCAGATGCAAGCACCCTCCTTGTCTTGACAATACTCGCATTTGCGCCACACCTCTACTTTCTGGCTCGGAAGCAGGATAGCAGCCCAGTTTCCATCGTGTATATCTTGTTGAATCTTGTCGTGGCCACCGAGCAATTTGCTGTGTCCTACTTTTTCGCCATCTATCCTACCAACACCAAGTGTCTCATTTGCCCGACCTATAAGGATATATTCTCCCATACTCCTCTTGATGTCGGCGACTGGCTAAACTTTGTTCACTTCTTGACCGTCTTCGTTCTGTGGCTGATAATGTGCAAATTTCCCCCTACTCCCAGTGAACAGCTGCTAACAGATGCCAGCTTCACTCTTTGTCTTCGATATCGTCTGGCACAAAACCGAGAAGAGCTGACAGTCCTTGTCAGACGCCCTGGCTGGATCTATTCATGGTTTCTACTCCTCACGATCGGGCCCCTTGTTGTCGAAACCGCGTTCGGGGGAATTGATTATCGCGGCAGGACGTCGCCTATTCTTTTTGTTTACCAATTTCCCCATATATTTCTTCTGGCCCCGTTGATGCCAGTAATTCAGGCGATAGCGATTGTTGCGCAACTCAGGAGGGATCGCGAGACTCGCAATCGGGCGCCGGTGTGCATCCAAGGGGGACTGGTAGCGCAGACCATCATCTTTTGTCTCCTGGCAGTAACTTGGCCTTACCGTCTTTTACTTGATGACACGAATTGGAGCTTACTGTCCTGGTATACATTTGCCGGGTGGATCAGTATTAGCAGCGGTATCTTTGCATTTGGCCAAGGCTTGTTGCTGTTCTATGCGAGGGGGGTTTGCCGGGCGGAGGGACACGATGCGGGAGAAGGGCGAGCCCTCTTACACGATGCTCCGTCGGAGCATACAAATGAAACAGATGGTAGCCAATAAGTGAATATGATGCCTGCAGGTGGTTGTCAAAGGAAACGAGGCTTAAGCTAGGTTCGAGGTAGGCGTTGTATCGAAAATCGATGATATATTTGTATATATTTCTTTCGTGTGAGGGCTTATTTTACAAGAAATTGAGGAGTGTCAAATAGTTGAGGAATGTCACCTAATAGGCATACAAGGCTGCAATGTGCAAAGCACTTTCGACCATTCATTCATTCATTCATTTAAATGGTGGGCAGCGCACGGGTTAATTGGAACTGAAGTTTGCGCCGGTAGTATTGAAGTCGCTTCAAGCGCTTCAACAACTCCAACGTCTTCACTACCCTTGACTAAGATGGACATACTCTTCGTCTACTTGGGTTATGTTTCTTAACAATGGAGAAAACACTGTATAGCATCCGGTAAACTGGGGACATATCATACAGGCATCATACGACTGCTAACATACGAAGTTCGTGTGTAGGATCATGTCGTGGCGGAAGCTGCAGCCTCGTGAACTGAGCAAGAAAAAAAGATAACTATAAAACACTTATGCTTGAATGCTCCTGGGAAACGAAGCCAAGAATGCCTTTGCCGCGTGGCCTGGTATAAAAGAGGGTAACGAATGGTTCTTCATGTGGATGTTGAGAATGGATAAGAATATCTGGCCCCTCAGTATTGAGTGGCCTAAGTTTCACCCATGCCATCGATGAAAGTTCAATAAGCAATGAATGTGCCTATTTCTCCCTCATTTTCGCGGGCATAATGTATCCAGCTCTTGGTTTTGTCATGATTCGCCCGTTCCCAGAACGAATGCAAAAACTTCAATGCAGTGTGATTGAACCACATGCCAGTCTTTGTAAGGGAGTCCATAAAGAGCTTCCCTATCAAGGCTTGCCTTTGGCCATCGCCACGACACTCTGTGCCGGCAATCAAAAGCGGGAAAAAGATTGTGTGTGTGTACTCATGCACTGGTCCAGACAAGGTGGATTCGAGATCGTTGAATAGTAGATTTAGTAGATGGTTGACAGTCTCCTCAGCAAGGGCATCCCGTGGTGTCTCAAAGGCTTGGTAACTGTAGATAATATTGGCGTAGTAATGTGAGCGCAACGCCGATTCTAAGCGATATTGAGAGGTTTGTTGATGTTGGTTGGTGATTTGAGTAATATTTGTCAAAACAGTCTGGTACGCCTGCTCAGCCCGACTGTGCCAGTAAGGCATATCCGGAGGGGGAGGGGACTGCTGAGCATGCCGTGTTCTTTCCACTGTGGTGATCTCATTGATTAGATCAGTGAATGACCAGAAAGAGTTGCTATGTTTGGGTTGTAAAGATTCGTCTGCATCCAATAATGGGCGCCTGTTGAAGACGGAAATGCTGCTGAGCGTCTCGAGATCAGCCACTTCTTTTAGCAAGAAGCGTTCTATTGGGTGCGTCGGTGTCTGGTCAGAGTTCCGTAACTGATACGTATCAATGACCGTGCGGCAAGCACCCAAGTGAAGAGCCCAGTCGGTTGAACCGGGGACAACGGCGCCGGAATAACACAACACGAGCATCGTGGCTAGAACTTGGACAATCTTGGAATTCTGCCGGTATTGATTTTGTGAGACTGCTGGCTGATCTGTCTGTAGTTCTTGCCGCATCATGCTGTTGAGGATCCGGAGACAGGCATCGCGAAACCAGTTGCGCATCTGGAGCAGATGAACTTGCTGCGTGCTGGCCGCGAGGGAGGTAGTGGAAAGGTGAGCAGCTGCGAGGCATCCAATTGACAGGCGCAATGAGAGGCAGTCTTGGGCCAAAGAGAGAATGATGCTGCGCCAAGGATGCTCTGACAGGTCGATCCAAGTCAATCGAGGTACGACATTCGAAGAGAAGTGACCGAGGAGGTTTTCAAAGAGCACAGATGATGAATACTCCCTGACAAGATGAAATTCCGGGGATGGATGCGGCAGAGCAGTCTGCACTACCTGCTGCTCTTGGCTGACGGGGTTGTGAATAGACACAAGCGACTTGTCGATCTGCTCGCTCTCAGGAGGTGGGGGTTCTGCGGGGATGCTGGGCGTTGCTGATGGGGTGGTATTGCTTGGGCTGGCGTTACTTTGGGCCGGTTTACTCTTCCAGTGCTCCGGAATGGATTGCCCTGAAAACTTGCCGTTTTCTCTGGTTAACCCTTGAATCCATTTCAGCTGGAAGGGGTCGTACCCGGGACATTCAACCCCCCGACTGATGCATTTCCGGCACGTGGGAATGGTTCGGTCACATTTTCGCCGGCTCTTTTTGCACTCTGGGCAGTCTAATAGGGTGGGTAAAGCATTGCAATCAGACAGACAATTCACCGCCAGTTGGGGGCACCATGGAACGCAGAGGCGGCTTACCTCGAGGAGCTACTCCCGGAGAGGGCGGGGAGCCTGAAGGGGTACTTTCCATCTGAAGCGACATCCATGAGCCGCTCTGCTTGACACGCAAACACTCTACGAAGTCAAGCAAGGTAAATGTGATGACAAAGGGAGAAAAACTTGCCGGTCAGTGGTGTGGAGTGGGATGGCGTGGGTGAAAATGAGGGGTCAGCTGCAGGGTTTCATGACACATCGACACTAAAAGGACCAGCAGGAATGGGGAGTCCTTTAGTGGGTCCGAGCATCCTGATCCCCCATGATGTATCGATGAGTTGGATGGTGAGTTGAAGGAGAACAGTTGAGTGATCATGGCCTGGGGTGATGCCAAACTATTATCGAGTGATGGCGGAGCGAGCGTCCAAGCTCTGACTAACATGAGTGTACAGCTACTGTGTATGCCAGCCATGTTGCCATGTTTACGGGTCTACTTGGCCCCAGCTGGACCACGTGCTACATGACCGACCGTTGGACAACTTGATTGGGACCTCCTAGAGGCTAGCTAAAGCCGTTTCTACCCCATGAGGTCCCATCACCCAGGGATAAAACATGGTACGGAATAGCTTGTCTTTAGCCTCTGAAGTGCTTGATGATTGATATCATGGTACGGTGATTGTTTTTGACCATTTTTAATAGCACAAGCTCTTGACCAATTATCGATAATAATTACCGTGGACTCCGGTTCAAATTCGCCTTGTTTCTTACTACCAGTTAGCCTCTGGGTATTGCATAATTTCCCTCCCTAGCGCCAACTCATATGGAGTTGTTTCTACGCGTGCTAGACGAGGGTGGGCTTTAGTGACTTTGACTCGTTATCAGTGCTGTGTCTTGTTTTGAACCCTCCATGGGGCCATCCATGTTTATGATCGGCCGATGGAGTTTCGAAACTAGAAAATACAATATTTCATGGTGGATAAATACGGTTGTCTTGCCAAGGGGTTTGGCAAACTATAAATGAAACGTGCCCCCCAAGAGATATTCAGTGATCGGTATTCAAATCAATTATTGATCAAGATACTTGGTAATGCATTCTTGAAAGAGATGCGAACTTCTCTTCATTCCCAGCATCCAATTCTGAGCATTCGGTGCCTGTTCCCCCGGATTCAGAATTGATTGGGGGGATTTACCCCGCGGGGAAATGCTGCACGTCGGCCCTCGGCTTATCTCTGCTGGGCGTTCGGATGAATGACCGTGGAGCCATATATGCACCCCAAGTCCGTGTTGATTGCCCCTCAACAGAGACCGTCTCTCCCTTTGAGCCTCGTACTAGGTCCACGACCAACATGGAGGTAGACAGCAACCTCCAGGGAAACCACGAGGATCCAAATGGGAGTACCGCGGAAGCGTCCCTGGCATGCAATTGCTGCCGTCGGCGAAAGTTGCGCTGCTCTCGGGAGGTTCCGACATGTCAGCATTGCCGCAAGACAGGTACCAAGACTTCACTTGTTGTTTCCTTTCCGTTCATTGATCGGGTTGCTGACGAACATGTGATTGGATCACCCAGCGACTGAGTGTGTTTATGAAGCCAAGCGTGCCAAGCCGGGAATGAAAACCGGTGCCATTGACAACTTGCATCGTAGACTTGGTACGCACAGGCCATACATAATAACTATGACCCAATAGATGTCCCGAGTCACTGATGTAATATCTTAGATGCTTTGGAGAAACTGGTTCACCAGAAGAGCATCAGCGATGCAGAGCGCACCAGGTCTCAGTCTGCCCCATCTCAGAGTGACACTGATGCCAGTCCTTATCACTTACTGTCATTCTTCACTAAAGAGTTTCAAAAGTTTATTGAAAGTCGAGAACAAGCACCTGGATCTCCGCCTCTCCAACCTCCCGCATCAGTAAATAGCGGAGGCAAGCGTCGTCGATTAGACCGTGATCTATCTTATCATGCCGGACTCGGTGTTGAAAGTGCACGAACGCACACAGACGACGAGCTGCAGCCCATTCTTGATGCATATTTTACACATCTACACCCGTGGATCCCAATGATTCACGAAGCTAAATTTCGTCAAAGGCTTTCCGATGACGATGAACATCTACAAATAATTATCCAGGCTATGGTTCTGGCGACGACTAAGTACATCAAGGATCCTGAAGTAGCTGCAAGCTTTCTGCCTTCCCACTCCCAGATGCAGCAGCTGAGGGACAGCATTGTTGCCACTGCAATGAGGCAGCTGACTGTTGAGAATTCGCAAGCTCTTCTCATTGTCGCCTTTAATGACGTAAGGACACTGGCAGCACCTATTCATGCGTAGCAATTGCTTATCTACTGGCAGATTGGTTGTGGTCTTGCTGCTCAGGCATGGTCCATCGTTGGTGCACTGACCCGCAACGTTGAGTACCTTCAGTTGGCAACAGAGAATGATGAAACCGACAGGCTGCGTCTGTCTCAGCCCTTTGCATCTCTATCTCCCCCCAGAGACTGGACGGAAGCTGAAGAAAGGCGAAGGGTATTTTGGAATGTTTTCAATCTTGACCGTCTTTGCTCTGTGATGACGGGATGGAACACGAGTCTCACCTCTGACGATGTCAACCGCCGCTTACCATGCGATGGTATCAAGTGGCGGAAGGAAGATGCCGTTGTTACGCCTTACTTTGGGATTTGGGATAAGTCTGCCGGCAGGATCGGGAACCCTCTCCTACTGCTCCCTCCGTACTATCCCGCTACTGGATCTCAGCCTGCCGATCAACCTTCCCAGACACCGTCTGACACTGGAACATCTCCCGGAGGGCCTGCTGAACTTGTCGATATGTCTACAGTAGGGGCATTTGCATACTCAATAGAAGCAACCGAGTCTCTGAGTCGAGTCACAACCTACTTTCTGCAACAAAGGGTCAACATGCACGACCCGAAAGATCTTAGCAGTTGGCTTACCCGGTTCAAGGAGCTGGACCTTCGTCTTATTCACTGGAAGATGCTTCTTCCTCATAAATGGAAGGTTGACGTAACACGTCAGCACTCTAGAATGGATCCTAACCTCACATTGGCGCATGTTACACACAACGCCTCTATGATCCTCCTGCATCAACTGATCGCCTTTCCGCTCTCTCACTGGCCATTCAAAAACCGTCTGCCCAGCCTTTGCAGCGCGGATACATGCCACGCAGCTGCAGTCGAGATTTCTATTATCGCGGAGAATTACCTCAAAAATGCCCCTGCAGCGGTTCCGGTTTCCAGCCAGTTTGCCTTCTGTCTGTATGTCGCTTCGCGAGCACTTCTACTGCACTCAAGGCACAGCAAGGGCTCTGGCCTTGCGCCGCAGTTTTGGTCGTTGGTAGACAGCCTGAAGGCCATGGCCCGACGATGGGTTGGACCAAATGCCGTAGATACAGATCCCTCCCAGGCGACTAGTATCGCCGAAAAGTATGCCCAGAAGTTGACTGATATGTATTCCGGCATTACCAAGGATCCCTACTTTCAGCTCTCTGTTCTAGGATACACCAATGAAATTGATCACTCGTCCCCATTGCCCGTGTCGCCGATGGGTAGAGTTCAACTTCAGGACCAAGAGAAAAGTTACCAATCGTCTAGCTCGCAGCCGCTAGATTTCACATACTCAATGGAGAATATCGAAAGCCTCGATGCAGCCCATACGCGTGGGACATCCACAGAAAGGGCGAGAAGGAGGAGGAATCAACCACAAAGATTGCAGCATCAAGATGGACCTGTCGCTACCGAATTGGCGGGTGATCCCATCCGGCTATCGATTCAATCAACTGTGGGAGCAGGCGAGATACAGCCGGTTGAACAACCCCATCCGTACACTGGAGGAAGCGTTGATCTTGGTTCTATCTCTCAACTGCTCCTCGATCAGCAATTCATGGATATGGACCGGATCATAAGTTACGATGATGGGATGTTCGGAGCTGAGTATTAGCAAATATCACACCTTGGAGAGTACTCTACGTAATCCTAGCCTTTTGGGAGAGAAAACTGATGAATCAATAATACACTTACATTAAGCCCCACAGTTTAACGATTGGTAAAATAGCTTGCACGCTCTGTTAGGGAAGTGTATGGTTAGGAGGGAACTGTTGCAGTTGAGGAGTTGCTCCGGACTTTGAGAAAGCCATGTTTGTACGCTCGACCTCACTGAACGCTACGTGAATAAGTTCATAATACTGAAAAATATGTAAAATGAAATAGGAGATGAAATGGATTATGATAGTAAATTGGGATGTAAGAAACTTGTTTATGGGTGAATACTCTGGATAAGAAGTCGACTGTATGAGAGAACTAGCAAGCCGAGCTGCTTGGCGGGGCATTATTCACCCGAGATCCGGTTGAATAATTCCGGGCGGAGTTAGAAATTCGAAAGTACACGTTTGGAATTGAAGTTCAAAACTCTGCTAAGTGGGAAATATAGAGGAATCATCAACATATCGAATCTCGCATTCGAATTATTTCACCAGCAAAGAAACAGATCTGCAGCACCCACCGACTCTGTATCTATCATCATGCCTTCGTTGCCAGGTTTCACAGACAACTCTTTTCTGAACCGTTCTGATATGGTGACAGCTGCAAAAGCTCTAGTTAGGCCCCTCGAAAGTTATCGCTCTGATCTAGGTGCACGCGTCAAGATTCGACCAGCAACGGTAGCAGCTTTTGACGATGTTGCTGCGCAGCTTGAAGGGTTTTCAAGACCCTTACTGGCCATCGGAGCCTTTATCAACGACGAGAGGGACAATCTGGTTCCCCTGAGGTGGATGAGGGGACTGGCAGCGGGCGTTGATCCCGACAGCGTGGAATATTGGGGGGACATGACGGATTCTGACCAGCGGATGGTCGAGACAGAGTCAATTTGTCTCGCTCTCCTCACGGCACCAGACCATCTATTGCCCCTACTAGATGACAAGGCAAGAAACAACCTAAAGGTCTGGATGTGGAAAATAAACCAGCACGATATGCCGCCAAACAATTGGCGTTGGTTCCGGATCTTCGTCAACTTGACACTCGTGAGACTCTTTAATGTACCAAAGAGCGAGGTCAGAGCCATCATGGATGCAGACTTTAACCTGCTGGACTCTTTCTATATGGAGGACGGATGGTCTAGCGATGGGAAGTGGTCCGACGAAAGAAAACAAGCTGATTACTATTCGGGAAGCTTCGCGATACAATTTGCTCAGTTGATGTATGTGAGGTTCGCAGTCGAAGATGACAGTCGAGTTGAGAGATACACTCAGCAAGCAAAAGAATTTGCTACGAACTACTGGAGATACTTCAATGAAGATGGTAGCTGGAATCCTATCAGAATAAAGAGCAATGCTGGATCAAATATAGCTAACAGACTCTACAGGAGCTGCCATCCCATTTGGGCGAAGCTTGACCTACCGTTTCGCCTTCAGCGCTTTCTGGGCTGCCGCAGCCGTGGCAGGGATTGAATTGCCCAACCCGGTACATGAGTTGGGAGCAATCAAAGGGCTAGTCCTGCGCCATCTGAGGTGGTGGTCTAAACATGTCGACATCTTCAGTTCCGACGGTGTCTTGAACATTGGCTTCACCTATCCCAACATGTACCTGTGTGAAGACTACAATTCGCCACAATCCGTATTCTGGTGCTTGAAAACTTTTTTGGTCCTCAGTCTAGCAGAGAATCATCCATTCTGGACTTGCGAAGAAGCCCCGTACCCTGGGAGCTCGTTAAAAACGACTCAGCTAATCAAAGCTCCTCATCATATTGTGAACAACTCACAGGAGCATCACTACCTTCTTTCTTCCGCTCAAATGACCAACAAGCCACACAAGGCCAAAGATGCGAAGTATTGCAAGTTTGCATATTCTTCAGCCTTTGGATTCAGTGTGCCGACAGGCCCATCCTTGATACAGTTGGCTCCCGATAATACGCTATGTGTTAGTAACGATGACGGGGACAGCTGGAAGGTCCGGAGCAACCCGACCAACGCTTATGTCGAACGGGTAGTATATGGTGGAACTGAAGGACCAGTCTTGACCAGTTCATGGAGGCCATGGAAAAATGTAGACCTCCAAATTGAAACAAGTCTCTTCCCACTCTCACAGTCCACTCCGGGCTGGCACATTCGAATACATCGAATTCGCTGGGCGCAAGAAGCTGAAAGAAACGTGCTGGCCAACGGTTTCCAGCTAATAGACGGAGGGTTTGCAATCCCGGCATTCACAGCAACCGGTCACCACATCCCTGAATTGTCTTCAGAAAATGCTTCCGCTGCTGAAGGATGCCTGAGGGGAAATCAGAGTTATATTGCTAAATCTGCTTTTGGGGCGAGTGGAATCGTTGATCTTACGAACACATCTATGATACCGCTGAGTGTGCCTCAAGAAGCGGGTGATAAGGCCATCGAAGAGCTGGTTGCTAGTGAAGCTCAGATTTTGAGAGCCGACCCCAACTCAAATATAATACACCCTCGGACATTTATCCCGATTCTAAAGCATAATTTTGTCCCCTCGCGAATCGAAGAGGCGGGAATCATTCAGACCATACCGGTCAAGGAGGCATGGCTAGTTTCTGGCGTGTTTGCAGTATCATTTTCAGAGCGTTGGTCCGGCGACGTTTCTAAACTATGGGCTAATCGGCCCAGGATATCGATATCAGTATTGAATCGCGAGTCGTCGTCTGGGAGCTTGCGTTTTAAAGTCGAGTGATTTAAATAAGGGCTTCTAGCAGATCCTCGACCACAAATTGACCAGAATTACAAAGAGAGCTAGGAGCATGCTAGTCTATGGGTGATATTGAAGTCCAGATAATTCCTTTACTTAGGATATAGTGCAGAGTGGGTTTTGAATAATAAAGAACATACCTAAAGAGTCCTTGCATCTTATGACTGATGAAATGTCGAGGTAATAAGAAACCCCGGTTTTCCTGATATAATAGGAGAGTTCGCCGAGTAGTGGTAACCATGTTAGCATGTATAGCGTATGTTGCATACCTACTAGCCATTAGAGCGAGATAACCCATCTTGGCCTCATACTAGATTTAGAGGCTCAATCTTCACTTCAGCATGATTGTATTAGTAGTATTTGCCTGGCGAAATTTAACTAGATATAACCATTAATATACAACTGAGAAGAGGTTGGGTGCTATTCATGCTCAAGACCCGCCCGTACAGCGGCCATACACCATCCTTCCAACTTCATCATGAAGCAGATCAATCCACAGCAAGCGTTTCAAAAGCTGCCTAGTTCCAGCCCAGGACTCGATCCGGAGCGCCTCCAATCCCCGCACCAGCAACGCATCAAACCTATCGCCACCGCCACCCAGCGTGACGGACACCATAAACAGAAGCCATACTCTAAGCTCCCAATCCCTGTCATCTGCTGGCTCCTCTAATCGAAGCAGACTTACATTGAGGCGTGAAACAATTGTAAGATAGCTCGTATCAACCTTCTCCCTATACAGGAAGAGAGTGGTGGTTAACCCTAGAATCCCCAATCGGATTGCTTCATGCACATCCCTCCATTTCTGACCCCCACAGACATCTGTTGACCATTCCGAATAGTTCAGATGAAGCAATCTGTACTGGATAGATACTAAGACCTCTTGATACAGCTCCGGCCGGATCTTTCGCCGAGTGAGGATAGATAAGTCGACTATGGCGCAAAGCTCCTGTACATCGGTCCAGATGTTGGAAAGGCGCGGATCGGGGAAGCCGACAGATGGGCTCAGATAAGCTTCGAGCTTAGCACAGTGGATTGACTTTGTTTTAATCGACTTGAAAAATGGCTCCCACGTCAAATCGTCTGCGTAGAAGCATGGTCTCGAACCCAAGATCATGGCAAGTTGAAGATCAGCTCTATTGAGGTGTGAAAATCAATTCAGAACAACTTGATAAGTAGTAAAGCGACATGTGAGGATCGCAAGACGCGCTACACTTACCGGTAACATTTCCCTTGGAGCTGGGTACTATTGAGCTTTTTCACACCTCCTCGGATGGAAACAATCTTTTGGAGACCTTGCAAGTGGTTCATGGCACCACTGGTATCTCCTGTCATATCGGCGGCGAGTGTCAAGAACAGAACTGCGCCAATTGTAGTATCTGAGGTGGCAGTCTCGTTGTCCTCAATAACCTGCTGAAGAGTAACAAGCACCTGGGATAGAAGACTGGATGCTCTTCCACCAAGTGGTTTGCCATATTCCCAATGTGTAAAAGCCTCGGCAATGAACTGGGCTGTGTACGAGAAAAGAAGGTCTTGGATCATGAATTTGAGCCAGCAAGAGTCGAAGATGTCGTATACGAGGCAGAACTTTGGTGGATACATCCCGGAGTTCAGAGTAGAAAAGCCTTTTGATTTCAATAGATGAGGAGATGAGTACTTTCAAGGAAGGGGAAGGGACAAGACAAAATATTTCTGGGACAACTTACAATGAAAGATCTTATCCAGCATTTTCGGGTCCATTCCAGGTGTGAAGCTGAGTGAGCGCATTATCCACGGCGCTTCCTCAGGACATGAGCTTGAGAATAGCCCTCTGCTGTTCCTTATAGCAAATTCATCCTCCGACCCACTTCTAAACGAGCTTTGAGGTGATGAGTCTGGTGGTGAAAGATCATTCTTCGATATAGAGTCGGATGTAGCTGCTTGGGATGGAAGCAATACGCTTTGCTCAGCCTGAGCCTTGATCCAGGTTCCAATAGAAGGCTTGGCAACAGCAGACCCTCGCTTCGGTCTGCCTTTCCCCCGGACGACGTGGCTACGTATCATCTTCATATCCTGGGCCCTCGTTTTGCCCAGATCTGTTGCTATGACGAACGGAAACGAGGTCCGTGTGGGTCTTTCTGATTTGGCATTAGCTTTTGCTTTCCGGGAAGCTCCTAGACCCCCTGCCATTTTGTCATTTGGCATGTGGATTTATTAAAGGCTTGTAAACGGATAGAGGTGAAGTAAGTTAGGTCAGCTGAAGTGAGTGTTTCTGCAGTGGGCAACCTCAATTGCCGTCCGGCCAGCGGTCCAATGTGGTATCGTCGCGGCTGTTAGCCCCGTATATCAGTAGCGGATAGCCAGGTCTCGTTGCGGGTGCAGAAGCGTTCTACTGTTGGGATTTTACCAATGCAGGTCGAAAGAAACGGTGATCGATCTTGGAAGAGTTGATGGATCATGGGGAGAGGCGGTGCCCCATAAATCGAATCATCCACCAGCCAAATGCCAAGCCTGAAGCATTATCCAAATACGGAAAGGCGGCGGTGTTACGCTTAAGCCCGTCAAGGGTTGTTGACCTACCTACCCTATAGCATCACTTGATATCTCTGTTCCGCATAATAGCATCTTCTCTCTTCTTTCTTGCATCAGCTGGACGGATGAAAAAGCAAGAGCAAAGGCTCTAAAACTTGCTTTTTGTTGCCTTGGCGTGTAGGGCCGTTTGCACAAAGCTACTGGTCAATTGGTTCATCTATCAAAAGGGCTCTTTTTTGGGCAGGATCGGTCTCAAACTGCGGAAATTGTGGGAAAGAAGTGACGCAGATAATAAATACAATGTAAAAACTATAATGGAAGGCAAGAGACAATCAGGCGCAGACTTTCAAGTCTCGACTGGTACCTGTTATTCTGCCGTGCAACGCAAAGGCGGTGTCAAGTTCACCTGCGAGGCTCCTTCCAACCTCAGGTTCGACTTGCCCCAAGGCTTCTTTCTCCTCCCTCACGCGCAATCAATCCTCGCCACCTGGCTCTGTGTCAGATACGACGAGAGTGGTGGCATCATGTCGAAATAATCATTTCCCGAGTCTCTCCATCGTTTGTTGCACTATTTCTGCTTTGCAAGTTGCTCTGGAATCCCGACACCCGCTACGCCGGCCAGAAAACATCCCAGCCACGCGGTAACCAAGTTTGCAAGGGCTCAACGGGAGATATGGTCTCCAGAAGGTATAACGGGCCCTGAAAGCTTGGTATAAACCGTGAATTTGACTGTTTTCATCTCGTGAAGAACAGACGAAATCTCCACCATGGACAATGCCGACTTGGAAAGCCTGGAAGTCGGGTTTCGCGCACTCTTGTCCAACGAGGTGGCAAGAATGAAGTTAATGGGCTTGCAAAGTCGACCAGAGGATGAAGCTGACAAGACACGTCTGAGACTTCACTACACCTATCGGCACGCGCAGCGGCTTCTCGCTGGTCTTGATCTGAATCAAATTCCCCAAGGCGTCGACAACCCTGTAGTTGTCAATGGTTTGAAAGAGGAACCCGATTGGTTAGTACCCAAAAAGAGTGATTCCCCAGGTCGAGGATAGAATCTAATGAATATTGCTGCCTTATACAGCCCTGAAAATTCACGAGCCTTTCGACCCTTCCGACCAAGCGCAGCAGAGCATCGCGAGAACCTTCAAAAGACTATCTCTACCACCAAGAAGGGTAAAAAAAGGAAGAGGACCACAGGCCATGACGGCCCCGAGGCCTCCAGGGATGGCAACCGCAAAAAGCTGAAGAAAGAGGTGCTTAAACAGCCTAGCCGTGGCCTGGTGGTCCGGCCCTCCCCAATCAAAAAGAAGGATGGCGGAGTTTCTGTCTTGGAGCAATGTATTTGCACACTGTGGGGGATCAAACCCAGCGATATCAGCCTAGAAAAACGGTCCGTTGCGGAAAGAATGCTCAGCCCCCAGCACATCTTCAACATCCCCCTTATCCTCCACGACATCCAAAGCGAGGTAACTGAGGATCTCGACAGAGCTTTCCAGCCAGGTCAAGGCTGGCGCAACCAGGCAGCACTTTTCTCTCATGTGATTAAGTCATATGGGACTGACCGTAAAGCAGACTTCAACGTATTTTATGCTCGGATGGGCAAGCTCCATCTCTACCGTTTCCTAGCCGTGGAGGGCCATATCAATCTGGCCCACTCTCCTGATATCGCTTCCAAGTCGCCTTATCCCTCAAATACAATCATGAACTTCATGAAGCAGGGGAGGAGGCTGAATATGATGTGTGGCGGCCACGTCGGCCTGATCTTTCTGCTCCCTCTACTCCGAAATGACGGAAGCATTGGGGTGCCGCACGTCCCGGTTTTTACGGAGAAGGAATTGAAGTTTCTTAGTGCTCTGGTTCGAAAGGCTCGTACCGTCCGTACGCTTTGTTCTTTAGGTCTTAATGTGATCAAGGCTGCGCGGAGAGGAGACCAGCCCCCATCACAGGAGCTGAGGGACCTTTCGCTTCAGCTCATGGATACCGATTGCCTCGACGTGGGGAAACTACTGAACCTTTTCGAGCCATGGGCTGCGAGGCCATGCAAGTGTTCCTGATTGGGGCCTGGGATAACATTTCCCCCATTATGAGTATGCATCTGTTGAACAGTTTTGAGGTCTACATTGTTACAATTTTGGGGTTCTACATGGTTTATGTTCTGTTAATTCGCCTTTTCTCTATGTAGTTCCTTCGTTCATACTGCGACGAGGAGGCGATGGGTAGAAAGGCCAGTGACTGAGAGACATGCGAATGGCCATGAAGGCCTATCTTTATGAGCAAATTCACAGCACCTGAGATTAGTTGAGCTACAATTAGCTGTCTGATTCAATAGATAAAGATGTAACTGAAAGTGAGCGGTTCGTTTGAAATGTGATCAAAGGGGCAATCATTATGAAACGTTCGCAATGTGTTTGACATGAGCCTGAATCTAAGTACTTTAATATCACCGACTTCAGCGGAGTAAGCACACAGAATCGGGGAAAAAGGCCAATGAAAAAATCCCTATACCTGACTCTTCATCGCAATGGGGACTTGCTTTTGCGCACATCATCACGTAGAATGGCCCTCTCGAGCTCAGCACGAAGACCTAGTCCGTTAAAATATGAACCTCTTGGGAAATTCTATGGGTTCTATCCATTAAATGCATGCAACTCTGGCATCTAACTATCTATACAAGGATACAAATTGTTTGGCATATCCTGGAGTATCGTGAAATAAGAAAAATACATTGGCGAAAACGCTTAAAATCAGAAACATAACCGTAGAAACTCCCAATTCAAATGATCACACCGCTGCTGGAGTTGGGCTTGCCATGGGTGTAGCTGGCAGATTAACTGGTAAATGTAGTGGGAGAGGTTGCGCCGGGAGAGTGTTGAAGTTCTGTTGGTCGTTGGGCTTGAAGGGAGGCAAGGAGGAATGGCTACTCTCCGCAACAGTCTCAGACACGGAGTTACTGTAGGCTACATGAGCCCCCTGGGGGAAGTAGCTTGGACTGGTGCTATTTGCTGAAAACGCTGGCGGTGAGGTGGGCAAAGATTGAGGGGTTGGCGGTAATGTGAAGTTATTGGAAGGCATACTGCTTTGCGACTGAAAAGTCTCTTGTCCGTACATGGGGCCGGACTGCAGTATGTACTGAGGCTGCTGGGCTTCAGTCGGTGGAGAAGAAAAGGGTTGTTGCGGGTAGGATGGAAGAGGAACAACTGACGCCCTTCGAGAAGCATTCAGAGGTTTAGGGGCAACCGGAGTAGTGAGATGACGTTGCAACGAGCCAGGTTGAGCCGGCGTAGGGCGATGAAAGCCTGACAGTCCCTGTACTTCTTTTGGAGCGGATTGGACTGATCCGAGTGCCAGGTGAGAACTTGGCTGAGGGGTTTGAGGGATTAAAGGTATACCGGATTGCCTGGCAGTCAGGGCATGATTTGGTTGAACAGAATATCCTGTGTGGTGGTCTGCTAAACTCGCTGCATTGGTTCCCTGAGCACTCAGAGGTGGGAGTGAGGGCTGCTCGACAGTATGTAACGAGTAGCCTATCAAGGTTCCTCGAGCAGCCTGATACGGAGTTTGTGGTTCCGTCTGGGTGCTGGCCAAGACTTGGCCGAAGCCAGGTGTCGTGATAGGTAGGGATGTAGATGATGGCTGTGCTGGGTTTGCATGTCCTGGCGGCGGTGCTGCTGGTGGGGGATACATGAATTCATCAGGTGGCTGTTGTGTTTGAGAATCATTACCGTCCGCTGATTTTACAATAGGAGGCAGTGAGGAGATGACAGAGGTACCGACTAATACCGGTGGTGAAGTGATGATGCTGGAACTAGCAGAACTTGCAATGACGACAGCTGGAGTTGCCGAAACTGGTGGATGTGTCGGAGCCCCAACAGCCAGCTCTGAGAAATCCGAAGGCTGTAAAGGTGCTTGTACATAGGCTCCTGGGACTCCAAATGAGGCGGAACGCGATGCATCATACCCCTGGTTAGATTGATAGCCCAAGGCGTAGGAAACGGGCACAGCTGCTCCCACGGTTGGGAGAGCTGCCCCCATGGCGTTCAGATCATATGTACTAGAAACGGTCGGTGGAGGCATGCTTGGTGGCGCGAAATCTTCTGCTGTTTGAGTTCCAGCATACAACTCTTGGCTCGGTTCTGATTGGTAGTACGGCGGCATGGGTGCCTTGGAATCTAGCCCGTAGTAGGGATCGGGGTTCATGGTAGAGACTGCATAGTTCTCTGGAATTCCAACTTGAGATGGGCCAGAGTCATACGAATAGGGAGGAGGTGGAGCGTAGTAGGGGAGGCTGGCGCTGCTCTCCGCCGCGGCACCTTGAGGGTTGTAAGGCTGGATGGAATATCCAGCTTCAGCGGCCTTTGCCTCATTGACGGCTTGGAATACCCCAGCTTTCTCGAAGGCCTTCCTTGCATCTCGCTTCCTTAGATGATTGGTGTGTGCATGCTCGATACCCAGGCCCACGCCGTCCAAGGCGACATGGGAAACAACCTTGATGGCTGTTTCGTTTTCGACGATGGCAGAGATGCCATGCTCTGCACCGTGAGCGGCGATGGCATCAGCGCCCAATGTGCCCACGCCCAGAGTGACAACACCGATCGTTCCACTGACAGCCACACCACCCAGCACGTCTCGTTTCCTGGTCTGATGTGTTGTGTCGAGCCTGTTGAGGTGTCTCTCGATAATGTCTCGCTTCTTCCGAGCGTTATGGATCGCAGGGGCGGCGAGGGCAACGCCGATTGTCGAGACACCTGCTGTGAGCGGGATTGCGAGGCCGGAGACAGTGGTAGATGTGGCAGCGCCGGTGATGAGTCGGGTGTAGTGCTGCCACTCACGTTGGAGCTCTTCTGCGGTGAGTGCAGCACATTTCTGGTCGTACTTTTTGAAGTCGAAGGGCATCGCTGCGGTGGGAGTGGAGTGTCGACGTCTTGCTCAACCGAGCCTGACGACTAGAGCCGTTAGGGGGGAGGCAATATCGCTGGATACTAGACAGCCAGGTGAAGGAGTTTGTATTTGGTTCTATCGAGAAGATCGTCGTCACTTAATTAATGAAGTGGGAGAGACTAGGAGGGATTGTTTCCCCCCCGCGATCTTCTCGTGATGTGGGCAGCAAGGGGTCCGGGCCAGACCTACTAGTGTCCGATAACTCAGCGCCGTAATCCGCCATCTTTCTGCAGGCAGGCAACGAATCTGCCTTACGCTCTTTTCATGTCTAACCAAAATCTGCGGCTGAATCTGCGGCTGGGTCGAGATGCAGCAAGGGGGCGCTAATGTCGCAGCACGGCACCAGCAGCCGAATCCTCCCTGACCCGAATGTCCCGACTTCTCTACCAATATTGCAAGAAATCTGTCCTAGAAATGTCGCAGCTATTTCGTGAAAGACAAGCCTGAGGACTTTGTATTCATAGTACAATCTGGTCACTATCAATCCTGCAGTGCTCAGCTGTCCTCCAGAGTGCATAAAAATAGCTGACCATGTGCATTGCGGGAGGGATCATGGGTGTTCGAGACCCTCCATCAATTCTCTCAGACTAGCCGCTGCTAGTCAGTCAGCCCCATGCAAGACTGTTCAACGGCTGGTGATACTCGCTGCCCAATTTGATTGGCTTTTTTTGTGAAATTGCAGCCAAAGTGGATAACATCGTCTCCAACCTGTCAGCCCAAGTGTGCCACTATGTTCGGGGAGTTGCTTACCAATTACCCTGCACGTTCCTCCGTTGTGGTGCATGTTCCTGGTATTTGTGAGGACACGGCGTCTTGCAGTGCCCGTATTATCAAATGTGTGGTCATCAGGATGGATCACTTGAGGCACCGCTGACGCAAACCCACGTATAGGTATTGTAACCAAGCGCTTACAATTCATAGATTGGCTAAGAAAAACCCAAATGGCGAAGTAACGGGCAGTCATAATGAAGCGACGAAGAATCCATGAGCTGTAGGGCCCTTCCAGAGAGATCTTGAAAATTCGGGATATAATTGTGCGGGTACGCCACCAACAGACTCTCATATTTACCCTTTGAATGTTCATCGAGAGTTTTAATTTGGCTATTTCTATGGGTGAAAATAAAGGAATGTAATTTTTTTTTTGGTTTTTGTTTTATTTCGAAGGTAGCTCAATGATCACCTGAGATCCCGCGTCAAATGATTCACAATTTTGTTACGAAACGACGAGTGAAATAATCAACACATCTTGTCTACTATGAAACAGAGCCCTCTCCCCCGAGAGTAGATCAATTCTGATCCCAAAAAAGAAAACCAAAGTTCTATTTCACTGCGACTCGATGACTTCCTTCGAAGGGGGCTGTGATGTCACAGATGCAAGGACCTCCAATTGATTGGCCCAGACTTTGGCAACGGCCGGACGCGACATCAACCTTTCAAGCCACGCTTCGTAAGCTTTGAATTCGCTCGTGTTGACTTCAGAAGCAATATAAGCCAGCCCTTTAAAGTACGGAATGAACATGATGTCCGCATAGGTGACTTTATTTCCAGTCAGATAGTCCGTCCCCTGCTTTGCGAGGTGAGAGTCAATCACCCCAAGGACCCGCTTGATCTCTTTGCGGTATCTTTCTATTGCAGATGGCAGCTTCTCGGCGTGGTATCGCTCGAACCAGGCTTTCTGTCCAAAGTATGGACCCTGTCCACTCATTTGGAAGTGCTCCCAGGCCCAGGTTGCATACTTCTCGGGTCCGCTTGGGTGGTGTAGCTTGAAGTCTTTATCGTAGACATCAATCAAATAGTCGATGATAGCCCCGGACTAGAGAGCAAGAGTCAGCATTGAGATATTAGTTCTCAGATTGGGATGTTGCATTCACCTCCCAAAGCACCATATCCTGATTATTTGGGTCCTTCAGAGCCGGAACACGTCCGTTCGGGTTGAGTGAAAGGAAGGGTTCCTTCTTCAAGTCTGGGAAATCAACTTGTTCCATCTTATAGGGGAGGCCGAGCTCCTCGAGGATGTATGCAACCTTCCAGGGATTAGCCCCGGCGCGAAGGGCATAGAGAATAAGTGGCTGGAGGGTAGTCATGGTAGTTGTTCTTGATGTAAACTATCGAATGTGCTTGGGTTTTTGGGTCGTAATTCTTCATCTCATGGCCATGTCTCCTTCATTCTTATATTTTTAAGTTGTTCAAGATAACTGACAGCAGACTCACTTGATTACATCACGATGCATCGAGAGTTGAGCGCCGAGTCGGACCAAAACTCGGACCAAAGCTTTGACCAATACTTGGCCGGTGGCCCCAACTAAAGGTGCCCCATGAAAGTCCGCAGCGGACCTGAAGGTCGGACCAGCTGACACATCTCGACGTAACCACAAAACAGCTCATGTCCGGAAAACTCACCTTCAGACGCTTCCAATAGTGCAAGAGATCCGGACATCAAGCCCCAATTCACGTCATGGAACCCAGTCGGTGTGACAGCAAGAACTCTCCGTCACCAGCGGTCAGCCCGTGGAGCTGCTTCAATTGCCGACGCCGCAAGTATCGTTGCAATAGATGCCGCCCTTGTATGCACTGTGCCAAGTCCGGCCTCCAATGCACGTATCCAAGCTCCGGTCGCATGCCAACAAGGCAGCACGGGCTTCCAGGCCTTCCAGCTCCGCCATCTATGGGGGGTAGGAAAGAGTTGCTTGCTCGACTGCGGCACTTGGAACAGTTTGTAGAGGAGGCCAGTACCCAACGCGATGCACCACGAAGCCCAGACAGTCCTACCAAGTCATGTTCTTGTACATGTCATGGCACCCATCAAACAGCGACCGGAGATCCTACGCCCTCTACGGAGGAGAAGGTTTTCGGTGATTTTGGAAAGCTCTATATCGACAAGACGGGATGTATCTACGTGGGGAACGAGTTTTGGGCTTTGCTCAACCATCAGGTGCGGATGTTCGAGAGGACGACAAATCAATCGATGCTGACTCGGAATACAGATTAAAAACGTGAGAGAGGTTCTTGACAACGAAAGCATACAAGGTACGATGTACCTCGATCACACAAGCCGCACGCCATTCTTCTCTGGCATGCAGACGGGAGGCAGTGACACAGTCCGCCAACCTCTGCCATCCCAAGTGCCGTATCTGTGGCAGGTTTACGTAGACAACGTGGATCCGTTCATCAAAATCTTGCATGTTCCTAGCATGGGAAGAATCATCAAGCAGACAAAGGGGAAATTTGATTCTCTATCTGAGGGCCTTCGTGCCCTCATGTACGTCATATCTCTCGCCGCCATCACTTCTCTGGATGAGATCGAAGTCAGAACACGGTCCCTAGAAGATGGTCGCCTGATGCTAACATATCACAGGTGCAAGAAAACTTCGACGAAAGCAAAGAGTCCATGGCCGCTTGGTTATTAAGCAATACGGAAAGGGCTTTGTCGGATGCAGGCGTCCTAGAAACGACCGACATCCATGTCATACAAGCTTTCTTCATCTACCTTGAGATGGCCGGGCAATATTACGGTTCTCGGTCTATCTGGACTATGACAGGCGTTTTGATTAGGACCTCCATGTCCCTCGGTCTTCATCGCGATGGCTCCAACTTTGCTAATGTATCACATTTCGACACCGAGATGCGACGTCGCCTGTGGTGGCATATTTGCTTCCTCGACCACCGTGTAGGCGAATGTGACGTGCCTCAATTGGCACTCGGCCCCAAAATGTTTGATACCCGGGAGCCTTGCAACATTAACGATGAAGATATTAGCCCGGATATGGCGGGAGCCCCCGTCCCAAGAGAAGGCTTCACTGAGATGAGTTATGCGCTCGCTTTGTGTGATTTATGGCGTCTGGGTCGAAAGATACACGGCGTGGTTCCCTTGCTTATCAGTCCCGGAGAGAAGCGAGATAAATTACAAACGGATGCTTTGGAGGCGACGGAGAAGCTGAGACGGCAGATCATCCAGCAGACATTTCGAACTTCCAAGCCCGAAACAGACCTCCTAGCTTTCATGAAGTACCGAGTGAATGCCTTGGTCGACCAAATGGTTCTCATCATTCGCCACGTGCACCTGTTTCAACTGTCAAATCTCGCGGAGGCTGAACCATTTAGGCAGCACTCATTTGAGGTTTCGATCAAGTGCATTGAAGATTTTAACAAGTGGAGGCTTGATCCTTCCACGTGTCAGTGGAGTTGGCATCTCTTCAATCACAACTATTGGCACGCTGTCTGCATCGTCTTTGCCCAGTTGCGCCTTGAGAAAGCCTGGACTTCCACTTCGGAAAACGCGTGGAATGCAGCGATGAAGCTGATGCAAGATACCCCGGCCCCTATGATGCTGAAAAACCCGTTGAGGCAATCTGTTTGTCTCTTGGTCCAGGAAGCATGGAAACGAAGGGAGCGTGCAGTTTCTAAAGAAAAAACCACCACATCTAGCAGTGAACCGAACTTGTCGGTGGTTTCTGATGCCAGCGTCATGGCTCCTCCGCTCGACGTGAACCAGAGATGCGACCTAGATGATGTGACATGGGCATGGATATCCAATGAATACCCTCATCCGACACCATTTGATGCGCCCTCTTGGGTAGCAGACACCGCCGGCACCAGTCAGAGCTTTCTATTTGAAACAAGTAACCACGAAGAGCAGTCTATTTGGCCCGGCTCAGATTCGTTTGACATATTTCAGGAGCTGGAGCCGTTTAGTTGGACTGACGAACAGGACTGCGGAGTCTTGCCTAGTGACTCAGTTTGACAATGTCGAAGAATATTGATATTCTACTTCTAGTAAATGACGCTTAGTTCCGAATCAAAGAGCTCTTTTCGAACATCCCTGTGATCAATCCTGACGTTGGCCGCATCTTGCCTCCGCAGCACCTCCTCGAGCAGAAGTACACCTTTGTCAAAGTTGGGAAGACAGCAGATCCTTCGCACCATATCCAAGAACTGACCGCGGTCATGAGAGGGACATTCAAGACAGAGCATGAACAATGGCCAAAACATGGAGTGTGGTAGATGGATTTCGTCATGGCTGAGAGACGACGGAGAGTTTTGGCAGTAAACCTCACAATCGCCGTCTTGTTCTTGGCTAAGGTCCGCCGAAAGAGCCCTAGCTAGCTCGCTGATCTGAGAAACGGCGCGTGTTACATCATCCGTGGCTGGGTAGGCTACGAAAGCCACACGATGAAGATATATGTAATGTGCCCAGAAGTTTGCGCTGTACACCCGGAGGTTGCGCAACACTACCTTTCCGTATGATGGCTGGAGAATATCTGATATTCCTATCGGGTCCTCGAGCAATAGAAATATGGCGGGTCTCTCTTCCCAGAGTGAATGAAGACTGGCGTTTATGGAAATCCCACGTTTTAGGATTTCGAAGTCGGTCTCCAGTGTGCCTCTTCTGTGGTGATGTTTGTCTAGGGCAATAATTCGTGGAGTGAAGCTCTGTGCTCGAAGGTGGAATTCAAGAGCTGGCTGATTAATAATTTCACCCAGAAGCTCAGCTGGAGAAGGCGATTCAATAACCGTTCCCCAGGCACCGTTGCCATGGTTAGATCTTCCCCAAACACTCCCATCTTTGGTTTGATCCACGTTTTCATCCGTTTGCCGTTCGTGAGTGGAAGAGCTGCTACTGCGTTCGAAAATCTCATCGTCCCTACGATTTGCACAGGGGCTACCGCCGTTGTATTCAGCTTTGTTTTGCAACAAGGTCATCCAAGTCAGTAAGCGTCGACTAGTCCCTGCCCAGCCCTGTATGCTTTCGCTGTGCTGGCGGACTCGTGTGTGAGCCGCATGGACATGCTGTAACGGCCACGTCAAGGCCTTTGGCGTTGACTGCGCTATAAGCTCGACATGGCTGAGGAGAAAGACGGCGGCAAAGGCCTTCTTCAGCTCCGGATTATTGGTAGGTTGATCCATTGTATTTTGGTGAGATTCCTCGAAGAAGACAGTCACCTGGTTGCTCGAAGATTGGTAATGACCATAAGCAACATCTAGCATATCATTCCCCTTCCTGCATGTATAGAGATGGAGAGCGGAGTGGGCACATATTGCATCAAGCAGAGCTGGAGAATTCTGTGCCATGGATAGAAGGGTACGTGAAGCGGTTGTCCACTCAATGTGTGTTGGTACAATGACGGCAATTGGATTGGACGCCTGTGTAAAATGTTCTAGAAGAGCCGAAGTCGTTTGCTCAAATGATTTATCTGTTTCAGACAGTTGCCTGTTTTTTATCGCCCACGGTAGATGATCGGATGTTTGTGCCTGTGGGAAGCTAGAGCAGCTGCTTAGGTTCATCTCTGTCGAGTTTATCGAAGACAGAAAAACATCTTGAAAGGCTAGGGTTTCTGGGAAACTAGAGACGCTTGCTTCTTGTATATCTGGCAATCCGGGAACCTGCCGTGAGATGTATAGCTCCCCGGATAAGTCATCACAGGGTTCTTGCGATTCATGTAATGGTGGTACCGTAGATCCATAGTTTGAAGACAAACCCTCTTCGTTCTGGAAATCAGAAGGTGTGAAAGCCGAATTATCGATTATCGACACGTAATTTAATAATTCATCGGCGCTTCCACTACCAGCAATCTCGTAGGAGGAGCTGCTGACTTCTTGTTGTGATCTTGACTTTGGGATCGGGTGTCGCAGCCTGGCACCCCCTCGTGAACTGCTTCCAGACCGGAAGTGAGCATCAAGGAACCCGCATGAGATCTTGAGCCGTGTGCAATTCGCGCAGGCCGGCCGCCCTTCATCACACCGAACCTTTCGACGACGACAGGTGCTGCAGCCTGTTTTGGTCTTGGGACCGGATCGACCGGTAGCCTTGGAGTAGATCGGCGTTGACATGTCTTTCGTAAATACCGGGACCTGGGTGGGATCGATCTCTGCGTGCAGCTGCCACACTTGGCCTCCTTTTCTTCGTTTGATAGGCTAAAAACAAGAGTTACACGAGGCGCCACCGAATTTCTTCAGGCCTCGCTAGCGGAATGTGAAAGGTTTCTGTGCCGGGAACCACGTTGCCAAGTGGTTTGTTTAATGCGGGGTATTGCGTGCGTCCGGGATCTGTTGACGCCATCCAGAGATCGACGTCCCCCAATGCGTCCCGCCAAGGATATGGATATCCATCACGACCACCATTTCCATTGAGAACACGCGTGGTGAAACTCGTCTCAACTAGTTAAGCTCATTGATTAGCACTTCGGACATCTCTTGTCTCTCATGATAGGAAAGATATCTCCTGTAGCACATATTACGATGGGTGCTTACTAGGTAGGATAATCTGGGTTTATATCTGCTTCAACCATTATTAGTCTCGACCGTCTACTTATTCCATCCATACCCCGTCTGCCGAGTCAATGTTTAATAAAGACGATGGATGAGAGGCAAGGTGGAGTGGACATTTGAAGGAGCCTGGAGATAAACTGGGGTCAGTAGACGAACGATCTATTATTACATTTTACTAGATCTGCCGCGAGTTCGATTTGTCAGCATCCTAACAACTCTCGACAAGAAATTCGTCTCCATCTTCGTACTGAATAGTGTCAACATTGGATCCGTCGATTCTTGTTGATTCATTGTCGCTCTCTTTCCAGTATGGCCGGAACTTCCCGCCAAAAAGCCTGCTTGGCTTGTGCGGATTCCAAGCGCAGGTGTGACAAGCAGCTTCCTGAGTGCCAAAGGTGCCTAGACAAAGGTGTAGCCTGTGTCTACCCACAATCGAGGAGAAGACCATTTACACATGACCGCCATAATTATTTTCGGGTGGATCATGGACCGGCACTCGAGCAGTATGACCCGACTGTTTACAACCCAGACTTTGAAGGATTATCAACGATGATAGCAGCTAGCAACGATAATCAGTTTTCAGATATCATTGCAACACTTGCTCCAATCTTCCCCTCTCCCGAAAGTAACCTGGTGGAACAAGCGATCATTGCTGCAAACGATGACATCTTGGGCATACAGACCCCTTGGTTCTTGCAGGACGAAACATGGCAGCTACAGCACAGCGAGGAAAGAGCAGCCTGTGTCAGTTACATTGAGCTTGAGCCTCTCATCCGTGCAGTGGAGAGAATGTTGGAAGACTGGATAAAAGATGGGTACAACAGCTTCATTCATCGGCGGCTATACAGGCTAGGAATGCCCACCTACCTTCAAGATGCCTTCACAACACTGGCCACGTACATCGGCCGTGCGCCAGCAGTAAAAGACTTGATTATTCAGATTGCGATGGATCGATTATCTGCATTTGTCAATCAGCGCCTCTCTACTATCGATCAGGGCGCAAAGGGCCTACAAACACACTTGGCACGCGTCCAGACTCTGTTCATCTATGAATTCATTGTGCTCTTCGATGGCTCCGTTCGCGCCCGAGCCTGTGGTGAGAGACAACTCCCCATACTTCGGCAGTGGGTCACCCTGATGCAGGAGGCCGTACGATCGTATCGAGGAGAAAATGGTCTGCTGGACCAAGGCTCATCTAACGCGTCTGAGAATGAGTTTGACAGAGAGTACAATGCATCCACAGAACTATGGCATCAGTGGATTCTTACTGAAAGCATTCGGCGTACTCAAGTGATCGTGAATACTATTTGCAACATTTACGAGACGATGGTGCTTGGTTCGGCGGAATGTACAGGGGGCATCATGTTTACTGCGCGTCGCGGTTTATGGGAGGCAGACTCGGCGTTCCAATGGTTGGAGCTGTCCAGTTCCAAGCTCCCACTCATAGTCCCTTCTCTGCGTCCCAACTCGTTGATGTCACAGTATAATGCTGATGAAGTGGATGATTTTGTTAAACTATTTTGGACGTTTCTTGTTGGTAATGACAGGGTTCAGTGCTGGATTGATAGGAACAGGATGAACATTACCTAGCCTAGACTGCAGACGTGCAGAGAGAACGAAGACCGAGGATCACACAATTCACAAGGTAGAACAAGAAAGCTCTCTGGCTAGTGAGTTCGCTGAGTGAGCATTCATAAAAAACAAGATTGTTCCGTGGGCAGCGAGTGAATTGATCGATCTTGGCATGTTCAAAAGTTTTCAAATCGCCCAAGATTTCAATCGAAGGAGATGTAGTAGATCGCCCAATCGCACATGGATGCATAGGTCATGCCTAAAACTGAGCGCTTGATACCGAGTCCCTGTATACGTCAATGAATGGGAAGAAATCCGGTGCTCGCTGCTATCTGGTCGCATTGGCTGTGGGTAAAAGTCGACGATAGAGCGGAATGAGACAACAATTCATCTTTCCTGCACGCCCGCACCTTTGCCCTCCCAGCCTTGTTGACTGCCCCCCTTGGCATTCTCTTGCATAAATTCCAGTATGACGAGAATACTGTTGATTACCCCGACTGATCCCTACACCGACTCATTGGATTGTGACTATCTATCTGAGAGACACACTATCGGGACGGCACAGAATGGAGAGTCTCAGAACCCCATAATATCGTATTTCAACCTAGACGGTCCGCTCACCAGGATAAACGAAGAAAAGCCCCATTAAATTCATTTGTTGAGTTCCGGCATACCAACCTGGAAGGCGCCTTGTATGTGCCCGAACCTTCACCTCAACACGGCCAACTTAGCATATCCATCCATAAGATGAAGAAAACTTATGTAAATTTACTTTTAGCTAGTCAAGAACCTCGGTCTTTACATCATTTAATTATTACCCCCGACCTTCCCCTATCCGGTGTGAAGTAATAGCAGTCTTGGTTCGGCTGGTGTGGTGCAGAACAGACTATCTAGCCTGTACATTGTATTATTTTTAGCCGACAGTTACTCCCGGAATATTACGTCTCGGCTTCCTTGTTTTTCTGCCTTTTCTTTTTCAGCATCCTTGCACGGGCAATATCTTTAGAGACTTACGTATCCTAACGTGAGACAAACTGGGCATCACCAAGTCCCTTTGTCGCCATAGCACGATGATGGTACAGCAAATTTGTGTTTTTCGGCTGGAAAGTGAGGCGAGCAGCTGTACTAAGAGAACCTTGTTCTTGTGCGACACGAATATGTGCCGTACGCTAGATATCGCTAGTACCATGCAAGACGAAATGCGATCGTCGATAGCCATGCCATGATTCTTACGCGGTAACTCAGCCGTATCTCTGGCCCAAGGAACTAGCTCCACGTGCCGCATCTTGGCGGGCGTGAAGCCGAGATGCGATTGGTCTTGTTTGCATCCCCCCCTCCTTGCCTATCGACTAGCTTCAGAGCTGAGGCCGTTCAGGCCTCCTGGATTCTCCTGTGTCTCGGAGTGCAACTAAAGCCCCCAACTGATTGGGCAGCAGCACTGCCTCTCTAGCAATGCAGGCGATTGATCACCAATTCTGGCGTCAAGCGCAGTCCGTTTGCAGAATGGCTCATGCAAGACGTCGGAGGTTGGGCCAATGGCATCACAGACAACTAGGGGGTCCTCGCCGCAAACCGCCCTTTTGCCCTTGTGACGCAGCGGTAAGGTAACATCATGTTCACAGCTGGTTGAGGGGAGAATCCTCGGTTAAGAGATACTTGATGGCTCACACACTTTTGCCCTAGCTGAAGGTACTGCTTGCTAGCAGAGACAAGGGACTACTCTGGGATTTGCAAAGCAGGCCTCATAATACATACGACTATTGGGTGACCCTTTGGTTACTCATAGGTATCATCTAAGGGGCCTAAATAATTGGGGACTCAACACAGCACACTGAACCATTGGTGTCTTACGTGCCTTAAGAGGGGTCCTCTCCTGCCGTAGAGCATTGCGCATGAGACATGATGCCTGTTGAACCTGGATTACGAAGGGGTTTATTCACCGGGACATTTTCCTGTCACCACGCATTAAAAGGCATCCTTCCCTGCTTTGCGTCCGAGCCACACGATAGACTCCGCGGCCCCTCGCCATCAAGACCAGTCCACCCACATCGGCTCAATCTGCCGCTATACCAGTCACGTTTTCTGCTCGAGCCGCTGCATACCCTACCTTTGTCAGAATCAGTCAAGGAGAAAACATGTCTCAATCAAATAGCCCACTACCCCACTTTGACGAGCACGTGGATCACATCTCAACTTTCGGTGCTGGAGACCAGTTCGCCCTCTCACCCCTGCCACCATCTCGCCATAACCTCCCCTCACCATCTCATCAAGATCCCCCCAACCAGCTCATGTCCGCCTTGCCATCTGAGGAGGGCGTGGCGAGAAATGGCAAACTGTTGACGTCGGACCGCGATACATTCGAGAGTAACCAATTCGATAATGATCCAATTCTTCTCAGGGGCAGCGGCCTATGGGATGGAGCAGATCACCAGTTTCAACCACACGAACTGCAGCGACCAAGAGCGGTATCTGTTGAGGGCAACATCGTCCGGGGTACTACTGTTCTCATTGTGGGCCATCAGACCTCCAAGGATCTCAGTGAGGTACTGTCACACAGGATCAAAATGGCTGAAGTGATGACAACCCTACCCGAGAAAAAGTCTTAGTGGCCAGGCAACATGATCGTTCAAAAAACACGCTCCGCTAGGCTGGAAGGTGGCGGAAGGATAAGCCACATGTCAATGTTTGTTAATGTATTCGAGATGGATTCGTCCGACATGAGCTGCATTCCTCGAGGATCTACGGTGGTGGAAACTGTTTTTGTAACGTGAGAAATACTTGGTCACGGTGTCGAAGCGCTTTCACGGCTACCCCAGAGCAGGCGTTTAGTCTGTGATGCTCTCTCGTGAACAGGACTGATTCTGATTTTTGAGGGTGGTTACTATCAAAATAGTGCTTACAGATAATGTCATCGATATTGCACATTACATTCTCACACGCTACTTCTCAACAATAAGTTGAGAGAGACTCCCGGGTTTAAATTGCGATTCTAGATACAGCACCTGCCATTCAGAAGAAAGCTTCTAGATTGCCTGCCTGGAAAACCTCGGAATTTGTTTTGTAAACTTCGACGGATCATCGCGTGCCCCTTCTTTCCAATACTCGTACTCAATCCACGCATTCTCAGGCATTTGCTCTTCCATCGCCGCCATCCAACGGCCTAGCTCTGGACTGAGAGGAATCACCCCTGTCTCAAGTACGTAGCGGTCCCAGAGCTTTATTAATGCGGCAAGCTTGTCCGGCTCTTGCTCCGAAAGGTCATGCACCTCGCCAGGATCCTTGGAAAGGTTGTACAGCTGCCAGCGCTCTGGGCCTTTGGGTTTGGGGATGTAAACGATCTTCCAATCACCATTACGCACCGCAGCACGGCCGCATGTCTCCCACCCGTTGATGAAGTCCGCTTCATGGATTCGGGGCTCCGTCCCCTTCAAGTACGGAAGCATGGACTTTCCACGCATGCTGACAACCTCGCGGCCCCGGTAGCTTGGAGCAGGATGCGAAACGCCAGCCATATCCAAAATGGTCGGCGCTAGATCCATGACCGTTGCGAATTGGTCCGTGATAAGTCGGCCGTCAGTATGGGGGCCACGGAAGTTCTTGGGAGCTTTCACAACGCATGGGACTCTTACACCACCCTCTGTCGTGTAGGCCTTGTATAGTCTACTCGGCGCAGTGGCGGCCTGAGCCCAGCGAGGACCATACCAGACAAAAGAGTTCCCATTTCCAATGTTGTCTAAGCTGTTATCGTAGTATTTCTTGAGATGTTGCATCATGGACCCCTGAACCATGGGGTAGGCCTCGTACGCGGCGCCTTCAGCACCGTTATCAGATAAGAAGACAACGAAGGTGTTGTCTAGCTCATCAGTCTCCTCCAGGTAGTTGAGTACTTTACCAACATTGGCGTCGATGCACTCGACCATACCAGCAAAGACCTCCATGGTACGGCACGAGTGGGCCTTTTCTTCCTCGCTAAAGTCGGTCCATTCTTTGGCCTCCTCTGCGACAACGGGATGGGGTTCAACGTCTTGTGGAATCATGCCCAGATCCTTGAGGCTCTGAAGACGCGTACGTCGAAGCTCATCTGGGCCTTTATCATAGACACCGCGATACTTCTTGATATATTCTTGAGGTGCTTGTAGCGGCCAATGCGGGGCGGTGAATGCGAGATATCCAAAGAATGGACGGTCATCATCTGACTCCTTGCGGTCTTTGAGGTATTGGACCATTTTGTCTCCGTAGCCATCTGAAGAGTACCATCCCTCAGGTAGCTTGGTGTATTCCCCATCCTCACTATGAAGAGCAATGACGCTCATCGTGAGAAACTCGGGTGATTTCTCTCCAGATTCCAACTGTGGTTCATAAGCATAGTGGTTGCTACACGCAGGCAAGTGAGCAAAGCTTCGCTCAAAGCCGCGAGCCTTGGGGCTTCTCTCGGGTGTCAGCCCCAAATGCCATTTACCAGCCATCAAGGTTTGATATCCGGCATCGTGAAGAATCTCAGGCAAGGCCACAACACGCTCGTTGAGATAACCCTCGTATCCGGGCATGCCTCTTTGGACATTGGTAGACATCTTGCCCGTGGGATCATTTTGCCCGGAGATATTTGTCCACTCAATCAGGTTGCCTAAACCAGCAATGTGATGATCCGTGCCAGTCATGATCATGGCTCTAGACGGCGAGCATGCCGCAGCGGCATGGAAATCGGTGAATCGAACTCCATCCTCTGACAGTTTGTCCAAATGTGGCGTGGAAATCTCACCACCGAACGGCGCAATATCGGAGAATCCTAGGTCATCCGCGACGATGACAAGAAAGTTGGGACGCTTTGTAGTCGTTGCCATGGTTGCTGAGGAACTTTACTACAGGGCATGGCCTCGAATCATCGCAAAGAGTTAGTCCAGGGGGCAACATTTAAGTGCTACTGAGCTTATACCACGCGGCCAATCATCAACCCTTCGTAATATTCCCGTTGAAATGAAAAGCAATACATGGTCATACCTACCGAAATGCGAGACTCGTAGACGAATAACCGAGCTTCTTTCCTCAGAACCCACAATATGGCATGGGTATCTCTCGCGTATCGGACCTCGGACCCCGCTCATCGGCTTCATCATATACTAGCCTGCCACATCGATATTAGGAAATGCTGTTCTAACTCGAACCAGGGCCTCGCCCACGGCAACGGCAGGACTTGCCCACAGCGTTACTGGAAATTTAGCGAGCGCTGCTTTCATAGCGGAGGCTGAGTTGCAGAATGTTCCAAACGCCGAAGTTTGCCAACCCCAAACTTTGGGTGACGACAAATAGATAGTCGCTCTGAAGCTAGTTGGCAATGCCATTATGACATCGTGTTTATTAAATACCAATGAACATGTATTAAAATCTAGGCCAATAGCTATACTTCTCCTTCCCTGACCATCTACATCCCGGATCCTGTCGTCGTTCCCCGGACGTTGCGCCACACCCTCCCTGACTGTCGCCATCTAGTGGATCCAATCTTGTTTTGGAGGGTGCTTGATGACTTGAGGTTGTATAAAGTGCATTCAATTCATTCTAGTCGGGTTATGATTAGCCTATGCTGAGCTACAACTTGGTCTGCTTGACCGAGATTCAGCTCCGAAATCTGATCCATTGTGTTCGCTTACAACCACCAAGATGACCAAACTGGGCACATTCAGGGCCGTGTACCTTGTTGCTTTATGCTGCGTGGGCTCGTTCTGTTTTGCTTACGATACTGGAATCATAGGAGGGATCCTTACGTTCAAGAGTTTCCAGCATGACTTTGGATATACCGAGGCACAGCGGGCTTCTGTCGGCTCCAACTCGACGAGCCTCCTACAAGCAGGCGGTATGCACGAGGCTTAAAAGTTTTCATTCAAATCAAATCGGACTAATCTTCGTTCTCACACGCAGCTTTCTTCTCCTGTTTCTTTATTTGGCCTTTCACCGCCAAGTATGGCCGAAGATGGTCTCTTATTCTCGCTTCTGTCATCTTCAACATCGGCGCGGTTATTCAAACTATTAATACACACTCGCTCGCCGCTTTTTATGTCGCCCGAATCATCAGTGGTGTTGGTGTAGGTATGGCAACGGTTATAATCCCCATGTACTCGGCTGAAATGGCACCCAAGAATATCCGAGGTATGCTTGGGAGCATGTTCCAGCTCTTCTTCACCCTTGGTGTCATGACCTCCTACTGGATAGACTATGCCGTCAAGAAGCATATCTCAGATGTGACTGCTCAGTGGCAGATTCCTGTGGGTCTTCAAATCGTACCTGGTGCTATCTTGGGCCTCGGGATGCTTCTCACCAAGGAGAGCACTCGTTGGCTGGCCAAGAATGGCCGGTATGAAGAGGCTATGGCGTCCCTCTCATGGGTTCGGGGCGGCGAATCTGAGGAAGTGAGGAAAGAGTAAGTCGAGAAATGTTAACACCCAAAAGAACATTTGAAGTATGGCGCTCACTATGGCATTCGCAGATTTGAAGAGATCTTATCAGGAATCAAAGAGGAAGATCGAGACAAACAAGGTGTGGGTTGGAGGGAACTAATTCTTCCTATCAACCGCATGCGAGTCTTCCTCGTCGTTGCTCTCCAAATGGGTCCGTTTATCCACAGAACTCGCTAGATATATCCTCGCTGTTTGAAGATCTAATTAGTTTGTACAGGCGCTCAGTTGACTGGAAATACGTCAATGGCCTACTGTGAGAACAACTGAACCCAAAAGGAATTCCGTATAACTGGTCTTCTAACGAATTCTCAGATGCCCCCCAAATATTCTCTCTTGTCGGAGCGGGTCAGGATAGCCTTCTCATCACAGGCTTCTTTGGTGTCGTTAAGGTTATTTCCTGCCTCTTTTTCCTTCTATTCTTGATCGAGCGGATAGGGCGCCGCGGCTCTCTACTTGCCGGTGCCTTCCTCATGGGATCATATATGGTTATTGTTGCCATCCTCACCGTCAAATTCCCCCCAGATGCAACACAGGGCTTAACCCCCCCTTCTATCGCCTCATTGACGATGATTTATCTTGAAGCGATGAGCTTTAATATATCTTGGGGCCCGGTGCCTTGGGTGAGTACTTTCGTTAACCAGCCAACAGCACGACGCAAGGTCTCAACTAACTATCCGTGACTTAATTAGGCATACATGGGTGAAATATTTCCGAACAGAATCCGGGAGGCCGGCATTGCTATCGGAACATCCACTCAATGGCTTTTCAACTGTGTCTTTTCACTAGCAACACCTTACGCAGTCAAAAATCTTGGCTGGAGGACTTTTCTTATGTTTGGCATCTTCAACTACGCGTTGGTTGTGTTTGTGTTCTTCTTCATTAAGGAGACCAAAGGAAAATCTCTCGAGGAAATGGAAGCATGTAAGTGTCTCCCATGCGAACTTCCATGTGTTAGCACTCTTTGAAAGCCGCGGATTGACAATTTGGCAGTATTTGGTGGTGTCTCTCCGCAGCCTGTTCGCGGACAGGATCCGGCCAGTGAAGACGGACAATATCACGACGTGGAAGAGGATAGCAGCCGGGGAACAAAATGAGACATGAAGACGCAAAAGAAGAAAGAATACAACAAAGCCATACTGCTTGAAAGAGGATAGCTATATCCAGAGCTTTTACCTAAGTTGGGAAAGGAGGGAAGGTGCAGACAAACTAATTTCTTGGTAATATAGCCTCACTTTCTATCGCAATTGAAATATTCACCATAGTTCAAAAATGGATTTGTTACTAGGAAAAAGTGATTTAATTATGTGATTGAAAATTAAGTCTAGCATATGAACTTGGTTTCGTGTATCTCTCCAGGAAACGATTGTTTGCCTCTTTAGTCTCATAATGCCGATCCTGGGGAGCGAGAATAAGATCTCGGTGACAACGAGGCGAAGGTGGCTTGTGGAGAGCCTACGGTGTCGCTCGCAAGCTCGGATGCAACGCCAGTATCATGAAGCTCGTAATACGTTTCGTTTGGGTTATGTGATGGTTGTGCAACATAGCTTGGAGGAGCAGGCGACTTGGCAGACCTGCTGGGTGTCCCTGACACTGGCGGGCCTCCGTAAAGCTCTTTTGGAAGCTCCGTTGATCCTTCAAACTCGCCTACCTGCTCTGTTCCTTGGTTGCGTCGACGAAGAAAGAACCAGGCAGCGAGGCCGATGATTGCAAGGCCGACAACGCCTCCCACGGCGCCTCCCGCAATTGCACCAACAGGAGTACCCGAGGACGAGTTGTCGGACTGGTCACCAGAACTGTCGGTGCTGTTGGTAGTGTTGGTTCCAACGTCTGTATCCCAAGTTAGTGCTCATGTTAAAGGCAGAGAAGCCACTTAAAGACATACAATTCATCATGAAGATGTTCTTGTTCTCTTCGTCGTCCCATATGACATTGGAAAGGGCCCTATTTCGATGGTTAGCGCTATTCACGAGGATCAGGTCGTGATGTACAAACCCCGCATCATAAGCCTTCTTAATCTCCTCTGGCATTTCGTATTCACCCAGATCAGGGTCAAATTCGTCCTTCCACTGAAGCGTATTCAGATCAAAGATTCCCAAAGTGTTGGCCCAGGGATCAGAGCTTTTCCAAGCAGCTGTGCCATTTTTGGCGTCCAAGCCGCCGTATGAAACCATCTGCCTCTTACCAGCGAGTACGCAGGAGTGGAGTTGGCGTTTTGGAGTATTGGGCGGTGTTACTTTGAACCATCTGAATAACGGGAGGGACAGGACGTAAATATCAGAAAACGTTGTTCCTGACTTTTCAATGCCCCCGTAGAGATATCTAACAAGCGGGTTAGTTGCTGCCTTCCGGCTTGAGCCGAGACGTCACGGGTTTTCGCTCACATCTCATATGTCCCGTACTTGCTTCGCACACCAACAGCACAAGCGCTATCTCGCTCCGAGGGGAAGTTTTGGGTAGTCTGAGTCCTCCATCTGTCCGCGATCGGATCGAAGAAGGTGAATTTACTGAATGACCGCTGGGTTTGCGTATTGCGGACAGTGCCGCCAAGGAGGGCGACGAGAGAGTAATCGAGGAATCCCGTAAGACAGACGGCGGCGCCTGATCTATGAGTTGCGCCCGGGATGTTGAGATCAGATGTCGACCTTCTCCACCCCTTGGTGGAAGTATTGAACATGAACATGCCTGACTGCGACTCTTTTGAATCAAACGTGATGGAAGGGCTCGTTCCGCTGAAAGCAATCCCACCAAAAACATACCCGACCCCGTCACAAGATGTCGTCGCTCCATTGCCAGTCCCATTGAACTTGTCTTCTCCGCCGTAGGACTGCCAGGTCCCATCCCCGGTGCTAGTGGAGGGGTTCAATGTCAGGAAGTGCTTGTCATTTGGCGAATACGCCCGGTCGCCAGTCAATTCGCCACCCCATCTATACAATGTGCTTCCTCCTATCCAGAGGCTGGCAAATCTGACTGTCTTTTGGCCCAATATGAAGGGGATTGTCTTGTACTCGATCTCGGAGGGCTTCCAGCGTTTGTTGAGGGGAATATATCGGGTGTTGCTACCCCCTATTGAACCGGCCGTCAGCACTCTATCTTAATCCACCTTGAAGGGTAGGCGGGGGGAGCTTCCAGGGAGCCTTACATCCATCAGCGTCAAGAGCAAATGGTTCACCATTGACTGTTTCTTTCTCCCCCGAGTCGAGATAATATGACTTCTCTCCACCCTCCAGGTAGAGAAAATCGCCCATGTTTACAGCTAGAAAGGCACAGGATGCATTGTGAGCTATGCGCGGCCTTTCAATTTTGTTTATATTCGAAGCGAATAAATCTGGGGTCGGAATTACCATTTTGGAATGCTCGTCGCTGGTACAACTTGCTCGTCTCTCTGGGCTCCAGCGATGGAGTCTCGGTCGCGCCCAGAGAGAACAGGCAGGACAGAAGGAAAAGCAATCGTGTCGGCGTCATCGTGGTCGCTATCCGTTGTCGCTCAACGTCGCTGTTGTCGCCGTCTTCTCCGTTAACATACGACCTTTCGCTGGCCTTCAAAGTCCGTCATGGGGCCGTTCAAACATCGCTTGGGAGAAAAAAAACCGCTGAGAAAACAGGAAATGGAGAATGACGAAAGAGCCAAGTTGGACTGCGAGCGGACAGCAGCGATCATGTTACAACTAGCCCCAGACACGCCAAGCTGCCAAGGCGAGCATCAAATCCGTCCAGCAAATCACCGTCAAGGAAAAGCTACCAAAGTCCCTATGGGATTCACTGCCCCATTCCAACTTGGGCGGCGTAGTCCGAGGCCGAGGCGGATGAAAAAAAAGAAACGTATGTGCGTAGCCAGGTGGGACACATCTGGCGGCTCACAAGCTGAAGAGGAAGGCCAACAACATCTATCTGTCATTCCCCTCTCTCTTTTCCTCCGTTTGCTCCTGTCCTGAATGGTAAACGCAATCATGTGGGAGCATGAAATTGTGGGTAACACGACAGTTGGGATGTTTGGTAGGATCAGCCGATGGTCTCTGGTCTATTATTAAGTAGCAGGGCCGGTGCAAGACAAATGGGGAGGAGCTCGCCGATCCAATTTCGATCCAGTCTCTCTCCCCGCCCGGCTTTAGCTAGTCGTTTCATTCTTACTGGGCTGACTCACTCCCACCTCCACCGTTGTTCTACTGTCCTCGGGCGGTAAGGTATTTGATTCTCCGCGAGCTAAAGCCCACGGGATTCACCGAAGCGCGGTGATCACCAACTTGTCAGCAATAATGATGGCGTATTATGTTCTGATGCCAACGTACTTAAGTTTGCCCTGCTCCGACAGCTCCGGGCGCGACAAGGGAGGATCCGAAGTCTGGCAAATTGCGACACGAGGCCGCTGAAACAGGAAGTAAACTGAGCATCCGTTGTACCCGCAGCTCCTTGCCTAAAATCTTTTAGCCTTGGCTTATTACGAGGTGGTGTCAACAACTCTATTTTGCAGCCAGGGGTATTACTCCGTACATGGTTCTAACCTGTAGCTCGCATCATACTTAGATTGAGCTGCGTGTCTATAACATTTTTATAACTAAACACTATCCTAAAAACAATAGGGATCTTGCGCTCGAGCATGTCGGCGAGCTGACCACAAGCAATATGTTGCGGTCGCTCATAGAGTGCGGCCTTCCCTTGGTCACGAGACGCATGTTCTTGAATTTAGGAGTCGGGCCTGCGTGGGGGAATTACTTGTCTGCCTCTGCCAGTCCCCTTTGCCTTCATGAGATGTGGCAAGACACTGAGAAAGCATCCAAATTCGCGCAGCACTAGAGGAATAACTTGGGGGTCAGATTCTGTAGGAAAACGGAAGCGATTGAATTTGCGAGCCAGGCGACAGCCCGTCTCTTGTTCCTTGAAATCCCATGGAGGAGGTGACACTCATCAAGAGAAAGTGCGCACTTCTTAACACGTGTGAATTTTAAGTAGATGGGATTGCCTCAACTCTGTTTATTAAACAACAATTTAGGCAACATGTGGTCAGTGTCTCCTTGATATAAAATCATTTTACGTACCTGAGGCTTGCTTTCCATACTATACAGTGCCTGCCCACCCAGGTGCAAACTGGAATAATCCATGATTGATCTAGTAAATACTATAGGCCCGCTGTAGTTTCACGATTATCCCCGTCGAGCTTCATACTCTATCTTCAACCAACCGAAGCAAGTCAAAAAGCGCTAATGCCATCGTGCTTCAACGCCGTACCTCTATTCCAACCAACTCCAGGTCCTATATTAGCCCTTATATTCAGCAAGAACCTCCAGCGCCGCTCAGTCCTATCCCAAGTCCTAGCCCGGCAGATCTCATTGCACTCCTTGCATCAATTGGATCTGAAGGCTCCGTCATTCTCTCTAGAACTGCGAGATATTGTTAGCCAGACATCTTAGGAACATAATCGTTGGGTCACACTTGCGCTCTCTCTTGGCCCCTCTGCTCTCGGCCAGTTCATACCACAGCATCATGCACCACATAGCAACCAACGCATCCCTTGTGTTTCTAGGCACGGGGGTTTCAATGGTCAACGTCGGAAGTTGGTTATTATGGCATTCAGTCGCCAGTAGTTTTCCATGCTGATCAAACCATTCCTGCCCACCCTTCCTGTTCTTTGAATCAAAGACGAGCTGTTGCTTGTCCTTTGCATGAAACAGCGGCTTAGTCGCAGAATTTGTGTCCCGACTCAACTTTGCACTAAACCCGGTTCTCTGGAGCTTATGTTTGTTCGCCTCGAGGATGATGTTGCCAAGGGCCTCTGGGGAGGTGGCCGTAACGTAGTACGGTGGCAGATCATCTCGGAAATCTGCGTTGACGGGGTGTACAAGATGGAATATGTGAGTCGTGACAGGGTCACCGTTTGTTTTCTCGGATGCGCCCCACTCAACGCGATGCAAGTGGATTGACGATGAGCTGTTCTTTGGCGGCAGCGCGGTTATGTTGCGGCTTAGTTGATAAAGCGGCGCATCGTCTCCTGTGCTTTCAACGACGATATTCCTTCCATTCAACACCAGGCTGACTGGTTCCACGAGCTCGTGTGAAGCTTGCCCAGTTGCGGCCTCGTAGGATGGAGGGGGCTCGGTGTCTAGAGTTTCGGTTCCCATGATGCTTGGAAAGATGTATAACGAAGTGTGCCAATAGCACGAATATCACGATGTTCTTAGGGATTGGGATCAGGGTTACGACGGAAGAGAGCGAATGCTGCTGGCTTTAGCATTCAGAATGGTGGCAAACTAAACAAGTATCAAGGTGCCGAAGATGAACCCCCCGAATGAGAATGAACAGAAGCAATGGGTGCTTTAAAAGTGTGTGCCAAGTCTGCCCAAGCTCATTGCGTCATCACGGGATCTGTGTGGCTGTGAGTCCGGACTTTGGGATCTGCGTAGATCTGCACTCTGCAGGAAGGAAACGGGATAGTGGGAAGAGGCACAATTTATTAAATACGCGCAATCAGAATTCTGCTCGTATGTTAGGGTCCCTGCTTTACACCTGATGTATCAGCATGATATGCCTTGTATTCAGCTTCTTAAACGACTCCTTGTCCGACTCAGATCCAGGTCAATCAATTTATGAATACAGAGTACCCGGAGACAGCTTGCTTTTATGGTTCTGTAAATACCGTTATCAGGGAATGCAATGAAACCTTTGCTTTGACCTAATGCTGACCGCATTCCAAAAACTCAAAGTTTCTAAACTCAGGATCACACAGCTCCTACTTCGACTCATATCATCCAAAGGTGCTTGACATACCCCAAGTTTAACGACTAAAGCACCTACTTGGAACAGGCGTCGTCAAACTCGGCTCCATCAAACCGATCAGCAATGAAGCGAAGCCACTCAGGTCGAGACGCGGCAATGACCCCAGAATGATCCTGTCCGGGGTAGATGCTCAGGTGAACAGGGTTGCCATACGAGCAAGCGTCCTCGAAAGCGGATATGGTGTTGTTCACGGGCACGTTGACGTCCTTGTCACCATGCGCAACGAGAAGCGGTCGGCTGGCTGGCGACCCTAGTCCTACGCCGTTGATCTTCTGGAACTCCATCGACGTGGAGTCCCCGGAGGCGTCGAAGCTGGCGAGAAGCTTGTCGGGCGACGAGGTGCTAAGGAGGCTCCACATGGCGGTCACACAATACTGGCCCAGTCCTGGAAGCTCAAACAGCTTCTTCGCCTCGTCTGATAGCCAGGTGGGGTCGTACTCGGGGAAGACTGCCTTTACACCAAGATATACGCCAATGATGGCGGGAAGGTAGGAAAGGGCAGAGGGATCGGTAGAATCTCGAAACATGTCGAGGCCAGACAGCACCTGTTTATGGGTCTGCGGGGCAGCTGGAGCCATGGCGACGCCTCCTAGATAACCGCTCTTGCGGTCTTGCACAAGCTTGTGTTCAGAGAGCTTCCAGACAGCAGAGCCGCCCTGGGAGTGCCCAAAGGAGACCCATTCGTTTGTCAAGCGGTGCGGAAATGCCGACTTGGCGGCCAGGACAGAGTAGATCACGTCGTTGGCATGGGCGGCATTGCTGAGATACTTGTGGTTCGTGTAGTTGTTTCCCAGACCAGTATAGTCAGTCGCTACAACGGCATATCCGGTCGTCTCCCAGCCTTGATAGCTGGGCATAGCATTGGATACAGAAGGCGCACAGCCCCTGAAAATCCCAGTGGTGCCGTGAGCAATTGCCACGAGCTTGTATGGCTCCGCCGCCTCAGCTAATGGAAACGCAATGAACGCAGTGGCGGGGACGAGCGACCCGTCCAAGTCTTCAGACGTATACTGCATTTTGAAAACGGTCGTGCCCGGCTCGACGTTGATGGTAGAGCTATCGACGAGGTCGAGCTTGAGGACATCTCCAGGCTTGGAGGCTGTAAAGTTCGCCGCTGTACTGTAGAACTCAAAGTCAAACTCGGTTCCGAATATCTGTAGGTCAGCAGCGTTTGCTTGGGCGACGGCGGCTTGACATTCGGCATCGCAGGCATGTTCCTCCATCAACTCAGGGGGAAGGTCAAAGTTGGAGGCTTGCTCGGCCTTTGTGAGGCCAAGGCAGAGCGCCGTGGTAAGAAGCAGAGAATGGCGGAGCATTGCAAATGGTGATGGCTGATTGAAAGATGCGCTGAATTGAATGAAGAGTGAAAGGAATATAGTTCTAGACAAAGGGTTGAGCACTGAGCTTGTTTATATATGTTTCTTTCGACAATATCGACTGAGTTAGGAGTATTGAACCTCGGAAATTTTGATGAATCGTTTTTGCTGACTGCCCATGGAAAGTAAATGTTTCAATCTGGTCCCCTCAACATCGGCCATTCTAAGAAGCCGCAGATGGGCAGGGGACACTCTAATGGCGCCTTGAAGGGAAATGATAATCATGACCCTTGCTCGGGGCATAGGACCCTGTTCGGATCAAGCTCAGCCCCCGAGCAAAATTACCGTTTGAGCAAACAAAGACTCCGATCTCTCTTACCATTAAGCCTCTCTAAGAAGTCAAAGGCCTACCGGATGATCCTGTTCTTACATTAACGCCCGCTTCCTCCCAGAATCTCTTGCCGCTTTACTGGAAAATGGTCTGTGGCCCATTCGACAACCGGCGAGGAGGCCACTGTTGCGTCAGCTGCCGAAGAGCCCACAAGCGGGTAAGTATTTACACCTGTCCAAAGGGGAGTGTACGGTGAACTGTTTCTTATTGATTCTGTATGCAGTGCGATGGCACTCCCGGAAAGAGTTCATGCTCCTATTGTATGGCCCGGTTTCTCAAATGCTCCTATTCCACACGGCGGACAAGGGAAGAGATCAGGTTGGAGTTGGTGCCAGTCAAGCCACCCACTCCTCCCAAGGTAATTATTCTTCCGTCCTGGAAACATAAAACCGTGTGTTTCGAAGGCGCGTTTGGGGATCTGCCACAGTTCTCCGTCTTATGGTCCGACGCCATGGTAGCATTGAGCCAACAAGATCATGGTGTCAGCAGAGTCATTGAGCTTGCCGGAGAGGTGCACATGATCCGAGCAAGCGGGCCATTCGAGCTCGAGAAGCAACGTACAAGGTTACGGAACCTTGCAGATGAGCAAATGGAAACATGTGCCCGGCAGATGAGATACTACTTCAAGGTCAAGACATGGGCTAGTGGGCCCATAGCCTGCGCGCTGATTTTGATGGCGGTAGATGTAAGTGGTTGCCTCCCCCTATCTTTGCAGACCCAACACAGGACCGAGCATGACCCTGTCCTTTTGTTTATTATTATTTGTCTTGTGGGCAATACTGACCATTCTCAGGCAGTCTTAGACAAGTATTTCGATCCAGTCGCATCGCTGATGCCAACCATTTCCGGCTTCGTTGACGAGACGCTGAAACGTGGTTCGGAGTTATCCCCCTTTGATGAAGACCTGATACGACTTGTACAGTTGACAGATTCTGTAAATGCAGTTTCACGGTCGGTATACCCCTTTGGCTCTAACTTTACCACCCGATCCTTCTTAGGCGAGATCCCTTCGGCATCCCACACTAATGCCACTATACCTTCGCCCCTGAACAACAACGATGTCGACTACATACTGGTAGCGATGTGGTGTTGGGGAAATCTTCAAGGGAGGTATGGAAGCTAACATATAAACCCCGAATCAAACAGTCCGCTAATCAATTTGACAGGATGTTTGACTGGGTCTCCGAAACTATAAATCGCCCATCCACCCAGCTAAGCGCTGAGCAGAAGGTCAGAGGATTAGAAATCGTGTGCGAAGCCTCATCACTACAGGTGAGATTGCTCCAATGCTTCCTGCAGCTCGGCAGAATCTCAGAGTCAAGCTATCAGCTGCTCGCTCCATACAGCTACTGGGTCCTCATCGGCATCTCTCAGCTGCTCGGGCACGAGAGCTGGAAGTTGCTCCAGTGTGGCCTCCCAGTCATGGCACGGGACCAACTGCACAAATACGCGCTGGAAAATGTGGGCTGCATCACTACCATCGTGAATCGGACTGGCTTGCTGAATGGCGTTATAATGCCGTTGGTGTTCTCGATGGGGTTGGAGATGGTGTCTTACAAGGACCGGAGGAGGGTGCTGGACATTCTGGACGAACAACAGGCTCGAAACTTTGGTCTTTCTGGGCTTTTCCGGAGAGCACTCTTGGATGCATATGCAGGTCAGGATTTAGGCAAGCAATATATGGTGCGTAGTATCAAATATTTACCAGGGACCTGATTCACCACTTGTTATACCAACCGGTGATGTTGATTCAGATTGATTCACTTTGAAACCTGGTTTGGTCAAAGGTACGGGATACATCCTTTTCTGCACATGCGTTATTTGCGATCTAGATGGACGAGGCTATAATGGGTGATTCCCTTGGCTAAACATCTGTTTTGGCTTTCCTCATTTGATAGTGTGCATGAAGCAAAGACCTATTGCGTAGCACGTTGAGAAATGAAGATAATTCAATATTCACTTCAGCATGTTTGACTAGAAGATACATGACAGTCTTTGTCACAGTAAATACGATCGATTAAACAAACTTTATTAGAGGTGTGTAGTTTTATGCTTATGTACAGGTACCCAATTACTATCATATGTATGGTAAGCTAAAGTTATAAATTAATATTTGTGCCTTAAAAGCTGAATAAAGAGTTTCTAGGCTGAAACAGGAAATAAAAATGAGAGCCTCTGGGAGTCGCTGGTTTTGGACGACTAGTGGAACTCAACATCACAAAGGCGCCCAGTGGCAGTGTCTGAACTGGCTGTAGGGTGGGATTGACAGGCGGTGGGTTGTCAACACCAATACAACAGGGTAAAAAGATCTAATCTGAAATAGGTAGTGAGAACGAGAATGCTTGATTACTACCACGTTGGGCTAGTGGGCGAAGAGGCGAACAAGCGAATGCTGTCACGAGATAATCCTATATATGCATACCATCCATTCACCTCCACCCCAATGTTCGACAAGAGCAACCTAACGATATCGAACACAAGGACCGATAATGACGACTCGAGACGGGTTCTTTCTCCAAAATGAGAACGACTTACTCCAGCAGGGCTTGAGATGTGCAGGAGCCATTAACCCACTAACAAACGTTGGTGGCAAGAGATCACGTGTCTACGATGTCATCGTCATTGGTGCCGGATACTCTGGATTGACTGCCTGCCGAGACCTTTGCATAGCTGGTGGGTGAACCTGTTTTGGACAATAGTGGCTGTACTAATGCATCGCGGCTGATAGGGTTCAACGTCCTACTGCTCGAGGCTCGTGATAGGATCGGTGGACGAACTTTCACGGCAGAAGTCGACGGTCACTTGTACGAGATGGGTGGCACCTGGGTCCATTGGAACCAGCCTCATATCTATCGAGAAATGTGCCGCTATAGCCTGACTGAGCTGTTGCTCAGCCACGACAAATCTGTTGGTGTCAATTACTATACAGCGTTCCTCAACGGCAACCGTCAGATCATTGACCATGAGAAAGCGGTACTGGCACCCCTCTTTTGCATGTCATGAAGTGTGGAATTGTGCTAATAAAATGAAAAGCATGCCATGACCGAGAAAGCCTTCCGAAAGCTCTGCGACGTAGATGGTAAGCTGGGACGAGAGGTCATGCCGTTGCCACATGATCCGCACTTCAACCCCAAGGCCAAGGCGTGGGAAAAGATGTCGGTCGCTCAGCGGCTGGACCAGATCCGGCATGATGTCACCGAGGATGAGATCACCCTCCTTCAAGCTCGCCTGTCTTCGATCTATGGAGCTGATATGGACAAGGCTGGGTTTTTCGATGTCCTGAGGTGGTGGGCGTTGGGGGGATATACCATGGATGGCCTCTACGAGACTGGAGACGAGTTCAAGCTTCCGACTGGGCAGTCGAGCTTCGCACGATGCTTTTTTGATGAAGCTCTCAAGACGCAAAATCTTGCATACTCGTTCAACACCGCTGCGGAGACTATCGAAGACAAGGGCGATCGGGTCATTGTCAATCAGCACTGGGAAGCGAAACGGCTGATTTGCACTCTCCCGCTCAACCTGCTCGAACATGTCCGTTTCGAGCCGCCTCTGAGCGCTGCCAAGATGGCGGCGGCCACTCGTCCTGGAAACATCAACCATGGTGCAAAGGTCCATCTTGAAGTCCAAGGCGACGCACTTCGATCTTGGTCTTCTGCATCCTTCCCGGTCACAAGGGCCTGCAGCGCATTCGGAGACGGCACGACCGCCAGAGGAAACACGCACGTTGTCAGCTTCGGTGCCAACAAGTCATTCCCAACCCCTGAAGAGGATGCCAGAGACTATGTAGCGGATTGCAAGAGGCTGCACGACATGGATGTTAAGAAGACGGTAGGCTCTCAACGACTCACGTCATATTCTTAATGCTTTAAATGCTGACCATGACATCTTTTTTCTCTCTTAGATCTGGCATAATTGGAGCACTGATCCCTACTCGCGAGGCTCGTGGTGCATGTATCCGCCAAACTATAGCTTTGAACACCTTTCCACGCTGCAGAAACGGCAAGGAAAGATCTTATTTGCAAACTCTGACTGGGCTATGGGATGGCGCGGATACATTGACGGGGCCATCGAACGAGGCGGATTGGCCGCCAAGGAGGTTTCTGAAGAAGTCTTCTCGTCCAAGATTTAGTTTGAATATCAGAGCTACTTTAATCCTCAAACTTGCCATATAGGGAACACGCAACATGCTCGGGAGATTACCACGCCGTGTGTTATGACTGCCCAACCACTCTCTAGGAGCCCGAACTAATCTATACCTATAACTTGATAGAATATCGTGGTGTGACGAAGGTATTCTTTTCGGTGGCATTAAGTTTAAAATTGTTCCAGACTCAAAAAGTCTTGCCTAGATCGTGTAGACCAATTTTGTCCCACGGACCTTTCCTTGTCGAAGCTCATCAACTCCTCTGATCACACATTGCAGTCCAGCACCAAACTTATTTACCGTCGGCTTTATCGGATGAAGGCGCCTTTGCTCCAGGAGTCCGTGTACAATGTCTACGAACCTGGCCGAGAATTCCATTTCTTCTATGTTGGCGGCCATGTGATTGCCGCCAAGCTTCCAGGATTCACCAAAGGAGTTATAGGCGGCTGTGAGAAGAGGCCCATGTGCAAGCGGGTTGGTCTCTTTCAGCAGCTGCTCATTGATGGGGTAAAAGATGGTACAGAACAGACTGGGCTCGACACTGCTCAGGGCCTTTCCGCAGATCACCTCGCCTCCTCCGGCGCAGTCGAAGGCGAGTTTGAGTTTGTTTTCTGTCAGCGCGCGGATCTGTTCGCCGCACTCAGGGGAGCGGTAGTCAAACACTGCGTCAGCGCCTAGCGCTTTGACATTCTCGAAGTTGTAGGGTGATGCAGTCGCAATGACGTACAGCCCGGATGCCTTGGCGAGCTGGATGCCGAGGGTGGCTGTGGCTGTGCTCCCACCGTGGATGAGGATGGAGGTCGGATGCTGAACTTTTGCTGGTGGTAGTGGCAGCTGGAGATGTTTATATAACCCAAGACCCTGTTTAACCAAGTCAAAATCGCTTGACATTCTAGAGTTTTGTTGATGGAAATGTGGACCAAAAACGTACGCATGTTATCATGCCAGCCCCAAGTGTGGATGCTTCGATAAAGTCCAAGTGATCCGGGATTTTGATCTGAATACAGGCCTTGGCGGTGATGAGCTCGCCAAATGCGCCATTGTCATGGTTGGTAGCATCTCTATAAACTTTCTTGTCAGTTGAGTCTGAGCACATCAGCATGTTAGAGGTGGCCTACCCTCCGTGAACAAATCCAGCAATTCTGTCCCCTTTTTGAAACTTAGTAACCTTGCTGCCTACCTCATAAACGATCCCCGCGTAGTCATATCCTAACCTTGACCCAGCGTCTGCGTCTCCCCAGTCAATCTTCTTGAAGTCAGCTGGGTTAAGAGCCACGGCCTTGACCTGAACTATGACCCATTCGTCACGCAGCTGAGGTACTTTGACGTCCTCGACGGATATCGTTTTGTGGTCTGAAACGACGATGGCCTTTGTAGTCGGCATATCTGATGTATGGCGTGTGGAAGAGTTGCGGATGCCTTGAATCTGGAGAAGAAGAAAGATGAGATTCTTTTATTCAAGTAAACAAAGCGACCTTCTAGGATTGAATACCTCAAGTGCAATACGTAGGCTTTGTAGAAAGCTTAAATACCGCTGCAATTGTCCCACCAAGCGGCCGATGGTAGAAATGATTTGATGCTTATAAATCTAGTTGAACAATCGAAGCTGCGCCAAGATTTATTCCAGTCGCTTGATCATGCGTGGAGGTGAAGAATTCCTGTGGCCCACGGAGTTTGCGGTCCAATCATTCAAATCCGTGGAAAAAAGGTCCGTGGAAAATATCCAGGTTCAACGCACCAGTACTTGATTACCATGACTCGGTTTATCGCCTCTCAATCATCCCCAAAGAATTGAGAATGAATTTTATCACATCTTAAATAATGGCAATTGGAGAAGTTAAAATGAACCATTATTCTCATTTCATCTATGGATGTGATACACTGCCCTGTTCCTGGCCCAACGCACAGAAACGAACTGCGAGCGTCCGATAAAAAAACCAACAAAGATAGGTCTTTCGCTCGCAAAAGCCTCTGAAGTCTCCTTTTTTCAACGTAAAGTACTCGAAAAGCGTGTGCCGATCAAGTCTTGGAACTACCTAGTTGGGTGGGCTATGGGGGCATGTGAAGCATATCCTGGATCACGAAGAGGATATTCTCACCTGGCTAATGCCTCTCGAACCCTGGTCGCAATGATCTCGACGTTGGCAGGATCATAATCCGCGAGGACGCCTGCTGTGCGATGATGGCTCTTGTTATCGGAAGATCCAACGTGCTGTAAACGAAGCAACTTGAGGACTCGTAGGAATTGTTGTCTAATCCAGTACACTTGGCCTCTTCTTAAGAAACCAACCAACGAACCGCAGGGGCTTTCATCAGCGAACACGTCCACCAGGTGAATGAGAGTATGCAACATTTGCCATGAGCCCTGAACAATTGCATGCCTCCGATGGTCGTCCCTGGTCATGAAATACTTGCTTCCAAGGTATATTGCGTAATGAACATCAGTTGGGTCCAGATCATGGTAGCTGGGGAACTGAATGTTTGCGTCCCCGAGGTCAGAAAGAGCTATCGGGTTGAGAAGGTTGCCGAGATGAAAGGGAACACTATTACATATCGAGTCAACTAGGCCTCGAATGAGATTCTGACCTTCATCGTGATCGGCAGGTTCCATCGAGATATCGGAGGGGATTAATTCAATATCGCTACTGCGGACAACCAGTTCAGGGAATTCGGCAAGAAGTCTGAGTCTGATTCTTAGAAGCAAGACTCGGTAGACCCGCCAGACGTTCCAAATGGCCGCAATCTGAATGTTGGGATACACATCAGAAAACCCCTGGAACGTATCAATGGTATCGTTGATATGTTTGCCTGTTTTAACGCTTCGTGGGTGCCAGTGGTTGGGCACCGCGTGTGGCCACTGCTGGAGTTGCGCCTCCGCATGCCGGATGCTCTCCAGCCATTTTACGATGCTCGATGTAGAAGCCGTTACAGCCGGGTCTCCCGATAGAAATATAGAAAACTTGTGCTGATGGTTCGCGACGGACACACCAATCGTGTCAAGCATTGTGCTTGGATTCGCTGGTAGGATGGCTGGGTTATCCATACACGCGATTTCAGCAATTGGGAAAGGCTCTTTCTTCCGAATGCAAGCAGAAACTTCAATATGAAGCACTTGTGATATCAGGTACCCGTGATTATCTGACTTGGTCCCATCAAGTTGCTGCTGCCTAAGAAGAGCCAATGCACCATTGCGATGAAGTCCAGATGGCTTGTGCGAATTCCATGTGGCAGAGAGACGTTCGTAACGCTGGAGCAGGAGCGCAGCCAAAATGGTGCCTTCACGGCTCCTCTGAACCGGGTCTTGAATTGCTGACCGAAGACATGCATTTGCCTCTGACAGGATTTCTACCGGCGAGGACGCTGAGGAACCATGAGCCATCGACCAGAACTGCAAAGCAGCTACGTTCAATGCCAGGGGGAGCGGGGAGCCCGGACTCTCTACCGCGAGAGCCGGAACCAACACTTCAAGAAGGCCGCGTGTCGATTCGAAATCGCGGCCCAAGACCGCAACGTGCGCGAGGAACGTGGAGACAGCCTCGGTCTTCACATTCTCGGTCACCAACAACAGTCGCTGCTTCAATGGAGAAGGGCTGGGCGGTGTAATATCCACGAGCACCGGGTGGCGTTTTGTGCGGATTCGTACGCTCTGTTGCCGCTTGCCCTTGTTCTTGATCTCTGGGACTTGAAACCTCAGCCGCAAGGGCTCTTCAGTGTAGCCTTGGCACCGATAACCAAGACGTGAACATTCGCGGCATAACGGCTTCGCCTCGTCGCACCTGACGCGTCGCTGCTTGCATGTCTTGCACCCAGTCGATCGACCGCGATTGACCATGTTGTAGCGGGGGGCAAAGGTCAGACAGGAAAGTGAGGTTGATTGAAATACTGCCGAGCTCGAAATGGGACAACTTTGCGATGAAGGATGGCGCGTGCCTTTTAAATATTTTAATAAATACCCGCTCTGCTGACGGGCCCACAAACCGGCGATCCGAGCCTGATTGACCTGCCAGAGGCGCAGTGCCGATTATGCATAATGACTCTCCTCGCAGAATAACCCCCTAATTCGGTATCGCCAAACCATCATCTTCGTCATCGCCAGTGGGGCAATGGCAGAATACGCCAAATCTCACGGGAGCACTACCCGCACAACAGAGAACTCTCGGTATAAGCACATATTTGAATCTCCAGCTTTATATGTATATACATATCAATAGACATATATAAATGTAGAACTATTCGCTCAATAAACTGAATATCCTTCACTAAACCATCACAACATCATCATTCTCTGTTCTTACCAATAAATTCAAACTGACAGTTATCAATATGAAATTCTCTCCAGTTGCGGGCGTTGTAGCCGCCTCGGCCTTTCTAAGCGTTTCCAGTGCAGAAGAGCAGCAGACGGATCCAGTGCTTCTACTGAGTACAGATTCAGCTTTCCACGCCGAAATGCTGGGCGGTATGGGTTACGCAATCGGCGGCGGAGCTGATATCTCTCCCATACTTGCTGCCGCTAAAGACGTGGTTCCAGGAGATTTCCAGCAATTCGCTGATGTATTCTCCAAGCTCGCCGAGGAAACCAAAAGTCAAGCCTTGGACCCCGATAATGCATACGACCCTGTCAATGTACGAGATACCTGGTTCTCGACCGCAAACTATTTCAGACGGGCCGACATGTTTCTCCATGGCAACTGGTCAAACCCGGCCCTCAAAATCTACTGGGATGAGCAGCTAAACGCCTTTAATCAAGGAATCGCTGCACTGCCAGTTCCTGGAGAGCGCATCCAGATCCCTGCTGATAACTTTACCGTTGAGGCGATTTGGTACTCTGCATCTTCCGACAACTCGACCAAGCGGCCTACATTGATCATAGGAAATGGATTTGACGCTGCACAGGAGGATATTTACCACACTCTCGTGGCGCACACGCTGGCTCGTGGATGGAACGCTCTCACCTACGAAGGCCCAGGACAGCCTACAGTCAGGAGAAGTCAGAATCTGGGGTTTATCCACCAATGGGAGCGTGTTGTTACGCCCGCAGTTGACTACCTTCTTGAAAATAAGAGCTCGGAGGTTGACACGGAGCGGCTTGCTCTTTTTGGTAATTCCTTGGGTGGCTATCTTGCAGCCCGGGCTGTCGCGTTCGAGCCCAGAATCAAGGCCGTGATGCTGAATGGTGGCGTTTATGATCTTCACGAGGGCTATACATCGCAACTCCCGACTGACCTAGCGGAGCTCTATCACTCAGGACAGAAAGACTCATTCGATGAGGCTGCACTGTCGATTCTCGATGACAGCAATGTGTCAAGCCAGCTCCGGTGGGGAATTGAGTATGGACTGTGGGCTTTCAATGTCAGATCGCCATATGAGTTCCTCCAACTGACCAAGCAGTATACTGTCGAAGATATCCTTGGCCGCATTAAAGTTCCCGTGTGGATAGCCGACTTTGAGTTTGAAGGTATCTTCATCGGACAGCCGCAAAAGGTCAAGGACGCCTTGGGTGACCTGGGAACTCTGCAAACATTTTACGGGTCCGCCGGCTACCACTGCCAACCTGGCGCCTACATGGAGATGAACCGTGCCGTTTTTGCGTGGCTTCACAAGACGCTTGGTTAATGGTATCTGCGATGTTCTGTTGGAATAATCCCCCCGAAGCGGTACCCTGCTACATCAGCTGATAAAGACAAGGGGATTCTCTGCTGGCCTCGAAACAAGTGATAGACACAATTTGATATCGAATATCCCCATAAGTCTCGGAGTTAACTCAAGAAAATATTCACGGGAGATTCTAGCTTAGCCTTCTATATGTTTCTAAATAAAAGAGACTTGGGCTCTTTCCGATAGATGTGTATAAGCACACATCGCCCTGAGAGAAACCAAATCAGATCTCGAAATACACATCCGCTTATTTACAGTGATGATATAATGGTTCCACGTAGCCTGTTCTTGTGACCACCCTGCTTTTAGAGGTATTCGTATGTGTATCACTGAGGCCTAAGAAGCTGTTCTCACACAGAAGCAGTCGCATATCAAGAACGGAATTGTGTCCAGAGCCGCCCAGCCAGGCGAATATGAAATTTGGATGCTTCAGGTTAACCCGCAAACCCATTGGTGATTATACTGGCCCTGTAGAAAATAAGGGCTGAGATTGACTGGTTGAATTGGTGCTAACGAAACTAAGGTCTCTTGGTAATCCTGACTACTTTGGGTAACCTGAGCTTCGCGGAAGAGTCGTCAGAAAACTGGCATAGCCACAACTCATACTACGATCATACAGAACGTGGGTGCACTTCGCCAAATGCAGACGAAAACTCCGGGTCATTTTATCCACAGCGAGGAAAGTTATTGCTCAGTAGAGGCGTAGAATACTTACAGTGCTCATGGCTAGGCACCGGATAAGATAGGCCCTGGTTAGATGGGAAGAAATAGGAACTCTGAGGTGGGCCTGCCAACCACGAATGAGAGACTCCAGCGGCGTGCTTATTGGTGCTGAGCGGGTCGTTGTAAGGCAAAAGGATGCTAACGATCAGAACGCCTAGAATATGGAACACTGATGGATTGCGTGTTCGATATCTACGGTAGCGGACGATCTCTAATCGTACTTTTCTGGTTGATAAGGCAATGTAATCGGGACCATTGAAAGCAGAGTCAGCTTGGATAAAGAATGATTAATTATCTAAGAAATGACCTTTGCATTGATTAGAAACGAGTTTTGGATTGTCAGCAGATCTGAAAGTCACTACACCCTGAAACAAGACACGTTGGTACTCCTTGAACGGACCTGAATTCTTCCAGTTTCTGAAGCTAAAAGCATCGTGTTGGGGGTTCCCGCCAACCTTCACGACTACTTCATTGGTCAGTTAGCGAGATGAAGATCTGCCACGGAAAAAAAACCTAGATTCAGTAAGGTAGAGAAGTGGAGTCTTCGCCTACTCAGATGAGATATTTATTTAGTGTTTCTGACACAATCAACATGGCATTCTTAGAGGCAGAAGTTGCGGAGTTGCGGAGCGGAGCGCAAAATGGCGCCTCATTTGGAGTAATGAGATCTGCAATAATAGAAGCTCTGTTATACTGGGTCAACTAACAACCTTGAAAACCACAACTAAGTGTTCAGCCGAAACGCAAGGCGGTGTATCAACAGGTATTGTACAGGGATGGCAAGACTTGATCCCTCTCAAACCCCTGGTCATCGACAGATGCCAGGCGGAGTTTACGCCTGGCCAGCAAACCCTCCGCCGGGAACTTGTGGCAATAGACAAGTGAAACGGGCCAATAATGGAAGAGGTAGTGTGGCTTGAAATGTAGAAAAGGAAGACGAAAAGAACCAGAAAAGAATAAATTTCTTGCTTGTCCGCTAGAAATCTAGACTCGCAAGTGCCGTCCCAGTTGACTTCTATTGTGTTCCCCTTCAACTAAATATCATTTCTTCCTGCCCCCAGCAACGTCTTGTCAGACCTCACAACCACCACAATGCCTGTCGTCCCAGCCAATGGCCTCATTCTCGTCACTGGAGTCAACGGCTTCGTCGCCAGTGTGCTCGCAAAGGTTTGCCTAGACCAAGGTTACTACGTCCGTGGTACCGTCCGCTCTATTGCGAAGCATCAACCCCTTCTCTCTACTTTCGGCCCCAAATTCTCCCTCGTCGAAGTCCCAGACATATTTGCGGACAATGCATTTGACGAAGCAATCAAGGGCGTAGATGGAGTGGCTCATGTCGCAGCAAACACCCAATTCACACCCGATCCATCACTTATTGATGAAGCCGTCAAGGGCATTACCAACTTACTTGCCGCTGCAGCCAAGGAGTCTAGTGTGAAACGGGTTGTTGTCACATCCTCCAAAGCATCGTGCATGTATCCTAAACCAGGCATCCCCTACCAGCTCACACCGGAAACCTATAACCAAGAGGCAATGGAAGAGTTCAAGCTTCCCTTCGATGGGAAGAACCCATTGTGGCGCGGTATGGTCATTTACTGTGTAGCTAAGGCAACCGCTGAGCAGAAGGCATTCGAATGGGTGCGTGAGAACAAGCCGCAGTTTGTCCTCAACACGGTCGTGCCCAACCTGAACTTTGGAACTGTTCCTGCACTTCAGCATCTGGGATTCATAAGCAGTAGCTCGCTCATCGAGTCTGCGGTCCGTGGTATAGCGGTTGGGCCGGCAATATTCACTTCCGAGTGGTTCGTTAACGTCGAGGACACTGCTCTTCTCCATCTTGGGGCTCTGACGCTGGAGGAGGTCCAAAATGAGCGTATCCTTGCTATGGCAGGGCCCTTTTCGTGGACCAAGATTTTAGAGATCATTCAAAAGCTATATCCCGAGCGCGAGTCTATCTTAGCTTCCGTCGACGAGCCAGCAGTCGACATTGGACACGTGGATAATGGGCGATCCATTGAGATTCTTCGCAAAATGGGCAAAGCAGGGTTTAGGGATTTGGAAGAGACAATTGTCGCTAACATGCTGTCGGTTATCGAAGCTGAGTCGCTCCCAACAAAACCGTCGAGCCGAGCAGACGATCTGGTTGCTGCCATGGCAGCATCAGCTCAGGCATAAGATTCCTATGAGGATATCGAGTTATGCAAATTGTGATCAATGCCATATATAAAGCTGTCATATAGCTGAAGAGGATAATTGAAGACAAACGAAAAACCCAGGGCCTCAATCAAACCGTAGCTCAAATCCATTCTTGTATTTAGCAGTCACAGTGGGTTAGTTGGACACACTGGTGTTGACATGTCACATGGTCGCACGTTTATCACTCTATACATTTCTAGGCATATATCATTAAGTAAATCGATGGATGAGTAAAATTTACGATGAACATTGGAGATGGTCAACACCTCCATCCAAAAAGTGACCAGATATCAACCAGACCATTTGTAGCGTCTCTTCACTGGGGGGTTAACGTAAGATACTCCCACACGACTGCACAGCTATATTGCAACCACTCAGGATACAACATTTCTGGCTCCTCTGATACTTGCTGGGTATCTGACTCTCGCTTGGACGGCCTATCTGCAAGTTCCGGGTCATCTGTAGTAAACGACTCCCGTACCAGCGAGAGCGTGGCCACTCGTTCACAAGCCTCCTCAAGCGTCATTTCTTCGACTGTTTCGCGCCAGAGTCTAGTCTTGACCTTGGTGTCAAGATGCGTGCTGGGCCGGCAGAATACTGGCGGCCAGGCTTCATACTCTTCAAAATCAGTATCGCTTGATGTAGAGTCTGTCCACGAACTCTCACTCATCCGCCTGTCAAAGTGACGGCGATCTGACTCGAGCTTGAAATTTGCACTCTTTTCATTACATTGCTCCTTGTCGTCGCAGCGGTTCTCCCACTGGGAAATAAGTTTTTGAACGGGAGAGCCTGGGTTGACCATCAGTGCTGAAGACCAAGACATCTATCTTTTGGTTGATGTGATTTTACCTGGCATTGGGATTGGGTTATGAAACTTGGAAGAATCTAGAATGGACTGCGAATCTTGGGAGAAGGACAACGGGATAGCCTCGATTGGGTCCAGCCACAGGCAATTGAATTGATAATGAGACACCAGCTCAAGTATGAAACGAAGAGAATCTTTCAAATGAGAGGAAACGAAAAACTGCCAGAGTTTTAAAATATCATTGTTGAAGATGCAAGTGCGAAAGGGGAGGGAGATGTGACACTTATGAATTCATCCCCTCAATTGATCGAGTGGTAGATGATCCCTTTCAACGGATGCGAGACAGCCGCCATGTCCTTTTCATGATCGCGAGACTCGTTCGGTAAATCGTACGAGCGGCATGGGATGGATCCAATTGAGTGGGCTTGGAGGCTGGTTCGCCGTATCGCTTCGTTTCAGTTGGCCCAGGCGCTAAGCGTCACATCTGCAACCGCCAACCGTGCATGTGTGTCACAGAACAGGTTCCATCCAGCCAGTCAGCAGCAGTCACCGAGATGGAGCGAAGCGTATCATGCAAGTCATAGGCCAGAACCCTCTGCTGGGGTATTGCCTAGTCTCAGACGTCTCGGACTGGTCGCTCGCCGTAGTAGGCCGCAGCATTATACTGTAAGAAACATTCTCTTTCTATGATTCACGCGTAGTATTGACCCCTGACCGATTGCTTGGCCGAAACCTCCGGCAGGCTTCTCCCTCCTTTTGGTTGGGTTTATTAGACGGCCCCCTTTCCCAAGCATCGCTCGATTATCTGTATCTCTGTAAATGCTCACTCATTCTCTTTCACTTATTTATTATTACTTTTACTCTTCTTCCCTGGCTTATTCAGAGGGATCATTCTCTGGACGTCTAGCTAAAGTGCGTATACCCCATTCCAGGGGGAGCTAGCTGCATGGGCCAGGACAGCGCATCTCAGCGCGTATTGAAATACCTTGGTCTCAAGCGAGACCGAATCGAAATCAGGATTTGCGTGCGACCGACCAAAGAATGAAAGCATATATCATTTTTATCTTAGGAAATATTACATTGATCATCAGGTCATGTGGAGGGCTTTTTATTTCTTCTTGGAATAAGCGCGATCGTTGTTTTGCGATTGCGATATCTGGAGGCTTTTTCGTGCTCATTAGTCAGATGGTCATGGAAGACTATGGATAGGCTGATTTCCATAGGTAGAATATGGTGCATACCTTCTCTCAAAGCGTTGATTTCCGAGTGCACTTTACGATGCTGTGGTTCCACGCCTATCCAACGATATTAGATACTTCTAACATTTGATTTTTCACGATTGTATCGCAAAATGCATTTCTTCAAAAGGAACAGTGGGAGAAATTCCGTTACAGAGGCAGATGATTGCCTCGTAAAATGATGAGAAGAACTAATATTTCCAATTGACGGCATATCGTGAAGACTAAGGCCTACTAAAGACACCAGAGCGTAAGCTCTGAATTGATTGTCGCAGAATGAGAGATCGCAAAACTGGGCATTAAAGACATAGAATATTATCTTATAGTGAGCTCTCAGTAGTAAACTATGGATAGCTGAGAGTTTCCTCGACAGAAGGGCGTTGCGACGTGATCATTTAGACTTCCTTCTTAGTCTTAAACCGGTTTTCGAACTTTGAAGACCCTGATGTACTTTCAAAACAATGCACCCTCTAGAAAGCTCAAGCAGCATCGACCCGTTTTTGACGGTGTCTAGTTACATTACAAGAAAATCGAGGATAATTTCAAGATTCCTACTATCACAGAGGAGCGTGTTCAGGATTCTTCTTGAATTGCCAGTAGTCGATGATTTCCTTTCTTGAGAGAACGCATGATTGAATGACGATTTACAATGCGGCAAGTCTCCATACAGCCTGTCTGCTAGATGATTAGGAGTCAAGTAGCTGTTGTTATTTGTCTTCAAAATTCAGACATATTCAGTCATGGACAATATGCCTCTCTATAAACCCATAAACCCCCACATAATGCCATTTCATAGAACATCAATTCCCTGAATAAACTCCAGCTTCTCTCATTCTCTCTATTTTAAAGCCGCCTTCGCCAGCCTACGCAGTCGCCCATATATCTAATTAACCCGCCAAACTTGGGTACCCTTTTGTCCAGCAATCAATTAGTCCAGATTTACACTACTCTTGATATCACCACCTTCGCGAAAAGCAGACCCAGCTTTCATCACCACAACTCTCGTTGTCACAAGAGCGGATGAGAGTTCGAGGACAAAGTGAAAAGAGCAATGAAAGATGCCTGACCCGACATCTCAACACAATGAATATTTGTCACAAGAGCACAACGACGGTCGCGACCGCCGCAAGCACACGTTGACATGATAGGGACCATGATTCGTTCGTTACACGTACACTCAAATCAACGACACCTCATATATGTGAACACAAGGAATCTACACTTAGGTGCGGTATGATTAATATATGTGTATATTCCTACAGATATAACCCCCACAATATGAAGCTGGCTAGGCCTACTAGGAACGCAGGGCCGAAAGGGGCTTGATCAGACTATTAGACTAAGGCTCTAGCTACGAACTATCTTTGAGTTTAGGGACTAGCTCATTGAGCTGTCTCGAGACAGTCGCTTATAGATAGCGAAAGCTGATCTAGATACTGAACGAGATTTCTATTCAACAGATGACTGTACGCTGTGGCCGGTGTTCCTTCGTAAGAAGGTAGAGTTAGTTCCTATAGCGAGGCGAGGAAAACCAGGGCAAGGTGGAACCTTGCTGGCAGAAGTATGAATTGGCAGGTCCATTGTCTATGTTCCATGGGGCCATTTGTTTACGGAGGAAAGTGAAGATAGGCCGCCTATTCTTGATAAAGTTCTCTGGAACCGCTCGAAAAGCTCACTGGGCTAAGATTAACTATATCTCTAAAGCCATGTATCCTTGAAACCACTAAGACATATATCGTCTTTTTGGTACCACTTTCAGTAACTGCTCTAACGCTGAAGCGTAAAGGTCGGGATTGAAGCTATGAGGTAAATGAATCCATACCATGTAGAATCTGTCTAATTCCATTTAAGGCCAAGTTAGAGAATGCCTCATGTTTTGCTTGGGTAGTTTCGTGAATTAGGGTAAGGTATCTTATCAGCTACTTCAACGAAATTGCAATTTCTGCTATCTACTACCGGCAGGTAATTAAAAACGTCTTCATTCTTTGGTGGTGCCAACACAGAACTCTTGGCACAGCAACCATCAGACCACTCTCGATCAAGAAGCATATTTAAGCCTTCTTTAAGAAAACGCCGACTAGGAGAGTAGCATCAAACGCTTGGCTCTCCTAGCCCTATGAGGCATGTATCATAGAATGTCGCCAAGCCTCCTAATCATGTGGTGGGCGCGTACCTATCTTCGCGAGCTTCATTTTCCCGTGCCTCGAACGATGGCAGCATGGATCTATCCATTTTCGGATCTGCTGGAACTGCTTATCACCGAGCTCCGAGTCCCAGTATACTCCTAGTCACTAGGATTGATAGTGGGTGGTGGCAGGCTTCTCGATCTGGATGCAGGTGCGTCTTTGCAGTCGATCTACGAGCGATTTGGCCGATTAAGAAGGAGGATTATGCACCCTGATGTGGCTCAGCCCAATGACTTATCCACCCCCACATCCCTCACACTGGCATGACTCAGACTGGGCCTACGAGAAGTCGTATCACTTTTCGTTTTCTTGAAAGAACAAAAAAAGAGAAAGTAAAGGGAAAGGAAAAGCCCAATGGATGCACAAGGTCTCGATAATCATCATTCAAAAGTGTTGATTAAGGAAATTTTGTTGAGGGTTCTAGATCAGTTCCAGGGGCAAGTAGCGTGCGCTGTAATTTCGCCTTCCAGGGTCGCAATGTAACCGTAACATCTTGTTACCCTCAGCGTGCCATCCGCAACTGTCGGTAATAGGACTTACGTTCCGCGTCTTTGCAAGGAGCAATATGTCCGAGACGGCCACACCGGGTCCGAGGAACTCCAGGTCTCTCTTCAACAGAAGGTACACCGATCTGAAGGCATGCAATGGGCAAGAAACTAAGGTACGAACAACGTCTGGTGAGTGAATGGATAGAAACGTATAATCTCTAAAAAGGCCGAGGTTCCAAACATGAAATGCAACACAAGTTAGCCATCGTAGGGCTTTCCAAAAGACATCTCCTATTCTCTACATCATAACTAGTTAAACACAGAGCATCTTAGGTACAGCTTGTGCTATAGTTAATATCACGCGTTGCCTTATGAATAGTCGGGCAAAATTAGGGCTTTGATGTGTTGAATCTGGTGTGATGCTGTGTATAGCATCAAGTTGTCGATTTCTTGGTGTTTAGGTATCCCCCCCTTTTTTCCCCGCAGCTGCTGCATAGTCTGTATATCTCTCTCACTTACTTACTCATATCACGTATTAAGAAACAAAGCGGTCATAGAAAGAAAGTATTATTTACTAGCTCTGAGCTCACTAGTGTGCCTTTACTAATCATTGCCCATATGTAAAGTTTTAATACTTTCAAGCTTTACCTAGGTACGTCAAGTGGTACCGACATCGAGTTAACTAACTACTTATTTAGGCTCTGACCAGCGTAAGGCCGTAGGTGGACAGGATCTCGTTGACTGGCTGGAAGAAGGTTGTACCGCCGGAAGTGCAGTCGCCGGAACCTCCTGAGGTGACACCCTGAGCCTGGGCGCCGGAGTAGTAAGAACCGCCGGAGTCGCCGGGCTCGGCGCAGACACTGGTCTGGGTGAGGCCGGTGACACGTCCCTGGGAGTAGCTGACGGTAACACCGAGGGCGCGAACGGTGCCGCAGTGGACACCAGTGGTAGAGCCGGAGCGGCAGATGCTGGCTCCAACCGCAGAGGCGGTGCTACCAGACACAGGGAGGCTACCGCCGCTGTAGTTGTTGATGTAACCCCTGAGGGTGGTTCCACTGACAGTGCGGATGAAGCTCATGTCGGCGCTGCCTGGGAAGACTGAACCAGAGAAGGTTCCAAGTGACTCGCCACCGGGGGTGGTGGCAGAAGCACCTACGCTGCCGCAGTGACCGGCCGAAACAAAGCCGGTTGTGACGGAAAAGCCAATAGAGCAACGAGCGCTTCGGTTGATGTAGTAGGCGTCGCCGCCAGTGACCGTGGCGAAAGTTGTAGGAAGTGAGTCAACCACCCGCACTTCGAACTCAGACGCGGTGAGCCCAACCTGTGCGGCCAGCTCCTCGGCATGGGCGGTGCTGTCTGCCAGTGCCTCCAGGACTAGCTTGTTGGCCACAACGTCAACGTAGTACGCGGCAATGCCCGAACTGGCTGAGGTGGTGTCGAGAACACTCGCCTGGTCAATCTCCAGGTTGTCAAGCGCCAACTTGGCCTCTTCAAGCTTGGTGAAGCTGTTGGCCAAGACCACAGGAGTGGCACCAGCGGCGGTCACCTCAGCAGTCAAGGACTCGTCAGTGACACCGACATTGATGGTGTTTCCATCGTCGGCAACCCAAGCGCCGGCGAATTGAGCACCCACGGAGTTGCGCAGCTGGTCAATGACATCGGTAGCCTGAAGCTCCCGGGCAACACGAGCAGTGGCCTGCTCGGTATCCAGGCCCAAGTCCCGCTTCATGGCAGCTAGGATCTCAGGGTGCAGCCTTGTCACAGTCTCAGTGGGGGCACTGTAGGCAAGGGGCAGGATGACTGCCAGGGCAGCAAGGAACCTAGTGAGCTCCATGTCGAACGTTCTAAAGACAAGATGTAATAGATAGAGGCGTCGATGTTGTAGATGCTGGAGAGCAATGAAGACAGGAGTAAGGTGCTGTGGTGAACTGCTGGATAGGATGAGAACATACACCCTTATTTATACTTGATCCTGACTATATGGTTCTGATCGGCATCGCGTTGTTGGTATCATTCTGTTGAACACAGTCTACATATCATGAGGCTTCACTAAACTCCTCCTTCCTAATCCGCACCGCCATATCACTGTGAGATTTCAAAGCACCAGCTTGGCAATCCTGAAAAGGCATTTCACAAAGCGGCCAACTCATGATATCTTTGTGAGGTTTCATAGTATCAGCTTGGCAATCCCTAAGAGGCACGTCAGAATTGTTGGCCCCGTGATTTTACAGTAGTACCAGCTTGGCAATCCTTAAACGGCACTTCAGAGAACAACCGCTCCGCGATGTCACAGTGGTATCGGCATGGCACCTTTGAAGCTTGCTTACCCCGCCATGTTACAGTAGTATCAGTAGGGCAGCTCTTTCAGGGCACATTTGGAGGTTGCTTACCCCATGATGTGATAGCCTATAGCTTAATAGGAAGGAGGACAGGAAGAGACAGGTTAGATAAGAAAAGTGCTCAACAAACAAAAGGTCGTTAACAGCTGACGCTCTTCGCCACTTCAGGTTTATCAATGCATTAGTCAGGTCTAGAATTCGCTTTCGCTTTCAGTTGGGTGTATGGTTAATCTAGTGAGCTCATCCCGGCACCCGTGTTTTGTCAATTCTACACGTTGCTATTAGCGCCTTTAGCCCGCAGAATCTCAATAATAAAATTGACAAATAGTTTAGCTTTCTTCTTTTGAATATACTTATCTTCGCTCTATCTCTCCAAACTCAGTCTTGGACATACTTACATCCGTAGTAATCTCTTGTAAACTTGAGCTATGAGCGATAAGGGGTTTCCGGCTTTGTAAAGAACCTTGCCATTGTTGAGATATTCCAATATGATAATGCCAGTGCTGAGCTAAACTAACATCGGGATATACAACAATAAAAAGCTAGTTGAGCAGGATTTAGACTACCTCAGATTAATGCATGTGTAAATGGCCATAAAGCAAGCAAACATGAACTCACTCTTGTCTGAGCTAACTTTTCCAAATGCGTACTTTGAGCGGCACAAAAAAAGGGAGGGGGAAGTGAAAGGAAAAGAAAATTGGCAGCAGTTCCATCCAGCTTCTGTTTTGGGGTACCTACTGTTTCGCAAATAAACCTGTTAGTAAGTTTGTCACCCCTTAATTTTGTCTGGGAATCCGGCCTTTAGAACCCCGAAGAGAATCCCTAGCCACTAAAACAAGTAAAATATTTTAAATTTACCAGCGTTCGGCTCTAGGGTTTTAGAACAGTACCTGGCTGTCCCACGCCAATATCTACCGGGGTTGGTAATCACATAATGAAGTGGCATCTGCAGCGACAACTAACTCGTGCTTAACTTGATGGTTTCCTTGATTACAGGACATCAGTTCTATACTCAATACTACTATTTTCATTCGAATCATATGCGACCTGTGACCTGTCTGGCAGCTGTGAGTGCCATCTGCTTTAGCACCGTTTTGTCCCTCGGATATCTCCTCTGGTAGTTATCCGCTATCAGGAGCTGATCCAGAAGATATTCCATCTCTTCATCGTCTGCGGCTTCTAGAGAAGACAAGAGCTTCTCGAACAGGTCCATGGCCTCAATCGGTTGAGTTGTTAAGACATAGGGAACAGTCGTCCACAACTTGAGGGCTACCGCTCGATAGTTGTTATATACATCCAGATTGGACTCACCATACCACACACCAATGTCCCAGAGAATCCGTAGCAATATCATGCGGCAGCCCTGCATCTCAATAAACTGTTGTGCTAGGCCAACGGAGCTGAAATCTAGCTTCCAACCGAAACGTGACTCGGGGTCGGGAACCTCAACGATGGCGCCATTGCGCGATAGGTTTTCGATTATGGGCAAAACGACTGTGTATATTTTGTTTTCTCCGTCAGATACGCTTTGAATTGTTTCTTTGGCGAGTTGCCGATTCTCCTCCGGGTTGGCCCGGATTTTCCTGACATCCCCAAGCCACTGTGAGAAATTAGCGAAGATAGCATGAAACTCCATGTACGCTTCGTTCAGGTATTTATTTTGATTTTTGTTCAAATGCTCTTGGCCGGCATGATATAGAACCTCTCTCCAGGGAGACTTCAACTCCCCATTATCACCCAGACCGTTTACGCCGGCCGATCGCTAGCAGTTCTCACGTTAGCCTACTCAACCCAGATCCATCACAACAACTTGTTAGACATCAAGATATACCAACCAGAATGCAAACACTTTCAAAAGCCGCGCCAAGATCAAAAGGATCCCGAATATCCGGCGCAGGATTTTGCATAAGCACATGCCGAATCCCTCGTAGGTGCAATTCCAAATCGGGCGCCTTGCCAACTCCGAACAGCGAAACGGCGCGCTCCAGCATATTCATTGCGGCCAATGTCTCTGGCGTGTACCCCTTGCCACCGTTCAAAGCCTGCTGCAGACTCTTCACCGCCTTGACGCAGAGACGTGGCGCAAGCAGGTTCTCAGCCGGCTCCCGCCGTCGATAATCAGACCAGGCGGAACAGAAGAACGCGGCGCAGTCGCGAAGGCATGCACTGTGCGCTATCCGCTGGGGTGTATGAGGCAGGTAGCTCATCTTCATCACTGCGACGGTTTCATGCCCGTCCTCCAAAAGAGTAAACAGCCGACGGGATACGCGCTCTGCAGCGGTGGTGGCTGGCATACGGGGAGCCTGAAGCCGAAAAACGGCCTGAGATGCGCCATCTTCTCCGAGGCGCATCCAAGGCTTGCGTTCAATCATTACCACAGCGTTGTTGGGCTCGGCAGGTTTCGCTTTCGTCTGTGTCTCCAGCGACATACCCGACTTCTTTCGACCATCGCCATGGTTGACAAATTTGACAAGCGAGGAGGGCCCTGAGCAGATTATGGAATTCCGCTGGCACGCGGTACAAGTTGGCCAATTCTGATCACACTGATTGAGGTTGGGGTTGGCCAGATGACACAAAGTCAGTCAACCTGTCTCGCATCTTGTGGCTGGTTCCATGACAGGAACGACTTGGGCGTGGTGACCCACCTTTCTTTTTCTTTTCTTGCAGTTTTCGCAAGCTCTTGAGGTGAGGTTTCGAGGCATTCTTTTGGCAGGCTTCGTTGAGACTTCTCCTGGCCAAGAGCCTGCTCAGGGGTAGAATGTGGCGGCAAGCAAGACAAGACTAGAAAGAAATTAAAGGACCTATTGAACAATCCCAGCCAGGCTCCACATTATTAATAAGATAACTGCCCAGGCCAGGTCCTCGTGCCGAATTTGTAACCAATCAAGCAACAGCAAAGGGGAAGTCGTCGAGTCCAATCCATTGTGCCATCAAATCTTTGCCTCTCACAGTGATGCACGCGTTCGGCTCGTCAACAAATCTCAAGACCGCAAGTCCGTATTTTCGAAGACATGATTGGGAAGAGGGCCCACGGGGATGTGGAACATGCCTTGCTACGCATTGCTGTGTGTAGGGCGAACCAAGAGCCGGCTAATAACATTGATAAAAGGGAGCCAATGTCGCGCAGAATGGGCGTCCAGGAGCCGACATTTTCATGAGACGAACGACGGGCGCTCTCCCTCAGCGCTGAAAAGAAGACAAGAGTTTAATTTACAATAGCAATACTATGCTACAAGGTAATATGAGTGAACATCATGATGGCATATATACACTGAGAAAACGGGACCACGGCTCAGCAAGTGGCAGCGAGAGTCTAGGATACCATTCAGGGAAGAATTGGCATCTCAACCTTCCTCTTCCCCTATACAACCTGTTCACCTTTCCGTTTTGCTGTATCCTTGAACATCGCCTCCATTTTTAACATGATACTTCGCCTTTCGCTATCTTCGCTTTCGCTGCCCCAGTCTGGCTCGGTAGTCTCAATATCGATATCCGCCGCGGCCGAATCCAGACTGATTCTCGGCATCCCCTTTTCGAATTGCTGATCATCAGAGACCATCTGATCACTAACCACTGGAAAGTCAATCTCTTCGGTTTGGAAATTGGTGAACTCCTAACATCAATGTGAACACCCGATTTGACTCCACGATTGAGAATATAGGGATTGGATTACCTCGGACATCTGCATTATCCAATTGGTGGTCGACGAAAGGGCGACGGAGCAACCATTTACCGCGTAAGACTTGTCCGCATCGCATCTTTTGAATATTTTCTGAAGTTTAGTGCAGACCGTCGCACTATCATCGCGCTTCTCTACCAGTGGTTGGAGCATAGAACTCATTATCAGTTGTAGAAAGTCATGGACAGCCCTTGGGCAGTATTCTAAGTCGCGTATCTTGTTAATCCACTGAAAAAAAACGTCAGCTTCTTAGAATTAATACCCATGAATACGTTGATTCCATACGTTTAGAACCCCTGGCTTCACTCTAGCTGACCGGGCCCTTGGATGTTTGCCAGAACATTCGATGTCGAAAAAAGTGTCTGGTCTGTATGCTTCGTTTGTTTCAGGAAGTCGAGCCCTTGAGAAATCCTCCGTCGCATCCACTCCGTCAAGAAAAAACCAGGATACAAACTCGACGAATACGCACCCTAAAGACCAGACATCGTATTTTCGTGTAACCTTTCTAGCGAGAAAGATATCAGGGGACTGGTACGTGTCTGTAACCGCAAGTCCGTCTAAGCCTCGGTGCGATCTCGAGTCCCGACTGTGAAACTCGGTCAAACCAAAATCTGTTATCATTAGGTGATCCCTGTTTCCATTATAGTCGCGGAACCAAAGAATATTCTCTGGCTTGATATCACCATGCCGGCCATATGATTTGTCGTTCTCAACCTCTGCCACCAAGTCCTTTGCCCGGTAACACCCATCTGCACCAAATACTGGAGGCTCATAGCTATGAAGGTCGTGGAGACGTCGGAGGCCAGTCGACAACCCGAGGCACTGCTTAAAAAACCAAATAACATCGTCATGCTTCAAGCAGTCGCGACGTCGGTTCTCGTGTCGCCAAAACTGCGTAAGGTTTCCGTCTGCCCATGGGAACACAAGGTAACATTCCTTTCCATGCCGACACGCCAATTCTAGATGCATAAGATGGTCATCCCTGTGTCCTCGCTTTGCCGATAGCCTCTCCAAATTCTCGACCTCTTGTCTAAATTCATCGCAATCGTCCCTTATTAGCTTCTTCCAGGCGAAATAGAGGTCTTCCTTTTTCTATCCATTGTCTAATGTCAGAGTTGTACATGAGAGATGGTGTCATGTTGTTGATTAGTGGGTTATAGGAACAAAACTCAACACGCACCTTGCGAGGATCAACATAATTATGATGTGCTGGGTGAATCTGTACTCTGCTCACTTTTCCATTCCCTCCAGCTTCACCTGGTATCATATTGATGAAAGGCAAGACGCACTCGCTGTCTAAGTCGTAAAAGCAAAAGTTACCGTCGTCTCCCGGAAACCTAAAGAAGGGTGCATCGATTTCTTTTTGATGGTCATAAAAACACACCATCTCTTTTTTGCTGAATCCCCATAGACAGTCTTCAATTTTGGAGTTGTCGAAGCCAGAGTTGGTTTCACATCGAGGGACATGTCTCAGGCCATGCTGCTGACCATTGGTGGCAAGAACCTTTACGGGTAGCACTGAGTCGTCAATTTCATGTCGAATGAACTTCTCAATGGCCTCTATGCGCCCGACCATAACCAAAAGAGCGAAAATTCTTCTTAGCCCAGGCGATCTGCTTTCTGGTTTGTTGGACCCAGTCTCGCCCAGGATCGTCGAGGCCATTCGCACAACTTCGTCAGGAGCAAAGCCCTCCTCCTCAAGCAGACTCTTCAGGCTTCGATGGTTTATGAGAGTCTCAAGCTTATCAAGAGGGAGAAATCTTTTCAGGCCTGAATCCTTCTCCGGCTCGAAAAAGGCTTCCCATATCATTTCGTCCATGCTAGAAATGTCATAAATATTGCCCACGGGCTCAGTGATGGACGAGCAGCCAGATGATGTATCCCGTTTCAACTTTTCATCTTCCCATTTAGCATACTCTGTTATTCCCCTATCATGGACGCTAATGGCAGACCTGAAGCTTAGATCGGTTTGGCCGCTGTCAGACCGAGTTCCAAGCCCCAGTCCGCGTCGAGGTACTAGAGAGTCATTTTGATTGTCAATAAAAGACGGTCCTGCTAACCCGGGCCGCCTGTTATGAGTGGCCATTTGAGTTGATAAGGGCGCGAATGAGCATTCACGCCACTAACGATAATGCAAGGTGATATTGGTAACACAATAACAGGTTGGGGGTTGGGGGGGCGAAAGCGGCGACTTTTGTGACCTACGGACCGTGCCGATAGGCTGACTCTATCGAAGGCGAAGCCACAATAGGCTGAAGTCAGAAGGGTTGACAATGCCTACTATTTGAAGCGCATAGCCCTCCACCCACCTTGTTCTTGCGTGGATCTCCCACCAACCACCGCATAGAGTGGCCGTGCCCACTGGCTGACAGTTATTCAGCTTGATGCATGGAGCTACGTGGCTGGAGTTACACGGGGAGTGGACTACCCGACGCGGGCATCACCCGAACGAAAGACTGACGTACAATCTGCGAGAGTTGATGGCTGCTTTCCTAGGCAGATTCGGGAGAATGCAACCCAGTGAATGTATTCATACTAGTCATTGAGCCCAATCCCGAAATCTCAGCTGGAAAAGCCGAGCGGGTCACCAAGCATCCTATGAGGTGTCCTGGTGTTGTGGTCGCCTTGGTCATCATCATCACATGCAGGTGCGAGGAGGGCCAATAGAATTGTGTCTGGAGGTCGCAATGCATTCTGTGCGTGGTGTAATATAAGCCTAACAGGGTTACATGTATTACATCCATTACACATTTGCCCTGCTGCCTTGTGCACACAGCCGACCAACCGTGGCGCCTTTGCGAACTAATGGTCGCCTCGTGAGCGCTCTATTAAACGGACGTTCCCCAATGGCATGATGATCTCAGGGTCTTTTCGGAGGCATGAGATATAAAACAGCAACTACATCAGACTCGTCCAAAATATCATTGTCGTCAAATCTCCCTACTGGTTCCAGTCTCGCTCTCAGCAATGGCGATGAAACAAAATGACCAGCCGCTTTGCGACCCAATAAGCAACAAACTAATCTCTGCACGGCAATTGTTCATAGCCCTCGAAAAACATTTCGACAAAGGCACATACAGCGTTGAGATGAGACACAATTGTTTCTACATTTACGTAGATAATGCATAAATAACCGACGACCTCATGATTTGCCCTGGCTCTCTCAAGCTAAGTGCGCAACAGCGCTCCCGGCGCCTCACAACACGCCTCCCTTGGGATGATATTAGACGAATAGCAATCGATGCGGTTTTCAGGTATTCAAAGAGACATTGGATTCGGGGGCAGGGACCCGGGGGAAGAGACTGAATATCTTGCTCGCGCGAGGAGAACGGACGGTTCGGGTTTGAATTTCTTGATTTACATTGAACAAAAAAAATTCAGCGTTGTTCACACTTCATGCATGGTTACCCATTAATTTGGTGCTTTTTTTACGAAATATAAAAATCCACACCGTAGGGTTTTCTGCTCGAATGTGTTGAGATGTAAGATTGTAAGAATTGGCTTGAAGAAATCCTGTCAGCACAAGGCGAACATCACTCCATCAAGTGGCTCGCGAACCAAGTACAGCTTTCAGCCAAATATGGAACGAGCGGCATTAATAAAATAGTGAAAAATAAAGGAACTTTGAGCGGGGGGGTGATTACGACGTATTGTCAAGTGACCAAGGCAGCAGAGCCCAATCAAAATCCGGGAGGCAATATGCACCACAGCCTCCATGCATAAACTGCTGACCGGCTATCTCAAAGCTGATGCGCGATTATCTTTTTAGGGATAGTGGCCGAATTTCACTTTTGCAGAGCCTCTTTTGTAGGGGGAAGTGCTTATGGCAATCGCCAGCTCATCCAAGGGGTACCCTGTCTTTTTATGGTGCCTGATCATGACATGTACTGAAAACAAGCTGCTGCTCTCCCCCAATTGATAAACGCCATTGCTGGTTGGTGTTTAATTGCATTCCCAAATCAATTTTGTCCCATTCCTTTGAGCCTAGCATCTGATGGAAATGGCTAACCAGGAGGGCCCTGCGACATATGTCGAGACGGGGCGACCGCTTGAAATCATCCTGCGGGATTTGGATGACGAGGAACTTGCTGAGGAGCTTGATCGAATGGTCTCCAATAACTATTGCGGGAAAAGGTATATGCCTTCAAAATGGATCGAGGCGTACACGTCAGAAGCGGTAGTCAAGAGCATTCTTAGGTCACGATATAAACCATCCTTAGTCCCCGATCTGATTTCATACGTCTTGCACTCGCCCGCCAAGAAACTACTTCTTTTACTCGCCCTTTGCCAGGCGCTGCACTGTCTTCCGGCAATGAAGGATTTCGAGCTTAACGATGACTACCTTCCTGTCGCCATTATCCGCAAACCTAGTACCAAGGGACTTATACAGAAACTTAGCGAGCACGAGGGGGGGAAGGAGGATTTTCCCGTCCCCCATGACTAGAATCCATTGATGAGAGGCGCGTTCGAAAGAAACCAATGGTTGTTCCTTGCGCCTGTCTTTACAGAGGATGAATTTCATCATGAATTGCACTCAGATACTCCTCTCCCGTTTCTACCGATAGAACCCAACCCTCAGCCAAAACTAGGTGGCTTCAGCACCGTACTCGAGGTGCACGTGGATACATCCCACCAGCTCGTGACTACAACGGTAGGCCTCCTAATCTGTTCTTGTTATTTCTACATGGCGGTCATTAATCTGAACGCGATTTTAAGTATGGCCAGCCGAACTCATCAAAGGCCGCTCTCAAAGACTTGCGTGTTGGTTTGGAAAACTATGAAAGGGAAAAGAAGGCTCTGGAGAAGATCAGAAATATAGAAAATCCTCACCTCGTTAAGCCCATCGCAAGCTTGAAGCTGGCAGACAAGTCTGGGTACTTTCTCTTTCCATGGGCCGAAGGTGGAAATCTTTGGAACTTCTGGGGCAATGAGAGCAACCGCGATGGAGTCATTAAATCAGGAGACTACCCAAAGATTCTATGGACCTTAAAACAGATTCATGGACTGTGTCATGCTCTCGTTGCCTTGCACAATGAGGAAGACAAGATCAGTGGGAAAAGGCCGGTATTTGGGGGTGCGAATACTGATTATGGACGCATCGGGGACGAAAATGGTCGTCACGGCGATATCAAGCCAGATAATATTCTGGTTTTCTACAAGGCCGGCAATCCCCATGACATAGTCCTTTGTATTGCTGATGTTGGTCTAGGCAAGTTTCATGCCAAGACAACGCAGATGCGAATGGAGGGCAACGAAATAACCGACACAAAAACGGGAACTTCCCGGTATCTGCCACCCGAATTTGATATGAAGACAAATAAACAGATATCTCGGCTTCACGATGTGTGGTCACTTGGCTGCGTTTATCTTGAATTCGTTGTCTGGGCTTTGTGGGGGGAACATGGCCTGAAAACGCTTCAGTCGTCGACTTTTAACCAGTTCTGGCAGGGGACAAATAAGCAGAAACAACTCCACCAAGAGGTTAAAACTTGGATTTCGACTATAACTAATACTCTATCTAGTGTCGACGGACCAACTGCTCTCCTGGATCTGGTTCAACTTGTTGGATCTGATATGCTTCAGCTAAAAATGAGCCGTAAGAGATCAAAGGACATACTCCCCAAATTAAGGGAAATCCGCAGAAAAGCAGAATCTGACGAAAGATATTGTTTCAATCCAACCATTCAACAAAAGGCCACGAGGCCCATCAACAGCAGTCATTCAAACTTGTTAGGGTTACCAGTCACTTTGCCAGAAGTAGGTCCCACTCACTCCCCTACATGAATTCCATCTATGCCTAGTTTACTAACAGGGTCTTTTTTAGTATGTGAGATATCCCGAAGTTTGTTTATTTGTATTTTCTAACAGAACATTAGAAAGTGAGATAAACCCCCCATGGTTGTCAAAGCATAGTCTCAAATTGTTTTATTCCTGCCCAGCCTTCTAGTCCCCTCTTACTTCTTACTTTCTCCATTTAGCTAACGGGACTGGTAATGGTTAACGCAAATTTTCCTAGTCTGTGAGTTGATTTTCCCATATTACCTGGAGAAGGGATTATTTGACTAAAATGTACCAGTCTGTAAGTTGCTACTTGCTTGGAAGGCAGAGGTTAAGCGGACTACTAACGGCCTTTACTCTCTCTCTATAGGACATGAACAAACTGGAAGATGTGTGGGAGTCTTCTTCGGATAACAATTTCGCAAACTGTCTAAACAAGATCCTCCGGGACAAGGCCATAGCAGAAGTTCCATCAACAAGTTCAGTCACGCCTGGCCTTTGTTCCGAATGCTTAACGATGGATTTCTGCAAACCTAGTTTGAGGTTCGTCATGCAAATCAAGAGATCTGAGACCTGCCAACTTTGCAGCTTGCTATATCAAGCTTGTAAAACTCTAGGCTACGGCGATGGCCATGAGGATAATGTGGAAATTTATCGAAAGGGACCAAAGCTCGACGTCCATGACGAGCCATCCGATCTTCCAATACTTTCTTTATACATGCACCCAGGTTGGGAAATATTCCGAATACTTCATGGACGGACTGACCTAACATTGATCAGATTTCACTCAGTCGCCAGCCTCTGATTCTGATATCCAGCTAGGGACCCCCGACTTACCTGAGGATGGAAGTATTCACCAAATCGAACTATTCAAGGAATGGATTCGGACATGCGAAGAGTCTCACAACCATTCAAGGAGTAGCCCGGATACGCAATTCCTGATATCCAATACCGTCAACAACATATCAACTACGAGCCAACTAGTCGACCCTCCAACACGTCTCATTGATGTAAGGGGCGGACTCGGTGACAATGTACGCCTCATAAGTGGAAAGGAGATGCAGTCTCCGATTTTCTTTGCTCTGAGTCATCGTTGGGGTGATAAGGATGAGCATCAAGTCGGTTGCACGCTGCCAAGCAATGTGAAAGACCGGTTTAATGGAATCAGTCTGATCGAACTACCAAGGAACTTTCAAGAAGCTATCAAGATAACCAAGGCAATGGGCGTACGATACCTGTGGATTGATTCAGTGTGCATAATCCAAACTGATAGCGACGACTGGAAACGGGAAGCTGTGCGAATGGAGCAGGTATATAGCAATGCCTCCTGCGTCCTCGCGGCTTCTTCCTCGAATTCTTCAATCGAGGGGTTCCTCAAAAGCTCGCGTATGAAGCGGCCCTATGTCTCAGTCAAGTCGCCTTCCGGGAGGAGTGTCTATGTTTGCAAAGATATAGATAACTTCCACACAGATGTAGAACGCTCGATTCTCAACTCAAGAGGGTGGGTCCTCCAAGAGAGAGCGCTTGCTCGCCGGATAATTCATTTCACGAAAAATCAAGCATATTTTGAATGTGGAAACGGAGTACACTGCGAAAGCTTGATAAAACTTAATAAGTACACACACCTACTCCCTCCTAGATACCTTGTATGAGGACTAACATACTAGGGTAGTGGCAAGGCGACGTTACTTGGTGACTCCAATTTCCCGAGATCGGCCGAATCATTCCACAAGACGGGGAAAATCGTCATCATGCAAAATTTGTATAAACAATACTCGGCACTAGCCTTCAAGTTTTTTGAAGATCGCCCTGTTGGTATTTCTGGGCTGGAAAGGCGGCTCACATCCGCATATGATACGCGGGGGGGATATGGCATCCTCGAAGCGTATTTGGAACGCAGCTTACTCTGGAAAAGAGATGAGGCAAAATTCCTAGAGCGGATTCGATTTCCATCAGGGAGAAGCCTGCCCTCGTGGTCGTGGATGGCCTACAGCGGGACCATTACGTATGTTGAGGTCGGGTTCAACGAGGTGGACTGGACGAATGAATACGTCTCGCCTTTTGCATCGCTCACTCAAAGTAACAACAAGCAACATTGGGAAGCAACTGGTGAACATAGATTGCCAGCACTTAAGGTCAGCAAAGTGAGACGATTGAACACCGGGTCCAACCTCGACCAGGTGCTAGCTAAGATCAGTTTCGACGTCGCAGGGGGAGAATGCGCAACACGGGATTTGCGCTGCGTTGTCTTGGGCAGACGCAAGAAGACTATGGGTACCACTCCTTTACCTTGCTACGTGTTGATGGTGAAATCTGGCATAGATCCCAACACCGTTGTGAGGATCGGTGCTGGAATGTTGCTGGAGCATGATATCTGCTGGGATTTGTATGAGTCAAAGAATCTAGATTAAGTAACACAGAAGAACAATACTGCCACTTTTACCACATCTTAGCAAGTCAAGAGTATTTAAGTAAAGATTGGGTGGAAGTCTGGTTCTATCCGACAAGCAGGAACATGGAGGAGGTGGAGCCAATCCCGGTAGACGAGCTGTCGGCAACATGTAACAACTAACACAGAAGTGAAGCGATGCTTTCAAGGGTGTGTTAGTACCCCAATCTCGAGATCACTCCCTGTCGACTGACCAGTAGTGAAAAGCATGAGGCTACTCATCACTTGAGGTGTGGTCGCCTAGATCACTCGAGGTGCGCTCCACTTGAATCAAGGAAGAGATGCGACGCGCTCAGAGATGAGTCGAGGCGTGCTCCACCTTTCGTAGGATCAACGACCAATCAGAGTCAGGCACAATAGAGCGCACACCTTGAGTGATGACACCTCGACCTACGAGACACCTCGGAGAACGATCGCGGAGATATTACGGAGTAAACTGACTCGGGTTCCCAAGCCAGCCCAATTTTAGAGCTAGGCGCTAAGCTCTCTTAGGTCAAATGAAAGCTCACATCCACATCACTTATCGCACCAATCAACGCTCCAGGCTTAGTCAGTGTCCGGCACACTTACCCTATAGACTCACAGCCGGTCACCAAGGTCAACAACGATTCTTTCCATTTACCAATGGGCAATCCTCCGACTGAAGGATACTTGAAAAAAAATCCTAACGGCTAACCTAAGGTCCCGAACTTCTACAATGAAAAGTCCTTGGAAATTCAATAAGAACTCATCAACCCAGGTGTCACATACCGACACCTGTATTGTAAGTAACATTCTTCTAAGTACCCATGTTGTAATTTTGCTGCTGTGGATTATTTGAGCGCGGCAATTAATATGGTACGACTATTAACATACTTGCAAAAATATATGTTCCTGTACTTTTCTGCCTAGGTAGGAAAGCAAATAAAGCATTCGTTGCGGACTCAGCTTAATACATATGTCGTGAAACAACTACGCTCCATTGTGAACTCGAAAGGTGAGTCTTGGAGGGGGTTCACACTAGCCCCTTTTTAGCTAGAAGGAGACAGAATTCTCTGTAAGGTTAGCGTGAATTAACGAAAGGAGCCCCACAAATCCAAACCCAAAGCCGAGGCCGGCGGAGAGAGTTTGGCTCCACAGATTCATCGCCATGTCATGCCATTATCAACATTATATTTGGTCCCTTATATTTGTTTTTACAAATACTATAACTCTTCGGTCTAATTTAATTATTGTTCATAAATAATAACATTGTTTGGTAAAAGCATATTCATAAAGTTACTAGACAATCACTACAACGACGTTCGTAGGTCTTTGTATCTTCTTGATACCTCTGCAATCATCCCTCGAATTTTCTTTGCCGCTAAGAATTTGATTCCCAATGTATCGAAGAGCTCGATAGACAGATCAAGATCGTCAACTGCCCTCGTCTCTTTTAAGGCCGTAGCGAGATCGGTGGGCTGAACCGTGATAGCATATATGAGCGACAGGGTTGAGGTGAATAGCGCCAGAAGGTTAAGCCAGTTGTACGCAAGCCGTTGCTGCTGATGCATATTGAACGCTTGGCGAAGGGACATGGATGATGCCTCTTCAAGAATCTTGATCTTTCTCTCGTCGACGACCGGAAACAGAGGCGACGGCCTATAGAGCATAGCAACGTGGGTGTAATAGTTGAAGTCATACCAGTTGGTACTGAAGTGTGGCACTCTGTCGCTGATGTCGGGAAGTGGGAATGGCATATTACGCCGCCAATCAATGAGCTCTTTATGCAGCGAAAGTAAGATCTCCTCACGCTCTTCCATAGTCAGAGAAAGGGCACGACGATTGGAATACACCTGTTTAGCTATTTTCCCTGCGATTGTTCGTAGGGCCAAGATATGAAGCGGCACGGAGATGATGGATGGAGTAAGTGAGCTCTGGGATCGGATACCGTCAGCGTGGATGTCATCTTCGCCGGCATCTGTGAAAGGCTAAAGCTCAGCCTGATCAGCTTGGGTTTTGTTCCATTTTACGTGTCTCTTGAAATGTTCATTACCGAAACGTCAATGTCATCATCATGTAAAGCGAATGGGCGACCTAGTGCTAGCGAAACGACGCTATCAAACGAAATCTCGTTAGCGATGGTCTGAATTAGACATTTTCCAGAGCAAACACAAACTCACCGATCCATCATGTAGATGGAAAAGAAGATACGTTTGCGATGCTGCTGAATATCAATGGGCCAGATCGCATATGTTGATTCGATATGCAACCCGATCCCAACTGCCAAGCGAGCTGCCATGCCGACGAGAAACCAAGTATCTACTTCTCAGTTAGGGCATAACAGATACGTTGCACTTAGATTTTGGACTCACTCGGGCCGAGCTGGTTGAAGAATGAGTATGAGATTTGCAACATGATCACTTCTAGAGCGGCCTGGACCTGAGTCAGCACTGTGAAAACCTCATGGTACTAGATGGCGAACGAACCATTTCCCCAAGCGCCATCGCCCGTTCAAAGTACTCAAGTGCTTTGCTATAGTATATTCGAGATTCTGATTCTTCCATCAAGGTAACCGAGGAGTACGCCGTTGACCCGATGGCGAATACCATCCAGACTCGAAAAAGGGCCAAAGGGCATTGCGCCGCTGGATCCAAAGGATTATCCCGGACCAGCTGCAAGGTTTGCATGAAGCCGCTTTTCACGAGTATTGGATACAACGTATGCGAATGAGCGAAATAAAAGTCTACCAAACGCTTGGTGTACACTTCGTTCGTCGGCAAACTGAGTCCGGAAACCGCATCCGTCGGTTCTATGGTGTCCGCTAATAAGATGTCGCCGAATAGAGCAGGATGGCTGGGGATGGACTCGCTCAGCGTTTCGAAGACATGCGAGTTGAAAAAATCTAGCGAAGAGTCAAAGTCGAAAAGCTGCTCACTGTTGAAACTACGCTGAGGGTTGTCGAAGACGAAGTCCGCCCTATCGGGGGTCAAGCGGCGAAGTACCATCTGCGTGAGTTTGGCAAAGGATAGGCCGGATGTTGACCCCAAATGTCGCTCTGCAGCAACACTGAACGAGACGCTTTTGAGTTCCTGATCAAAGGTGGGGGACGGCTCTTGAGCAAGGGGCTCAATATGCACTTCCAACTCTTGAAGACGTGGTTCGACCGGCAGGTCCTTTGGAGGAGGTGGACCCAGGAAGTCTTCTGGTCCTTGTCCTTCACACACTGGATTTGGGCCCATGAGATCGGCCACAGCGGAGTCTGAATAAGGTTGATCGTTACCCGAGTCTATCAAACAGTCTTCGACTGGCGGCGACATTTGCGGTTCGGGCACGAGATTAGTGCACAGTTCTTCAAGGCGTCTTTCCAGGCCACGGACGTATCTAAGAGGACATAAGTTCATTAAGTATACATTCCGAATGTCTGCCCAACAGCGGAATGCAAGAGTAACGGAGACGTACGCGACAGAGTAGGACGCAGTTTGGGAATTATCGTCGATCAAGCTGCATTTGACTCGTGCAGATCGGCAATTTTTACAGGCGGGCAGGTCCCTGTCACATCGCTTCTTTCTCTTATGGCATCGCGAGCATGATGCTTTGGCTCTCGCCGCATTCGTGGGAGATGCTGTGCCAGACATGATGATCACACACAGCGCAGACAAGGATCCGGTCGCATACGCGATAACTCCGCGAGAGATATTCACGATCCCCGAAGCCGGGGCTATGTAATATTTATAGAGCTTCGCGTATCTTTCTCCAAATCCACACATGACAGCTATCTATCTGTGGATCTTCTCCGCTTCCCCGCCCCTAAGATAGCTTCCCCGGCCTAGCCAAGGAGCAGCACCCTGACGATTTGTCTTTGCCTAAGCTTCCGTGGGCAACAATCTATGGTTTGTTTAGGACTTGTCGGGCCATTCTTGGATCTAGATGGTCCGAACCTCCCCCTTTAAGAGTCGACAATGGCAACTGCTTTGACCTCCACAATCATACGGGGATCAGGTAGCTGCTTCACCCCAATGGTAGCTCGAGCGGGCGCACTGGCACGATCCGGGAAGACCTTGTTCCACTCCTCGTTCATTCCCGCGTAATCCCTATCTATGTCAACTACATACACTACCGAGTCGATCACGTTTTGAATGCCCCCTTTCCCACCCGTCGCGCCTTTGACGATGTTGTCGACATTATCAAGAACCGCAGCGGTCTGCTTTCGAATATCAAGCGTGTGTGTTCCGTCTGGATTCTCCGTCACCCCTGGCCAAGTACCGTCCGGTCGAACGCAAGCTGTGCCCGAGATGTAGATTGTCTTGCTCGATGTTGAGGCAATCCGAGCTTGGGGAAAACGTGTGAGACCCTCTGGGGCGTCAGGGTTAATGAGGAAGGCCTCTCCGTTGGGAGACATTTGGAGATCAGGGACAGTTCTTGATCCTTAACTGAAGGTCTTTGGTTGAGATGAACGAAATTCTGGGTGTAAAGATTTAATTGGAGTGCATGCGTTGACTGAGACTCTAGACGCTTATTCCTCGACTCTTTTAACTACATGAAAGTAGCCGTCTGACCGTTCTTGACCTGTAGGTATAGGTTCCCTACATGATGTTCGAAAGCGACGTGACGAGTCGGAGAGGACCCGCATTGTGCTCCCTCTCTGGCGATCCATAATCGGGCTTTGTCCGATATTGCCTCAAACTGAGTGGGGCATTGCGCACCCACACTTTACAGGTGTCGGACAGTCCGACATGTCACTCGTCTTTCATGGCTTGGTCTCCACTAGGGACCAGGGACCATCGGATATGAGCCAGATGCTGGTGTTAGGTCGTCATTATGGTCGTTAAGCCGGCATCTCTGAATCAAGCAGAAAGTGCTTCGGAGTCAGGCTGGCTGCGTCTAGTTACGTGTTGATGCCGGTGATAACCTACATTTGTTCTCAAACTGGTCTGTTTTCTTTATCACTAAGCTCAACTACCGACCAGTGATATTGACTAATTAAAATTCATGGTTTGTAATCTTCACCCTAATAAACCATGTCTCTATCGGCAAACAAGCCTCCAACAGACCTCACATCCGGCTCAATAAAAGTGGATAAATCAACACAGACCAAAGACGATTTACGCCTGGCGGACAAGCATCAGTCAGAGGAATCCGAGAAAGGGAATACGATAAAGATAAGAAATGAGGAGACTAAGATACATCATCAATGTGACGATGAAAGCAATGTCACTTATCCTGAAGGCGGGTACATTGCTTGGGCAGTTGTAGCGGGAAGTTGGTTGGCATTATTCGGCTCTATGTCTTTTATGAACAGCGTCGGGACGTTTCAGGCATATCTGATGCATAACCAACTCAAAGGCCAAAGCTCTACGACCATTGGATGGATCTTTGGTGTTTATACTGGCCTGACATTCCTGCTCGGAGTCTAAGTAGGGCCGATATTCGATGCGACAGGCCCGCGTCAACTCATTGGGGCTGGGGGCTTCACTACGGTGCTCTACCTCGTTCTATTGGGCGAATGTAGTGAATACTGGCATTTCATGCTTGTCTTTGGCGTTTTGGGAGGCTTCAGCCTCTCCCTTGTCTTTAGCCCAGCAATATCGATTGTTGCCCATTACTTTAACAGACGACGCGGCCTTGCTACCGGAATTGCTTCATCTGGGGGCGCTGCCGGAGGGATAGTTTTTCCCCTGATGCTGCAGAGACTCTTCTCGACCATTGGATTTGTTTGGGCCGTGCGTGTGGCCGCCCTTGTCTGCGTCATAACATTTACCTCCGCCGTTCTCCTCATCCGTCCTCGATTCCCCCCAAAGCGGTTGATGCTGTCTTCTGTTCGTCCAAAATTTTCTGTCTTTCGCCATGGCGCGTTCGCATTTACCAGTTTGGGTGTGTTCTTTCTAGAATGGGGACTCTTTATCCCCTTTTCGTACCTCACCTCCTACGCTCTGGACCATCAACAATCTTCAAATTTCTCATACATGCTGATGTCTCTCATAAACGCGGGTGGCATCTTCGGCCGCTGGATCCCGGGTTTCTATGCAGACAGGTTTGGGAGATTCAACATCTTGATTCTTGCCGTCCTTGGGTGCGGCCTATGCAACGCCTGTTTCTGGCTGCCAGCAGAGTCAAGTCAGTCTTTGATGATTATCTTCGCCCTCGCATTTGGTTTCTTCAGTGGCAGCACTGTAAGTCTGGCACCTGTATGCGTGGGGCAGTTATGCAAAATTGAAGCCTATGGACGATACTATGCGACAGCCTATGTCGTGGTTAGTGCGAGGTTTGTCTCGAGCTCTTGTTCCAACCAAGCCTTAAACTAACCTACATAATGCTCATAGTACCTTCACCGCTACTCCAATTGGAGGCGAGCTTCTCCAAAGAGCCAGTGGTAAGTACTGGGCACTAATTATATTTACCATCGCAAGTTACGCAGCGAGCTTCATCTGTCTCATAGTGGCTAAAAGGATTGCCTGCGGGAAGAAGAGCATGTGGACTATTTTCTGAGCCTTCTTTAATATGTACAGAATGAGAACTAGAGCTGCAGCAGAGTGACTTTTAATCAAAATGTAACGTCGTTTAGTTCTCGTACTTGGGAAGGGATGTTTGGTTTTCTTGGCCAAGTCAAAGTCAAGGGCATTGTTTTCGGGAAGGGCGGTCCTCGTGTTCAGACAATATATTTCTCATCGTTTCTGTCTACCAGTGTTACAAGCGTCTCGTGACTAGGTATACTTGACTGATCTTTCTGCACTACTATAGGCGTATTATTTCGCGGTATCCAATTGCAACTCCGCCGTGACGGCGACGAACAAGCCTATCTCAGTGCGAAAGTTTCCCTAAGTAACCCCTACATAATCCCGAGATTATGGACCACTGCTAACTATTGAAATGCAAGTTCCAATAACTCATAAAATTGACGAAGAAATAGTCCAATATATGAATTAGCCGTTAACTGGGACTTCTGAGGATAATAGTGGAACTGTCGGGAGTGCCGAAGGAAATGCTAACCCAGGGTTGGAGGTCGCTCCCGTAATAACTAACGGGCTTGACGCACGCTTCTAGTGATGGTGAGTCGAATTTGATCTTTATATCTAAGTCCAAGGACTCCTTGAACCAAATATGTCCACCGCAGCAGGCTCCAATATCCATTATTTCGAGATTGCTGGGTTTCGCTTCCAAAATGGCTCGATACTCTCTACCACACGCTTGGCTTATCTTGACATCAACCCGAGCTCTAAAAAAACGGCGCTCATAATCACAAGCTTCAGGGGACGTCTTCAATCCACCTTGACCTTTGAGAACGGTGCACTCCATAAATATAGGATCATTGTTGTCGCGTTATTTGGAAACGGCGAATCGTCCAGCCCTTCTAATTCGACAGAATTTCCCACTTCCATTGACTACCGCGACTGTGTTCATGCACAGCGACTTCTTCTAGAAGCCTTGGGTATACAGGCGCTCGATATCGTCATGGGATTCTCCATGGGAGGGCAGTGTGCCTACTATTGGACGGCGATGCACTCTGAATTTGTCCGAAACGCTATCATTATATGCGCCTCGGCTCGAACAAGTCGTCACAACTATCAGTTCTTGGAAGGCCCCAAGGCTGCCCTCGAAAATTCAATCGACTATGTAGCGTACAAAAACCACGTCTCGGGGACTTCTACCAAACCAATTCGTGGCCTCCGCGCTTTTGGCAAAGCATACTCGGCTTGGTTGACGAGCGCTGAATGGTTCGACCGTGAACTATACTTGGCCTTGGGCTATCGAAGCTTCCAAGACTGGGACCACCATGTAGCTGGGTTGAATTATGACAGCTGGGATCCTGACGACTTGCTTGCAAAACTGCGCATGTGGCAAGGCGGGGACATCACAAACGTTGATCAAATAGGTACTAACCAGTCGTTGGAAGAGACCCTGTCACGAATTAAGACGAGTGTCTTACTCATGCCATGTTCGACGGACCAATACTTTCGCTGGGAGGCCAGCGAGAGAGAATCGAGTCACATCCCTCGTGCTACCCTCAAGGTCATACCATCAGTTTGGGGTCATTTGGCAGGATTTGGTATCAATGGAGAAGACGTGAGATGGATGGATAGAGAAATCGCTAAATTTCTAGCCGATTGATTAGAAGACAGGAATCATATGAAGGTATCACCGTGTTTGTCCTTATTACGCACAAACCATATGCTGCTAAAATTTCCAAATGATCTAGTTTAGAACTAGATCCTGGTAACGTTCCTGTCATCTACAGCTAAATCTGCTTTGAACAAAGTTCCTGTCCTATTTCAAATAATGCTGCTGCTTGTAGCAGTTCCTCGTCCATCCATCTCCTCCCAACTAGTTGCATGCCGACTGGAAGTTGAACATCTGGATGATTCGGCACGCTTACGAACCCACAAGGGACATTCAGCCCAGGATGGCCTGTCACGTTGAACGGGCAAGTATTGCTTGTAACTCCAACCGCAGTAGCGAGCCGATCCAAGATGGAAGCTGACGGATCCTCACTCTCCACTGCTTTGGGATGCGGCATGGCTACTGTCGGGGCGCAAGGGGTGACGAGAACGTCAACTTCGTTGAGTGCTCGGTCATATGCGTCCCGCAACTCGAAAACTTTTCGATGGGCTTTCGCCTGAATCGCCGGATTCGAGAACTTCTCTGCATACTTTTCGCTGAACCAAATATTGACCAAAGCCGGGTTCAATTTGGTCATTTTCTCATACCAGTCTTGGGAGGGCGGCCATTGAGATTGGAGATGCGGAGGTAGAAATGAGAGATATCCAGGTGTCTTCCCCTGGCAGAGCGGACTAGACATGGATGGCCGCGTAGATGCAGTCCAAATAATTGGCCCGTCTCGGTGCATTGGAACTGAGATCTCTTTGACAGTTACGCCGGCAGCCGTAAAACACCGCGTTGCAGCCTCGTGGACTATTTTGCGAACTTCGAGACTAACTCCGTCCATCTCAAATGATTCCTTCAGCAGGCCGACGCTCCATCCAAGATTCATTCTAGGCTTCAACTGGAATTGCTTCCGAAAGTTGGCCAAGATCTTCGAATACGGCTTCACTCCGCTTCGGAGAGGGGCCTCAGGGCTCATCCGGGAGTCGAGTCCATCGTAGCCCGCCATAACTTCGAGTAAGGCGGCAATGTCTTCGAGTCGAGAGGCTAAGGGACCTATATGATCTATCATCGGTGACATGGACGCCGCCCCGGTGTACGGTATCAGACCGAAAGTGGGCTTGAGTCCGTAGATCCCATTGAAAGAAGCTGGTATGCGGACCGAGCCTGCTTGGTCACTGCCAATAGCCAGCTCCGCCGTCTCACCATAGTGCTCATTGGACTCGGAAGCAAGAAAATGAGCGGCAACAAGGACACAAGAGCCACTACTGCTCCCCCCAGCGGTGAACCCGTGAAGCCGTGGGTTGTGCACCAGCCCCGTATTTGACGTGAATGACAAAGGAGAGGCGCAGAAACACTCGCAAGTAGAGGTGCCTTTGATTACTGCACCAGCTTCAAGGATTCGAGATACCACTGTAGCATCAACGTAAGATAGCTCAGGCTCCCCGTTAGCCGATTGTGCGGTCGAAGGCGCCCCAAGTGTCGTCGGTAGTCCGCCAACCGATATGTTGTCCTTGATGGCTATGGTGCGATTTTTCAGGACGTCACTGACTGGGCTGACGGAAACAAGTTCGCATCGATGGCTCCAGGCATTTAATGGGTTGTCATGGGTGCTCGGTCTCCAAAATTCCCGACTAGTAGATACGACTTGAGGCTTCAGCGACGGATGGACGTAGTCCGGCCTATCCTTGATTTTCTCCAAAACCACCTCAAAGGACTTTAATAACAAAAGATAATCATCCAAATCTTTACTGTTGGAGATCTTGATCCCCAATTGAACCGCAAGTTCTTGTAGATCGGCTGAAGTTAAATTTGAGCTGCCGCAGTTTGATTAGCGACGTAACGAGTAAGACCATCTAGTGATACTTACGACGAGGCCTCAGTAATTGCAACGATAGACATGGATGATCAAGATGATCGCTACTGCGAAACTTGGCGGTCGGGAAGTTCGTTTTGGGTCGTTTAGGCCGCACTTCGTCAAGGAAATACGGGATAGTATAAGGCCCAATCCGTAGCATCGGAAGCTCCGACAAGCAACGCAGACGCAGGATATTGGTCTTTCCCCACTGTTTGGCTCGGCGCTCTCTACTTGACCGGGCGCAGGATTCTCATGCCTATCTGAACAGGATAAGTGCAGCTTTCAGGTGGTCTTACTACAAGGCAAAGGGCGTAGATTGACTAGGATTGTCCATGCCGTAGCACCCTGGAACTTTGATCCTTTAAGGCGAGAGGAATAGATAGATATAGAAGTAGGACGATGGGGGTAGTTCTTCATCGAGATCGCATATATTGATTTAGTTTCTACGTATCAAGAGGATCGGAGGTGTAGCCTCGATTATCAATTTGTCCTCCCTGTCTAGTCATCTCGTCCACGTGTAATGAAAATTGTCATTCTTGGCCATTGGCAAAGAGCACTCGTCCTCCATCCACACAAAGAGAAATTCCATCAACGTAGGCCTTTCATAGTAGGTCAGTATCCCCTTGGCTTGGGCAACGCAACCGTCAGATAAGAGGTGACTTACTCCCGCGCGGCTGACAAGATAGAGCACCGTGCCGGCAATGTCTTCTTCATCCCCCGACCGTCTGGCAGGCACTTTGTCAAACAGTGCGCTGAACATATTTCCTTCCTCTCCAATTGGATTCATTTTGCTCGGTACGACTGGGAAATTCATCAACACTTCGCCTGGGTCTCGAGATGGTTTAGCAGAAGATACTCACAGCCTGGATTAATTCCTACTACTCTGATATAGAACCTGCCAAACTTGGATGCCAGGAGTTTGACTAGATGATCAGTCGCCGCTTTGGTAGTAGCATAGCTCGTCAAATCTATATTAGTCGCATTGTGCATGCTTGCGCATGAGCTTGTGATGACGATGACACCACGGCCGCTGCTTCTTCCCACTCTGCCATTTTCTATCTTGCGTTGTGAAGCAGCTGCCAGTAAAGGCATAAGGGCAACGGAGAGAAAATAATGAGCTGTCGTATTGACGCAAAACGAGTCTGCCCAATCCGAGTGTCTCGACGACCACATAGATGCTTGGAGTTCTAACAAAGGGGCAGACAGTACATCGCATTGAACCACTGGGTCTCGCCTAATGCCGGCATTAGAGACGAGAATGTCAAGGTATGTCTCTCGCTGGCCTATGTGTCTGGCCACATTGGCAATATTTTCTTTGTCGGACAGGTCGCATTCAATCCTAGGGTCAAACATTCCGTCAGCAATAGGCCCATCTAGTTATGACCATTGTGAGCAAGGCACTGCTGCACCTACCCATGGGCGGTGCCAGAGGAAGATTGACCAAGCTCATTGAGTTGCGCTACCTTCTCGGCAATGGGTTCAGATGGCAATGCAATGACATATACTCTGGCACCATTCGCAACCAATCCCTAGTACGCCCTTTAGCCAATGCTGATGACTTGCAGTGCAGCAAAAAGCGCCATGACACACCTTGCAAATCATGAAACCAAGCCCGCTCGTCCCCCCGGTTACTGCTGCCACCAGTCCTTTCACACTAAAAAGCTGGTTGATGTCGAGCGAAGCCATGGTTTCGTAGAGAACTGTTTGATGGGGAGTTTTCTTCGTATGTTTAGTAAGGTTCCTTTATTTCCTTTATGCCTACTCTTTATTATTGGTAGGTAGAGGACGATACCGCTGGTTGTCGTGGGGGATTGACTTAAAAAGTCCTCATCGGGCATGCCGACAATCATCGGGAAGCGGGACTCAATGAACGTAGCGCGGGAATCGTCTTCCTATCCCCCTTGGTTGGAGTCAAAGATGGTCAAAATTACTATTAGGAACAGTGTTCAAATCATCGAGGGGTTGATGTAAAAATTGATGTCCATACTGCTCATAGTTTTTCTTCATCCCATTTACTGTAATTCTGAATCGTTCTCGGAAAGTCCGCGTATAGAATAAAATGATATTGTGAACATTTAACCAACTGGATCACTTGTTTATAGATGGTTTATCAGGAGATCATTGTACGCGTATGTCTAAGCCAATCTATCTCACACCTCCCAAGTACTTTTCTTAGTCGCCATGGACGAGCATATTCGAGATTGCTGTTGCCTTTTCATCCTTTTCATGCACATCCCACTACTCTTTATAGTGCTCCCTCGTTCTCTCCTCTGCATCAAAAAGGCACTCGGCTGTCGCATTAGTATCCCTTGGGATTAGTTTCACCTTGAACTCCCTAGGGATAGCTACTAGTGCAGTCTTGAACTGGTTGTATTCCACATAATCTGTGTTGGGTGGCATCTCCTCGCTCGCCACAATCTTGTACGATGACAAGATGCGGATGAGAGCGGAGTAAAGCATTCGAGATGCAATGAATTGACCAGAGCATGCACGTGAGCCGGTTCCGAAGCTCAGATGGTTGAGACCATCTATTTCCGCTTCGGTGGGTGGATCAAGGCTTTTCAGCCACCGTTCAGGGTCGAACTTCCCGGCATCTGAGCCGAAGTGATCAACGTCTATAAGACCATGTATTAGCGTCAAACATGAAGAAACACTGACCACTGATCCAAGCATAATCTTACCATGGTTACCAGCTTGTGCATTGATTAAAATCATTGTCTTGGGTGGGATAATGGCGCCGTTCCAGTTCACCTCTTGGACCGTCTTCCTGGGTAGACTCATAGAACTGACTGTGTAGTACCTTCCAGCCTCCTTGACGATAGCGTTGACATATGGGACTTTTTCTTCGACGTAGCAGCTAGTCCAAGCATCACGGACGTCAGGATAGTAACGCTTGATATCCGCGTACGCACGATCCTGCCATTCTTGGCCCTCCTTTGTCGACAGGGAACCGATGCACGAGGTCAGGGTGCCGGGAATCGTCTCGAACCCGCCAGACACAAGTGACAAACAGATCGACGATACTTCAACCCCAGTAAGCTTGGTCTCCTCATCCTTCAGGATGGCAGATGAGATACAAGGCTTATCGGTCCCCTCCTTGATCATGGCTCGAACCTTGTCCAGGAGTAGATTTAAGTAGGCATCGCGGCGCTCTCGAAGCTCTTTTGATCGGGCATTCTTGGTGTTGGTTGGGAGGTAGCGTAAGAATGGCACGTAGTCCTGCAGGTTCTCAGACGCGCTGCGCAAGAGTGAAATGGCTGAACCGACATGAAGGATTTCCCGAAGCAACTCGTCATAGACGCCATCCATACGGATGCCGTAGCATAGCGTCAAAGTCGTGTTGAGTGCATATCTCTGGATATAAGGGCGGATATCGATCTCAATCTGCCCATTGTTGCTATCCTTCTTCATATCCCGCAGAATAGAGTAACTCTCTAGATCAAACATGGGGTAGTACCTCCGTAATGCAGGTCTCCCAAGAGCCGTGCCAGCAGCCTTCCGCTTGTTCTTGCAGGACTCATCCCATGGGGAGGAGCCGATGGTGAATCCTTGGGTGCTGCTGATGACCCCGTGGAAGGTGTACAGCTTTGGCCGGTCAATAACAGCATTCTGGTTCCCCAGCAGCATCTTCTTGCAATCATCAAAGGAGTTGACGACAACAGCTCGAGTGTTGCCAAGCTTGATCTGAAATACGGACTGGTTATACTGCCGCCACCATTTTTCGCATGAGCTCGCATGGTCTTCGCCGAGACTCAGAAGATGACCAAAGATGGGCACTGCCCCTGGAATTTCTGGTAATCCTTTGATGTGTGGGATGTCTGTAGCAAACGCAACCTATTGGGTGTTGGCAAAACTGATGGTCTCTTGTGCAACTAGATCAGGGATCTTCTTACCTGGTACAAGAAGTAGGAGAAAAGAATGATCCCAAGAGCTGTGGCCAGCGGCCCAGCATTCTCATTCCCGATAAACCCGCCCACCCGATGTTGCAAGAGGGCCAGAATACTTTCAGCCTTGGAATCCATGATTGTAGTATGGGCAACAGTCGCGCATATGTCAGTAACACGAGAGAAAATGTAGTCGATCAAAGATTACTAGTTGCAAAGCATGGAGCATACCCTTGACGCAGCACTTTTATGTGCCTGTCTATTGTACGATGAGATTGGCTTCCCTTTCACATCATGTCCCCCACGAAACTCACCTGCTGACGTGATAGAAACAAGTTAGCCTCCGTCAACAGGGGGGTATTGGGTGCTGTCGGACGTGCCGACAGCATCAGGCCCAGAGTTTCCACGCCAAGCCTAGTTTCATTGAGTTCCTCAGTGTTGAGAGTAATCGGCAGGACCGCTTATCGCTTATCTCCTTATACACGACGAATTCTATTGGGTCGGCATGTCTCTTCAAGGTCCACAGCCTTGGTGGAGCGTGGCTCTCTCTCTGATGAGCGATAACGAAGCGAAGCCCGACCGACCATCAGTGTGTAATTAGTTGGCCGACATACCCGGCATCATGTGATTTGGATAACCTTGTTTAGTGGTCTTCTACTTTGAGCCCGTCTCAGGACCATTACATTTCAGCCCAGGCGGAAGATTGGGAATTTACTGAAATAAGCCACGCGTTGATGTGGTATAACATTTGTAAAGTATCCATAGACCCACGATTCAGGATTCAGGAACTGGCCTATATTCCGCGCCTGCCTGCGCAATAGACTGAAAACTCTCCAGGCTATTTGCAATGTCGGGCCGTCCGAAAAGAGAGTACGCATGGAATTCTGTTTGACACAACTTATTCGTTATTCATTAGAAAAAGAGTCCCATGTAAGTATAGTGACTTGCCGTCTACACATGTGTAAGAACCGGATAAGACATGGGGCCCTCTCCAGTCATACTTGTCACGGCCGGATCTGCAGGTCTCGGATCTGCCGTTGCTCGACTGTTTGCCCATCATGGATATAGAGTTGTCATCAATTACAACACGGATAGCGAGCGTGCTAGGACACTGGTTGCAGAACTTTCTGCCCAGCATGCCGAGCTAGACGACGTTGAAGGAATGAAGGGGATTGCACGTTATATCTCGGTTCAGGCTGATCTAGCTTCAGCCCTGGAAATCCGACGTCTGGTCGAAGAGACATACGCTGCCATGGGGCGTATTGATGTTGTCTTGTCGAATGGGGGGTGGACAAAATTCCGCGACACATCATCGATTGACGATAACGTGTTTGAAGAAGACTGGGACAGGGCATTTAACATGAATGTCAAGTCTCATCTTTGGCTCTTGCAAGCATCCAAGCGGTACCTCGAGGAAACGGAAGGGGCTTTCATCACAACTGCATCCCTTGCAGGTGTGACTGGTGTAGGTAGCTCTTTGGTATGATCACAAGCTCATGGACGGACCTTACAGGTTGGATGCTAACACATTTATATCAGGCCTACGGGACTACAAAGGCTGCCCAAATACACATGGTTAAGGGTCTAGCCTGTATGGTAGCGCCTAAGATCCGTGTCAACAGTGTATCACCAGGGCTGCTGCAAACGGTAAGAAAAGGTCTTCATTGACTATATGGAAATTTGTACTAAGGGTGGAGTAGAAATGGGCAACTCGCTTCACCGCCGAACAGAAAGAAGCGCACCGACAAGGAACTAAATTGAAACGTTTTGTCGACGTTGAGGTAAGAACTCAAGACTTTGTGGTGAATTTTCGCATACTTATCCCTAATCATTCTCTAGGATGTTGCGGAGCAAGTCCTTGGTTTAGCAAAATCCAAAAGCATGACTGGGACAAACATCATCGTTGACGCCGGATATAGGCTTTAGCCGCACCTTTGGTGTTGATTGTTTTCAATTTACAGTGTTTTACAATATTTTATTCAGGTATGGCAAGTCAGATAATTTCAACGGAGAAAGCAAACCCAAATAAGAGAAGCAGTTTCGCCGGAGGGCTCGGTCGAAGTTCAGAATCGGAACTGGATCATTCATCATGATGCTCAACAAGTACTTAAATGAACGGAGTAAGCTGGAAGGTGTATACTTTTAAAAAGTCTTAGCTTGTATTACCTCAGTTTGTAGGAGTATTTTATGGTAGTTGACGTAGCATGATACGGATGGGTTGGGAAGCTTCTTGCTTCGAGAGCAACTAATGGCCAAACCGCTCACGGCCACGGAATTTCATCACACTTCCCTACCATTTTTCTTTTGCAAGTCGAAAAGGCAATACCCCTCCACCCAAGGAATCCAACATCTCCAAGGCTGCTGCTCCTTTCTCAAGCCCTGGGTTCCTTAATCTTACCAATGTTAACTTCAGCGCCGTCTGGGAAACAACTAAGGAGGACTTTTTGCCTGTCCTTATAGCAAGCTGCAAGATTTGGCTGGCAGTCATGTTTTTAAATTTCACGGTGGTAAAGACGGTCTAGATGCGAGGTCTAGTCCTTGCTCTAGCTGGGGTGGCGTGCCGTGTCTACTTGAGCATGGTTGCCACTGACTGAACCCTAGCAAGTTTTGCAAATTAAAATGCCGAATGAGAAAACAATAACAAAACCTTGTCTCTTTCCTGTTAGTTTTAGAAGAAGTATCAAGTAGTAAAGAAGAAATGTTCCAGTCAATTGATAAACATCAATGACAGCCAAAGAATTGTTTTAAACAAGGCGATGTATAGAACAATTAGAACTCATTGGGCGGTTCTTGTGAAAGCTGAAATCCACACCCAGCGTTATCAATTATCGATGTCTTGCCCCATGCTGTGACAAACCGCACAAAGACTTTGTACGATTTTCTCCCTTTAAGGTGTGATCAGACATAGCAATACTCTGCGCGGTTTGCTCTATCCATGTCTGCGAGCTAATGATCAGTATCTACACAATTTCCACCTATCTATGGGATTATCTCGAGAAGGCCGAAGAAGGAATTTCCCCTGATTTCAAAGCTCTTTGTCCCATGCGTACTTCTCTCTTGGTTGCACCTTTTACGTTGCCTGTACTTCTTCCGTCAGTTGACTAAATCGCCCGCGTACCAGACTCACGGCGGCCCTTGTTTTCGGAGACAGCTCCCACAGTCTTAATATGTCGACCCCTACCATGTCGGCCACCCCGATAGATTGCATACCCTGCGTGCGGGCAACTCTCCAGTCCCTACTTTCTCTTAAGAATCCCCTGCAAAACATCGATTGTCTCTTTAATATTTGATCGCACCGTGGGGTGGGCATTGCTGCCAATTGTCATCGCCATTCACCGTCAAGAAGTTCAACGAATACTCGACAAGGGGTAGGCCCGTCTTCGTGCTCAACCTTGGGTTAATATGCAAGCAACTCATGAGTTGATCCGAATCACCTGGTCTCCCAAGTTGTCCGCCACCAGGGGGAAGAAAGTGAAAGACCCGAGGTAGTTTGTAATCGGCTGTACCGCCCAAACAACGCTGGAAAAAGTGCCGGCGATCCGTCGGGTTGGCCGCCCTCTGATAGTCTAGCGCAACGAGGAGCATGTCATCCACCTCGTGTATCTCCGGTTATCTCCAAAGCCTGAGCTGTCCAGAAATTACTCGTAGTGACTCGCAAAGGATACCCTGATCCAATAGAGTGATAACGTATCTAAAATATAGATAGCATCTGCCGTTATCCCGGTTTATCAGGTTGAGGTAATCAATGTGAGATCAAGGACCAGCTCATTCGTCGATTATGGTACAAGTTCCCAGTCGGTTCGTCTAGAGCACCAGCCCTCCCATGACTCGGCTTCGCGGCCTTCGCCCCGCATCGAGGAGCCTCTACCAGGATAGCGAACCGATTTAGGAAACGCGGGGAATGAACTGCTGCCGGGAAAGATGGAACAAGGATTCCAAGATACTCTCCCCCCCCTCTGAAAGGCATCAATTATAAAAGGTACGCCCATCACCGAGTAATGCCAAGACTGACGCACCCACTCTTCTTCCACCTCAAGACTAGAGAAATTCGTTTGGGCTCGAAGCCCTCTAAGTCTACCATAATGTTCGGTAAATACGCTCAGTCGGTCAAGATCGGCTTCACCGCGGCTTTGGTTATTTCGGCCTGTGTCGTTGACTCTGTCACTATTGCCTACGATGGATCTGTTATGGGCTCTGTCAATGTGATGCCCAGCTACAACAACTATTTCGAAATAACCACGGCCACTAAGGCTGTCAACTCCACGGCTACATCATTGGGCGCAATCCTGATTGCACTCTTTGCAGGATTCATTGTTGATAAGTACGGCCGCCGATATAGCGTTCTGGCCAGTGCACTTTTCAACATTCTCGGTGCCGTGATCACCGCTAGTGCTCAAAGCCTTGCCATGTTCATTGCTGGCCGAATGGTTGTTGGCTTGGGCATGGGTCTCGCTCAAACCGCCGCAGGTATCTACGTGGCCGAGACAACTCCGCCAAAGATTCGGGCGTTTGCGTTGGGCTTGTATTACACGTGCTGGGCTGTAGGGGGCATCCTGGCCACTGGTATATCTTTTGGAGTGAGTTGTTCCCAAGACACCTCCTCCTTCCCTATGCTTGCGATAGACAGAACCTAACGTATGTTTAGTGCACTGCACTTGAGCCTTCGGATTGGGCGTGGAGAGTGCCATCTCTGTTTCAGGGTTTCGCTCCTTTACTGATTGTCGTCCTAACGCCGTTCCTCCCTGAATCTCCTCGCTGGCTTATTCACAAGGATCGCCTGGATGAAGCCATCAAAGTTCTTGCGCGCATCAACGGTTCCACACCTAGCGACCCGGTTGTCCAAGTTCAATATACGGAAATTGTTGATACGTTGAATTACGAGAAGACTGAAGGCAAGAGTATTGGGTTTGTCGGAGTCGTGCGTAGTGCGCCAAATAGGCGACGGCTTATTCTTGCTCTGTCAGTTTCCCCTGTGACAATGTTATCAGGTTCCAACGTTATCACATACTACTATGGAGACATGCTTTCTCAAGCTGGTATCACTTCGTCCACAACCCAAATGGAAATCAACCTTATTCTATCGGTTTGGCAACTCGTCGTTGCTCTTGCCGGCTGCCTTCTAGCGGAAAGACTCGGAAGACGGATTCTCTGTCTCAGTTCACTGCTGGGTTGCACCGTCATGTTCTATATCGTCGGTGCCCTCACGGCTGTCTACGGTACAAGTTCATATGCTCCGGGTATCCAGGGTACAGTGGCCGCAGTGTTTCTCTTCCTGGGATTTTACTCGTTTGGTCTTACGCCTTTGACGCAGATGTATCCCCCAGAGGTTTTATCCTTCCGACTACGTGCTACGGGTATGAGTCTATTTACCCTTATTAATAAGGCATGCGGAATCTTCGTCACTATGGTTTTCCCCTACATGTTTGACGCTGTTGGCTGGAAGACATATGTCATTAACGCAAGCTGGAATTTTCTGTTCATCATTTTTGTTTATTTCTACTGGGTTGAAACAAAGGGCAAAACGCTCGAAGAGGTCGATGAATTGTTCGACGGCGTGAAGCACTCTGACGTTCCAGATTTGGACCAGGTGAATGGCGATGAGAAAATTATAGAGGGCAAATTTGGGAAGGTTTGAGTTGACATAAGGGTGTAGTTGGGTCAGGAGTCCAGATGGTTGGCACGAGAGTTACTTTCGAAAATAAGTACCAGATCCAATAATAAGAGTAGCAATTATTCATTCGCGGGAAAATTGAGCTGTATTGTTACCTCTTGTGCTGGTGCTTCTTTACGCTTGGCAGCTCGAAGGATGCTTCGCACTCACGCAATCATGGACCACTTCTAGGTCTTATGGATTTGGTGATATACATGCACTCAACGAAAATAAACCACTACCAGCCGTCCTTAATTCTAAGCCTCCTCGTCGAAGAATCCCTAACCGACCTGCTCTTGTCTCCCAGATGCCGCGTTGAAGCTTTCCATCCCGCTCACCTCAAGTAGACCGTAGTAGTGTATCCAGAGTTGATGCTACTCGAATGAGCTCTTCATCCTCAAAAGGGCGTCCCACAATTTGGATCGTCGACGGCTGGTTCGAGAATAGGTTCGGATCGTCTGTTCACGGCAAAAGAAATCGTTAGCGACTGTACACGGCTCCAGCTCGGGCGCTTAGGATTAGTAGGCTTACACAAATCATGATTGGCCTTGTCATAAGGATTCGTTTCCAGCGGCTGGTAGTGGACGTCCACAGGGTCTTGCTGGGCGTCGATCTTGAACTTGGGGATCGGTAAGATTACGGAGGGGTAGTCGAGGAGGTTGAACAATGAGGTATATCCCCAGTAGACGTTGAAGTTATGAGGAATGCCCACTGACGGTGCTGGGGGGCAGATGATTGCATCGATAGGGCGGCTCGTCGTGGTGCTGCGGATCGTCTCGCTCCACGCATCGCGGAATCGTTCTTTGAAGATTCTGGTTTTGACGTTCAACTGTCATAGGGTCAGGAAGCCGAAAATCTTGTTATCTTTTAAGCGGGCTAACATACTCCCAATGCTTCTACGGTGGAGAGCTCTCTCGTGTTGTAAACCTTGATGAGGTCCGCAACGGCTGGTAAAAGTGGTTCACCGGAAGCTTCAACAGCGGCTAAAGTTTGCCCTGCCCCTGATTGGTAGTATATGTCGAACTAGATAACCGTTCGTTAGTGAGCTACTCGTCGCTTTTTGGTGAAACTCTTATTACCGTTGTCTGAGAAGCGTCCCAGCAATCAAATGGCGGGTCGAATTCAATGACTGTGACTCGGGTAAGCGAGGGTTAGAACTAAGTAAAGAGTGTAAAATGATAGACTTGCCTTGGTGTCCAGCCCTTTCGAGAGCTTGTTTGGCATGGTCCAAGGCTCGGAGTATCGGCGGGTGAGGCATAACCACACCATCCCACTTCATAATTCCGATGGCGAGTTTGCCATTCAAGGCATCCAGGTTCCTCCACGGAACTGGTGCACAGGTAACGTCATATTTGTTGTGCGGGTACGCGTTGATGACCCTCGTAAGCAACTCAATGTCGCCGATGGAGTGACAAATGGGCCCGCAGGACAGTTGAATTGTGGTCTGCCCCGTGCTGTTGATGTTGTCCATGCCGCCTTTTGGCACGCGGTCTGCAGTAGGTCGAATGGCGTATAGTCCGTTGAAAGCAGCTGGTACGCGAATGGATCCTCCCATGTCAGTGGAGGGCGTGATGGGACAGCCTCTCATGGCGACCAAGACCGCGTCTCCTCCTGAGCTGCCACCGGAGCTTAGGTCGATGTTGAAGGGGCTCAGGGTCCGACCCCAAAGATTGCTGGCCGTCTCAAGGGCCATTCCCGTCTGGGGCATGGTTGTCTTGCAGAAGAATACTGCCCCAGCGGCACGCAACGTGGCTACCAGGGCAGAGTCATGCTGAGGAACAAAGTTTCTCTTTGAAACATAGCCCGTTGTTGTGGAATGACCTTTGAGAAAGTGGAAGTCCTATGGAATCTCGCATGAGCACCTTTGCAACTAAGAACCAAGTTATGGGATGCTTCTGTGTACCTTTATGGCAATAGGAACTCCATGCAATGGACCCTTTAATTTGCCGCCAGAGTCGAGAATATCGTCAAGCTCTTCTGCTTGCCGGAGACCCTCTTCAAAGAACCAATCGGTCAGGCAATTGACCTATTCTGACGTTAGTCGAACCCTTACTCAGGAAGTCCTGTCTTACCAGTTGGTGAGCAATGGCAGCACGGGCAGCGAAGGCTTCTAAAACCTGTACTGCTTTTAGCTCACGGGCCTCAAGACCCCTCACTATCTCAACTGCTGTGAGTTCAGTAATTCTGAGTTGGACATCAGTCAGAATGCCACAGGTATAAGGTACGCTCGTGACATCCTTCAGCGACTTGTATTTATGCAGATCCAGTCGCCAACGTCCTGGAATCGATTTCAACAAATTTGTCTGGGATGCTTGGGCGATGGGTTTCCAAGACATTTCAAAGGTCCCAAACAAAGTCCTCAAGGCGATGTTGAATGAAAGATAAGGTATATTCTTGCTCTGGGGAAGGGAGGTGAGATGACTATGTTTTCGTATGAGTGATATTCGATTGCAGCTTGCCTCGATACACCGGTACCAGGAATGGCGCTCTATATATACAAAATATGAATGAAGAATGGGAGGGGTGGACAGGAACGTTGCAAGAGGGAGGGGGGAGACGGATGGTATGCGATCATACGTCTGAGAAAACAAAAGCTGAAAAAAAGGTTTAGTTCAAATGGTCCACCTGACAAATTAAATGACCAGCGCTTGTCGGCGCTAGTTCTCGATTATCACTCGTATCGATCCAGTTTTCCCTCCCTCCATGCACACTCGGTGGCCCCCCCATGCAGACGCACACATCATTAGATCAACTACATCACATCCACCACATCATAAGAGTTATAGTTTTTACATTATTAATCGTTTTGATCTCATGGTAAATGCCTCAATCAATTAATAATGAGTGATTATAAATCTGCTGAGCGAAGTATAGTGTCTCATATCATAAGGGGCAAGATAAACTCACAGCATGTACTCCTCACCCTGGCCTTTATTACATACATACTCGGGATACCCAGGAGCATCTTAACGTTTTCGTTTGTCTAGATATCACCAAACTCTCAGATAATCGCAATCATGGTCCAAGCAATCATCGACAACATTGCCGCCAAAGGCATCTCCTACTACACGCCGGCTCAAGAGCCTCCAGCGGGCACAGGATTGGATGGATCAACCAAGCTATTCACCCCCATCACCATCCGTGGCACTACCTTCCAGAACCGCGTGTTCCTTTCGCCCCTCTGCCAGTACTCGGCTAAGGATGGCTACGCTACGGACTGGCACTTGACGCACCTAGGCGGCATCATCCAGCGCGGCCCAGGGCTGGCCATCATGGAGTCAACTGCCGTGCAGCGGACCGGCCGCATCACGCCTCAGGACCTTGGTCTCTGGGAGGACGGCCAAATTGAGCCTCTGAAGCGCATTACCGAGTTTGCGCACAGCCAAGGCCAGAAGATTGCCATCCAGCTCTCCCACGCCGGCCGCAAAGCGAGCTGCGTTTCTCCCTGGCTGAGTGCCAACGCCGTCGCGGTTAAGGAGGTCGGCGGCTGGCCGGACGAGATTTTCGCTCCTTCAGCCATCCCACAGGAGGAGGGCATCAACCCTGTGCCCACGGCCTTTACTCTAGAGGATATTGAGGAGCTAAAGACCTCCTTTGTGGATGCGGCCAGGAGAGCGGTCGAGGCAGGGTTCGACGCCATCGAACTGCACTCGGCGCATGGCTATCTACTGCACCAATTTCTAAGCCCCATTAGCAATCAGCGGACTGATGCGTATGGGGGCAACTTTGAAAACCGGACTAGGATCCATGTGGAACTTGCCGATCTGATCAGGGCTGCCATCCCTGATACAATCCCTCTGTTTGTGCGGCTTAGTGCCACGGACTGGTTCGAGTTTGACTCGAACCTGAAGGCCGAGTTTCCCGACAGCTGGACCGTCTCCCAGTCGGTCCAGTTCGCCTCCCTCCTGGCCGACCATGGGGTCGACTTGGTTGATGTCAGCTCCGGCGGGATACACGCCAAGTCGGCCATTGCCATCAAGGCGGGCCCAGCCTATCAGGTTCACTTCGCGCAGGAGATTAAGAAAGCCGTGGGCGATAGGCTGCTCGTGGCAGCGGTTGGGGGGATCAAGACTGGGGCTCTGGCGGAGGACACGCTGCAGTCGGGCATCGATGTCGTCCTAGCCGGACGTTGGTTCCAGCAGAACCCTGGCTTGGTCGGGGCGTTTGCGCAGGAGCTTGGCGTGAAGGTCAGGATGGCCCATCAAATTGGCTGGAGCTTTTTGGGACGGGGAGAGAAGCGACGCAGTTAGCACAACAAGGATCGCCGATTGATTAGTTCGATATTAGACTAGTACGAGTAAATTCCTTTCTGACGAATCTTAATGTGCAAATAGCAGAAATTGGCGGTAGGTTTAAATATATACCTAGTGGACGTAGGATCCCTAAGTTTCTACTTGACAGAAACAAGTACCTGATTCAACTAAATTCGGAGCTATCAAGCGATTTTGGATTTACTAGGGAAAACCGTTAGTTCTCTAGAAACATTAACTAGGTCTAGAACTCATTACATGGCGTATTCGTTGTAGCGGATGTCTATTGTAGTTGAGAAAGCGTCATGACCAATCTACAGGGTAAACCCAGAAACTGAGGCTGATACCGTAAGAAGTCTAGTTTGCGTAGGAGATCCATTAATTAAACCATGTAGGCTCCACCGTCTGAACTGCAAGGGGGAGCGGAGTTCGTTATTATTTCCTATTCGTTGAGACTGGGGCTGGTCCGACGGAGACTCGTAATTAGACCTGATTGGCTCTACACTCTTATCAGCCAAACTTAGGAGCATTTATCAGCAGCTAATCGTCGTCGGTCTGGGTCCGGGCGTCACCAGCAGCGTAATTTGGGAGTTGTCTTGAAAGTTTTATTGCTAGCCAATGGCATTTATTTGCGTGCTCCACCTCCGCCATGTGGTCTCGCCTGCCAAGATGCCGGAGATGATAGTTATCGCGGGGAAACCTGATAAACACCAGGCTCGACTTGATATATGATGCTATCGGTGTATATAACATTCGTGACTGCCCTGTGTAGGGACCCTTCAATTCGAGCGGTCATTACGCCAGCCTGCATTCAAACAAAATATAATTCATCTCGATTCTTGAGCATTGACGAGACAGTCCAACCATGTCCAATCCCCCAGAAGGCACGGCGAACAGGGATCCTGTCCCAGGCACGGCGCATCTCGTCGACTTGGATCATAACCTGCAGGCCCGTCACTCAAGCAGCGATGGCGACATCATCTTGATTCCATCGCCCTCCAACGACCCTAACGACCCCTTGAATTGGGCTCCCCGACGCAAGTTGCTCTCTCTTCTCTGCCAGAACCTGTAAGTGCATCCAAGTAATTCAAACTAAGTGGTATATAACTCGGAATGCAAGTGTATTCAAACTCACGTGTGTTAAAGGTTTACCTGGTTTACCGGAATCGCCGTTTCTAACGTATACTCGGTTCTTGTGCCGCTTTCTGGAGCGACTGGCGTCTCCATCGCTACCCTCAACGAGGGGACTGGGTATATGTACCTATTCTTGGGATGGGGTCTACTATTCTGGCAGCCCTTTTCCGCTTGTTATGGCAAGCGTCTCTGCTATCTTCTTTCCGTGATCGGTGCCATTGTAAGTAAATCGCCACATTGAGTAGTGGTAATATATGCTAACTGCTCATTCTCTAGGGCACAAGCATTTGGGGGTAGGTTTCACCGCACATGCAATGGGTGGCTACAGTAGAGGAATTGTGAAACTTGAGTTGACGCTTGGCTTACTTACCTTTCTTCTTTCTACAGTGCACATATCAAGAGCGACGGCGAATGGATTGCCAAGTCTATTCTGCAAGGATTCTTCATCTCGCCGATTGAAGCCCTTCCTGAGATCTCTGTTACCGATATTGTAAGTCTAAGCCCCCCGGTGGCACGACTCGCAAACTTTCTTAAAACCCGCGAGTTCAATATAAGAAGTGGCTCTAATAATATCATTCATTAGTACTTCACTCACGAGCGCGGTACATATATGGGAATATACGCTCTTTCTCTGGCTGGGAGCAACTACTTTGCGCCCGTCATCTGTGGCTTCATCGCAGAATACCAGGGATGGCGGTGGGTGTTTTACTGGCCTGCCATCTTCCTCGCTGCTGCTTTCGTCTTCCTCTTTCTATTCATGGAAGAGACAAATTACCACCGGGTGCACTCTGGACAGGAAACCCGAATCCAGGCAGGATCGGTAACTACTACAGACCACAATGCCAGTGAGCTCCCAGATAGCGAGAAGAACGATACTCCGCCTACGAGTCCACCCTTGGCTGAAAATGGCGAAGTCTATGCGGCACCAAGGTCCTTTGTTCAGAAGCTGGCAGTCTGGTATCCAACCCCAGGCCAGAATATGCTACAGCGGGTAGTCAGGGCAATAACCTTTCTTTCATGGCCTGTCATCTTTTACGCCGGCTTCTCTTACGGTTCTTACCTTATCTGGTTCAACGTTCTCGGTGCTACTGCCTCTATCGTTCTGTCAGGAGAGCCGTACAACTTTTCCTCCTCCATGGTCGGACTTAGCTATGTATCCTGCTGCGTTGGCGTCATAGTGGGATCCTTGACCTCGGGCAGGTTGAGCGACTGGCTGACCATCAAGCTCGCCCGCCGAAATAACGGCATCATGGAGGCGGAGCATCGCCTATGGCCCTTCAGCATATGCGTGATCATAGTGCCAAGCTCACTGATTCTCTGGGGTGTCGGTGCTCAGCACGGAATTCACTGGATGGGCCTCTGTGTTGCAATGGGATGCCTCGCCTTTACCATGACAATGGGCGTTACTCTCAGCGTAAACTATCTGATCGATAGCTATCACGACATCAGTTCGGACGCACTCGTTGCCGTGATTATCGTCCGGAACACCATGTCGTTTGCTATCAGCTACGGGTACGTATCTAAATGTTGTCCCACTTCCTAACGCTTGCACGAGAAGATTTCAAGTTATACTGACAAATATATCATGGCAAAAGCATTACCCCATGGATCACCAACTTGGGCTACCAGAACTGTTTCATCTCTGCCGCTTTTATTGGCATGGTTGCCTCGTCTGCCTTCCTTGTCATGATCAAATACGGAAAGTCGTTCCGGGTGAAGAGCGCCAGCAAGTACCGGAAGCTTGTTGACGATGATATTGCCAAGAGACAGGTGGAATAATGCAGTTTTGAGGGAGCGCATAAATTGAGGAGGTTCAACCACAATTCTCCTCATTATGGAGTATGGAGATGCAAATGCAAGATAATTGTTGCCATATATCCACGAATGGGCCTTCAAGGAAAAGCCAATAAGAATTTCCAGGGTGCTGTCTTTCACTCCATAGATGTAGACTCGACATTGCCATGAGCTCTCTGAGTAGTTAGAATTCCTCATTATAGCTCTTAAATCTTAAATCTGCTCGCCTCGCGTGCGCTATTCACAGATGAGAGAGCCAGCCGTGTTTGGAGTTGACCTGTTCCACGGTGACGATTGCCCTACTCCACCTTTATTCTTGTTAGTCCTTCGACCGCATGATCTAGATTTGCTCAGCCAGCCAATAGAGAGGCATTGATTCTAAGCCGCTTATGATCACGATCAGGCTGACTAACTCACCACTTGCCTTTATTAAAGTGCCTCCGCCGCCACCAATTTGGGGTTGATGCATCCCCGCTCTTATTAAGTTATTAACATCAAGCCCATCGGAAAATCGCTACATCTTACCGCCATGAAAAGGCCTGCACGAGCAAGACTACGTACAAAGACTGGATGCCTCACTTGTGAGCCAGACGCCGCAACCTCCCAACTTCGGCCACCAGCTACTAATTGGATACCGACATAGGCAGGCAACGGAGAGTAAAATGCGACGAGACGCTCCCCGTATGCCAAAGTTGTGGATCCGCCAATCGCGAATGCAGATGGCCAAAGCAGGATGACAATATCGATCGCCGCTTCTTGTCTCACCACCAATCAAGACATCACAAAAGAGTGCTAGATGACGATGTTTCGGTAGATGGGCAAGAGGCTCCTAATGACGACCAATTGGTAACTTCCGTCGATCGCTCCCAAACGCTCGTGCTTCATTCTCTTGAGTCAGCCATGGCGCACCAAGCCATGGCTGATGTCCTGGAACCTATCATCTGCCGCCACTTCGTTGATACATACTACGGCCTCATCATCCTCCCTGGATGCCATTCAGGCTTCTATCATGGATGGCTGGCCGAGATCTTGCGTCTGATGGCGTCGCATAAATCCCTGTACTACTCAGTCTTAGCCTGTGCTACATCACACCTTCATTCAATTGATGAATGTGTACAGATGCGTGAGCTGGCTCTAACCTATTACTCCAGAGCTATTTCGAAGCTCTCTCAACTGCTTGTTGCTCCGTCTCATCCTGAAACCAACGACGGCTTGTTAACGTCGATTATTTTATTGTATATCCACGGGGTAAGACGGCCATGGCCTGCGAATGATCTTATTAAATTCAGGTACCCTAGATGCTAACGCTTTCATGTGCCAACAGTGCATGGGCTGGGGCACGTATTCCGATATACCTCGACACCTAAATGCGGCGATGAGCATCATCGCATTACGGCTCTTGGGCCGTCCTATGGGCATTGATCGGCTATTCGACTACTTGGCCGTGGAAAGCGTCTTGTATCACATATTCCACATGGCCACTGGCCTCTGGACAGACGTATCCGGATCAAATTACGACTCCTATATTGACTTCTGGTATCAAGCGGAGAACCTATTGGATCGATCTTCGTTTACTACAGACTCGAGGCGTTTAACTAGTCCTGTGATTGGCGTTCCCATTGCACTCTTTCGGCTCGCGTTGCTGCTACGCCAGCAGCGCCGGAACTCTCTGCCAATTACGATGGACTTGCAGTCTATCCAGTCTGAGGTCTTGGGATATGAGATGATGCTCTTCGTAAGCCAGGAACCACAGTCCACGCCGGACAACTCAACCATCCAAGAGGATTATTACAGGGATGCGGGCTCTCTCTATGCCATCATCGTTTCATTACTGTGGAGGCAAATGCTACCCCGTATAGAGCCGGGACCGCCCCTGGAAGTATCGGGCGACTGTTGGCAGATCAGGAGAGCCATTCAAATCTTCAAAAAATATGAGCATGACGATGGGTGGGCAAGATGCTTCATCGGCAACTGGCCCACGTACACGCTGGGCTTCTTCGTGTCGACCACTGAGGACAAGCAAGTCATTAAAGCCGAAATGCAGCGGAGATGGGATCTTACGAAGTTTGCACAAGTTAACCGGTATATTGGAGACCTGCAAGGTGAATGGGCTGCCCGACAGAGCTAGAACCGCCGGTCGTCATGTGTAAGCTTAGCCTGAGGCGTAGAATACTTTCCGTATGATATATGAAATAGTATCAAAGACATCTTCAACTCCAAGCCCTACGAAATCTCCGGCGACTGAAAGTTGGTATCTATAGATCGCTCAGCGTCTGGCCCTGGGATACTTTCTCATCTTCCGAAGCCGTCATTAATCCATTCCTGGCGCTCATCATGAAAGTCAAGACGGTATCACCTTCTTCTTTTCGCTATTGGAAGTGACACTTGCTCGGCGCCGACGACGACGAAGCTGGCAACGAACTACATGCTCCAGCCCAGCCATCCAATGACATGTTTTCGTTGAGCCTGCCCAGATTGGCCGGAGTGGCGTACCTTCCAGCACGAGGATTAGCAATTCTTTCTAGTCCAGCAAGCTACTCCCATACATTTATCATCCAAAAACGACCCGTAGGAAGATCTGTGGTGTTTTATTGAAAGCGTTTCTCGCGTACCGAAGTGGACTGTTTTTAAATAAACGTGGTGTTGCGCGTGTGTTGGTTAAAACAACCACGTTATGCATTACATATCCGACCTCCAAAAAGTAAAACCGAGAAGCTAAAACCATTGACCCGCCGGCTTCCATCAACTCACTGTACATGTATTTCGTTACTCGATAGACTAGCAAATACAGCTCTCGCTTTCATTTGAAGAGTGTCCATAGCTGATTGCTAGTAGCAGAGGGTTCGGCACCAATCTCATTATTCATGCTAGGCATTAACTCCCCACCAGCCAAAGTTAGTATTTGGTCCAAGGAAGTGTTTGGGACATTATAGAAGGTAAATTCTTGATGCCACTGTTGAAGACTACCGGAATCCAATGCAGCCTCGTTATCTTCTGATGATTCTGCGCAATGTTAGCATTAGGTTCGGTGTGAGGGTAGCAAAGGGCCTCCTACCATGCATAGATCCGATGGATCTAGAAATATGCTCCAGGCCCCGAAAATATTGGGAAGCCTCAGAGTCATACTCTAGCATTCGGCTAAAGAAGTCCTGGCACATTTGCCATGATTTGTGAAAGCTATCGTGATTCGGATAATGCAAGTCTGAATAGCATATGTCGGCTAGAATGATCACCATAGCCGCATGGTACATATCTAGGAAACCGTTAGTTTCATCTAGGAAGAAATCTCTTGGCTCCCAAGCCATACAATAGCTAGTAAACCAGGGCGAACCGCCGTGTATTGCCCCTGAGGTGGTACTGATATGGTTGATCAATGCTTGGGCGGTGCCAATGCAGGCAAGCGAACACTTCTCAACAAAGGCTCTGTTGAGCGTGTTGGGCGAGGTTTTATGCCAGCTTGCCTTGCCTTCGGCCTTTATCTTTCTGTATAACTGAACGAGTAGGGGTCGATAGAGTAATGAGCGAATATGCAGAAATCTAAGACACGTTAAGACGAGTTAGACAGCCTTGGTATTGTATCCCGTGCATGCCTTACCTCGTGTGTAAAACATGCCTCTGGTGTGCTAGCATATCATAATCATAGGATGTAGAGGCATTCTTCGATATGGAAAGAGAGTCGGGCAGTTCGGCCTTGAACCTATCCAACTCTTGGTCAAGGACTATAATGGATGCCAGCTGTTGCGCCAAGTACGGTTCCTCATTATCGTGGGACCAATTGCACTCCGCAAGCTTTTTCGAAGAACCGTAAACTTGTCTGAGGATCCTATTCAAAATTTGATTAAGCTTAATCGCATGTATAAAGAACATGGTTGAAGAAGTGTCTGAATCGCCTTGGTCGGTCTTCTCTGGAGGAGATGGTTCAGACATGGCTGTGTCCAACAAGTCTGGGAAGGGGACCTTGGCTACATCAGGATTGGAGCATGGCCGACCTGTTAACATGCCTGCGACTCTATGTAGGGAATTAGCAAAGACTATGTAGGAAAGAGAGGACGCGGGAACAAGTTTGGATATTGACAAATCTTACGTTTCAAGACACACACAACTGTGCCACACTCGACGCCGGATATCGGTTTCTAGCTCAGATGCTGTGCCTGTGCCTATCTCAAGGTGCAGACCCAAGCCCTGAGCCATGCGATGAGCCGTTCCCACAACGTTCCAGCAGCGGGTGGAGAGACCCGTGTTCTGCAGGTAACGTGCCAGAATGAGCAGCGCTTGGATGGTGGACAGATCCCCGTGATCCAAAAAGTCAAGCCGCATCAGGTGACGGGAGCGCCTCACGAACGGAGCGGCTCTCTCCTTGCGTTCATTGGCAGGTGCCTCTGTGAAATGAATTGCCAGGGCGAATGCTGCATTGAGCGCGCAGTAGAACACTGGTATCGAGCAGTTCGGTCCTCCGAGGCCGATGCCAGTAAGCTGAGGCATAGCTTTCACATCCGGGTCAGAAAGCCAGAGGCGATTGTATGCTTCCATGAATATCGGCCAACATAGGAATGGATAAATGCTTTGCACTCTTATGCGGTAAAGTTTCAGTAAATCGTCGGCCACGAATTGTGGGGGGAGATGGAAGTCATCGTTGTCCCCTGAGTGACGCATGGAAAGTGTGTGCCTAGGCGTTTGAGGGTGTCGACTGAGACTGTCACGACCCTGCATCGTTGGTATAGACACCCGATGGGAATGATGTTGGATGTCATTAAGAAGTGATGCCGCAGAGGGCTCGCCATAGAACTCGCTGCTCATGTCCGTGTCCGTTGCGATGTCTGAACCCACACAGGTAATCCCCATGGCGTTTACAGCAGTTGAATTATTATGCGAGACTGAACTCTCGTTTTTCCCCATGCCGTTGATCGCTAGGCTAGTCGGGGATTTCGAGACCTCATGACTAGCAGGCAGTAGATTTGGATCGATAATAGGTGGGCTTGAATCGAAGTGAGTGCCTGGAAGAGGAAACGGATCCAAATTGAGCAACTGCGACTGTATCGACACCGGCTCCTCGTCCTGCTCCTTGTTGCTGCTATCTATATTCTCAGCCGATTTGTGTGCCTCTGCTTCTCGCAGCTTGGCTTCTAGATAGGCTAGACGGTCATGGAGCGACTGCATGGCACTAGGTAGACCTGTTAGATTTCTGTAGATTTTGTCATGGTGACTGACAATGGGTACACCGTTCGCCCATACCGCTTATGCCCTGAGAGCCTCGAGGGCTCGCTCAGGTATCTGCAAGCTCGGACGCCCTTGGGAGCCTGTCTGCAGGCACTGCACTCGGGACGGACTCCGTCGCATTTGATTTTGCGCGCGCGGCATTCTTCGCAAGCCAGGCTGATCTTCTGTCGCTTTCGCGACGATCCAGCTTTGTGCCGTCCATCGGCCTGGACAGATATCTCTGGACTAAATTGTTCCTCGATCGCAGTCGGGTTGGATGACTCCTCCAGCAAGGGCGGCGTGTTGTCGTGCGGCGCCAAAGACATGGGGACAACGGAGCTGTTGGGGTCGCAGGGCTGTGAATTAAAGGGCCTCGTGCGCCATATTCAGAGTCTCGTATCCTGTGGCTTCCCATCTCTAGAAAGTTTGGGTTGTTGTTTCGCTCGTTGTGATACGCCATAGGCATGTCGGCTTGCTCTGAATCCGAATTTCCCTAAAGGCGAGCCCCGATGTGGTCGGCGTCCGACGGTAAAGTACGAATTTCCGGGGCCGACGTTCAATGACGTAGGGACGGGAACAAAGATAATCCAACGCTGTCCACTGGATTGTCTGATCATCCAATTCAGGAACTCGGGCATTCGGAAGAAGACCCGAAATGTGAATGCGGGTTCCGGGCGGGGCGAATCCGAGTCGCCTAGGATCGATCACCGCAAGGCATGGATGGAACAGGGATGGGCAGGCTGGTATTTATTGACCTCGTAATCCGCTGACTGAAAATACATGTGCAGCCCAGTCACGAATCACAGGTATTCATTCTATGTGGACGGCCCTGCTTAGTATAAATAATGGCGAATTCAACCGCATTCGAAAAGGCAACCGTATATAGCCTGGGTGAGCGTGAAGACGATCCTGCAAAGACACTCGCCAAGCTTTTAAAAGCAAATCACGAATCAAATGCAGTCCTCCGTAATCCGAGGCTGCTCTTCCACAATCATGTACCTCATGTGAGACCAAAATCTGTCCATATAACCCGATTACGAATGCTCAGACGTGTTTAGGCTCTTGGATCCTCTTACCTTCTTGGTGCCGACAGCGCCAAGCTGGAGGAGATTTACGCCGCCGAAAAGCCCAATCTCTACGACATCACCACTGATCTGGTGCGACATGTCATCACAAGCGATAACTGGAGGCAATTCCTTGGCCAGAAGAAGTATGTGCAGCGAGGCGTTGCCTAATCAGCCGCGTGACTGATACTCACATGGTTTACTACAGATATACCGCTGCCTATGTTGACTACTTTGACGCCGAGATAGAAAAAGTCAACGGGGACTGGAAAAGGGTTGTTGCAGATCATCTTTACTCGGGAACGCAACCCTTGGTCAACTCGTTTTGCGGTGGACGTAAGTAATCCGGATGTCTTCTCCTTGTGGCTCGATAGTTAATCGTTACTTGGCAGTTGGACATCCGTTTATTCATCTCGCGTATGGGTACGAGTTCGAGAGCAAGGAGGTTATTGCTGAGGCCTTGAGTCTCGGGTGCACCGAGTATGACCAGATGCACGTATATCTGGACACTCCGCCTCCAGACACTTCGACGTCCAAGACTAGGAGCATTGCTGATGTTCTAGAGAATCTCCGCAATGACAAGCGCTTCGCCAACTACACTGAGAGTCTTGGATTCGCCAATATGTTCACCTTGTTCGGTAAATTTGAGCCTGCATTGAGGGAGCACTTTACATCGTTGATTGTAGACAACGCGGATGAACAGTTGCTGGACTGGCTACAGACGGCTGCAACTCTGGCGACAACTGCGGCCACAATTGAGGGCGGTTACGATTTCTATATTGCTCACATATTGACTGTTGGCCACGCGCTGCGGATCTTGATGCCTTATGTTCCGGAAGAGCACAAGGCTCCTGTGATGAAGCAATTCGGGCTATTCATCATCCTTGTTTACCTTATGCAGCTTACTCCAAGATATGACTCTACAAGCATTCGGTCTTTGAAGGCTAAAAGTCAAGGGTGGAAGGAGATATACCAGGATGCTCTGGCCAGTCAGTGGTTTACTGATGTGCATTGGTCGAAAGTAGTGCGGGCATTGAACATGGTCGAAGAGGTTAGAGGGTCTGAGGATGAGTTTTATCAAAAGGCGGCAGGCAAGTTTATCAGGGAGTTTGATGGGTGGACTGGATTTGGCCTGGGCGTCGATGCTATTCCTTAGTCCTTTTGATTTCATCTATAGCAAGAACCAAGAAAGGGATTATACTATGGGATAGCTGCCAACTTGATTAGGCTTGATTAGGTTGAGATTTATACTTATATTGCGTAAGAAAAGGGTGTCTTTGGGTAAACGTATCGTATACCATGGCAAACAAATTTGCTAGAGGAACCTGGTTATAATGGATTCCAGTCGTTGCAAGTTTATTGTTGAGTTGGTTTAAAAGGCGCGAGGAATTGTGGAGGCTGAGAACTGTTACAAACATCCGTGTTAATGTAGGCGAATGCCTTCATAATTAAGATATAAAGATAGGCTAGAGCGCTTCAAATCTGAATTTTAAATACACAGTTATTTAGTAGAAAATAGAAAAGAGTTTCTTGGGTAGTAAAGATAATATGTCACTCGTGCTACTCGTGCTAGTAGATAGTCTTTTAGGTAGAGTATTAGATGAAAGAGTGATTTACGTATCATCTGCGGAAGAAATCGGTTCAATCTAGTTCGGTGTGTGTATGCTTCTCCTATTTGCAACACTCAATAGGAATGTAATATAGGAAAGAAGAACTAAATGGAATTCTATTAATAGGCGACGTTGACTGTATAGCCACGGCGAGGAACACGGAACGTCCGGAAGGGGACTAATAAATAGGGGATAACAAGGCCGTATTCCGAACGGAATATTGTACCTTTGGAGATGGTATTTGCCGGGCGACTGTGGCCTGGAAATGCTCTTAGTTGTCTATATAAGACGGACAGCCTAGCCTCGTGTTCTTACCATGCAGTATTCTTGTAGTGTACAAGGCCTATTGGAAGCATAAGCCGCAAGACTCTTTATTTTCCAAATTATCACCATCACTTATGAGTTCTACAAAATCAAGACAAATTGCACTCTTCGGAGCAACTGGAGGCACCGGCAGTGCCACAGTACGCTCTTTGCTCCAACGCTATGACCCCCTCTTGGAACTGAGGCTCATGGTGCGCTCGAAGGCCAAGCTCTTGAAACTCATTCCCGAGCTTCGCCACAAATCCAATCTAGTAATACATGAAGGGCAGCTTACAGACACGGCGACTGTCCGAAGCTGCGTAGAGAATGCCGACATTATTATCTGCACAATCGGGGAAAATGATAACAGACCCGGGTGTCGCCCGATCCAGGATATTGCCAAGTCAATTATTGACGCTATTCAAGAGTTGAAGTCGTCTTCAGTGGATTGGAAGCGCCCCCGGTTGATCCTTTTATCGTCTTCGACTTGGAATGAGCGATTTGCCTCGCATGAGGGGGTGGTGATCAATTGGCTTCTCAAGGCTGCCTTTTACTATCCGTATCTCGACCTTCGTCTGGCAACGGCGATGTTCGAGGGCTCATCAGACCTGTTGTCACTGCTATTAGTGCAGCCCTCGGCCCTCGTACAGGATGAGCCGTCTGGTATGGCCATCAGTGCACAATGGGTCAGCGTTGCCGTCTCCTACGCGGACCTAGGAGAGGGGTTCGCGGAATTGGCCTTGGAAGAGTCATATGCTCGGCTCCATGCCGTGGGTGTGTCAAGCAAAGGCGCGATCGGAGGAGAGGGTCTACGGAAGTACGGATTTGAGTTGGTCTCTCGGATTATCAGGGGTCTTTTTATCGGATACATGCCCGGTTACTGGGCAGTCAAGAATTATATGAATCGGACATGACTGAGACTTTTCACTCGGAGACTGGAGAATGGACCAAGACCCTTGTAGTAGACCTGTTGAATATTGAGCAAGGCATGTGCGTACGCGAATAACACAAGGCTACCTTGGCTTTGACGTATACTTGTTATCATAGACTGGTTCAACATGATGAATGTGTATTGAATTCCCCGTTGTTTTATTTCGGAGATATGGTATATTTCAAGAATTAGTTCTATTAACGCACGATTCGGAATGCCATGTTACTATCCGATTCTCGGACCTGTTTGCAACTTCCCCGAAGGTCACGGGCAGGGGTTGTTCTGCTAACACCCGCCTGGAAAAAGGTCTGCATCCATGTCATCCGAAATTTCGGCTTAGGAAGCCCTAGTGGATTCTTAGAAGCGCGCTTTTTGTTTAAATGCACCAAGCTTGTATGAAGGAGAACCGTGCCAGAGGGTCGTTGTTTCCAGAGAGCTTACCAAACCTGAGAGTCACGCCGTTCAACTATCTATTCACCATCATGTCAGACTGCTGTTTGCAGGGGCTCCGATGGGAGGCTGAGACTGCCGGTCGAGAGGGAAATATCGCTGGGCTTGACTGCTATATTACAGGGACGAACAGAGATGTTGCCATAATAGTGATCCACGATCTTTTCGGTTGGACTTTCAAAAATGTCCGTATCCTCGCGGATCACTTTGCCGATGAAGTCAATGCTACAGTATACGTTCCTGACTGGTGAGTACATGAGGAGAGAACTGTTGTCATTATGGCATCTTGTTTACAGGATACATCTTTCCAGTTTCGGAGGTGAGGTTCTACCGACCGATGTTTTATTCGACAAGAGCCGATTTGGCGAAATCGACTTGCCTGCATTCCTGAAGCGCAATTCTCGAGCCACAAGGGAACCAGCAATTACCCAGTTTGCTGAATGGTTGAGGTCCTCTTACTCGCGCGTGGGTGCTATGGGCTACTGCTACGGAGGTTGGGCGGTCTTCAGCTTGGCGGCCAAGGACAAGAATCTTGTCGACTGCATTTCAACCGCGCACCCGTCCATGCTGCAGAAGGAGGACATTGCAAACACCAGCGTCCCAACGCAAATCCTGGCCCCCGAGTTTGACCACATGTTCACCGCAGAGTTGAAAGCATACAGTCAACAAACTTTACCAGACACGCATGTTCCCTATGACTACCAGTACTTTCCTGGCCTTGAGCACGGATTTGCTATCAGAGGTGATGCTCGGATCGAGGGGGAGAGAAAGGGCATGGAAAGGGCTAAGAACGCAGCCTCCTCGTGGTTCCGAGAATGGCTATGGCAGAATAAGTAGCAGTCTGGTCTTAAATAGCCCTGACCTGGATGATAGACATGGCGGACTCAGCTGTGAATATTCATGAATTACAAGATTGTTTGTCCTGCAGCTTGAGAGTACTTGATATGATTGTCCGCACTTGGAATAGCCCTGATGTCCACTATCCGATGCTGAGAGGCACGGTTCCGGCTTTTTGTCAAGAGATCTCTTTAGCATATTTGAAGTCCGAGGAATCAAACACACATGGCCGCCAGATCCACAAAGAGCGCGGTGTTTCGGATAGTGTCACCCGAATTTGAAGCCAGACCGTCCAGTACGAAATGCTTCACCATTAGACCATAGACCATATAATGCATCAGCGCCAATCCATTCAGTTAACCGACCAGCCTTGATCTACTTGGGACACTTGCCACTTGATCACCTATTCCAATTCCATTATGCCGGCAACTGAATCTAATGCGCTTCTTCTCCAAGCGTACAGTCGCAAATTCATCCACGGATGTCATATTCTGCATCAAAGTCGGGTTTTGGACGCCTTCGGCCATCTTTCATTCCGCCATCCAGGCCAGCATGACGTCTTTATAATGTCTCTCTCTGTTGCGCCAGGAACTATATCTTCACCCAAAGACTTGATCGCTTACAGGGTTAGCGACGCTGAGCCTTTGGAGTCTACGCCGCACAAAGGGTATGAGGAAAGACGAATTCATTCCGAGATCTACAAACTACACAAGGACGTCAATGCCATTGTCCATAGTCACTCGGAAGCAGTAGTCCCCTATTCCATCAGCAATGCCCCATTAAAGGCTTGCTACCACATGGCAGGGTTCTTAGGGGTCAAGGGGGCCGCAGTGTTCGACATTGCCGAGCACAGAGACCCGGCTCTCGGGGCTGATATGCTGGTCCGAACTGAGAAGACTGGATCTGCCCTGGCCAGGACCTTTAATGAGACGAACCGTGTTACGCTCATGCGTGGCCACGGGTTCACCTTGATTGCGGACAGCATTGAAGTGGCCGTGATGTGGGCGATATACACGCAGAAGAACGCTCTGATTCAAACCACTGCTGCAACGCTCCAGTCTCTGTATTTCCCTGGTGGATCTGCTAGCGACTTACACCACCTGGATGACGAGGAGGCATCACTTGCGGAAACTATGACGAAGAGGACGGTTCAGAGGCCATGGCAATTATGGGTACGGGAAGTTGAGGCGTGCGGGCTTTATGTCAATGTCGCATAGTATGAAGCCGGGTTGATCACACAATCGAAAACCATAGATTTAGCATCAATTGAAGAACTCACGTGTGTAGTAAAAGCTTTTATTCCCTAAACTCGTTTACATGTGTATACTAGACGACTACTCGCCTACATATGACCATAGACTGGCGAAGGGTACAAAAGACACATAGAATGTTGCCCACGTGCAAACTTTGTAAAATCAGCCGTTGTTGTGCAGCCAAAATGTAACGTCATGCTTGTAGTTTGGTATGTGTCACAGGTCCGGGCTTAACAGTTGGTAGTCAAGCCGGAATGGACACGCCGAAATCCTGGACAATTCGGATTTCTCGCCGATCCCGTGTCTCCGCGATGATGTGTCCGGGTGTGGCATCCCGCTGGGGAAAAAATCGGGCATATGCTAAAAGAGCTCTATGAATCTGATTCTTGGCCGTCTGTAATAAGTTCCACGTATTTTTCAACAGGTTCCATCTATCTCTAACTGCCTCCTCATTGAACTCACAAACAGCTAGCTAGAAGTAACAATGGCAACCACCGACTTGGGAGAATTGAACCGCCAGAATGCACATGGCCCACGGCTTGAGCGTTCTGTGACGCTTCACCTACAGGGAGACTGGGGTATGGCCAACTTCCACCGTGTCTGCTCTTGGCTCGCGCAGCAGTTTTGTGATCGGTCTGGGCCGCGGAGCCAGGTCGCAATTTGGAATTTACGCGACGGTGGCCTTGAAGCCGTTACAAAAGTCTTTGACGGACAGGTCCACTTGTCCATCGCCACACCTGCTCAGCTCATGTCGACGGCTCTTACGGGACAA